GGTCTTCGGAATGCAAGAAGATATCAAATTGACAAAAAGAATTATTGGCGCTATGACGCTTTCATTGCAACTCCAGAACCGTGACTGGGAGATGTAGTATCTCAAAAGTGACTCTGAGACATGCCATGGTAGCGTCCAGAGAATCTAGTAAGTCCGCATTGTCTGTCACCATCCTGGCATTGGCGCCGTGCTGATTGGGCTAGATTCACAAAGTTTGCTCAGCGACATGCTCATGGAGTCATCTGGTCCTTGGTCACGACTCACCTAGCACGAGCAGTGACTGCACCGGTACCCGTTTACACTTGACCAGGTGTCACCAATCCACACACCGAAGGCAGATTAGTGACTGGCACACCTGCCATGCAACTCCAAGCGCTGAGATACCTACCATGCCCGTCAACATATTAAAAATGGACATTTCATCCGTATGGTCCTCAGCAATACCATCGTCTGTCCTGACCCGATGGCCCGTAGCTGAACACGTCTTTTCGGGGTCGCAGACAAAGATGTAGAGCACCTTCACCCTCTATGACGTACGGAAGAATAGGCTCTATCAGAATCGCCTGGAGCAGATCTAGTGCACTTGATGGTAGGTCCCTTGTCATGATAATGCTTCTCATCTTCACAATTGCTCGTATCTAGCATCTATTACCTACTTTTACCATCCAGCTTCAACTTATTCAGGCGCTAACTTGTCTTGTCCACAGCTTATCTGTGTTTCACGATGCTGTCAATGACTCGATACGTCCGCGTTATTTCCTGTCATCTTAGTTTTCTGTCTGTGATCTTCCCCTTCGTCGACACAATAATACAATGCTGTGATTGCCTCCTGACTGATTTCTCTGTTCTAAATCTACCAGTCTCCCAGAGTTTTATATACGTGAATTACTTCCGCAGCCAGTGTGCTATCCCGACGAATATCGATAGTTGTCAGCCGTGAAACCAGTCCGCCTCAGCATCGAAGCATACTGTAAGGAATGTCACTCTGCTAGCCACGGACACCAGCTATGGAATTCCCTTTGTACCGGATCGAAGTACTACTTATGGAACTCCCTTTGTGCTCACTTACATACAAATAGTCGGTCCCTACTTTCTATAGCTCCAGTGAATAAACTCCCCCTCACTCATTCTCTCTTGGTCCGAATCATTCCCCGTCGAACTCAATCAACCAGCCTTACAATACCAAGCCAGTTCTCAAATTCTCTTCATCGAAAATAAAAAAAATGAAGAGCGATTATTTGACGAGCGCAAGCGTGAGTCTAAATGGTACAAAACAGATATGACAAGATGCGAAAAACAGGTGTTGAAATCCGATGCAGTTGAAGCTGAAACGCCGAGTATAGTACACAATATAAGGAAGAGCATCAGAAACAAGGAAGCATCACAGTTCGCACTGCTCTGGAGTCGAAGCCGGAGTGCTTTGTATCATACACAACGGGAGCACATAGTTTGAGAAAAAGGCAGAAAGAAGCAAGAAACTTGACTCGAGAATCATCTACTTATTTGCTGCCAAGTCCTTTGCTATGGGCTGTTTAACTTCGAATTCGCGACGAAGCGAGGGACGTACACATGCGATTTTCCAGTATGAACTCAAAAATCTTCTTCTCTAGTTCCTCTCCCTCATAGCCTTGACGAGAAATCTCTTTCGCTCCTCTCTCCACAGCGACGGCTGTCGGAGATTTCAAGTAATAGTCCACGGCAGACTTGATGCTCTCCAGCTTGTTCCCGCCATTGATGGGTAAAAAGGCAGAGTACTCAAGGGCGATAATAGTAGCTGCTTCCTATTATGAGAACTACAACTGGTCATGCAGTGGGAAACTGACCAATGCCAGTATGAAGGATTCTGTTTGCAACAGCAGCAAACAATGATCCCTTCGCAACCTGTTGCACAGTCATACAGCGCCGAGGATCAGTGTGAAGCAAATCCAACCTACCAAAGGCTGAAGGACAGCGATAATGCCATATATATCTATGATGGCCTGGTCACAGGTGTGAGTATCAGAATCAACCTCACAGAGAGGAGTGCTTGCATTCTGAGGGAAAGGAAAATCAGAACCAGAAGGTGATAAATTGACATTTGATTGAGACGCACATTCTATTTCATTAACCGTGACAGTTGCGGATAATCAACCACCAGATTGTAAACAATGACAGGTTTACAACGGGTAACTTACAAACTGTCAAGAGTTGGAACCAGATGAGCATCACTACGTAACGGTGGAAATATGCAATCCATAGACGTACAAGCTGAATAAGATTGCTTATCAGTAGAGTAATATAAGATCCAGACGGGACATGATTCACACACATTCTGCGAACACATCATGGATACAAGAGATTATATGGCTAGAATCCTTGAGCGATTGAAACCTACTCACATCCTACAGAGTGAAAGAACCAGTCAAAATGATCAATACATTGAATGCTTCACAGTATGAAGGTAAAACGACTTACATTCTGTGTGGGGCAAGAGAATATGCAAGATATGTGAATATAGAACATAAGTCATCAGGGAGGGGCACTCAACGAACTATGCATTATATGAGCAATCATGATTCGACTTGGGTGATAGAATAGAAGATGCTCACATCAGGCTATGAATGCAAGTTGAATCATTTAGAATCATTTCAATACAAGATATGATAAAGACACCTACCACCTGCCAAAAAAACAAATGTAAGATTTCTGCACATGGATCACCGGCGGAAAATAATCAAGGCACTTACGTCCTGTCCACAAGCGAGCAGGAGTGATTGTCAGTATGGGTTGAGAATCAGGAACCATCTAAGCACTTACGTGCTGTCAACAGACGAGCAATAGCAAGGGATGGGGATCATGAGCATCGGTCGAGGACTCGAAACCATCGAGGCACTTACGAGCTGTCAGCAGGCGAGCAGCAGCAAGGGATGGGGATCATGAGCACCGGTCGAGGACTCGAAACCATCGAGGCACTTACGAGCTGTCAACAGGCGAGCAGCAGCAAGGGATGGGGATCATGAGCACCGGTCGAGGACTCGAAACCATCGAGGCACTTACTTCCTGTCAACAGGCGAGCAGCAGCAAGGGATGGGGATCATGAGCATCGGTCGAGGACTCGAAACCATCGAGGCACTTACTTCCTGTCAACAGGCGAGCAGCAGCAAGGGATGGGGATCATGAGCATCGGTCGAGGACTCGAAACCATCAAGGCACTTACTTCCTGTCAACAGGCGAGCAGCAGCAAGGGATGGGGATCATGAGCACCGGTCGAGGACTCGAAACCATCGAGGCACTTACGAGCTGTCAGCAGGCGAGCAGCAGCAAGGGATGGGGATCATGAGCACCGGTCGAGGACTCGAAACCATCGAGGCACTTACGAGCTGTCAACAGGCGAGCAGCAGCAAGGGATGGGGATCATGAGCATCGGTCGAGGACTCGAAACCATCGAGGCACTTACTCTCTGTCAACAGGCGAGCAGCAGCAAGGGATGGGGATCATGAGCACCGGTCGAGGACTCGAAACCATCGAGGCACTTACTTCCTGTCAACAGGCGAGCAGCAGCAAGGGATGGGGATCATGAGCATCGGTCGAGGACTCGAAACCATCGAGGCACTTACGAGCTGTCAACAGGCGAGCAGCAGCAAGGGATGGGGATCATGAGCACCGGTCGAGGACTCGAAACCATCGAGGCACTTACTCTCTGTCAACAGGCGAGCAGCAGCAAGGGATGGGGATCATGAGCACCGGTCGAGGACTCGAAACCATCGAGGCACTTACTCTCTGTCAACAGGCGAGCAGCAGCAAGGGATGGGGATCATGAGCACCGGTCGAGGACTCGAAACCATCGAGGCACTTACTTCCTGTCAACAGGCGAGCAGCAGCAAGGGATGGGGATCATGAGCATCGGTCGAGGACTCGAAACCATCGAGGCACTTACTCTCTGTCAACAGGCGAGCAGCAGCAAGGGATGGGGATCATGAGCATCGGTCGAGGACTCGAAACCACCGAGGCACTTACGAGCTGTCAACAGGCGAGCAGCGGCAAGGGATGGGGATCATGAGCACCGGTCGAGGACTCGAAACCATCGAGGCACTTACGAGCTGTCAACAGGCGAGCAGCAGCAAGGGATGGGGATCATGAGCACCGGTCGAGGACTCGAAACCATCGAGGCACTTACTCTCTGTCAACAGGCGAGCAGCAGCAAGGGATGGGGATCATGAGCACCGGTCGAGGACTCGAAACCATCGAGGCACTTACTTCCTGTCAACAGGCGAGCAGCAGCAAGGGATGGGGATCATGAGCACCGGTCGAGGACTCGAAACCATCGAGGCACTTACTTCCTGTCAACAGGCGAGCAGCAGCAAGGGATGGGGATCATGAGCATCGGTCGAGGACTCGAAACCATCGAGGCACTTACTTCCTGTCAACAGGCGAGCAGCAGCAAGGGATGGGGATCATGAGCACCGGTCGAGGACTCGAAACCATCAAGGCACTTACTTCCTGTCAACAGGCGAGCAGCAGCAAGGGATGGGGATCATGAGCACCGGTCGAGGACTCGAAACCATCGAGGCACTTACGAGCTGTCAACAGGCGAGCAGCAGCAAGGGATGGGGATCATGAGCACCGGTCGAGGACTCGAAACCATCGAGGCACTTACTTCCTGTCAACAGGCGAGCAGCAGCAAGGGATGGGGATCATGAGCATCGGTCGAGGACTCGAAACCATCGAGGCACTTACTCTCTGTCAACAGGCGAGCAGCAGCAAGGGATGGGGATCATGAGCATCGGTCGAGGACTCGAAACCACCGAGGCACTTACGAGCTGTCAACAGGCGAGCAGCGGCAAGGGATGGGGATCATGAGCACCGGTCGAGGACTCGAAACCATCGAGGCACTTACCCACTGTCAACAGGCGAGCAGCGGCAAGGGATGGGGATCATGAGCATCGGTCGAGGACTCGAAACCATCGGGGCACTTACTTCCTGTCGACAGGCGAGCAGCAGCAATCCATCAGTGTTGTTCGTGTGATCTGACCTTCTCAAACTGCAATCTTACCAGCTGTTAACGATGGACAACTACAATGGAGGAAAATTATCAGACTATGGACAGGTTCAGCACTTCAACACCTACCATTCATGAGCGCTATTGCCAGGGCGTTGCCAGATTAAATCAATCTTTATCTTACTTTCAGATGCGGAAACCACTTAGCAATTCTATACTGATACCCTCCATAATTGATTGGCCCGGATTGCTGTACGCGACGAACGAGTTTTCTAGATTATGTTGGAACAAAGATGTGACTTGGAACTCTGCAACTCACCTGACTGCACACTTGATGCAAAGCTCCAGGTTTGACTGTTGTGTCGAAATTAGGCACAACTGCAATTCTTCATTGTCCAATGCTAGAGTCGTGTGTTCCAATAGAAGGTTGCAGTTGGTATCCGGTTTGTGCATATCTAGGATGGTGATTAATGTCAACTTTGACATGGCATGAGTCAATCTGAATCACTTACTGTCCAAGCGTACATGGGACTTAGGACGCGCACGGTTTTCAGGAGCGCATAACCGATCCAAGACACCTGTGTTAGTAAACAAATTTTCGACCCGCTCGGCAATCTTTCTTGAGCGTTCTTCTCCTGATGCGCCTTTCAGTTCCTTCTTGAGTTGTCCAAACGCAATTGGACGTAAAGCTTCGAACTTGGTAAATACCACGACCACAGGAACTGAAGAAGGATCATTTAGTCCTAGCAAGGCATAGTAAAATAGACCTGAAAACTCGCTGTGCCCAGTGTCGCACTCTGAGAAGAACTTCTCCTCTGATCGTTGAAATGTCCGACAATGGTCGTCCATCGGGATACAGTACCTGATGGAAATCAACAAGCGCTGAACGTCAGAAGGGAGTCACTTACCAGATAACATGGAGTCGCTCCTCCAATTTCGTCATGTTTGCCCGTTCTGAAATAAATTTTTTCATGTCCTCGAATTCTTCTTCAGAACCCGCTTCGAAACCGCATGAGTCGTGGAAGACGAAACTAGGATTGCTTTTGAAGACCATCTCGTTTCTGATGTCGTGATTTCCACGCTGATCGTTTGTCAGTGTATGTATGCCTGCAGGGAAAATGGTGCGAGCACCTTGATCGATGATTTCACGACGGCCGCATCGATCTATCCACAATTGATCAGCGATAAACCCGTGCATCGCATAGATCATCGATCGTACCTTGTTTCCTTTGGGATCGTAAATTTCTGGTTCATCCGTGGTATTGCAGACCTTGTGAAGAATGGACGTTTTGCCTGCGTTTGCTCTTCCTATGATGAGAACTCGAAACCGTTCAATCATTTCCCTGAGGACCTGAGCGTCGATGGTTGCCATTGGGGAGATCTTAGTGTGCGTCCTGAAGTAGAGGTGATCTGATTTATGGTGAAAGCTGTTCCGTGGTACAGAACGAGATCGTGGCGAGAGATAACAACATACGAAGCAAGGGCTCGTATGGCTTATGACACAACAGCTACACACGGCGTCTATCTCGTTGCATTAGGCAATCAATTCCACCTCCCAGTCACACCGGCGCAGTTGCAATTATTCAATCATTTGTACAATAGAGCACAAGGATCATACAACAAACGATGTCGAACGACATTAATAAGAACGTTGATAGATATGGACTATAATGAACAATCAGAATACAATGAAATTGACAGAATTTCTCTCTTCCCTACCCGTCTAGCTGAAATATCGAAAATATCTGTAGGCGGACCTTCCCAGGTCATCCAGACGATTGATCCTTGAGAGCAAACAAGAGCATGTCGAGATGTGCATGTGAGACACGACATTTCGTGGTGCTGGACAGGGTCTGAACATTTCACCCCGGAAGATGGCGTTCTGGGTATGAACTAGTTAAGGGGTGACGGAGCAGCTGTCGATGAGTCAAATGCCGATGCTGGAGAGGAATAAGACATTGAATGTGTGACGTCTTTCTTTATGGCTGTATCTCCTCGCAGAACACCATATGATATATATGTTCGAGACGTAGTGTCTGCGCTTCAAGTTCAAGTGTTGTTTTTGATGAAGTCTGCAGACGGGTCTGCAAATGAAAAAGCTGTAGACAGCAGAAGACAGGAAGCTGAGTGACGTAAACGAATTTGTGACCGTGACGTCCTTGCGGACAACTTCGGTTTAAAGTAGTAGTTCATAATCATTAAGGTTCAGCGCTCAGCGCGGGCTTGCCCTCGCCTGTCACGACATACTACCCTACGTCCTCAGTTTGTTCCACAACTTGCCGCATGAGTCACATTGCATGACCTCACGAGTTTAAAATCGCTCTTTGATCGAGACTGGGCAGGTTCAGTTTACGCTGCGTCTAGATGTCCATCTACATGTGTCGGTGAGTGTCCACTCTTCTAGTGAGTATCTCAAATATTCATCCCGCATTGTCAGACTACGTAGACAAAAACCCATCAGCATTCAAGAATGCTTATTTTGAGTTCAACTCGTTGAACATCTACCAGTGAGGCTCGCGGGGTACCGTGCCAACACCTACAAGGTATCATGAAATTGTACTGATATCGTTTGTATGCCCATAAACCACAAAAGTCTTCACTCGTACACATTTCACTCCCATCCCTACATTCATGCTCATTCTAAAGCCACTGGTCTTGCGCTGGAACGGGCGCGGAGTGCAAGAGAAACCTCTATAACGGGAGGCTCTATCTGTAGAAGACCGACTACAAACCAAGACCCCGCGCTCCCGAGGATCTGCGCCACAACACCCTGTCTTCGACATCTCAATCTCTCTCTCTCTCTCATTAACCCTCGGAGAGACTGCCGAGTCATCAATACTAAAATATACAAGAGTGAACTTAATGTCTCGTGCAACACCAGTGAAACAAAAATCTAAACGAGGGTCAGAAGCGAAGGATGTAATCGGGGTACACACGCAGACTTGCGCCATGACACGAGTATTAATCAAGACTGCAAGAAAATTATCGAGAAGGTAAAACGCGCACACAGCGGAGCAAGGTGAAAGTTTGCAATCAAACCCTCGTTCCCTTGATGAAGACATAATTCTGATTGCCTCATGGCATCCGTGCAGTCGCAGAAGAGATGGCATACTTTCACGGTCACCCTCATGACACGAGGTTTTCTACAGATTTGAACACTGGGGTGTTTGTAATTGCATGAGAACTTGCGCAAGGCTGGATATGTGGGCGCAGGAAGTGCCCTTCAGTGCGCTGTCCGTGCCTACGCTGAATGTACATAACAGTTTACGTTTTCGTGCTCAACTTTCTGCGCAATACTAGCTTACATAATCACAACTCAAAGCTAGCGCTCACACCTGGTCGTCTTCTCTCTCAAGAGTCTCAACACAAGGTAATGCCATAGTTGATGGCATTGCACGCGAATCTCATTCTCGTATGATTCGGCCTTACACTGTTCCTTTTACACTGGATGTTTTCGCACTTTACTTCCCTACATTGAATTCTATCGGATCCTCAATTTCTTCGTTACTCACATACTTTCGCGACATGCTGCAACGGACCCGACCCTCAAGCCTGCTCATACCCTCGCGCTATCTCTCCGTGGCTTGCATGATCCACCAGAACATCCATGTGTGCGCATGCCTTACGCACTGCGAGTGTTTCACTTGTATGGAAATACATCTCCGTTGAACCAGGGCAAAGGCTGTGCAGTGTGTACTGAAATTGCTTTGTGAATGCATGGATGAGGTGATACTACAAGAGCCGTGTGTATGCTATCTATCCAAGCTATGGAGGCCTCTGAGAGCCTAAGTCTTTGGGCCACTACCTTAGGACCCCTGGTCCACCGTGGTGCCGTTTCGAATGCCAGTGCTCGGAATCGCCATACCATTTATTCATGGCGTGCCCTCGTTTTGCGGAAACGCTCAATAGGTCGTCACAGAATGTGCGTGATGCAATTCTTGTGCTTCTTCAACATGAGGCAAAAACCATTAATCGAAAAACGGAAGTGTATCTGTGGTCTGCGCGGCGCCTGTTTGTTGACGAAACTTTGGTATGGCCTTTGCACGGATCCTGGGAACTGTACTTGCGATGGACCTACCTGATAAAATTTCAAGTATGCTGGCGACCAAAATTGCGCGCATTGCAAGTATTCGTTCGGCAGGGGACTGATAGGCGCACAATGAATTCGCAGGTCCGCATGTATTTTTTTTACCTACGCATTTGCGTCTTCTTCTTAGACTTCACTTTGATTTCGTTGAAGAGCTGACGAGGTACTTGCTATATGTGGTCCCTGAGTACTAAGTCACCATCAGTAAAATCATTAATCGTTAATCTCCGGCTTCTGGGCGCTTCAAAGAATACCACGGCCCCACAGTTTGATTGTGACTGCCACTCGCCAACAGCCGATTGGCATGCATTCTCGGATTCTGGGCTACCTTTATCGATTTGTGCGTGAGTCACCCTATCGAGCTGATGACGATCCTCTAGGGTTATTCGTGGGTAATGGGCATGCACGTAAACCGCGAGGCTTCAATATTCCTCAACATAAGAGTCTGCTCGCGCTATGGCACACCACAGGGGTTTCTTCCATCTTTTGCGTCCTATAATCCCTCCCATATACCATGTCGTCTGATACAGAGGTTAGCTCTGACCAATTTCTTTGACTTTATTTTGATAGAAAAATATCATGATAGCAAAGAAACTGCAAAGGCGCCAACGCAGGTCGTACGCCCACTCCACCTACCGTCGACGACATGCCCCTCGCCGCCTTTTTTGCTCAATTCGCCTCATTCTCCTTCTCCTTCAACGCCAATCAGTCCTCAAGCAAGAACTTTAACCGTCTGATCAAAGTCCTTAAATGTGACCTCAAAACTCCACAAGGGCGTTTAATACAAGACGGGTTCAGAGACGCGCTCGTTCAGGAATTCAATGCGCGTTTCGGAAGCGACAGAAACGACCTTTCTAACTGGCAGAATTTGTGCCGTGCGCTGAAAATTGATCCTGTTCCAGGTTCAATCAAGGCGTGTCGCCAGGTTTGTGGATTATTATTGTAGGCGAGTCATAGTAGCTGAGTTACTTGTATAGTGCGTTTGGAACACAAACGTCAACGCTGTAGACCTGGTTGATTCAGCGAGGACTGGGAAGCCTGTAAAGCTGTTTGCATCCTTGAAAGAGTTGACGGCATACACTCTCCAGAATCCGAATTTATTATTGCCAAAGGAGAGTGCGTATCAAGGCGGGTTACTGAAGGATTTGCTGAGGGAGATAAGAAACCCGTACTTAGGGAACTCCAGGAATGGTAGTGCGAAGAGAAAGGAAAGAAAGAAGCAACAGAAGGCCAAAAAGACAGCAGCCTGAGCAGGAGGTAGCTGAACACGTATTGAGTAGCGAAAACTGGCTGGATCTGTCCCTATGAAATCGTTTCGCAACGTTCATTTTTACTATGTTCTCTGTATCAGTAGCACACACTATGCCAATCTATCTCCGAGTCGCAGGGATGGCGTTGTTGATACTTGTTTATAGGCCTAGCCCGGGGCCGACAAAAATCACCCTGAGGATCGCATCCCTTGAGATAACTCACGTCAAGTACCTCGTGATAACCGCTCAACAGCTCCAGACGAGACTCCAGCAGGCTGAGGCCATTAGCTCGAAAACTTCCGCAAAAAAGCACCGTTCATGCACACTCAACGGACACAGCACGCATCTTATTTATTTCTGCACTCGTCATGTCTTCCTGCCTTGCATGGATAGCAGACGTCCTCCAAGTAGCTCACCACTACTTTGAAAACGCCATTGCCTTCACCCGCCGAATCAAATCGTTGCCCTCGATCTGGTCGACATATCGACCCACAGGCTCGTGACAGCATGTTCGCCATGCTCGTCCCTATTTCCCTCGCGCCCCTCATTATCATCCTCCTATGGGCAGAACGCAAAGCCAAAAAGCTCGCCTTTCTCCACTCTCCCAAACCACGCGCTCGCAGCACCTCCAGACTTGTCCTTCTCGGATTCGCAATTTCACTGTCTGACCTTGATGATTCCATCGAACTTCACCAAGCTGCACTACTGCTTCGCCCCCCGGGTCATTCTGATCGATCACAGTCTCTGAGCCGGGACAGATTCACTACTCCTTCATCCTCCGAGTCATTCTTTGCGATCATCGTGTCTCAATGATCTTGTCATCGGCCTTCGAGATATCTTCAGGCAGCGGGGCATCGCATCTGACCTTGATGAGTTCATTAAGCTCTTTCGAGCCGCACTACTCCTTCGTCCACCCGGTCGCTCTGATTGATCATCATCTCTCAACGATCTCGCCCTAAGCCTTCGAAACAGATTCACGCAGCGGAGTGTCCCCTCTGACCTTGATGAAACATTCAACCTGTTCTTATAACTTTACAGCATATCTCGCATAATTCAACAGGCTGTAGCCTACAGGTTAAGCTTATACGGTGCAGGTTGGAACAATGAATGATTGTGACAAAGTACATAATCTCTACTAGTAGGAGCGGCCACTGGCAGAGCTGCTAACGCTTATTTGCATGATTTCTACTATTCTAAATATCTCACAAGCCTCGCATGATGCTCCCATCCAAACGCTATGTGCACTTCAATAGATACTTGCAAGTCGGCCCTAGACCAATATGATCACAATACTTCCTCCAGCCCGCGAGACTCAAGGCGACCACCGAAAATGCACCTACAAGATATGACCGAAGTTCACGAGTGTGTCGTGTTTCCCGGCCATCAATATACCATAGCTTCAGCTGGTCGTGAAGCCAACAAGCCTTGCTTCCGTGAAGGGGAATGTCGCAAAAATAGCATTAATGTGGTTGAAAGAGCTGCACCTTTGGAGTCAGACGGCTTATACGCCGAGCCTGATGAATTGTACTTCTTTCCGAACTCGTTGACGACCAAACGATATCATAGTGATTGAGCACTCGAGCGTCAGCTGGAGCTTGACGAGTTCAAGGGAGGACGAGTTACACACGATGTTGAGCTTTTACTTCCTCGCGAGCACTCTCAGGCGAAATTCGAATTTCTTCAGGCTATGATCCAATACGAGACCGAGGAATCACGGTAATTTGAGCATGTCAAGCATGCAATTAATGTCGTGTATGCGGTCAGGACTCAGTGAAAGTGTGTCAAGACGAACTCGACTTCGTTGCCCATGGCATTATGACCTCAAACTCCTTGGCAACTTGACTCCTGTGGTGTAACAAGACATTATTATATCACTTATGGAGGTGGCCAGACTGGAAGCGAGATTAGGAAAAATGAGAGCTCCTTCCCATAGTGACGTAATATGAGATGCTTGCACTGAGCACTCCAAATACAAACTTTACGGTATGTAGCATAACTTTTCCCAGACTATCTTCTGCCTTGCTCCCAATTGTCCCAACCTACTCAATGGTCATTGAACTGAAAATTCACATGCCAACACCAGACACGGTCACTTGATGAAGTGTGATCAAGATAGAGGGGTACCTATACCGTCAAATATGGCAGAAGTAGAACGACAACCGTAATGTCCATTTCCAAATGCTCCTTCAAAATTTTTCTTTGGTAGAACTGGCAGTATTATTCCCTCCTCACCTGCAGAAGGAGCACGGGGCGAGACACAGATCAGTCCACATGCAGTCTCGGAGCTTCAAGTATGTATACCCATTACCATTTGCCGTTATTGGCCCCACCGTGACTTCAGTGGTACTAACACAAATTTGTAGGCTCCCTTCCTATTTTTGCAAGAACTTGCGAAACGACTTGGGGTTAACGTGCAGTTACCTTTCAGAACAGGCTCTAATGGTGCGATAATCCGACCTGATTTATTTTAAGAGGACAGGGACTGCACAAATCAAAAGGCACCGATCCTGTCATACGGGCGTTTCGGCTTTACGAGTCTGAGGCTTGTCTTTGTTCATCGCCCAGGCTGGTGATAATTATCCATCTTGAGTGTTTCGTTTCGGAAACGCACAAGCTACATCCTGGCCGAGTGGCGTCGGTATGGAACACACAGTACCTTTGACCATTCCATATCATTTCCATGTTGACCACGCACTGTCAAATATATTATTTGCAGGTAAGAGCACTGGGAGACGTCATCAGATTCACTATGGGGCTTCATTGTTATAAAGACAGTTTCAACATGCCTCAGAAATGCCTCAGTCACCGATTGAAGATTATCTATCCATTCTTTAGTCATCATGCGTATCGACTTTCCTTTCCTCGTCATACTTGCCCTCGCTGTAACAGTGACGTTGGGTGCGACGTACCAAAGATCGAGCCAACTCGCAGGCCAGAGCTTCCTTGACGCATTTAGTTTCCAGGCCATCACGGATCCCACACATGGCAGAGTGTAAGGCATCGCCTGAATCGTGTCTGATGGCTCATTTATCCCACCATCCAGGACTTATGTCAACGAAAGCACTGCCCGAGCAGATAAACTCGTTTCAGTGGCTAATAATAAACTCACGCTCCGAGCCGACTATACTACGAAACTGTCCTCCTCCGACCCAGGAAGAAAATCCTTTCGAATCATGTCAAATTCCCAGTACGAAACTCATGTAGCAATGTACGCATACATGGACTTATGGCACGAGTTCCAAGAATGTCACTAATCTAATTCAGTTTCGACATTGCGCATATGCCACAAGGCTGTGGGACATGGCCAGCTATTTGTGCGTGCCATCTCTTGTGGTTGATTGGCTTAAAGCTGACTACCGGTCAGGGTCAGGATGATCCTTTTCCCCAGTGTTTTGACGTCTGACGAGCGCACCGTGATGCTATTGATCCAACAGGGTTAGTCTCATTAACAGGATAATTCATTCGTTAACATTCACGATAGGAAGTGGGAGCAAACTGGCCGAATGGAGTATGTTCATATTGATGTTTTTTTTTTTGTCATAACTCATGATTACAGGGCGAAATCGACATTGTAGAAGGTGTCAACGATCAAACCCCCAATACATGCAGTCTGCACACGAGCTCCAGTAAGATCATGTTCGGGGAGCGAACGATATAGATAGGTACTAAAATTTGTTTTCAGATTGCACGATGCCCTCTTCTCGCTCAATGTCAGGGTCAGGTCGTTTATCGAGTCTCCAGGTATTTGGTGGTTCCTGATGCAAATTGAATTTAGCACCGTCCGTGGTACAGACTGCTACGCATACGATAACGGCAATGCGGGGTGTGGGGTCAGTATCAACGACGATAAGAGTTACGGCCCGCAATTCAACAGCAACGGGGGTGGCTGGTATGCACCCATGTTGGTCATTAGTTCTACCCGAATAACAGAACACCTTGGTCAGGTATGCGATTGAAAAGCGTTCAAGTTACATCAAGATTTTCTTTTGGGAGAGGACGAGTAGCTCTGTTCCAAGCGACGTCAAGTCTCCTGGGCCAAGCATCGATACTAGCCATTGGGTATGTTATTCCCACAGACTTTTATTGAATACCTAATCGAACGCAATTCCAAAGGGGACACCTGCCGCAAACTTTCCCGATACTGATTGCGATCTCTCCACTCATTTTGGACCCCAGAACATCATCATTAACCTTACATTCTGTGTGTGATAATCGTTGTTCTTGAACTTTCACCTGACCTGATACACGTGGCTTGACTAGGCGGAGACTGGGCAGGTGCAGTTTACGCTGCGTCTGGATGTCCATCTACATGTGCCGGTGAGTACACACTCTTCTGGTGAGTATTTCGAAAGACTCATCCCACATCGTCAGACTACGTGAATAATAACCCATCAGCATTCAAGAATGCTTATTTTGAGTTCAACTCGTTGAACATCTACCAGTGAGGTTTGTGTTTTGTCGAATGCCGTGCTAGCAAGTTACAAAGTATCGTGTAAATTGTAAATAACATTATTTGCATGCCCAGTAACCAGAGTCCTTACAGTTTTGATCTGTAAATGTGACGTAGAAATGAAGCACACCTTCGGCACATGAGCGCATCGAATCTGGTGGCCTCCGCGTAGCCGACGGGGGCCGATTTGCAAGCGTATAAGTACTTTGGGGTCCTTACTTTTCACTCGTACACTAACTCCTCATTACCGCAACACAATAACATCTGCTTTTAAAGTCACAAGAACGGCGAAACTCGGTACAGCATGCTTCTCGTAACGTCTCAATGTTTTATCTATTATGATCCTAATCACATTGGCCCCACAGTTCACTATTGAAATGCTTGAGCATGTGCCTCGAAACAAGGGCTCGTTCCCTCGCGAAGTTCTTGATCAGGACTATGTGTACATGATTCTAGTTGCCTCATGGCATCCGTGCAGTCGCGGCAGACTCGGAGATGGTGTATTTTTACGCCCACTCCCCAACCAACCACCCCCACAACACGAGACTTTTTACAAATTCGCACACTGATACCAATCTGGGGTGCTTGTAATTGTATAGGACCTCGTGCATGGTCGTAATATGTGGGTGCGGGAAGCGCCCTTCAGTGCGCCGTCCGTGGGAGCGTACCTACGGTTTACGTTTTCGTGCTCAATGTATCTGTGCAACGCACACAATACTAGCTCGATAAATTTCACGGCAGAGAATCACGCACACAAGCAAACGACATGGACATCCAGTCAAGCCATTGTTCGCTAGTAGATCCGGCTTCTGGACGCTTCGAAGAACTACCTGAAGACAGGTGTCCCGCGGGCCCACACGTTGACCGTGACTCGTACTCGTCAAGAGCCGATTCACATGCATTCATTGTTTTACAGCTATTGAGTTCTGGGGTATCTTCATCTCAGTTACCATATATAGAGAGAGACGATCCTCTTTGCATGGTTCTTCGTGGGTAATGGGGGTGGCACGAGCTTCGAGTGGCTTCGAAATTCGTTACATAATAAGACGGTTCGCGATGCGGCAGTGGCACAGCACAGGGGTGTCTCCCATCTCTTGCATTCTTTAAGCCCTCCCATATACCATGTCCTCTGGCACAGAGGTAAGCTCCAACCAATTCCTTTGAATTTATTCTGACAGAAATGTATAGCGAAGAAGGCGCGAAAGCGCCAACGAAAGGCGCACGCTCCACTCCACCTCCGGACGACGACGACACGCCTCTCGCCGCCTTCTTTGCTCAATTCGCCTCATTCTCCTTCAAAGAAAACCAGTCCTCAAACAAGAACTTCGACCGCCTTGTCAGCGTCCTCAGAATCGACACCAAAGATCCGCAGAGGCGCGAACTACGAGAGGGCTTCAAGGACGCGCTCGTACAGGAATTCAACGCGCGTTTTGGAACTGACGGAAACGACCTTTCGAACTGGCAGAATTTGTGTCGTGTGTTGAGGATTGATCCTGTTCCGGATTCGATTCAGGCGTGTCGCCAGGTTTGTGATTCTATTATTGCGGTCGAGTTTGTAGTGCGCTGAGTTGGTTGGTTGTATAGTGCGTTTGGGACACGCATGTCAACCTCGTAGACCTGGTTGATTCAGCGAGGACTGGGAAGCCTGTAAAGCTGTTTGAATCCTTGGCAGAGTTGAGAAAATACACTCTTCGGACGAAGAAAATCTTTCCGAAGGAGAATGCGTATCAAGGCGGATTACTGAAGGAGTTGCTTAGGGAGATCATCAACACGTACTTCGGGAGGCGTAGGAACGGGAGTGCGAAGAGAAAAGAAAGGAAGAAGAAACAGAAGGCCGCAAAGGCGGCAGCAAGAGGTGACTGAATGCGTGTTTAGTGGCCAAGACTGCCTGGAGCTGTTCCCTTTAACTCGTTCACTTTGGTCACGTTCTCTGTACCAGTAGCATGCGCACTTAACCTGTCAACAACTTGTAATTTATCTCGCAGATGAAGCTTTCGCATTAAATATGTGTACATTCATCCGCAAAACTACAGTTCAATTACGAGCAGTACCCCTAGAATCGTGTAAGTAAGGTATACTACCATATATTATGCGACATCTATCCCTGCGATGTCTTGTATCTTCTAGTGTAGTCACGCTGCCTTCAAAATGCCGACCTGCAGCGGTTCCCTTGTGCTGGCAAGCGTACTTGTATTGCGCGACTTTGTGTCCCCGAATGTCTTTTCTAGCTGCTCAATCTTCTCAGAAAGTAAGCGCGCTTCATCACTGGCCTTGAATGATTCCTTGATAGCGTCCACGACGACCAAATTGTTGCGCTGAAGATCGCTTTGCAGGCGCGCGAGGCGTACTCGAGTATCGAGAAGTATGCTTTCTGGCTGAGACCCCGAAGTGCGTTCAGGAAGTTTCGAGTCCGATGATGAGGGACTGATCAGCGCGTTCGCAAAAGCTGTGAAAAAAAATAAGAAACCATCTTGTTTCTCCACTAAACACCCACCCTTTGAGAACACGTCTGAAAGTTCCTGTCCAGAAGTCTTCCTTCGGTGCGAAATGAACGCGCTATTCTGGCGACCTGTACACGTTTATTCGAGCAAGGACGCGATTGGAAGATTACATAGACAGACCTAGTCGATTTCGCCTTGGCAGTCGGCGAGGTCTTGGCAGTTCGTCCTCACCTGAATTTGGTGTGGATTCTATGCTGCGTTTCTTGCGGTACCGAGTGGTACTGGATCCCACTTGATCTTGAGGAGAAGATGAATACGAGGAACGATCACTGTCCGACGAACGACTGCGACGCGAACTAGGGGTCTTCACCATTGGGCCACCACCGCTCTGTTCACTATCAGGCAGCTCCTTCTGATTGAGCACAGGGGTGGACGGCCGCGACATTCCGCATGCATCAGTGAGGAGACCTTCTGAGATATTGTGCCATCTCGTTAATAACCAAACCATCATCTTCTGTGACGACACTTTCGCTGTCGCACCAAAAATCTTGTGCCCAAAGATCCGCGCGATATCCTCGAATTCTATGCCGTTCTCAGGACAAAGGGGAAGTTGGGTGAAAAATCCGCAGAGGTAAATCAGTAGGGAGAGATGGCCTATAGGCAGGAAGCGGAGAATTATCTGTGCGATCATGATCTGATGGCGTTCGATTTCACCGTCGTGACCAAGGTGAAGGTTGTCCTGAGCTTGTTTATGCTGCTGTTTGGGTGACATGGGAAGCATCAGTGGCAGCTCGCCTCTAGCGCGTTTCTCCTCTTCCTCCGCATCCTGATGGCTTCGCTTGACCTCTTCGCGCTTCACGCTGGGCTTCACGCACCAGTGCCAAAATCCACCGTAAAGTTTGGGATCAAGGAGAGGATGAGGGAGAGAGGAGATGAATGTAGACAAGACAGCGCAGATGTCCGGCATGGTCTGCCCGCGCATGCTGAATTTAGCCCCATAATCGGCACTGGAATCGAAAATGTCAATCAGCTGCATGTACCGATCGCGGCTAGGCAGTGTGCGGAACAGCCCCTGTTGGTAAATGCCTGATGAGGGTAAATGATGAATCAATTCAGGGAAGAGAAGAAAGCACCCGTTCTTGTCAGCTCTTCCACACAGGCAACAACAAGGGTCGGTACGTCGTGCTGATGTTCGTTGATAGTGATCGTAGATGATGCATGAATCAGTACGTCACGCAGTGGCGCCTCTCTAACACCTGTCGCAATGTTAGTGTAACGCAAAACCTGCACGCAAACAGAACAGACGAAATTTTGGATCTCTCTTCTCAGCTCCGCCCTTGCGCTTTTCACGAAGCTTCTCTCGTAAATCTCCATCTTCTCTATATAATTCGATTACATCCTCGTCAAAAGAGATGTGATCCATTGCACGATGTTTCTCACGTCGAACAAGCTTGTCGAGCCGAGGATACAGGATGTGCGGCTTCGGTCGGGGTGCGTAAGGTTTTCCACGGTCTAACAGCGTCTTCGGCTCGCGCTGGGGTTGATCTTCTTCGAGGGGCCTGCTACCTCGTGGTAGATGGATGTTTGAGGAAGGGGGAACATTGTGGTGTGACGTATAATCCAGTTGGAGCCCACATGCGCGAGCCTGCCTGTCCCTCTCTATATCCGCGGACGATGGTCTGGGTATGCGCCTGATGTCTGGCATGGACGCAAAGACATCATGAGCACCACTTTGCTGTTGTTGGAAAGCATGTGGTGGCAGGGAAGTACGTTTTTGGTTGTCACCATGATCGCGAGGTGATTGCTGGTAATCGGCGAGATGTGAAGGATGATGATGTTGCTGGTGTTTCGACTCGTACCCACGAGGTATCCACGGTACATGACCACGACTATATGGGGTGGCGGGTGAACGGGGGGAGTCATTGTACGTTGAGGAAAGTAAACTGGGGGTTTGATACGGAGGATACATATCCATGCGAGACGTCAAGGAAAGAGGTCGCGATGGTCGAGGAAGTTGCTGAAAGGAGTGATCTATGGGGTAAGGAGGAAGTAGAGGGTTTGGTTTGCGTAAGATGCTGCGCGGGCGCATACTGTCATTGGGTGGACGAGCGCCAAGCGTTCGCGGGTTGTCGTTGCCGTCGCTCAGTCGGTCACCCGAGCGAGACGGCGGATAATGAGCATACGAGGCAGATCGCATCCCGAGGCCAGCAGGAAGGAAAAGATAACCTTGGAAATATGAAGAAGCAGAGACCTTACTACAAAGGGAGAACGTAGTTTGAGAAAGAGAAATGGACGTCCAGTGCCGCGTGAGGAAGACTCTTTTAAGATAGCTTAGTCGAGCTCGGGTGACCCTACTAAGTATTGAATCAGACCGGTCGAGGCTAAGATGCCGCACGTATTATGGTATGTGGGGCTTTTTAAGCTTGCTGCGATATTATTTCATTTTAGACTGCCTCTATGATAGAGCGCGTCTAAATCCAGAGATGGGAATTACACGGGGAGAGAACCGAGAGAAAGCTCACAGCGTGTCTGATCGTGATAAATCTGGAGCTTGAAAGAGGTGGGGGGTTACGTGTATGGTTGCACAAACGAAATCTACACTTTTGACGAACCGTGAGTCTCGGAGAACCAGGGCAACCTAAAATGTATTAGAATGATACGAATGACCGAGTCAAGACCCTAGGTTCAACGATGAAAACATCCAGGCAGGTCCAGCCAGAACTAGAGCCAGGTCTAGACTCTAGACCGACTATGATTACCCTTTGTCACTAGGCTCAAGAAATTTGGTGAAAAAAACTGTAAGGCTTCGTGAGGGAATAGAAGGGAGCTCTGTGTGAGGCTTCATGGAGCTGATGAAGCTTCAAGACTGGAAATATGAGTGACAAAATGTGCTTTGTGCTCGAAGAGGATTACTTTGAAAGCTGTACAGCAAAAGGAAATGTTCCTGACCAGGACCGCAGCCTCGGCGAGGGCGCCGAGCCTGGGTCACGGTGATAACGGACATGCCATCCGAGACCCCGCAGTTCTGATGAAGCTAGCAACCACGTCGATCGAATAAAAAATTTGAACTTGAGCAAACTATTACAGTAGAGATAACATTAATGGGTACAGCTGGCACCTCACACCGTAGTCACTACAAGTACACTGCTATTTAATTAACATACCACTGTATGAGCCCTGGCTCAAAGGCAGGGTGATGCAGGTGGAATGCCAGAGAGGCACTACTTAGATTCATAGATATGTGAGACGGGCGAGTAGAATAGATCATGTGACCTAGACTATCATACTACGGGCGGGCGTGGTATTGATGATTAGTAAGCAACGTCGGGACTTCAACTTTCTACGACGATGGACTACTCAAGCCACAATCAAAATTGCATGCTCATCCCATCATTTCGTATGTAGCGCATTGTACTGTCTCGTTTCATGCATGTTGCACACCATTATTGTTGTCATCTAACCGTCATTTGTTTTGCCAACACTGACGGCGACGTTCAAGTTCGTGTCTGCCAGCTTCTAGGTTATTCGACCTAACAACTTATCCTGATTGCGCCCATGGTGTGATTGTATACTACTTTCATCTAATTGCACAGCTGTACGTCTATAGCCGCCATACTCGTGATTGCATTCCATGATCTCCAAAGTTGACTAGCAAAGGTAGCGGACTCTGCCGCTCTGGCACGAATGTGCTCTGGACCATCCATCAAGTTATCACACTTCAGATTAAGGCCCAACTAAGGGCACCACTTCGACGTAGCAGAAATTCCGCAGAGGTATGTCATAGGGTACGTATTCTGCTGTACTTAACCGCAGGTTCTTCCAGGTTATTACATGGATTCAGATTTCAACGCGCGGGAATCTCCTCATATTTATGAAATTACGGCTGAAACCAGTTATGCCGCTGTCGGAAATACAGTATAGCATATGAGACGTGGCGACTTCCGAGAAGTCGACTTGGTCCTCAAGCCCTATATCCATTCGGCACGGATGCAACCCATAAGGAAACACGCATCACAAATCGTCATAGGTGAAATTATGGTGAAACTTTACCCTTCACAGTGTCATATTGATCTAGTTACTAATGTCCGTAGCAGAGAATATCACCATTTTACTAAGCATCGATCAGTGTACACTTTGCCCCGTCCTGCATTGGACGACTCTGGGCCTCTGGCACAACGACTCCTCTTACCACCGTTTCTACCGGGCGAACGCTGACGAATGTTGTTTTCGCTCATTTTTGCCAATCAGTCAATATTGTTACTGTATGCGCATGCGCATCAGGACAAAATAATGGATACTATTCCGTCGCTTTGGCGCTAGCTAACGTCACTGCTGGCTAAAACTTCACGTTCGATTGTGATTTTGAACAATGGCAAGGTGAGTACAAAATATTGTTACATTGAAGTATTTTCGCAGCTGGCTGAAGCTGCTGTATATTACCTTTGTGCACTGATTTCATTCCTAACCATGGGTCAAATCTTTCATAGACTGGTCAGTGTTGTCGATTATTACTGTGCTCCATGGTGGCGCGCTGATTCACTGTGTTTTGACAGCTCAATTAGGTTCCGGCCCTACGGAAATGATCGTCTAGTTCTCACCTGTTCTCAGGCGGTGTTATTATTTCCGTTCTGTCTTCTGGGACTCGCAACTCAATGCTTTCCCTGTATTCGCGTCACTGAACAGTGATTGGAACGGAAATGAAACACGAAATTTATATAAGACGGATGTAACCGCACGCCGCAAGAACCTTGACCCGATTCCTCATACTGAGATTCAGATACCGACGCTTTTTAATGCACTAGTCTTCTGCTGCTCTGTGTATGAATCGGTTCTAACACTACTCCCAATTATCCTGGCCTACGGCGGCTACTCAGCAGGGCTCCAAGCGCGTGATCGAAGGTGGTCGACGTGTCATCAATTTCGGTCGTTGCGGTGATTTTCTCCTTTTTGTCACCTGCGGAGTCGTGGCGCTGTCTGTTTCATTAAAACGAGCTCCTACCTATGGGACTGCCATGAACTGTGCTGTGCCTTCGGTAACAGATGGGCTGGGCACTTCGTGCTCCACCTTGAAGGCACCCCCGAGCCCAGCCTGCGACGTAAGATTTGAAAATGGATTCCTCCTATACATCGACAAAAGAAATGTGTCTGTCAGTATAGACAAAGACCGTGATTATTAATTCAAGTGGGTCTCAGAATTGAGGAATTTAGGAACAACATCGATCATCATCGGGTGTAACCGACTAAGCGGGAGTTACAGACTCCGTACGAAAGCCACGTTGTGAGAATTCCCATCACTTGGACGCCAAGTCTTTTTTTTCCTTTGTAAAAGGTCCGGTGCTGGACGGGCCCTCTTCTCTGAGAAAACAGTCTAACAGAAAAGAACATTTATGCAGATTGATGCTCATGCACTTACTCAAGAACACTACCTGTTCTCCCTACACCGCATGAATATATGATGGTCACGATTTCCGTAATCCTCGTATGCAAAAGTCCGATGTGCCTCGGCACCTGTCGAAAAGTTACATCCTCCTGCCAGTGGCCAGGTTGCTAAGCACTTTCTGGACCTGCCAGGGTGTAGTTTGCGTATTCGATCGATCAATAGATGCCAGCAAGTGCCAGCTACCCCGACATCCTTCCCACGGTTACACTTTAAATGCAAAACCTACCTGTTGCCAACTTACGAGTACTATACACCGATCATGTTTTTCAAGTCACTTCTCGTCCTTGCAGCAGCAGCTCTAGCTGCCAACGCCCAATCCACGACTACGACATCTGCAATTGCAACTCCAAGCGGAGTTTCAGACTGTGTAATTTCATGCTCGAATCAAGCCGCCTCCGCAGGAGGTTGCTCCAGCTTGTAAGTTGGCTATGTTTCAAACAGTACTTGAGCATTCCAAATCTCACATCCTCGATGTTAGCACCGACCTTTCTTGTGTTTGCACCTCCACTGCATTCCAGGCTGCTGCTGGCGCGTGTCTGCAGGCTAACTGCACTGCTACCGATATCGCTCAGGCACAAGCGCTTCAACAATCTGAGTGTGCATCACGTATGTCATTCTTTCCCAAGTGTGTACCTTGGGCTGATGAGAATAGTTTCGGGTGGCTCTTCGAACACGACCACGAGCGGGACTGCAACTACGGTCCCGACAACGACCTCGAGCGGGACCTCGAGCGGGACAAAGACCCCCACATCTCCCGTCTCCACTACTTCGTCTGCCAAAACTTCAGCAGCAACCTCGTCTAGTGCTGCCACAGGTTATGCACTTACTCTCAACAGTGCATTTGGTGGGCTCGTTGCCCTTGCTGGCACCCTTATTGGAGCCGCGCTCGTCGTGTGATCCAGTCAGATGGTCAAATAGAATATCCATATTCACATCGTAACCGCGGGGTAAAACCACTTTGATATCTTCTGCTATTTTATTAGTTGTTACATACTTTGCTTGGATGTTCCAGAATCTTGAGCTCGTCGTTAGACGTCAACCAGGACTACAATGTTGGATTACTACACACATACCCATTGTTTGGCATTACTCTTCCCTTCAGGGCTCGAGGTAACCAGGCGCCATTCAGATACATTCATCGTAATTGGTTTTTCACCCCTTGGTAGCGTCATCACTTCGAGTATTCGGTAAATAACGTGGGTTTATGAGCAGGGCAACGCCGGCAAAATGGTAAGTAGTGCTCACAGAAGCCACGGCTTTAAAGAGTCCAAGTTCCACTTGTGCATTGCGCAGCATCACCTTTTACACCCCAAATGCCGATCGCCTTGCGGTTTAGGCCATACAGTGCTTCGTTGTTGTAGATAAATATGGTGCATATGGGGAACGTGGCCGCAGGTCGCAGAGATTGATGGTTCGATTAATTACCCGCTTCATGACAAACCCCAGCTAGTAAAAATTAGCGCCCAAAACTCTTTGTGCTAGACCTCGCTGCTGAGCATGCACCGTTCACTCGTTTTCTTTTCTTTCTGACTTTCGGTTTCTGTGTTGCACAGAATTATACCCTTCCTCAATGTGCGCAAGTCTGTGCGGGGACAGCTGCGACGGCAGCTGGCTGTTATTCGTTGTGAGCGTTTTATGCAATCCGAGCCGATAAATTTGTCTAAAAATTATTACATAGCTCGAATAGCACATGCGTCTGCACCTCCCCGCCCTTTCAAGCGGCCATTCAGTCATGCTTTGATACGAGCTGTAATACGACAAGCCAAGGCACTGCTTGGCTCTATTACAGCAACTTGTGCACTGACAGTGGGTCTTTTGTATGCATTGAGTGAAAAACGTGTCTCATACGTAATTAATGCGCAGGTTCCTCGGCCAGTTCCGGTTCAAGTACATTCTCAGGTATCTAGCGCTTAGCAGTCATGCAGTGATTGCATTTCTTGGTGTTGACCGTCACACGTAGGTCAGTCTGCAACCACGACTGTCAGTGTTGCTACTAGTATTGCACCGGGACCTGTGACCTCGCATACATCAACCGACGGGTCCTCACTGTCATCCGTCGGGTCGACGAGTGTTTCATCTACTACAACCTCTGCGAGCCAAACTCCGACATCAACTTCTGGAGCACTTGCGGCCGAAATAAAGATGCTACACGGCTTCATGGCGGTCATTCTTGGCGGTGTTCTGATTTTGTGATGATCCGGGCTGGCCGATTGCTACAGAACTATATTTGATTGAATTCCGGGTGATAATGATGTGGTGCAGGAGTAGTAGGTATACAGGCATCCTTGCAATTGGAGGCCCCTGGAGACCGTGGCTAGCTTAGCTTTGTTATATATATATCCAAAAGGACCTTGTCGGGTCAAGATCATACCTACTTATCCGTCTTAATAGTAGGACAGATTAATATAGCCTTGTATATCTGTCAGAATATGCCAGAATGTGCCAATGGTAATAAGTGACATATGTAATAAGCGGGTACTGGAAAAGTACTGAACCTGTATACAGAATGAAGAAGAAGTATTATGTTACAGCTCACTTGAATTTTGATGTGGATGTACCAAGGTATTTGCGAGTTTACCAACAACTGACCAAACTTATGATGTCTGTTGGGATCAAAGAAAGGGTGTACATGGCAGGATAGAATTTCAGATGGTCCATAGTATGGAGCTGATCCGGTGAGGGTTGAAATCCCAAAAGTTTCGGTAAATCGTCAGAGAAATGGTGTTTGGTTGTATTTAGTCCATGGTTGTCGGATGCTGGGGGGGCTCTCTTACACCCGCCGATGGGTATGAGTCTGCATTCGAACCAGAACCAGTTTGGCAGATCCGGCTGGCAGAATGGCGGACTTTTACCCCTAAGCGCATGCCAAGGATGAGAATGAGAATTAATTTCCAGAAAATATCTCGCAGGGTCACTGGCCTCCGAGTCCCAATGGCATAGGCGAATTGCAGGTACTGCACATAAGGGAGCAACGAGTGAGTGAGAGAAATTGACGTGAGATGTTGACCGAGTACATATCGATCGACTACTCAACGTCATCCCTGCGCCGGCAGGGTCACGGCAGCTTCAAATGACGAAGCAATGAGTGAGAGATTTACCGGTGATTCGAGCGAACGTTCTGTAGTTACAAAAAGGAGAATTGTTGATGCTTGCAGGCAAGTTATGATCCAATGGTCGTAATCAAATGAGTACGCTCCTGCAAGTTCTGCCGAAAATTCCGCCATCTCATAGCAGTTCGCTAGAATAGTTTAGAGTCTCAGCGAGGCTTTGGAACAATGCTGTATTGTGATGTACCTAGAATAGTTTAGAGTCTAGGTACGAGTCAGTGTAAGTTGTTACTGGACGACATACCTCAGCGAGGCTTTGGAACAACGCTGAGGTGAAAACAAACATAAGGTACGGTATATGTACTGTGTGTTACATAACCTTCAGCAGCCACTGATGAGAGTCGCAATACTGTATAGTACATATACGTATGGTGAAGAAGGTGCCAAGAAGAGAAACGGAGTATATGCGAACAATAGCAATAACAATTCAGCCAAATAGATCAGAATCGTGCCCATAAGTGTATGCAGGATAGAAGAGCTGATCATCGTCCTACATCCTCAGAGATATCATTAGCCTGTTCCGCACGGGTAACACCGCGGGTCGGAAACTCAACACCGTACCCGTACCCGCCAACACCGCACCCACCACGGGTACGGGTACACACCGACCCGTAAGCACCGCGGGTATATGAACAAGAATAGTGATTCAACGACTCGGACAACAAAATAAATATTGCTATTTTTCCTCATCAGCCTCGTCAGCCTCGACTGCACTTCGCTTCCGTTTCTGACTCCTTGCAGAAGCTAAAAGGCCCTCCATCGCCAGAAGATCACATCTGCCCCAGGCTCCAAGGCAGAGAAAGGCGCAAATTGTTGATGGTGCGAGTCGGTTGCGAGTAAAGTGAAGGAGCTGCCGAGCCTGTGAGAAGACACGTTCAACTGCGGTTGATGTCGCTGAGCAAGATAATAAGTGCTGATTAGTTGAAAGAAGATTCAAGGGTGGCATACCTGGGACAGAGAGATAGTCTAGGGCCATCCGATGTAGTGTCGGATAAGTACGGCAGTTGTCTTGCCACCATGCAAGTGGGTCCTTCGTCTTCACAGTTGGTAATCGAAGGAACTCCTCCAGTTCACTACTAGTAGTGTGAGATATGGAACATGACCTGGTAGACGAGGCATCAGATGCTTTCTTTTGGAGCTTCAACGTGATTTTCGTGGAGAGACGGCGAGTGGACGTAGTACTAGTGACCGTTCTCAAGTTTTTGCCTTGGGCCTATGGCAGTAACCCAAGCTTCTCTGTAGTAAAGTGTCAGCTCGATAAATTGTTCAATAGAACGAATCACAGGGCGCAAAAGCCATGACAGAAATCAGTATAGCATTTAGTTGTGATCCTCAAGCTCTAAGAGAATCAGACAAAGGCGGCACGGAGAATCCTAGCACGGTGTTCGGAGGCTGTCAAAGTTCCTAATTTGGTAGGTCATACCCGTCCAAACACCGTCAACCCGCGTTAAGGTGTGCTTAAGGGTATGAATATCGTACACCGTACCCGTACCCGCCAAACCCGTTAGCATATAACCGCGGTGTTACCCGCACCCGTGCGTTTCCCTAGATATCATTCGACATCCCCCTCAGAATATTGCACATAACCTCGTACAGAAAATGCGTTGCACCCTCCTCGCCGTTGCTGCTGCCTTGACAGTAGCTATGTCTGTCAGTGGATGCGTGGACCTGTATTTGGCTTGCAATGTTGATAGCGATTGTTGCCCTGATAATTATTGTCCCCAAGTGAGTATGAACAGGTCTTATGCAACCAGTATTCAACCACACGACTCACCTCCGCGACTCAGGATACTGAGGGTAAGGGTACGATTTGCACTCCCGTGCTAAGAATTGAGTCGGCAGCCCGAGGGGCACGTCGCGACAGTGAGTCATGTTTCTTCCTTCGCTTTGGTATCATGGTTGATTAATGATGATGCAATACTAGTTCAGAGCCAATCAGTACAATTGTTTTTTGGATATATTTTCATGCTGCTGGAGCAACGCAGCTGTTTGGACTTATCTAAAAATGATCAATGGTACCTAGTAGTCCAATAAGCTCGAGTTTGTGATACTGTCGAAATAAGCGACCATTGGTGTTAATCATCAATATTGGGAGGATGGAACGTACTGCGCAGCTTGAATCTGTTCATCTAACGTTGGCCTCAAAGGCTAGCTCGTGGATCTCTCTCTCTTCTGCGTGTGATGGAGTCACTTCGTTGTCGATCGTGATTCATAACAGACGTGTCATTTTTTGGTACATGACTGAAGCAATGTCATAGTACGGGAGCACGCGTTGTGATGAAAAGGGGACGACGAACAGGATTAATATTGCTGCCTGCGCGGTACTTGGATCAAAGGCCCATAGTGTGGGAGCCCTAGAGTGGTTCTATGCACTAAGTGTTGGATGGGGTAAAGAGGGAGCGCGTCATGCTCGGTCACGATCTGCCAATCTTGAATATAACACATTAATTGAATGAGCTCATCAATGATATTGCAGCTGGTCCAACTATATAGCTTCGCAATGCTCACCATGATTGCCTAGATCAGGGCAGGATCAGGGGTCCGCAGCGGCGGCTTCCTTATTCTTGGCCAGCTTTTGCACTATCGCATTTCGTGAGCTCTGCTACGGCCAAGACCTGTCACTTCATTCTCCAGTCATCTCTCATAATCCTCGATCTTAATATCATCATTGTCTCCATCCTTAACTGTTTGGCCTCCTCTCGTCCTTCCGAGTCCGCGGTGAGGTCGGGAAATCTTCTGAGCATGGTCGATGAGTTTCTATGTTTTCATGACAAGAGAGCCAGCGCTAGTATAAAGCTCACTGGGTTTGTATGCCAGCTAGTATTCCACACTCTATCTTGCAGCTGCTGTTCACTCTGCAGTTTGAATGTATCGGGATGGTTACTTGGTTTTAATAGACATCTCCTCTTGCAATCGGCGCGTCCTCGTGATACAAACAATCTCTTGTATAGTAATACCAGGGACGAATGAGGCCAAACAGCGACGGACTTTTTTTTGGATCGCCCGTTGCCGCAAAGCCCTGTGTTAGACAGTAAGTACACAGGCATAGTAGGCGAGGTGAATATAAGTGCGTTTATGACATGATGGTACTTTAATCCTGGTTCCAGCATGAGAACATCAAGCAGAGTCTTGACGTATTTGAGTTTCTATGTGGATAGTCGAACCTTTCGGCCAAGCTCCTCGGCGCAGTGGGAGTATTGAAATGGGGGGAAATGTGAGAAAGTAGACTGATGTAACGCAGATTCAGACTAGGTCGAGCCGGTGCTAGTCCGACTTGTGATCCACGATGACCACATGATGAATCATTGTGTCTGATTGTCTCCGGTGCACCACGGCCTTAACCATTATAATGAATTACACAATCACAAATTAAAATGCATTCTAGATATCATTCATATTTACGGGTAGCAGCTGCAATGATATCATGCAAAAGTAATGTTGCCAATTTCAATCTTAATGAGAGGGTAGTCAAATAACACTCGTACCACTAGTTGTTGGCCACGGAGGTTACCCTTATAATGCTCTGTCTGACTCTACATTATGACGTGTCATAATTTCACTAATGGTAGGTGTTAGCCCTTATATAAAGGGAATACAAGACTTGATAGCAAAAATTGAATTTCAGTGATGTCGTTGCCAGCCTGGCTTACTAACATACGCCCTCTTGCCAGTGTGCACAACATACAGTTACACACTACCTGAGCAACATTAGTACTCGAGCTCGAATGGCGGTAGGGAAAGATAGACTTGCTTTACATGTGACATATAGGCTGATCGCGGCCCTCTTGAAATATACAGCAACCTCGGCAGCCACACGGCGTGTATGATTCAATTGTCTGTTGAGGTCCGCAGAAAAACGTGTAATCCATCCCGTTGTTAAAGCCTGTGAGGTTCCATGCGCATCCGTATGAATCTGTGGATAACCGTACTATTAAGTACGCAGCCTGCACGTAGTAGGCCGCAAAAGTGCCTACCCTTGCCCACGCAGCTTTGACCTTTGGGTGTTATATCTGAATTAGACGCGATAGCTACGTCAGCCATCGCTGCGGTAGATATGACAATATTGGTGAGTGAAGTGAATTTCATGGTTTATAGTGTTTTCTGGGCTGCGTAGGTTGGCTTTTATACGCGATCAGAGTTAGGTAAAATTGTAACTTCTTTCATGTGCTCGCATGCTGGATCTGGGGAATGAAACATATGCCAGCTCATGCCCTGTTGCATAGTTTCTTCTACTTGTGAAAAGCGCTTGATTCTTTACTCATTCTAAATCAGTTTATCCATCGTTTTCTTTTAGGTTCTTGTGTTATTCAGGATGCGGCACCACGGCGGGCGTACAGACTATGTGCAAAGCTATTAGGTGTTTCTCAGAACTGTCGTTGCTCATCGATTATTCAAATCCAATCATCCTAGTTCCTGCCGGGATTCCGTCGATCTAAGATTTCGATTTCTTTGTTTTTGGTCCCAGTGAACTTTGTCTGACCTGCGTGACTTATGAATAGCTTCTTGCGGTAGGCAAAATAATCCAGATTGCCACATACCAGAGCGCTAAAATAATTATGAAAATCATCATTCAATGAGCCTATACTATCATGATGTAGGATGATCTATGCCAGGGACTGGTACGTAGTCAATCCGGAAGATCCACTACATCTGCCACAATGGATGATTGAACGATTCAATTTCTGGAGAATGAAGCAGGGTTGCTAGAAGACGACGACAAAGCTGTGCTGGCTGCAGCTGTCCTTGTTCGCAATGAGCTAGCTATATTATATCTTTGCCGTCCGCAGATGGGAGCCTTTCGAGTCCATAGAGGGATACCTCGTGGTAGGTCCCATTTTCCAGCCACAACGATGAGTGGATGCTGCATGTTGCGAGGATATATATATTCACATCACCGTCGAGGTCGAACAAGTTGTCACTCACTGATGACCCGTTCTCTGCAAGGTTGAATATCCTTGTTATATCTTGGCAGGCGCTTATCCAAAGTACTATGTGGATCGTCACACCTTTCGGCCAAGCTCCTCGGCGCAGGTAATATGCTTCGCCAGCTCTTCTTGATTGAAATGAGGCTCGGGATAAGCGCCCAAAATAATTTCCGAGAGTTGTTTAATATAATTTGAAATTCCACTGGAAGTACTTTCAAATTTGAGTTTCAAAAGTGTTTACTAATGCGGTGACTTACATGTTTTTGATTTGTCAGCTCGTCGTCGACTTCTCTGAACTCTGAACGTTCCCAATGATTGAATTTGAAACTTGTTCAGTGGAGAAATAAACCGTTCAGTTCTACATTATTATCGTGTTTGACATGAATTCATGGCCGCAGCTTCGTCGTTTTTTTTGCTTTGTCATCGTCCTCGTCATTGCTCTCGCTGGTGGTGTCGGATGAGGAGCTCCCGGTCGTCCGTCGAGTCTTCCTGCGTTTTGCGTAAGTTCTTCGGGTTTCGCATGTCTCTCTAGTTCGACGAGCAGTTTATGATCAATATCCGATTGGGTGTTTATTACCCGTCACTGACTCACTGCTCTATCGCACGCGCACATTCTATTAGCGTTCAGATGATTGGTGGAGAAGACTACTTAAGTGACATGCTACGAGTGCATGCAGGCAACGGCAAGTGTGTCAATAATCTCATTGTCATACTGTCTTTAAAGAGGCCCTAGAAACATTTCGCGCATCAAATTATGCCTGATCCTTTTTTAATCCTTCGGAGCATTTGAGCCGTGATGGAGCCATTGCGGCGAGTGACAACGACGCGAACTAAGCCAAGCAGCGTCGTGATATTGTGAAGGTAATGTTGGTCGCAACGACCAGGATGGTCCTTTTCTGGTCTTGCTATCATTCGCTGATAAAAAGATCATTATATCCGAATGGCAACAGCAGATGAGTCTGAAGTCGTTGAAACGTGTGCAAGCTGTGCTCAGAACGTTCCAGTTGGTGAATTGGTGCTCGTTGACGTCCAAAAGGTACCGTTGCATTTACTTCGCAATGCTGCTTGCCCGAGCACACTGTCATGTACTTAATCTTTTGATTTGTATGACCGACTCATACTGTCTCCCAAGGGTTTACAAGATCCATGGCGTAAAACGGATCTATATATGGTATAATATATGTATTCAAACCGATTGAGGGAAGTCGACGTCAAGCCCCATTGTCGTAATTCATGCTCGATCGTTGTGGCTGGAAAATGGGACCTACCACGAGGTATCCCTCTATGGACTCGAAAGGCTCCCATCTGCAAACGGCAAAGATATAATATAGCTAGCTCATTGCGAACAAGGACAGCTGCAGCCAGCGCAGCTTTGCTGTCGTCTTCTAGCAACCCTGCTTCATTCTCCAGAAATTGAATCGTTCAATCATCCATTGTGGCAGATGGATGTAGTGGATCTTCCGGATTGACTACGTACCAGTCCGCAGCACAGATCATCCTACATCATGATAGTATAGGCTCATTGAATGATGATTTTCATAAATATTTTATCGCTCTGGTGTGTGGCAATCTGGATTATTTAGCCTACCGCAAGAAGCTATCCATAAGTCACACAGGTCAGACAAAGTTCACTGGGACCAAAAACAAAGAAATCGAAATCTTAGATCGACGGAATCCCGGCAGGAACTAGGATGATTGGATTTGAATGATCGATGTCGATGAGCAATGAAAGTTCTGAGAAACACCTTAGCAATAGCTTTGCACACATAATCTGTATACCCGCCATGGTGCCGCATCCTGAATAACACAAGAACCTAAAAGAAAACGATGGATAAACTTGAGTAAAGAACCAAGCACTTTTCACAAGTAGAAGAAAACTATGCAACAGCTGGGCATGAGGTGGCATATCGTTCCCGAGATCCAGCGATGCGAGCGCATGAAAGAATTTACAATTTTACCTGACTCTGATTGCATATAAAAGCCAACCTTTGTATCGTCGCTCAACATCGGGAAAACCCTCCCCAGACAAATTTACTTAAAGATGTAACATTAGAACTAATCCTGCGTTATTATATCTAAATTTTACAAATTCAAGTTTTAGCTAGCTTAGGTCGGTTTTTTTACCCCCTAATAAAAACACAAGAATTAGCAACTATTTTCACTAATTCAAACACATTAGCATGACTTTTAGAATTGATTTTTTGATCTTAGACGAGGGTTCCAACCGAATCAGACAGAATAAGATACAAGAACAAAATTAAATTTGATTAAAAATGGGTATATGGGCAGTAGGTTAATTTAAATAACAGTGCACGCTATGACCAACTGGGAGACTATGTATCAGCTTCACGATTCCGTATTGTACACTATGAAAACGAGCGGGGGATGATTCAGTCTTCTTCCATATTGTCGAGGTCAAGTAAGTCGAATGCTTCGAGCTCAGCAGCATGGCCACCGGCAGTGGCGCCGCTGTATCGCAACTTCCTGCAAGCAAAGTGAGCATCGAGGCAATACTACCTAAGTGGAACTCACTGTGCAGCCTCATAGATGTCGGCCATCATACAGTGGAATTTTGCAGGTGCGTCCTTCTTCAGTTTTTCCAGGAACCTGACATGGTAGTTGTATGTCTCGCTGAATAAATTTCCTGTAAAGTTGAATTTCGATGATGAACCTTGCGACTTCCACAGAAGGGCTGCATACACCTTTGCAACAAGTTAAACAGCACATCCGTACAATGACGACAAGCACATTACCGCAGTTGCAACCAATGCCAGCAAAGGGATAGGGACTTCGGGGCGCTGGCCTTTGTTGTTGGCAATTTCGACGAAGCGTTCCACAAATTTGATGGCAATGGATTTCGAGCTATGAAAGAGCTGCCAATATATTAGGAAAATTAAGAGTTCACCCTGGTAGGGCTTCTTTCCAATGGGTGAAGCCTCGTTATTGATCTGTATAATTTCAACAATGTCAGTAGTACAGGCAAGGGGAGAGATCTCACATCAAACTTCAAGGCATATATATATGCAAACTTATCCAATAGCCTTCTCGCTGCAGCTTTCCCAGTATCGGTGTGTCCAAGGTGAAAGTAACCATTGGCATGTGCACATGCGTCTTCCTTCAGCTCATGGCGCAATATTGGAACACGAGCATCCACCTCGCAGATGGTTAGAGACTGATATGAAAAGGTGCGAGTTGAACTCACCAAGCTACCGAGTTGTGACACATACCGTTCGTCCGATTGAAGACATTCTTTGATTGAATGCGCACCACGTTTTTTGGCAACTACTATCAATGCTTGCAGTGTGACTTGGTTCTTGTCGACCAGTTCAGGATAGCTGTTGGCGAAATAAAGGTGGCACTTGACTTCCACGATTGCGGACTGAAGAACTCTACGAGTCTCTAAGTTCTGATCAAGTAATTTCACCTTTCCGCTTTCTGTTTTAATGAGCGAGGCGATACTCCGAGTCTTCGCGTCAGAAGTAAGTTTCCGAGTCGGTGCAGTGCCTTCGTTGTCAGAAAGTTGAAATTCTGATGAGTCACCACCAGTCAAGTGATCTTCAATGGACTCCAAAACTGCACATTCGACATCCATATTGGCCCAGGTAGGAGTCTCTACTGCTTGTTTGTGATGATCTCAGGCCAACTTGGCTTTTGAAGTGCCACATGATTTTGATGCTACCTGCTGCTTGTTGGTGACGACCAACACGACCTTCAAAGTTTCAAACGTGAGTTCACAAGCATATGATATAGCAAAGCTGACCTCATCTGAAAGCCTCATCGCAGCCAAATCTTCATCCTCACCGTCAGTGGCACTGCTCTCATTACTGTCTGAATCAGTTAGTAAGCTATCCCGACTCGGTTTGTCCCTGGACTGACTTGCATCAGAGTCAGCACTCTGCTCATCTTCATCTTTAGGCAATGCCACATCTTGCATAGCATAAGTTCGGCAGAGTTTTGCTGGTCATCGATACTGCGCTGCACACGATGATTATGTGAGACTCGAACTTCCTTATTTGTCACGGCGACCTAGGCTGACCTTCAACCATCAGTGGAGCTTCCAGCAAGTCATCATCTGAGTCGCTATCCACCATGTCGTGATGACATTCTGCCAGTGCCCAATGTAAGTACCATAACTGAGTTTTAAGTGTATCAATGGACTCAGTGTTGACGGCTTTCTTGATGCCACAGTCCTGTTTGACTTGCCAGTGGAGCTGGAGTTCCGACTTGGAGTAGGCGCCGGTGACGCGCCAGTTCTCTTTTTGGGGGCAGGACGGTCTTGGCCTGATGTCACTGTTGCATTCTTGCATCTTGGTTTGTCTTGCTTCCAAACTGAATCTCAGGTCAGTTTGATTTATTGATGGTGTTTTTGGTCACTCACCTGCGTTTTCAATAGCTTTTTTCTTGGCACCACATGCTTCTGTCAAGCCTCACAGTCAGTCACTTGCTGAGTTGCTTATACTCACTTACCTTGATCCTGCTGAGGTAAAGTCATTTATTATTATTTCTTTGTTTTTGAGACTCAAAAGAATAAAGGAGTGTCGAGGGACCTGTGCAGATTTTTTTTTTAAACGAGTGTGAGTGACGGTCAAACAGAAGGGAATGGGACTGAAAATTTTACTAATGCAATGTAACAGGGCAATTATGTAGCAGCAGTGAAGGGTGCTAAACTGACTTAGTATGTTTTCCCTCACTTTGCTGGCTGCAGTGCTAATATTTGCTAGGTTGATCGGGCACTGACTACCCTGAAAATGACGGCAAATTGGACCATCTCTTCACGACACCATCATACAGCCCGTTCTGCTCGCTATGGCTGCTGTACATGGTCCCCGGGCCATAATACCTACCCACCCTTCCCCATTTCAGAATACCCAGAGTGTTCCTCATTCACGAATGGGCTATCATCCTGCACTGTCGGTCAGTTTTTAGTAGCTGCTCGTCATATTCATATGGTTGATCGGGCACTGACTACCAGGCAGTGCTAATATCTGCTAGGTTGATCCGGCCACCAATGACGGCAAATTGGACCATCTCTTCACGACACCATCATCCAGCCCATTCTGCTCGCTATGGCTGCTGTACATGGTCCCATAATACCTACCCACCCTTCCCCATTTCGGAATACCCAGAGTAGAGTGTTCCTCATTCGCGAATGGGCTATCATCCTGCACCATTGGTCAGTTTTTAGTAGCCACTCGTCATATTCATATTCGCATATACCGTAACTTTACTAAGGTGGGTTAGTCCTTGAACTTAGTATTTGTTTGGGCCTTTACTTACCACACCCTTGTTTCAGCTTCGTCATCCCTCCTGGCCAAATCCCCCACTTGTATTGGTATCCTTGGTCAGTCTTTAGTAGCTGCTCGTCATATTCATATTCATCCCCCACTCGTATCACTTCAACTTCATAAGTATGAATGATCCAGGTTACTGCACGTGTTCAGCTTGTGGCCGTGATAATCTCACTGTGACTGGTCTCAGCCAGCATATCGCAAAGAGTCATGACCCACGTTGTCACACACTCTACAGCCAGTCGCGATCAAGAACAAACAACGAAGCCGAGCTTGCCATGGATGAGGGAGACTACACCGGAATTGGCAATGAGGACGAGTTAGAGAGGCCTGCCAGTGCTGCAAGTGAGCACGCAGGTGATAGTGATTTCGATGAGGATGATCTTGATGACCATCTACTCTTCGAACCTGAATGGGAGGCTGCACCATTGCAACCTCAGGCTGATGAAGACTACGACCCGGAGGATGATGTGTTTGCCTTCGCAGGTGACAAGTTGGAGGATATTCATCAGGATGCTCGTCAAGACGTTGAGGCTCGTGTACAAGGCTGGTCTGGTTTTGTTAGGGTGCCTTATCCTGATCCACATGCTGGCCGAAGTATGTTGCATGGTTCCGTTGACCATGGCGCCAACATGGCATATGGGGCACATCTTGCCAATGATGATAATCCATACCATCCTTTCAATTCCCAAATTGAATGGGAGGTTGCGAGATGGGCGAAAGTTTGCAGAGCAACGTCTACAGCATTTACGGACCTGCTCCATTGATGGAGTAAGTTTCTTTTGCTTCATGAGTACTACTCATTAATAGCTAATATTACTAGGTTAGTGAACGTTTAGGGTTGTCATTCAAGAACACCAATGAACTGAATAAGACTATCGACCACAAACTTCCAACTGGATGCCCCAAGTTCCAATGGGAGCAGGTCGTTGTTGCAGGAGAATCATTTGATGTGTATTACCGCGACATCATTGAATGCATCAAGTCACTGTATGGCGATCCCAACTTCGCAAGATACCTTACGTTCGCACCAGAGCGCCATTACACTGATGAAGATCAGACTGTTTGTCTGTTTCATGACATGCATACCGGAAAGTGGTGGTGGAACACTGCAGGTAAGAACTCTTAATGTGACATCAATTGGACTTCGTAACTTACAATGCCTCAGAAAAAACTTGATCAGCATTGTCCGGGTGGGACCATCATTCCGATTATCATCTCGACGGACAAAACACAAGTCACTATGTTTCACAACAAGTCCACATACCCAGTGTATCTCACCATTGGTAATATCCCGAAGGAAATTTGTTGCAAACCTTCGCGTGGTGCTCACATTCTTCTGGCCTATCTACCAACTACTCGTCTCGAACACATTACCAACAAGGCTTCACGCCGTCGGTCTATCGCCAACCTATATCACGCTTGCCTGAGTCGTGTGCTTGCTCTTTTGCAACATGCTGGATTAGAGGGCATCAATATGCGCACTGGAGATGGTGCTCTTTGCCACTGCCACCCTTTATTTGCGAGTTTTGTCGGTGATTATCCAGAGCAACTTCTCGCAACAGGAATCAAGTTTGGCGACTGCCCGAAATGTGATGTTGAGAAGGACGACACGGAAAGCAATACAGTACAACTTCACCTACGGAAAATAGGTGAGGTGTTGGATGCACTCGCGGCACTTGATCAAGGAAATCTTGCCTTTGTTCGCACATGTGCCGCAGTAGGAATCAAACCTGTGATACATCCTTTCTGGGAGAAACTCCCGTTCGCGAACATCTTTCAGAGTGTCACACCTGATGTGTTGCATCAGCTATATCAGGGCTTGGTGAAACACATTTTGGCATGGTTAGAGGCCGCTTGTGGAGCCACGGAAATTGATGCTCGTTGTCGACGGCTTCCTCCCAACCATCACATTCAATTATTCACCAAAGGTATCACCACCTTATCACGTGTAAGCGGCACCGAACATGCGCAGATATGCCACTTCCTCCTCGGCATCATAATTGACATTTGTCTGCCCAACAATCTCAATGCAGGTCGCCTTCTACGAGCTGTATGGGGCTACTCGACTTCGTGTACCTCGCACAATACCCTTGCCATAGTACCGAGACCCTTCAGTTACTGGACGAGGCGCTAGACCTTTTTTATGAGAACAAGCTCATTTTCATCGATCTTGGGATTCGAATCAATTTTAACCTACCAAAGTTGCATGCTGTTCGTCACTATCCTTGGATGATCATGCAGTTTGGCTCAACTGACAATTATAACACAGAGTACACAGAACGGCTCCATATTGACTTGGCGAAAGATGCCTACTGCGCTATGAATCACAAGGACGAGTTTGCCCAAATGACCCACTGGCTTGAACGAAAGGAGAAAGTATTAAGACATCAAAAATATGTTAGTTGGCGACTCGCTGGTAGCCACGAGTTGGATCCTTACCATTCACACCCACCAGATATGACATTCAGTCGTAAACAAGTCATGGTGAAACACCCCAGCGCAAAGTCCGTCAGCCTCGAAACACTGGCTACAGATTATGGTGCTACTCATTTTCGAGATGCCCTTGCATGCTATATTGCTCAGCAGAGTTGAGGAAATGATCCCACACCACTTCACGGTCATGCAGTTGATGTACTGGCACATGACATCCATTTTCCATTCCATCGACTGCCTGTCTTTCATAAGGTCAAGTGGTGCTCGGTTGATGCCCGTGGCCATGGCAATGCACACGTTACTTTGGACAGTGTCCATGCAAAACCACAACGCAAGTTTGGCTCTCGTGTCATTGCTCACCGATCCGATACAGCTCTAGTGAGGCTGGGTGCGAATTCAAAGGATCTTCGAGGTGTGTAAACTGTCAGTCAGTGTTACTATGTAATACTTACTTTGTACTGATCATAGAATTCCGTGTCGGTCAAGTTCAAGTCATTTTCACCTTACCACCAAAGTCCATCCCACTGCTCTTCCCACCAACAATCCATCTTCCTACTCACTTTGCATATGTCGAGTGGTTCACACCATTTTCGCCAGCTCCAGACTGCAATAGCGGACTATATAAAGTCTCATGTTCACTGCGTGATGGTGACACCATGGCTAGTATTGTGTCGATTGCTGACATTGAGTGCAGTGTTCATCTTATACCGAGGTTCGGTGTTATGGCCCAACGAGAGTGGATGAGTGATACAGTACTCGAGGACTGTGACACCTTCTGGTTGAACTTGTACATAGATAGATATACTTTTTCAATGTTCAGATAATGCTCAATAACTCTTACTATGTTAGAGAAAAACTTGTCTAACATTATCATCTTTAGCTACTTTCTTCATAAACAGCTGTGATTGTGCTAATGTTACGAATTTTTGTGAATTCTCCCTAATTTGCCTTGGGAGGGTTTTCCTGATGAATTGGTGAAGATAGTTCAATATTAGAAGGACTAATATTGAATTGAGAAAAGAAAGTACGGAGTGGAGAGACTGATGTGGAGACTGGTAGCGTAGCTACTGTGAGAGAAGGTGAGATGTTGAGAAATGAATCAGACGAGACCTTGTCAATGTTAGATTCAGTTTGTGTGTGGGAAGGTCTGGTTCTGTGGAGTCGGCACAGGCAAAGCGGGTCTAGACCAAACATGTGATCCAAAAATTGCCGCAAATGTGAATGACTGGAGGATTGAGGATCAGAGAAAAGAAACAGACCTTCAGAGTGTGATCAATCTGAATAATGCGCCTATCACCAGAAGGCAAAGAGATGCTGGCTAAGATGAAAGTTAAGGCAGACGCACTTGCCAAAAAGGTATCAGAACCGCCCAAATGGTTTAAGGAATGGGAAGCCTCTAGAAAGAATAGAATCTTGGAGGAACAAGAGACAGATAAATCGGGCAGTAGATACTCAATCCTTGCGAACTTTGCGGATGTAGAAGAAGTAAATCTAAAGATGAAATCAGAACACTTCTATCTTCCCATTACGCTAAAAGGAAAGAACAGATCTGCAGATTTGAAAGCTCTTGTAGATTGTGGAGCATCCACGCTCTTTATTAACGAACATTTTGTCAAGGAGAACAGAATTCGTTGCAGAAAATTACTGCGTCCGATCCAGGTTAAAAACATTGATGGATCTCTTAATGCCTCGGGATCGATGACTCACTTCGCCGAACTAGGTCTTAAGGTCGGTAATCATGAAGAAGAAAAAGTAGCATTTATGGTTACAGATCTAGGGAGCGATGATGTGATCATTGGTATTGACTGGTTGAGATACCACAACCCTGAGATTGATTGGAACGCAGGGAAGTTTTTGCTTTCACGATACCCGGTGAAATGTGAAACTAAGAAGGAGAAAAGACTCCGAAACAGGGCTGAGAAGAAGAGAAAGTCGGAAGAAGTCAAAGACGTACCCGGCTTGTTGCCTGTGATGGCGGATCAAGATGATGATGAAGACGTGGCAGTTAAGAGAATGACCATGGAGGAAATAAAAGACGAGGAGAGTCCTGAAAGATTATGGATTCGATACAAAGCCTCGGTTGCCACAGAGCAGAAGGTAGCAGAAGAAGCTACTAAGAAGAAGCAGTCGGTAGAAGAAATGGTACCTGACTGGCTTCATGATTTCCTGGGAGTTTTCTCAGAAGAAGAATCTAAGCGCTTCCCTGAAAGAAAGAAGTGGGATCATGCGATAGATCTTAAGGATGAGGGCAATCTTCCGCCGAATGCGAAACCATACCCATTGTCACCCAAAGAGATGGATACATTGAAAGAATGGTTGAAAACTGAGACTGCACTGGGACGTATTAGAGATTCACAATCTCCAGTGGCAGCACCTTTCTTCTTTGTGGCCAAGAAAGATGGCAAGTTAAGACCGGTGATGGACTATAGAAAGCTCAATGAGAAGACGGTTAAAAATGCATACCCACTACCGAGATCTCAAGATTTGATTGATGCTTTAACTGGTGCCACGATGTACTCTAAGATGGATGTATGATGGGGGTACAATAATATTCACATGAAAGAAGGAGATGAGTGGAAGGTGGCCTTCAAAACGCTGTTTGGTCACCACAAACCGACCATGATGTATTTTGGACTCACAAACTTGCCTGCAACCTTCCAAACTATGATAAATGAAATTCTAAGAGACCTGATAGATGGCAAAACAGTAGTCGTCTATATTGATGATATTATGGTCTTCATGAATGGAAATAGGGAGCAGCACCGAAAGGTGGTATGAGAAGTCCTAAAATGGTTAAAGGAGAATGACCTGTTCTTGAAGCCTGAGAAATGTAGCTTCGAGCAGTCTAAAGTCGAGTTCCTTGGGTTGATTGTGGAAGAAGGCAACATGTCAATGGACCCTGTGAAAGTAGAAGGAGTATTGAAATGGCCTGTTCCCAAATGCGTAAAAGATATACAAGCATTCATGGGCTTTGCCAACTTTTATCGAAGATTCATACTTGGGTTCTCGGATATAGCCAGACCAATGAATGATCTGCTAAGAAAAGATGTCAAATGAGATTGGATGGAGAAACAACAGAAGGCTTTTGATGAATTAAAGAAACATTTCACAGAAGCTCCCGTCTTAGTCATGCCAGATGTTGAGAAGAAAAAGAAAATAGAGACTGATGCTTCCGATTACGCAACAGGAGCAGTTCTCTCTCAACTGATGGAAGATGGATTATGGCATCCAATAGCATATTACTCTAAGTCAATGAATGATGCGGAAAGAAATTACGACATTCACGATAAGGAGTTATTAGCGATCATTAGGGTGTTAGAAGAGTGGAGGCACTACGTGCAGGGAGCACCTCACCCGGTTGAGATATGGACGGATCATAAGAACCTAGAATATTTCATGACCAGTCAGAAGTTGACCAGAAGGCAAGCTAGATGGAGTCTTTTCCTAGCAGAGTATGAATTTACACTCCAACATAAGCCTGGCGTGGTTAATGACAAAGCAGACCATCTTTCTCGGAGATCAGACCATAGAGGGGGGGGTAGAAAATGATAACTCAGATTGCATACTTTTGAAACCGAAATTCTTTACCATAAAAGCTGCTAAAAGAGGTCAAGTTTTGGTGCATGGAGAGGAAAAATTAATCCAAAAGATACGAAAATGCACAGAACAAGAGCCTGAAGTCGCTAAAGCATTAGAAATGCTAAAAGCAGCACTGGTTCAGTTGCGTAAAGGAGTCAAAGAGTGGAATATGGAGGATGGATTGGTGTTATTCCGAGGATTAGTCTACGTTCCAAATGATAAAGAGATCCACCAAGAGATACTAGAGTTGTTTCATGACTCTCCACCAGCTGGACATCCTGGATGAGCTAAAACCTTGGAGTTGATTTCCAGAAATTATTGGCGGCCTTCGATGATGAAGTATGTCTATGATTACATAGACGGTTGCGATAGGTGCAGACAAACGAAAGTGCTTCTGAGTAAACCAATGGGGCCTTTACAGCCAAATGAAGTTCCAGAAGGACCTTGGCAAACAATCACCTGTGACCTGATAGTGGATCTGCCGAAGAGTGAAGGGTGTGATAGCATTTTTGTAGTCGTTGATTGATTCTCGAAACAAGCACACTTCATTCCCACCACGAAAGATGTAGACTCGAAGGGTATTTCCAAGCTATTTCTGAAGAATGTATGGAAACATCACGGAACACCAAAGAAAGTGATTTCAGATAGAGGAACTCAGTTCATATCGAAGTTCATGGGACAAATGTCAAAAAGATTAGGAACGAAATGGTCTGCGTCGACCTCCTATCATCCCAGAACCAATGGACAGACTGAACGTGTAAACCAAGAAGTAGAACAATATTTGTGCATGTTCACGTCATATAGACAGAATGATTGGGTATCTTGGCTGCCGATAGCAGAGTTTTCACATAACAATGCAGTCACAGTAACTGGTCACAGTCCGTTTAAAGTTCTCTACAGGTATAACCCAGATTTCACAATCCACCCAAACTCCATGTCCGTAATCCCCGCCGCCGATGAGAGAGTTGATCAAATGAAAGAAGCAAGAGATGATGCGGAGAATACTCTAAAGATGGTCAATGAGCACATGATGCAATTCTATGACAAAGGAGTAAAGGAAGCACCTCAGTATAAGATAGGAGACAAGGTCTGGCTTGATGCAAAGAATCTTAAACAACGTCGCCCAAGTCAAAAACTGTCAGATCGATGTCTAGGTCCCTTTGAAATACTAGAGAAGATTGGTGAAGTGAACTACAAGTTGAAATTACCGGAAAAATATCAGATTCACCCAGTTTTCCACATAGAACTACTTACTCCATATCATGCATCTTGATTGATTCCTCATCCTCCTCCAAACCGACCACCTCCAGAATTGATTGACAATCGGGAAGAATTTGCTGTAGAAGAAGTGCTAGATAGCTGATTGTTCCGAGGAAAGCTGCAATACTTAGTGAAATGGGAAGGATACCCGAAGGAAGAGTCATCTTGGGAGCCAGAAGAGAATTTGAAGAATGCCCCAATTCCTTTAGCGGAGTTTCATAAAAAGAATCCGACGGCTGCAGCCGGAAAATACCGAAGAATCAAGGGCTCAGTACTGTTTATGGAAGACTTCAAACGATGGAGAGAAAAGAATATCCGACCTTCATTCGTTCATGATGACACTCACCTTAGAGAGGGGGTAATGTCACGAGTACCTTTAACAAACCATTATTCTTTCTTGAATCTTCCTAAGCGCCAATACACAGTGCCTAAGTCAAACCCTAACCCTACCCCGAAAGCATCTACCAGTTCAGAGATTCCTTTAGCGCCCACGACACGTGTCTTCAATGTGACTAATGAAGAAGATGAGTTCTTTGACTGTGAATAGATTAGATTAGATATGATAAGATAAGATATGGTCACGTGATGCTTCTTTAATATTCTACGATGTTCTATGGTACGATTCTCTTTTCCTTTTTATGATTGGCTAGTAGTTGTATCTCAGTTTCAATCTCTGTTTTAATAGTTGTATATAGGTAGCATGTCTTGGTTGATAGTTCCTTAGTTCAAACCTCTTGTATCTACACTGTAGCAATCCAAGACGTACCTGCTCATCATTCCTTTTGTTGTGATAACCTTAGTCGAGTCCTAGTCTCTGCCCAGCATTAATTTGTTATTGGGTTGTGACACTAGGTGTGCACTTAGTCTTATCTTCATTGCTAACAGTGTAGACAGTGTTATTACATGTTTTCCCATAGTCCGCAGACTTATCCATCTACCTGTAGCTGGGTCACTTTCAGAATATTTTCGTAGTTATTAGTTGCATTGCGAAATATTACTGTTCATTCACCATCACACTCTGTCACTCGTTATACTCATGCACACCGCTCGCAATCCGACACTCCGTGTTTCAGCAGATAAAAGAGATTAAGGCTGGGAATGACGAGTTCACCCAAGCAGCAGCAACATCAGAAAGCCATGAGCACAACAGTGCAAACTGCCATGTCAAAGGGCAAATTGAGGTCAAGATGATCAAAAAGGATGCATAAAGCATCTATGGTGATGGGTGGACATTTGGCTCTGCGAGCTGAGGGAGGGATCATCTTGGCGAAGCCTCATCAAGTATGGTGCAAGAGATGGGAGGCGTGCCAAGTGGCACCATTGATGATATGCCAAAACTGGAGACCTGCTAGCCAGTTATTTAGAGTCTTGTCTGAGAATGTGCCAGTGTAGGCTGCTGTGAATTGAGAGATGAGAGCTTCAGATGCTGGCATGTGCTTGGCTTCTGAGATGTCAATGGAGTCACAGAATTGGGTGAAGCATAATAAGCCTGCCCCATAGTTGCTATGCATGTCTGCATCAAGAGAACAAATCATGACCTGTGATCTGTGAGTTGAGAAGATGAGAGTGAGAGTGATTCGTGATGAGATGGAGCATACCTGAAAAAGATGAAAGAGAGATGAGTTTGGAGATTGTTGTTTGAGTGCAGCTTGCCAATCTGCGCCTGCTGGAGTGGACCATAAGAGAAGTTAGTCGCTAGCAAGAATGTGAGGTCTGTGTTGTGAGGGAGTGATAATGGAACTAGCACGAGGAGGATGTGGAGCATGTGAGCAAGATTGCTGCAGAGATAGTGAGACGGATTGACGTATGGTAGAGGGATGAGATGCCCAGAAAGAGGCCACAGCTGCTTCAACATAAATGCCTTGCATGACCCAATGGCATAGATCATTTTTGTTCATGGGAGGAAGAAGGAGAATATTTCTGAGGGTAAGGATGGTGGGTGAGAGAGACGCAGTGCATCTGAGGGTAATATACCCTGTGAGATTGGATCCGCCAGGTTCAATGGCGTGTGTTCATACACAAGGGAGATGGATAAGCAAGATTCATGCATGAAAGCTTTGGAGTGGCGGATTGCCAAGTTGATCATGTAATTGGAACACCTTCCTTTCCGAAAAGCAGCGATGACACCCTGTAAAGGCTAGAGCAAGTCAGACTCAGCAAGAGCAGAACAAACACTATATTGAATACCTAGAGCAAGTCAAACTAGAGGCTCTAGTAAGTACAAGTGTAAATGAGCTACAAGACAAACATACCTCAGCGAGAGCAGAACAAACACTGAGGATAAACAAACACAAGAAGGCTGCTACTAATACCATACGGAGTTGTTAGTTAAGCATGGCTGAGTGTTTGAAGGTGAATCACTATACAGTATCAGGAAGCAGGAAATAACAAGATAGGTAATGTTCATGCCAATACACCCCCTCACCGAGACACCAGACACAACCCAATGAGATGCTTCAAGAAGAGCGGGCGAGCGAGAGCTTTTGTAAAGATATCGGCAATGTTGGAGTGAGACGGTAACCACATGGGGACGAAGGTGCCCTGAGAGACATGACTGTGAATGAAATGGTAGCATACATCGATGTGCTTTGAGCGAATGTGGTTGCATGCCTCTTTGGACAGTGCAATGGTGCCTGTATTATCCATGTGGATGACGAGGGGTAAGGTGAGTGGGAGATGAAGTGCAATGAAGAGAGACTTCAACCATAAACCCTCCTGAATGACGTGTGTGATAGCCATATACTCAGCTTCAGTTGAGGATAAGGCAATGGTGGCTTGTTTCTTGGAAACGTGAGCTATAATTCCCCCTGCAAAGAACCAAGTGTAACCAGAGATGGACTTGCGATCCTCTGGCAAGCTGGCCCAATCAGTGTCACAATAACCATACAAAGGCTCATCGGCATGCTCTCCTCCGTAGTGTAGGCGTAAGTTAACAGTGCCGGCTAGGTAGCATAGTAAACACTTTGCGGCCACATAATGAGAAGCTGACGGATTCGCACTGAATTGCGTGAGGGTGTTAACAGAGTAGGAAATGTCAGGCCTCATGCAGACTGCAAGGTAGAGGAGTTCACCGATGAGTTTGCAAAAGGCACTGGGAAGGTTAGGAATTACTGGATGAGTGTCCAAAGGATGTCCAAAAGGAAAGTTAGCGTCGAGGGGAAGAAGGATGGGGTTGCACTCAAGCATGCCATATTCCTCGAGAAGATATGTGATGTACTCAGACTGATGCATCCAGAGATGACGAGATGAGCGATCACATTCGAATTGAATGCCAAGGAAACGGTCAACAGGACCAAGGTCTTCAATGCCGAATCGAGCATTGATCTTTCCCTTGATGTAGGCCAGGAAGTGGGGAGAGTTAGAGGTCCCTAGACTATCATCAACGTGCCAACCAATGATGCAAAATGTATGAGTTCCTGCAGCATCAATACAGTCGAATATGAACACAGCATAGTCCACACTGCAACACATGAAACCCAATTCCTCCATGATGGCCTATACTTCCTCATACCATTCCATAGCGGACTGTTTAAGTCCATAAATTGTCCACAACATCTTCCAAACCATGACGCGCCAGTCTCCCTGCTCAAAGCCCTTGGGCTGACACATGTATATGTCCTCTTTCAATACTCCCCACAGAAACGCATGAGTGGCATTGAAGGTGTCGAGATCCCAACCATTTTTACAGGCAAGGGCTGCAATGATGCAAAGAGAAGCGGTCTTCAGAACAGGAGTGAAGGTAGCACCAAAGTCGACGCCAGGAATTTGGGAGAATCCCTGGGCGACTAAACAGGCCTCGTATACTGGACCTCCCTTGTTGTCCTCTTTGAATTTGAGTACCAATCGATTGCCGAATGGCACATCGTCCTGGTGGGAGTGTGGTGAGTCTGTAAATGCTCATTTCATCCATAATACCCAATTCTTTCTGCATAGCCTCCAACCAGTCATCACGGTCTGAATGTAGGACAGCTTCCTCATAGAACACAGGTGGGATCTTCATGTTGTAGTTTGCACTGAACGGGTCATGTTTGCAGTCGCTTCTGATGGCGAGATGTGCGTGTTCTTCTATCATGAGGTTGGCAAATACCTCTGGAACATCTATGTTTGGCTCAATGTCCTCTAAGTTCTCCTCAGTATCCTCCACAAGCGTCTCCTCCTCCTCCTCCTCCTCCTCCTCCTCCTCCTCCTCCTCCTCCTCCTCAGGCACCCCCTCAGTGAGTGCAGGCTGAAGAAGACACATTGTACATGCCTCACAAAGTTTGGCAAGGCACGCTTTGGTGGCGGCCATAGCATCGGCATATGCCTTACCACCTGTCGTCTGACCACATGTGTGAACTGACCTACAAGGTGCTGGTGGTGGAGTAACTGGTGCAGGAGGAACAGATGAGTGAGGGGCAATGGAGGGCTGGGGTGCAATAGATGAAGGGAGAGGTGGAGAAACTGCGTCATCATTGTCAGAACCATCAGAGTCGGAGAAGTGCATCATGGATGGAAGGTTTTCATCAAAAATAACATCCTGGGCCACAAAGAATGCCCCAGAAACCTTGTCATGTAGTTGATAGCCTTTAGTGCCATCTGGGTAACCCATGAGAATAGCCTCACGAGAATGAGGACCCAACTTTGACTGAACCTCTGTGGGAATACGAACAAAGCAGCGGGAGCCGAATACACGAAGGTGTGACAGGTCAGGCTGTTTGCCATTGATGATTTCATAAGGTGTGGTTCCTGTTACAAGAACATCTAGACACTTGGGCCCCTACCATTTTTCTCCTCATCCTTCTCGTATCAGCCCTTGCATCATACCCTTACCCCGACCTCACCCTTGTTATCCTTGTCATTCTCGCATTCCCTTTCGCCCTCTACCTGTCGCTTCAGCAGAGCCAGTACATCTGGCCAGATCCTTTCGCTGACGAAGCATACCCATGCTCCGTTCCACCACCTGACTGATCCTGTGGACAGTCCCCTTGCCCTTACCGTCCGGATGGTAACCTATGATATGATGCACGACGCATCCCCTTTGCCCCTTTCCCTTTCTTGATCTTTGACTCAGTGTGCAGTCGCACATGTTACTTATATTTAGCTCCGCAGCTGCACGATCGTGCCCCTGCGCGTTTCACTTCTTATTCTGATCTTTGACTCACTTTCTTATCCGCACGTTCAGGATCCACTCGTGTCTCACCTCGAACGTGCCTTCCTTTTATGGTTATCCCCTTTACCACTTACCTCTCTTGGTAGTATGAGTTATCACCCACTAATACGCTTCCTGTCCTCTATATAAACTCGCTACCATGTACTATATTCCCTAACTTGAATCTACTTGGTTCTTGACCTCCTACTCTCACCAGAGTGATCCCTTCTGCCTAGCCAGCAGTCTATATTCTATCTTCTTATCTGCTCTTCGCGGATAAGCCTATAGTCTCGATCTTTACTCATTGACTTTGTCGACAAGCAAAGCCCCTGTTAACTAGTCGGACTTCCGTCCTTCTAATTAACGTCGATCTTACAATTAACCTTTGGGTGTCGTAAGCCTTGGCAGATACAGCTCATCGTCTAGCAGCCGCTTGACATAAGCTACCCAATTTGGACATAGGCATCAAATCTTACTTGCCGAAACCTCGCCAAGTAAGACCCCTAACCTTGGGCTAGCCCAAGGACGTCCTCGACCGTTGACGACACACGCTCTGTTTGAGCGTCGCCAACAGATACCATCCAAGTCGTAACAGTTCCTGATGGCAACGCATGTGACTCGCTTCTGTTCCAAAGGTAACACACAGTGAGTGCAGACTCACCCCAAAGGTTAACAGGAAGATGAGCTGTTTCCAGCAAGGCAAACAAGCGCCCCTCAATGGTACGCATAGCACATTCTGCCTTTCCATTTTGCTGATGGGCATAAGGCGCAGACAGTTGACACTCTATTCCAGCATCCTGGAGAGCCTTACTGAATGCTGCACTAATGAATTCACCGCCATTATCGGATCTGAAGACCTTCACTTTACGTTTGAGGTGATTTTCCCAACAGTTCTTGACTGTGTGCCACGCCTCCAACGCCTGGTCCTTAGTTGCGAGGAGCTGGAGGTTCAGAAGATGCGAGTGGTCATTGAGAAAGATCATGAAGTGGAGTTTACCATGAGGCATGATGACAGGGAAAGGGCCGCAGAGATCTGAATGAACAATATCGAGGGGATGAGCCATGCGAGGTTCGTCAGAAGGGAAGAAAGGTTTGCATGGATGTTTCATGATGATACAAGGCTCACAACGACATAAAGGTGCGTCTTTGTCAACGTGGACACCAGTAGCGATGAGCAGAACCCTCTTCACAGCCTCCCCACCAATGTGTCCCAACCTGGCATGCCAAAGGTCCTAGGTTAACGCAACTTTCGCAAATGTTGCAAGTTCAGTGGGTGCACGAAGGAGGGTAGCTTCATCTGGATGAACAAAGCGCAAGTCCACAGAGAACAGGTTCCCAACTTCAGGGATCTCACCATAAGCCTTCCCGCCATGTGACAGCTCACATTGCGGTGGATACAGTTGGAAATTACATGACCAACCCTTCTTCAACATACGTGAGACGGACAGTAGATTGATATATGCGCCGGGTGTGTGAAGACAATTGGTGAGTTTAATTTGATATGTGTTTCCATTGAGAATTAAATCAGCAATGCAGTCTCCGCATCCTGAAGTGGAAAGGAATCTGTGGTTTGCTGTCTTGACTTTGACAGACGAGTTCTGCGCATAAGTCCAGAAGAACTCCTGGCTCATAATGAGAGTAGAAGTTGTGCCCGAGTCAAGGATTGTGGTTGTGGAGCGAGACACAAGATGTGAGTAGTCCTGTTCAATATCTTCGATGACTGCAAATGAAAGATTCTGACGATGTGAAGACTCTGTAGCTAGCGCAGCAGTAGGAGTTGCAGGAGGGTTCACTGACACGGGTGCAGGAGCTTTGGCTTCATTTGCTGATGTGGAGACATCCTTCCTGGGTGTTTTACCCTTCTGTGCACAGGGCGCCTTCCCTTCCATCCCACCCCCTGGCTGGAGACAATGCTCATGGTCATGGGTGAGTGAACGAGGGAGGCCTATGCAAGCAGGATTTTCGCATGAGACCCCCTTGGGGTTTTGTCTGTGAATACGAACACCGGTAGAGGGGTTTGTTGTCTTCCCGCTGGAGGAGGCATTGGCAGTATTCGTGTACTCTGAACCTGGCTGGGCCATCTTCAAGTGAGCGTGTTGGCGATTCGCCTCCTCTGTAAAGGACATAGCAACTTGTTCGAACAATACAAGCGTGGTGGGAGTTGAGGAGGATGCCGTAGTAGATGGAGATGGTGCGGTGATGTTGGCAGAGCTGTATAGGCCGATGATAAGACTCCGGAAAACAACCCACTGGGAGGTATCAGGAAGGCCATTCAACAACATGAAGATGGCCTCTTCATCAGTAAATGTGATTTGCATTTCTGCAAAGCGGCGGCAGCCATGTTCGAAGACACCAAGGTACCGTGCTGCATCTTCTGCATCTTTAAGCTTCTCAGTGAAGAGTTGCGAGCGCAGTTCATATTGCAATGTGACATTGAGACATGCAAATCTTTTTGCAAGCATCTCCCATTGTTCTCAAGCGCAAAGCCCTTCATTGAGGATGTTCTGGACGATTGGAGAGAGCTTACGACCAATAATTGCCTTTGTTTGTGCGTCTTCCTTGATCCATTCCTTCATTAATTTTAATTCATCAGCCATTGGCTGTCCTGCTGTTGCAGGCTTAGGCATAGCGCTCGCGTATTCGGCTATGTCGTTAGGATCCACACTGCTACTGCAGTGGTTCCATAGGCCTTCACCTGCTAATGCGAGCCTGATGGCCCTTCTCCAGCTCGGGTAAGAGTCGGCACCCAGAAGTTCATTAATATGATCAAATTTCCCCATGGTTGATCTCGAAGAAGATCCTGGTGTGATGAAGATGACGTGATAATGGAATTTACAATGAGTTGGATGTTGAGCGTCCTCAACGTGAATCTAATCTCGTTCTAATCTGAAATACTGAGCTACTTGAGCTCAGGGCTCATAACCTAAAGGCTAGAGCAAGTCAGACTAGAGGCTCTAGTAAGTACGAGTGTAAATGAGCTACAAGACAAACATACCTCAGCGAGAGCAGAACAAATGCTGAGGATAAACAAACACAAGAAGGCCGCTACTAATACCATACGGAGTTGTTAGGAGAGGTGCGCCAAAATGCCCAGTGAGAGTTCCAAAGAAGTCCAATACCTGAACTGGTAGAGGCGTCTACATGAATGTTGTAGTCTCTGGTAGGTGGAAGTGGCTATATGTCTAGAGGTATCAGAGTGACTGATAGAGCAGGCTATAGTATTAAAATTAAGCATAATACTCACTGACTAGAAATCAGATGGTTTTGTAAGTTTGTTTGTAGTCTACAGATCCCACATAATTAAGCTTAATGGCTTCTGATTCCTTTGGTGATTCTCAGGCTTCCAAGAATAGCACTACCACCGGAAAAATCACCAAATTGGGACATTCAAATAATCTCACTATTCCCACATACCTTCCTGGCTCTACTGCTTCACCAAAGCTTTCCTCTTACTCACTCATGTATATAAGTAGTAGAATGACATGTACATACATAGAATGAGGGGGGGGGGGGGGCTCTCTTACACCCGCCGATGGGTATGAATCTGCATTCGAACCAGAACCAGTTTGGCAGATCCGGCTGGCAGAATGGCGGACTTCCACCCCTAAGCGCATGCCAAGAATGAGAATGAGAATCAATTTCCAGAAAATATCTCGCAGGGTCACTGGCCTCCGAGTCCCAATGGCATAGGCGAATTGCAGGTACTGCACATAAGGGAGCAACGAGTGAGTGAGAGAAATTGACGTGAGATGTTGACCGAGTACATATCGATCGACTTCTCCCTGCGCCGGCAGGGTCACGGCAGCTTCAAATGACGAAGCAATGAGTGAGAGATTTACCGGTGATTCGAGCGAACGTTCCGTAGTTACAAAAAGGAGAATTGTTGATGCCTGCAGGCAGGTTATGATCCAATGATCATATTCAAATGAGCACGCTCCTTCAAGTTCTGCCGAAAATTCTGCCATCTCATAGCAATAACAATTCTGCCAAATAGATCAGAATCGTGCCCATAAGTGTATGCAGGATATAAGAGCTGATCATCGTCCTACAGTGTTTCCCCATCCTCAGAGATATCCCCCCCAGAAAATTGCACATAGCCTCGTACAGAAAATGCGTTGCACCCTCCTCGCCGTTGTTGCTACCTTGACAGTAGCCATGTCTGTCAGTGGATGCGTGGACCTGTATTAGGCTTGCAATGTTAATAGCGATTGTTGCACTGGTAATTATTGTCCCAAAGTGAGTATGAACAGGTCTTATGCAACCAGCATTCAACCACACGACTCACCTCCGCGACTCAGGATAGTAAGGGCAAGGGTACGATTTGCACTCCCAGTGTTAAGAATTGAGTCGGCAGCCCGAGGGGCACGTCGCGACAGTGAGTCATGTTTCTTCCTTCGCTTTGGTATCATGGTTGATTAATGATGATGCAATACTAGTTCGGAGCCAATCAGTACAATTGTTTTTTGGATATGTTTTCATGCTGCTGGAGCAACGCAGCTGTTTGGACTTATCTAAAAATGATCAATGGTACCTAGTAGTCCAATAAGCTCGAGTTTGTGATACTGTCGAAATAAGTGACCAAAGTGACCAAAGTGACCATTGGTGTTAATCATCAATATTGGGAGGATGTAACGTACTGCGCAGCTTGAATCTGTTCATCTAACGTTGGCCTCAAAGGCTAGCTCGTGGATCTCTCTCTCTTCTGCGTGTGATGGAGTCACTTCGTTGTCGATCGTGATTCATAACAGACGTGTCATTTTTTGGTACATGACTGAAGCAATGTCATAGTACGGGAGCACGCGTTGTGATGAAAAGGGGAGGACGAACAAGATTAATATTGCTGCCTGCGCGGTACTTGGATCAAAGGCCCATAGTGTGGGAGCCCGAGAGTGGTTCTATGCACTAAGTGTTGGATGGGGTAAAGAGGGAGCGCGTCATGCTCGGTCACGATCTGCCAATCTTGAATATATCACATTAATTGAATGAGCTCATCAATGATATTGCAGCGGTCCAACTATATAGCTTCGCAATGCTCACCATGATTGCCTAGATCAGGGCAGGATCAGGGGTCCGCAGCGGCGGCTTCCTTATTCTTGGCCAGCTTTTGCACAACCGCATTTCGTGAGCTCTGCTACGGCCAAGACCTGTCACTTCATTCTCCAGTCATCTCTCATAATCCTCGATCTTAATATCATCATTGTCTCCATCCTCAACTGTTTTGGCCTCCTCTCGTCCTTCCGCGGTGAGGTCGGGAAATCTTCTGAGCATGGTCGATGAGTTTCTATGTTTTCATGACAAGAGAGCCAGCGCTAGTATAAAGCTCACTGGGTTTGTATGCCAGCTAGTATTCCACACTCTATCTTGCAGCTACTATTCACTCTGCAGTTTGAATGTATCGGGATGGTTACTTGGTTTTAATAGACATCTCCTCTTGCAATCGGCGCGTCCTCGTGATACAAACAATCCCCTGTAATTGCCCTGTAATACCAGGGACGAATGAGGCCAAACAGTGACGGACTATGTCACAAGTGAAAGTTACCTTTTTTTTGGATCGCCCGTTGCCGCAAAGTCCTATGTTAGACAGTGCATAGGCATAGTAGACTAGGTGAATATAAGTGCGTTTATGACATGATGGTACTTTAATCCTGGTTCCAGCATGAGAACATCAAGCAAAGTCCTGAGGTATTTGAGTTTTTTTCAACACTAAGCACTTGGCTCGTCCTTCAAGCTATTTCTTCTTCTGCTCTGAGGGCTCTACATTTCTGAATGCGGCGACAAGACGTTGGGTGTACTTGAAGACCGCTTTGATACCGTTCTTGTCGATTGGGTTCCCTTGGGCTCTAAGCTTGGCGCTCATGGCTGCCCGTTGTATTGCGTACCCTGCGTAAAACAGGAGAGTTAACTCCTGATCTCTAATTGGGCCGTACAAAGGCGCCTGCCGACGGAAGTTAACTTTGCACAGGGGTATGAGCAGTGATGAATCCGACCTTTAGTTGGTTGTACCACCCCAGTCGAGGTGTGGTTGCTGGCACCAGCATCAATTTCAAGTTCTGCGAATAATTCTTCGGGGGTAGACGAGTCCCCCTCGATGCGTGAACTGCAAGCGGCGGTATTGGTGACGAAGACCTGTAGCATGAAACATGCTCGAATTGCGCTACCAGAATAAATGATGAAAACATGCCTTTGAATTAGCGCCCTCGGGTACTGCCCACTCTGAAATTATATTATCTTCACCTCCACAGAGGATGTGCTTGCCGTCTATGGAGAAAGTAACGCACATCGATGAGTGCTGGAACCTGGCAATGGTTTGTCCATCTGAGAGGCACCAGAGATGGACATGCTCATGAAGAGATGCGCAGGCGACAAGTGTGCCAGCAGGATTAATGGTAATGCCTTTGATACGGCGACTGTGACCTGTCCAGTCATCACCAACCTGCTTCCAGGTCGATGTATCTCACACCTGTATTCCTGGGAAATCACGGTGACAACCTGTCGAGAGAAGGCGTGTGCCATCGGGCGTCCACGCGAGTAAATTCAAGTCAAAGCTGTTCCCATATTTGTCATCCCCCATGTCTGCGACACATTCCTTCGTGTCTGAATTGTAAACTTTGAGATTGCTGTTTGTTATAATGGCAAGAAGTTTGCCGGATGGCGAGTACCGAAGGCAGTCAACCCAAGTACTGGATCCGATTGGATTTCCTTGCATCTGCCAGGTTGCAGTGCTCCAAAACTTCGTCATCCAGTCCATGGAACCACTGGCCAACATTTTACCATCAGGGGAAAATTCCAATGAGAAGATCGTATAGGAGTCGGCCATCATTACTTGGACGAGATACTCCCCAGTTTCTCCATGCCAGATAATGATCTCTCCCTTGTCGCCGCCGCTTGCTATCAATTGCCCTTCTCGTGATACCGCTAATGCCCGCACTTTATGGCGATTCCCTTCCATCTTCTTCAACATGACGCCTGTCTTCAAGTCCCACAGACGAAGCGTCCTGTTGTACGAGCCGGTGATCATTCGCTGTCCTTCAGGGGACACCACGACTGCGGTTATGGCGCTATCATGATCTTTACGAAACTTTCGATTAGGAACGAGATGCGACATTTTACTGGGGGTTGATGTGTCGAGGTGGACTTTGCGGAGGAATTGTGGGTGTCCTAATCTGCGGAGGCGCAGGTATTTTTTGCTTGATGTTGCTTCACACTGCCTTGACTTGCCTCGTGTTCCAAAAGACGCCCAGAACATGAGTCATGTGAAGCTGGGACATAACTATTTGGACAGGGCGTAGTAGTAAGTCTGGTTTTGACATAGTACCAAGGTTGCGAAGGTGTTGGAAGCCTCTTGTCGTGGTATAACTGGTGCTTGGCACGATTGGGGCTCGACTTGCTAGTACACAGGCTGCATCAAACTTGACAAGTAGTACTAGGTTTTGACCATTAATAGATCATCATTATATGAGACAATACAATTTGAAAACGCAGCTAGCTACCGATTGGGACATCCTGGAAAGCAGTACTTGCGAGCGCGGAGCACAAGCACTGTAAATGTGGTGAGAGGTGCCGGTGAATTTGAACAGCCTGTACGCATTCAAATGTTGATCAGTAAATGTAGAAATACAACTTTGACTTGGACCAATGGACTCGCTAAGCAAAATTTTCCTTACATAATTCTACGTACTAGTGCCGCTTCAAATTTATTGTTTCAAGAATGCCCACAACGTTGACTAACTGTACGGTCTGTACCCTAGTGGGCTGGAGCTCCTAGCGTTATCTAGGTTTCCTTTCCGGTCATATAACTCAGGCTGCTGCCAGTAAGCCTGTAGCTGTCATCTGTCCGAAATATCGTGTTGCTTTGAATACTGATGAGGATGTAGGAGATAGAGGTTGCTTGACGATGCCGTGAAGTGAGTTGGCGAATATTATGGCATTCTCGGGCATACTAATATTGCGAACAGTTTAACAGGTAGTGATGATGGTTTTGCCTACGCTGGGGCAAATGGGGCAGCGCGGGTTTCGCTTTTTCTCCTTATCCGCATTATTTATAGGATGTGAGTGCTCTCGCAGTCTGACCTTATCACCCCATTGAATGGCATCCCACTCGACGTATGAAGCCCATGGGCAACCCTATGTCGACGAAAGTACCTCGATGACCGCCGAGAAGCAAGACTCAGGAGGTTCTGGAGATGTTTTCGTTGAAGATGGCGTTCATCAAGTTCAGGACAAGACCCTCAGCTGGCAGGTGCGTCTATGCGAGATTGCACGCAGTGAAATTTTGATCGACGTAGGCTGTCAGCCTCCTCATGATAGCCGAAATCGTCAGCAATGGTATCCTGACTCTCCCAAGCGCACTAGCAGTCGTTGGTGAGCCCGCTATCCTGTGAATCCATGAGGGACAACGTTTTTATAAATCTTCAGGTATTGTGTCCGCTGTCATTCTAATCGTTTTTCTCAGTAATTTTGGCCTGTACACTAGTGTTGATACTAGTATTGCACCGGGACCTCGTATACATCAACCCACGGGTCCTCACTGTCATCCGTCGGGTCGGCGAGTGTTTCATCTACTACAACTTCTGCGAGCCAAACTCCGACATCAACTTCTGGAGCACTTGCGACCGAAATAAAGATGATACACGGCTTCTTGGCGGTCGTTCTTGGCGGCGCTCTGATCTTATGCAGAACCGTATCTGATTGAATTCCGGGTGATCATGATGTGGTGCAGGCGCAGGTATACAGGCATCCTCGCAATTAGAGGCCCCTGGAGACCGTGGCTAGCCTAGCTCTTGAGCTTTGTTATACATATATCCAAAAGGACCTTGATCATACCTACTTATCCATCTTAATAGGACAGATTAATATATCCTTGTATATCTGTCAGAATGTGCCAACGGTAATAAGTGACATGTGTAATAAGCGGGTACCGGACGAGTGCTGAACCTGTATATAGAATGGATGATAAGTACCACTTGAATTTTGATGTGGACGTACCAAGCTATTTTTGAGGTTACCAACAACCGACCAAACTTATGATGTCCGTCGGGATCAAAGAAAAAGTGCACATGGTCAGGATAGAATTTCAGATGGTGCGCTGATCCGGTGAGGATTGAAATCCCATGCCCAATGACATTGACGGCACGTCGTGTACCAGGGATGGTCCGACTCAGGGTGCCAACTGGCAGTTATATATCGTCAGCGTAACCTTCCCGACTGGGAGTCAACGTACCGATCTAGACTAGTATAATGAATCAGTGGCGGTTACGGTGTACTTTGGCAGTGCTTAGCCACACTGGGTCGGATTTGGAACAAGGGAAGAACAGGAACAAAATTTGAAGACGCTGGCCAACCTGAAGTGTCGTCCTTCCAGCGACATGCACAAATGTCATGGTTCCCACTACAACGGTCTTCTTTGATGGTAATTGTAGCCTTAGTACTACTCGTTAATGTAACCAGAAGGTTCTTTGTAATGAGCAATGAGAAGTGTTTGTTACACGTTACGTGTGACAGTGACACCACAGTCACCCGCAAACAAAGCCGCCCGGGTAGCCAAGGTCCTTCCATTCAACTTGTCCTCGACTCGTCTTTGAAAGCAATTGATCAAACGGACCAGTGCCACATTCAGGAAACGACCATCTTCACTTTTGACAGACTTGTCCTTTAACGCTACCTCGATCAAATATCAACAGTTTGCCGTACACGCTGGCCAAATCATATCCCTCTCACCGACTGTTTTTCCATTAGCACGCTCTCCTTATTCCTCATGGGCAACTGCGTTTCGGCACAGGACAGAGAAGAGAAGGCTAGGTCAGATGCTATCGACCGTCAGATAGAAGAGGACTCCAGGAAGTTTAGGAAGGAGTGTAAGATACTTCTGCTCGGTACGTATCTTCCTTTCTACTTTACTCTACGTCTATTTCATTTTTCGTTTCATCATCGAGACAAATGTCTCCGGGGTTGCGTCTACACCATATATTTCCTTCAAATGTCTTTATCCGTTCAACCCCCTCTCTTTGTTCTCACTGCTCATATCCAACCTAGGGTCCGGCGAATCCGGAAAGTCGACAATAGTCAAGCAGATGAAAATCATTCATCAGAATGGCTTCAACGAGAACGAGCTTATGACGTTCCGTCCGACAATATATCGGAATACTCTCGACTCCGCGCAAGCCATTGTCCTGCAGATGCGCAACATGAATGTAGAATGCGCCACGCCTGCAAATCGGGTACATTCTTTCTAATTTCTTCTGCTACTTCAATTCATCTCTTTTCGTAGACGTTTGCCGAACGCATAGTCGAATATAGGGTTGAAAACACGCCCGATTTTGTTTTTTCTGCCGACATTGCACAAGCCATCCATGAATTGTGGCAAGATCCTATCATCCCCAAAGTGATGGACTGTTCGAGCCAGTTCTATCTTATGGACTCGGCTGGCTAGTGAGTAATTCTATTCGCTCGGATTTCAAATACTCACGGTGTCCGTTCTCAGTTTCTTTACGGAAGTGCTCCGTATAGGCACTCCCGATTACATACCGACAGAAAATGATGTGCTACGAGCTCGAGCGAAGACGACCGGCATCACTGAAACGCGGTTTAACATGGGACAGCTCTCGTGAGTCCACAAGGATGTCAACGTTCTATTTTTGATCATGGTCTTGCAGCATCCATATGTTCGACGTCGGTGGTCAGCGCTCGGAACGGAAGAAGTGGATACATTGTTTTGAATCCGTGACAAGCATCATTTTCTGCACAGCATTATCGGAATATGATCAAGTACTATTAGAAGAGAAGAACCAGGTAGGTCCTGCTGCATGCGTGATTATTAGGTGTCCTTAATTTTGTCAATAGAATCGCATGCAAGAATCACTTATACTATTTGAGTCGGTCATCAACTCCCGCTGGTTTCTGCGAACTTCCATCATATTATTTTTGAACAAGATAGACGTTTTCAAGAACAAGCTACCAAAGGTATGTACCCATCGTTGCAAATGTATGAAGGTCTGTTGACACTTTGCAGGTACCGATCGAGAAGTACTTCCCAGAGTATACAGGCGGTGCAGACATCAACAAAGCGGCAAAATACATTCTGTGGAAGTTCATGCAAGCCAACCGGGCACGCCTAAGTGTTTATCCTCAGTAAGTGTGATCCATCATCCTAGTTCATTTATTACTCACTGCGTCATAGCTTAACACAAGCTACGGATACAACGAATATCAGACTCGTCTTTGCTGCGGTTAAGGAAACCATCCTACAGAACGCTCTCAAAGACTCAGGCATTCTGTGACCTCCTCCTTTCCTGGTTTCTTGTTTTTATCTATCCGTATGCGCCTTCATACCCCATTGGTTGATTTGTATTAACGAGGGTACAGTTCGCATATATATCTGGAACGCCTGGTTATTCTCTAGCATGTTATCATCTTATCTAGCATACCATCAATTATTCATCATTACCCCTGGGGCTGTCCGCGAGATTGATCTGCATCATTGTGCCCTTTTGTCTTTACATACTGCACAGCATTTGCTTGATCTGGTTGATTTTAACTTGCTATGGCGGTTGCAGTTGTTGGCAACCCTTCTTGTGTGCAACTTTGTACAATGATGCGCACTTGATGTGCACAAAAGCTTTTGTACATGTACCTGTAGTATGCAATATCATGATCATGCCAGGCAGATACCACAAGCCGTAATTATAGAGCATGATCACCTCATTAACACAAGAAGAAAAAACATGTTTGAGAGCCACCGCATAGTATTAGTACGACACATCCCGTGCGCTAACCATCGCTATCCCGCTCCTCTTCACTATCCCACTGGTTGAACCCTAAATCCCTCACACTCGAAACTGCCACAAGAAGTGGATGCTGACCATCCAAGATCTTGAGCAGCTTCTCCATGTCTTCCAGAGCAAACTCTTCTACCTCTTCTAACAACGCAAGCTCCTCGCGATCGTCCTCCGGGGACTCTGCACGTCGCTTGCGTTTGTCTGCGAGCGTCTGAAGCTGATGCTTCGTAGCTTCCATGAGGGCAGCCTGTAGATCCGGCGTGAGCGCTGGAATGCCAACCACTCGAAGCCCATCGGCGAGGGCTCTATACAACGAGGAAAGAAACGAAGGATCTGTTTCGGCTCGAATGGTGCGTATGAGCTGGAGGAAGGAAGCAGCCACCATCTGTGGTGTTAGTGTGCCACTCTGCTTTCCGCAAGAGAACAGCAAAGGAATCAATCTGTGCGTATGGTCATTAGTAGTAAGGGTAATAATAATAGGAAGCACTCACCTACTCGCAGCTTCGCGAACGCCGTCGTGGAAGTAGAATTTTAGGGCGGGCAGGGAGAGCTCCAAGCTCTGGGCGAGATAAGGCGCGAATCGGCCGCCGAGCGTCGCGCAATAGACAACGAGAGTGTCGAACGCTTGACATTTCTCATCGATAGTCGAAGTGCGGATTCCGACGATCTGACCGTCCATCGATATAGTCTCCCAGCCTTCGCGCGTCTCGCCGACATCGTCTTCGTCATCTGTGCAGCAAGGTAAGTAGATATCATGACCCGAATGACTGACATTACCGTAGATAGAGACATCGGCTTTCGCGCTGGCTGCGTTCAGTAGTGGGGGCATGACTACAGGAAGGAACGGTTCGAATTCTGTGCCCAGAGCTTGACAAATTTTAGCCCAAGTGGCAATCAAAAAAGTAGGCAGCATGGTGTCCGAGGGGTCGACAGGAGAATCTATCATACGTGGTAAGCGGTCGTCGAAATTTGATCTAGAGGTAGTCGAGGACAAACTTTGAATTTTGATTAAAAGCTCGATGAGCGTATTTGCGTCAGCGCGGAAAACGTTACGTCCAACGGCGATTGCTGACAAGGATCAGTCAAGGAAACTTGCGTTGACATGAACCGTTTCTTTTACCTATTAAACCAGCACATTCCATGGCTTTCGCGCGTAGCTTGTAATGGTCAGAACTGTTGGCGTTGCGGAGAACATTCAAAAGAAGAGGCATTATGGAGGTATAGTGCTATTGTATATGCGAGCATCAGATAAACGATAGACATGTGAGACTGTATCATGGTACCTTAGCAAACGTTGTCTCGCTGGCATCAGCGACCATAGCGAGAGTTGTAATTGCTTGTTCTTGAACGTAGCCTTTGACTACTTTGCCGTCCTCAGCTCCTGGATTGAGCATCTTGAGAAGACGCTCGACGATCGGGTCCAGATAAGGAACAAGGGTGTCGCGTTCGACACCTTCACAAAAATTGATCAAGGCAGCAGCGGCATGTGAGTGCACACTAAAATCGAGGATCAGGGTGAGTGACGGAATCAGATACGTAATAGTCACCGATGTTCTGGCGCTTCTAGGGTTGGTATCAACGCAGCGAATAATTGCTCGTGGTAGCGATCTTGAATGATTTCCTTGGAGCACAAAGCGTCTATGTGGATTGTGGTGGCAGGCTGACTAAACTTACCTCCAAATCAGTACATAGTTGACCACTGCGTCAATCATTGAGCGAGGAGATCATGCTACGATAGAAGCAACGTACACGCATTGACATGCAGCATACCGCACACGTGGATGTGCGTCCTTGAACATTGGAGTAACGAGACTGGGAGCACGATTAATGGAGGGGACCCGACAATAGATTGAACAACGCGTACTCAACAACTTTCCCAAGTTCCATTTGCATCACCTAATAATGACGAATGAGTGGGCCTGGACTATGCCATAAACCAATATGTCATATAAACCTTGCTCGTGCCTTCGGCTATGGCTGCGATAGCCATCAGGCCAGCGTGCCTCAATCTCCAGTCGTAATTGGCGAGCATTGACGGAATATATTGGAATGCCGGAGGAAGCACTGCTTTACCTCCAAGAGCACAGGCCACTCTATCGAGGGATTGCTCGTATACATGAGGATAATTCTCATCCTGTGCATCCTCCGAGGGCTAAAATGATTGAGTTGGTGAAATACTTGGAGAAATGCACGACAAGTATCTTACATCAGCTTCGAGCCAGGAATCCAACGTGTCTTCTGGTAATTCCCCCATGCCCTCCAGAGACGCTCTTACCATAGCCGCCGTCCACCCTTCCGAACGCTTCGCCAACGTAGGCTTAGCCTCCGTAAGGCTTACCATAAATTCTAATGCAGCTTTTCTGACCGATTCTTTCTCCTCGTCCTCTGTGACTTCATCCCTGCCATCAGGAGCCCGACTACCAGACCCGCCGGGAGGAAACGTGAAGCTTGATGACGTGCCGGGGAATGGCTTAGCGACCGTAGGTGTTGGGCCCGAGTCAACGCTTGGCATTATCAAGCCACGCAAGAAAGACAGCAGGGCATTCATATGAGGCACGAAGAGATTGGGATGAGACGAGCATAACGGCGTTAGCGAGCTGAGGAAAGATTTAAGATGGATGTTGGGGAGGGAAGGTAATGTGTCTAGCATTGGGTAGAGCAATGAGAGCGAGTGTGATAATTGAAGTTGATCACATGCAGTAAGATAAGACACAGAGGCTCGGAGAGCAGCAAGCCGAACCTGGGCACCATCTATCAATATCAATTAGTTCAACAGGAGAACTACGTACCTCTACACTTTCAGAGTCTTGAAGACCTTTCCGGAAAACCGTCAGGACAGCATCTGTCTGGAGATCCATTACGAGATTGGGACAGCCGGAAAACAACCTATAAGCGCATTCACGGAAGCCAGCTTCACCTGTCTGCGTCATAGTAAATGTCTGTGCCTGTAGGGCGTGCCAAGGACGCCCTCTAGACATGGAATTGTTTGCGAGATCGCAAACTGTATCGACTGTCTTCCTGCGAACAGCATCTAATGGCTCATGGGACAGAGAGTGAAGTAGTAGGCGCTCAAGGGTTGTCAACGCATGCGCAGGGAGTTGGTCGTAAAGCGTTAGACGCCCTTCTCTGGTTTGCTGACCTGGTGCAGCACGGAAGAGAAGTCTGCGAAGTAAGACCAGGGAGAATGATCGCATCTACGCTTTGTTGAGTGAGGACAGCGGTATTGAAACATGATACACATCAACTTGCCACTTCAGTATCAGCTGCAATAGAGAACTGAGCTAATGCGAGCAGGTACAGGTCTGGGGTCTGAGCCAGTCTATCATTAACCGCCTGTTCTGCACTGCAAGTTTCTCAGTAGGAGTCGCACTTATTGAAGATGATCGCGTACTTGGAACGTATCTTGTTATCGCCAAGTACAAGATTGGCAAGTATTTGTGTGAGCTCTGTCGTGATTTCGTGAGGAACGACAGCCTCCATGACGCTGAATGTGTGGGGAATTGATATTGAGGGTCCAGGAGTAACAGTAAAATGGAGATTGATCTCAGGGTACGAGCTGTTAAAAAAGGCGGTTCTACTTGTTTGATAAAGCTGTTCACTAACTAGTGATCTGCAATGGAGGGGAAGTGATGCCTGTAAAAATGCTGATCAGCAGATAGACTCGTCAAGTCTTCAATTATCGCAAGTTCAAGCTCAGCGGCTTGTCATCCTCTGCTAGACTTTTGCTTCACAATTGCTCGAACACACGCAAAGGTCATGACTGACGACGTCCATCAAGTCCGCACCTACGAGCTTTAATTATTGAAGGTGGTATAACTCCGACGCAATCACTGGGATGCCGGTGATCACACAAGTTTCACATGTCCAGTTGATGGGCCCGTCCGAATCACTCAGTGGCGCGTTTTCCAATATCACATCGGTTCCGACGCAGCCTCCATGTCGAAGTCGAGCAAATTGGGTCATGGAAAGGTTGACAGGGCTATGGACGGTCTGATAGTTGAAGGTACCATCTACTTGAATGATATCTCGTTGATGTGTGTATCTTCCAAGGATGCCGCGACTGTCTGGTGTACCCTCAGGCTAGCTAGATCATACAGAATTTAGGAAACAGTCGTCCCCTCTCGGTCGACTTTTTCTGAAACCTGTTTCGTCGCGACAGCTATTGATTAGTATTCCAGGTCAAGAACGGAATTACTGGCACTCTCTTGTGTCTTTTTGCGCATAACTCTCGTATGAGACGCATTACTTCAGATGTCTTTCGAAAGCTCGAGAATACCACTCCTTGAGTTGATGCATAATGGCGCCAACTTGAAGGTGTTTTGTTGTCCTACCCCTCTCCTTGTACTTTTCAAACAAAGTTTGAAACAAAAGTATGCACTGATTCAGGTGCAGGCAGAGGAAAAATCCCATCATAAAAGGGAAGATCAACCATCTTAATCTACATCATAGTCTGATGCTCCCAAAAGGATATCTCCCTTCAAACCTCTATCACGCGGCATCACCGGTTATTCTTTCAGTGCCCATAGTAATTGACCCCCAGTAGCGTTGCCCACAATATACACTTCATTTAATATTTGAAGCACAAATCCACATGCACGTACACACACAACAGGTCTCCATCACTTCGACGCACTACAAATTTCCTCTTTAGAACTGTGCAGGGCTCGTCTAGTCCTATTCAACTAATTCTGGTTGAACCACATCACTGACCTTCGATGAAGGCTGTTTTTCATCGTTCTTGTCATTGACTTTGAGCGCCTGCTCTAGATTCTTGGTGATCTTTTCCACCTCATCCTCTGTTGATTCCTCTGGTTCTGGTTCTAGCTCTCGCTCTTGTTTATCAGCATCCAAGCTATCCTTCGTCTTCTCCCAAGCGGCATCGAGCTCCTCCTCCCATCCAAGTTCTTTGCATAGCTCTCGTACAATATCGTCACATTTTCCGAGGAATAACACATCGTCTGGCTTGTTAAAGTCGCCCACCTCATCGAGATTAATCAGCACTCGAGGGCAGTCGTTCGGCACAAGGTCCACAAGAGAGGCAAATGGGTGCACGGTCAGCGATGTTCCTAATACAATCAATAAATCCGCTTTTCGCAGATTGCGGATAGACTTGTGGAACTGATCGGGAAGCTGCTCCAATGATCAGCCACGCCGTATGATTTTGTGAGGCTGAATGAAACATACCCCTTCACCGAAGAAGACAATATCTGGTTTCACTAGGCCCTTGCACCTCCTCCGTTCACACCTCGGAATCTCTATCTCCTCGCTCAACACCGCCTTCTTTATCTTATCTGCATCAAAGGGCGTTTTACAATCAATGCACCGCTGCGTGGCGAAGCTCCCGTGTGCCTCGATGATCTTATGCGCCGGCACTCCTGCACGCCGCTCGAGCGTGTCTATGTTCTGAGTGAAACATGTGTGCAACAGGGAATGTGAATGGAGGAGTGTTATAAAGCTGTGCGTGTGCGTAGGTCGGAAGCGCCCTGGATATAGTTCCTTTGCTAATGTATAGACTAATAAACGCGGTTCAATCCCTTTCTTCACTCGGACTAAGTACGGACGGACGTACAGGGTATCGGGTTTTTCTTAAAGAACCCTATCTCGAATACCGCCTCCGGAAATGGGAGATTCAGCCGTGCGAGATTGGCCTGTACAATATCATATTAATGTTCCTCACTTGCGGTGCCGCACTGCGCACACCACACTTACGTATAATCCTAAGTCATACGTTGATCTGCATCTCAAAAACGGTGTATGACCATGACTTACCTGTACCAGGTGATCTGAAGTCCGGTATACCAGCAGATGTACTCACACCTGATAACACACGTAAGAGGCTGGCTAATCTGGCACTAGCAATGGTAGCATACCAGCCCCAAGCTAGTTTCATCATAATGTCGGCGTCAAAATAATTTAAATCTTGGAGTGATAAGGGAGCTCACCATAAGGAAAACATTCTGACAGCTATCCGACTTCATATATTTCGCAAGCGCCTTGAGATCATTTCCCTCTAAGATTCGTGGGTTCTGGTCTGCAGCGTAACCGGGCTTGGACATGCTGCCCCTGAAAGTACGATTCCACCAGTCATACAGTGGGTGCATTTTCGTGAAGAGGGAATAATTACCTCAATACTGTTCTGTGAAGGATACCGGAAGAAGGAAAGAAGGAGACAAAGGACGCTGGTGCTCTCACTGAATTCCTACTCCGTGCAGCAAGTCGATTGCACGTGTCAGCTAGATAAAAATGGACTATGGGGCAGTGCTACTTTATACAAACGTAATATACGACAACATGATAGGACAAGATCGACTGGGTGGATGTCGATGACCATAGGGGGGATAACTATTAAAACATTCATCATAAAAGGATGGTCATATGCTATCGGCATCTTCATGTCTCTCTGGGTCTTCAACCCATCCATCATCTTCTTCGTCCTGTACCGGGTTCATCAAAACGAACGAGTACAAAGGTCACGACATACCTCTAATGAATACTCCTCATCGCCGTCATCATCCAGGGGATCCCATGGCACATGCACGTCCACCCAACTACAAAGAGCAATATATCAGATGGAACGAGAACGAAACCCATGATACTCACAAGTCATCACCTTCGGGATCGGGTACAGGAGATTCTCGCATTAGACGTCGTATCAATGGCAACTTGCGCTTGAGCCCATATAGTGGAGTGAACATGTAGTCCTTGTGATGGCCCTTCCGCAGCAGGCTCGCATTCGTATCTGACCACCACTGTGAGGACTCACTTGCATTCCCGTTGGAAGTAAGTGCCAAGGAAATCTTCTCTCCACCTGATGACTGTAATGAGCAGGAGTACAAGAACAGAATGCGGAAACATACTTTTGTCCGAAAGGTATATGGTGTAGGCGGGACATTTGAAGATGGAGTTGACAATGTGCATGTCTTTGAGCTCCGGGACCTTGTACAGAGCCTCTAAAACCCTGCCACGCGGAACGTATTCTTGTCTCGGATTGTGCATGATCAGGAGGGCACCACGCTTGCCGCGCTGAAACTGCCACTCTCCTTTGATAGATGCTTGGCCCAGACCAGCGACATTTCTATCAAACCATCAATCAGTTCGCACGGCAGACCGCACGCAGAACATACATCTCTCCACCGATCTTGAGATCATTCCGCCGGACACCCATCGTACACACTATGAAGTCGCCCTCCACGGCACCAATCTGAGGAGGGAAATCTGCTAGCTTCAGTTGCCCGTCCACCTTATCCAGCAAGACCTGGAAATCTGGATCATAGATATTGCCTTCGATGTCCAATTCGCCTGTCTCGGCATTCAGCCTGCCATATGCACCGACCTACATGCAAAATTATAAACTGCAGCCATGAAACCGACGAAAAACAAGTTGCGTACTGGAATGGGTATAGGTGGGTCCCAGTTGGCCCACTTCGCTGTGGATTGTCTGATGAGATCAACAAACTTCCGAGCTGCGTTGCCCATCAATATGGTGTAATGAGTGTTCGAGTATTCAAGAAAATCCGCTGGGTACTGGAAGCGACAGTCATATATAGACTTGTCACATGGATCAAGTTGAATCTGCTTAGGCTGTGCTTGTTGTGTGCGTGTGCCAAGCGTGTGCAGTGTGCACCGCAATTTACAAGATTACGACACCAACCAACCTGTTTATCACTGCATAAATATAGCCTTGTACTCCAACATCACTACACAATTAAATATACATCTCAGTCAACCTAGTATAACAAGAAAAGAACCCAACCAGCCATCACTCATCGTCACTGTCGTCTGACATAGGGAATGGCACATATACAGAGTCTCTTCGCGGGTTGTAGGCCGAGTCATCCTTGGTACACAACATTAGCCTCCGAGTCTGATATCTGTTACGAGAAAATTCAAGTACACACCTCTTGATCATCGTCATACACTGGATCGATCTCTCCATCGTCATCAAGTGGCTCCCAAGGTGGGTAAACATCCATCCAACTTGTATCCAGTCAGCAATGCGGTCGAAAGATATGACAAGAGACCTACAAGTCAGCATCTTCAGGATCTGGAGTAGGCGAGTCTCGCATCAGGGGACGAATCAAAGGGATCTTGCGCTTGCAAGTGAAAAGCGGCGAGAACACGTAGTCTTCGTCCGTCTTGAGTCGAAGGTTTTCTATCTTCGAGTCAGTCCACCAGTCGAGCCGTGTCTCGTTCTCTTTGCCAGATTTCGGGAGGAGCGCCAACGAAATCTTCTCTCCAGCTTGTCGTTTCCGTTAGATCTGAGATATACATCAAGCGATAGGAATAGACGCACTCTTCTCGGACAGATAGATAGCATAAGCACGGCATTTGTAAACCGATGGGACAACGTACTTGTCCTTGAGCTCTGGAACCTTGTAGAGCGCTTCAAATACTTTTCCTTTAGGGAAATGCTCTTGACGGGGCTTGTACATCACGAGCATCGCGCCTCGTTTGCCCTGCAGAAACTGCCAGTCTTCTTTATACTTTGCTTTATCGATGCCCTCAGCACTATTGTAGTGGAAATAAGTGAAGCTCTCAAGGTTTGACTGTGTCAAAAGCTTACACGTTTGATTTAAGGCTGAATTCCTTTGCCCTGACGCCCATGGATCCAACAGCAAAGTCTTTCTCTTCCCCGTCGAGCACCGGTGGATGATCGGAGAGCTTCATCTTTCCATCGGTAGCATCGAGCAGCTTCTGAAACTCGGGATCGTACACGTTCCCTTCAACATCGAACTTGCCTGTCTGGGCATTGAACCGACCATACGATCCGACCTAAATTACACCAATCGTCATGAAGACAACGTTTCGCAGAGTTGCGCTGAACTGACTCTGACGTCCTGTTGTTCTGGGAACCAATTTGCCCATTTTGAAGTGCGCTGGCGTATAAGGTCTACGTATTTGAGGCTGGTATTCACCATAGTGGTAGAGGGTAGCTTGAAGGAATGAAAGGCGCGCAAGTGGCGTCAACCCGAATATGAAGTTAGATCTATATAAGTAGCGTGAGCATAGGTAAATATCAACAAGTAATATCATACCGCAACGGTCGTCCTGCACGATAAGGTAGATGAATCTGTATAATCCAGATAGAAGGGATGCTGTACGACCATGTGTGTAACTGAAAGACCACAGCAAAACGAAGGTGGTGTGGACACTCTCATAGCTGCAAATATTGAGTGCCAACAGTTAATGTATTTCGAAACGAATCCAAGTCAGTAGTCTCAGAATACGAAATGGTAAGTACTATGAGAACGCACATTGATCTGCCAATCAATCCTCAGCGCTTCAAATCAATTTGGATTCCGAATCTCTTCCCCGTACTACTCGATATGTGTAACTCATTGTTATCGATCAGTCGTTCGACCCATCAGCAGTTTCGAATCGATGGAAAAACGTATGTATTAGTGGTATTGAGAGCACCTTGCCCGCCAGTGCGGCCCAAGTGGGCCATGCGAGATCCTTGAAGCGCTTGCAAAAATTAGCTTTGAGTATAGCGTGAGTACGAACCAGACGACGAGTGGCGCAAACCATTTGGCAACACTGCGAGTCGTCGATGGCGCTTTTTGTCTTGTTTTCGGCTTTCGCACTGCTCACTGAATATTGTAATAACACGAAGGGCCGTTCGCGCAGAGCCCGCTACGATCGTTTTTTCGAGTCATAATGCAAATCGATTGGTGTTACGGTTCTGTACAGACGAGTCGCGAGAAACGAGTGCTAAAAAATATTACGAGCGGATGGCGAAATTTATTTTCTTTGTAGGACATTTATGGTTTGCACGCTGAGCTGAAAGGTTTGAAAGAGCCTGACAACAGTGTCGCAGGCGAGAACAAACGTGCTGGGTCTTGATTCCAAGTAAATTTCATGCATCGGGATTAGTCTGAACCTGGTTTCTACTGTGTCGTAGATATTTAGCTGCTTGAGCTTGTTCTGTCTCAGCTGAATATATGTTCCACAGTAGTTAGGGACGATTCTCGGCTTGTACATATACATATAGCGCCCCCTGAGTAACTTGAGCAGGGTCAGCAAGGTTTTAAAGATGTGCGAAGATCACAAATACCTTCATTTGCAATAGGGACGTTTGCGCTCGGCCCGATACTCCTAGCAAATGCTCCTTACAATGAGGCAAAGCGGATGCAAAATTATAATTATGCATGTAAAACGGGATGAGCTTAAATTTATTAGTGCGCATATACTATACTAGCACCTATTCAAATGGCGAGAAGCCATGATGATGTAGAATGCTTCCCCGCCATGGTCATGATGCAACGAGTCACTACCACATCAATGCACGAAAAAGTGCATTAGCTGGCAAAATATGAACGCCCATCAACCATATCTGTAGAGAATGATCAATGCTAGGTAATAGACAAGGTGATATGAATAGAAAATACAGACGTTGTACAGGCGGTAGTTTGACTGGTCGTGGATCTCATCGCGAAAGAGAAAGTAGTAAATTCCGACTCAAGAACCCATAAAAATAAAAAGGGCCCCAAACTCCAAAATGAGGTAAGTGCACAAGACAACCGTGGAAGTGCACAAATCATATAGATACGAGATCCTTCTGGCGATATAGTCAGCAGAGTTCGTCGTCCTGACCTATCATCGCCATTGACGTCGACGAAATCCTGCACATGGATTGTCAGAAGTATAACAAGCGCACTGTAGGAAAGTGCTTTTAATGCATGCTCGTTCCGCCAAGCGAAGATTCCCTTGCTAGAATAGATATCTTGTCGATGAAATATTATCCATCAGATGAAGAAAGACCTACACAGAATCGACGAAGAACCGAGTTCAAATGTCACATAACCTGCCGCGTTCCACAAATTCCTGAAAATGGAATGGTGACTGAGATGAAAATTGTCATGCATAACTAGGAGCATGGTGTAAACCCCACTGGTCATAGCGACATTTAAGCCAAAAAGGGATGAAAGGCCCATGAAGAACACCGCGAGTTCCTAACGCAATGCACGGCAATCCTTGATGCTAACGCGCCCGGAGGGTACAGGAGGCCATGGTTTGTTCAAGACATCTTCGTGGGCAGAGTAAGATTGGTTAGACGTATGGAATTGAAAGAGATGGAACCAGAGCCAGCAGAGAGCGGAAGATAGAGCTAGCGGGTTGTGGCGAAGAGATACAATAGTTGTGAACACGCTCGAGACACCTGCCACTTACGAATTCGATCGTGCATGGAAAGGTGAATAGTAAATTGCACGGTGCAGCGGAATATGTGCGTGCTTAGTTAACAAGTCGCTAGCTAATATTTACTATGTGACAACGATCATAGGGAGTGGTGGGTGTGTATGAAGAAAATTGTGTTCAAACAAGTGAGGAGTGCGAAGGTCGATGTCGTGGTTAGAGAGAAAACGAATGTAGTAGGGGACGAATGGTGCCGGGATACTCCGACAGGCTGGTTTCCCCGGTTCGGGCCCGGCACCAAACACAGGTACTAAACCTTGATTCAGGTGCAACGTAAATGTTGGGTGTGCGTACCACTCTAAAGGGTCTCGGCCCTGCCAACTTTCACTTGTTCCGTGTGTAAAACCTATAGGCGTGCGGTGTCAAGTTCAAGGTACGTCAAGTATAATCTGTCGCCTAGGTTGGCAAAAAACCTTTGGGAAAGATCTGAGCTTTACAGCACTCCCTGAGTCGCAGGGCCGTTTGTGTAATTGCCGAAACTTTTGCGCTACTAATTTTGTCGCCCCCCTTTTTTGATTAGTATTTAGTTGTGCCGATCAGGCCAAGTCTATGGCCTAGGCCACTCTAGCACTAGTCTGAGAGTCTCTCAGACTAGTGCTCCGCCTGTACGATTTTTCGCACTGCCGTTGCTGACTCTTATCTGTTTTCTAGCTACCACTATGACTTTGTTCATTGGTCGTCTTTCTCTTTGACTCTGTCGCATTTAACATCGTCTCGCGGTGCTCTCTTATTTCTTCTTTGACCGCTCGCTCGCCCCAGGTTCGCGGTTCTCCAAAAATTTCCTGGCGTGTAATGAAGCTCCCGTGCTCACGAACAACATTGAGTTCAAGATTGCGCGTGCTCTCGATTCTAACTGTCTTCCTGTATATGTCATCTTTGACCTCGATTCCTGTTCTTCTCCTGTCAGTCGCTCACTCCCTGCCCACCTGGGCCCAGGTTCCCTGTTCTCCTGCCATCTTACGATGGCCGCTCGCTCACGACTGGCGTCGAGTTCGAGATTGCACATATTCTCTATTCTGATGTTTTGATTGGGATGAATCTTAATTGCTGTGTAACAAATTAAACACGTGTTGGGCGAGAAGAGGAGAATTCCGTTTACAATCTCTATTATCGCTCTATGTCTAGTTTTCAAGGTGACAGTATTTCATTGTCTGTTTTTTTTATATCTGCTGATTTCATTCTGTTTTTCTAGACTCTTCATGTATATTTAGTGTGACGTCAACTATATTGAACCTGCTGATAGTGGTCTCTCGGCGGAGGAGTTTTATCGTCTTGTGCTCATTGTGTATTGTCCTTGACGTCTTTTTTGCGTTGTATCATTCTGGGGTTTGTCTCAGCCCTTTCTCATCCAATATTGCGCTGCTTAAACAGGCATGTGTTTTGCATGGCTTAGAATTTAAACACCTTATCCAGTGGTCGAGCTATGAAATTTCTTGTTGCAACATTTACTTCATGGCGAGTGGTCTATGGACCCAGAAGACGTTGGCGGCTACGTAAGTCAAATACTCTGTTCTAATTTCTCTTTTCTTCTTCTTTTTTCCTCGCTGTCAACCACGATGACAGCCTTCTTTTCACCGTCGGCCGTACGCATGTGTAAACTTGCACATGCACTCAAACCATATCCCCGCCGATGTGAACGTTTCAACCACAACTTTCCGTTGCTCGCACCTCCCACACTCAAATGATACCCCCTGCAACATCCTGCAGCTATGGCGCGGCACTCGCATCAACGCAACCACCTGTGCCCTTGGTCAACCTCCTGTTATCTCCCGTCATACCAACACACCCAACCAAGACCTCTTCCCCGTCCTTCCATTATCCTGCTGTTGCCTCCGTCGCCCCACACATCCGGCCGAGACCTTCCTCCTTCTCGCTAGGTTAGCATCCTGATTTTGCGCTCTTCATGCTATTCCTTTTATCACACTACCATTGTATAGTTGGATGATTGTTTTTGAATGTAATGATATTGTCAACTCAAGCATTGAGTATCGAGTTGTTCATAAATGACAAACAATATGTGCAAGTTTCTCGAGTCTCTGATAATACCTTCTAGCAATATCCTACAGGCGCACATGTAAATAAGTACAACGATACTATATCCTGCTAGCCGTTGCCCTGGGCCCTATATGACCCTCACTATGCGCTCTACAAAATCCATACCCTCTTGCGAAAAACCCCCCTCCCATACTTCATCATACTTTTCCTCTTCAATAAACTGCATCACGGTCTCCGCGTGATGCCCAGAAGAAAATGCGAGATAGCACACCACTATTGACATGACATCAATTGTGTAATCCGCTGGTGCGACAACGAGTAGTTGGACATTGAAGCGCGGAGGGTGCTTTGGAACGAAGCTGCTTGAATACGGCATGACCAGGGAAAGGTAGTCCCGTGCTGCAAGGAGTTGGGAGGCGCTGAGCACTGTGCGACCTCGGTTTCTCCCCTGCCTTGGGCACTTGAGTGTTAGCTTCTGCGTCCTCAAAACATCTTCCACGATTTCCTCGCTCCTGGAGCCTGATGCTGCAATGTCTTCGACAGGCTCTATTTGCAGAACGTGACTGAAAGGCACCCCTGCTTCTGCACAAAGCATTTCGACTTCATGTGTGTCGGCTGATGCGACGTACAGGCACACCATTATTTCTTGGAGATGATAGCGCCTTGAAAAATATTCAAAGGGTGCGTCATAGTGGATAAAATCATGCCACTTTGGACGCGCGCTGCTCGGTGTCACCTGGGTGGTGGGTGTGTGACCTGTTACGGGGTCAGTGAGATGTTTTGATGTCGTTTCGACTGTGAATCGGACAGAACGGCGCTCTCGGAGTGGCAGATGTATTTTGACGCGGGGATCAATATTCAGTGCGGGTGTCAAATCATTCGTTGACATCTTTACGATAATTGAAACGAGGTAGGGTGTATAAAATGTGATGGAGACCGTTTAGATGATGTACAGATTCGTGAACAGGAGACGCTCGCGCATTTTATACTTTGAGAGGTGTGGACTCGGAAGTTGTGGGCCTTGTGGCTCTCTGTCCACATCCCACACATCAAAAAAGTAGGAACAATGAGCATCTGTTTCATGAGTACTCAGTCATGCGCATATTTGGAAGAATGACAGCACCTGACATACTGTGGATCTGAAGACAGAAATTCGTATTTTAGACGCAAGTATACTGCTAGTGCAGTCAGTTGCCGCGAGTCGAGTAAATTAAAAGTGCCACTTTGTTCTGAAGTCACGGATTGGATAATTTAGATTACATAATGAAATCATGACATCCACTACATCCGATGAGTCAGTGCGCCAGTGTCGAGTAATTATTAGCAGTCACTTCCTTGTAGATCCAGCGCACCAGTAAAACGCTCGTGACTAATCTGCTCTGCTGGTGGCACGCTTTTGTCCTTCTAAAAACCATGACTTTATCATCATCCATGAAAGACTACGAGATATTCATGTCCACGGTCCAGAAGCCGCCCGAACCGGAGCAAAGCTTTGAGGTGCGCCATCACATTGATTACCCATTGCTCCTACTCAATATACCACACAATCATAAGGAGCTACGCGTAAAAGAATACATCAAAGCATACACAGCGACCGGTCGACCACCAGCGCCAGTCCCAGAACTACCAAATACTCCAAATGCTAGATATGCACTCGGCTTGCCAGCGATATTTTCTCCCATTCCAATAGAATCGACTCCGAGCATCAGCCCTGCAAGTATTGTGGCAGAGAAGGCCATAACAAACCCCAGTGATCTGCCCACCATCCAAGTATTTCAGTCGACTAAGACACCGATCGAAGGGCAGTTCCAGAGCATCACAGCACAACCTACTTTTAGCTTTTTCTCCTATGAAGTATGTATTCATAATATCGCGCACCCGCGGCCTATTTTTCTTTATCTCCAGCCACCGACACAGGAATGTTGACGACCGCCTATCGAATCCAGGAATTACGGTTTTATGCATATCTTTCGGGGAACATCATGCCTCCGACCACAGATATACTCTCGTCGGACAATGTGCCAACACAAGTCATCCATCCATTTTACGCCAATGACTCAGTAGCAACCGCATTCACGCGCGCCAGCTTGGGCCCTGACGCTTCAGATGCCTACATGAGCATCACGGCGTCTCTCAAATTCGATAAACATTCATTCGAGGTATATCTTCCTATTCTGGATGTATTCCATGTGAATGCTCTCATCTCGACTTTAGGAACTACGGCTAGCGTACCGTCTTGCTGGCAAGGAGCTTACCTCATTCGAAATTTCCACTCGTGGGTTGCTACAGTGGAAGACAGACGATGTTTTCAGTAACCACCCGCGCCCAGGGTAATTCTGTTGTATGGTGGATGTTTGGTTACACTTTGACTTGCCGCTAAGCCGCACGAATTTTCACTGTCCGTTGTTCGAGTGTTGATTATTGTTTGCATCATTTACCGTATACCATCATCGTTTCGCGTTTCGTACTTGTACTACATGTACAGAATGTTGTTGTTCTGGGTAATGATCGAGAAGTCTAGTGTACACAACATGTATTCGACTCAAATTGGGTTTTTGGGGGGTATATTTATCAGTTCATCCTTGAGTTCTCTACTCATACCCTGACTTGTTCAATTATATATGCTGGAATCATAGGATAATACACGGAAGCTTGTCAGTCATAAAGATTATTCGAGCACAGCCTACGTAATAAGTAGTTCGCACACACAAACTTCCTCTCAATCAAAAAAGAGCGCTAACTAAACAAAAAAATCCATCAACTTAACACAAACACTAACTAATGCAACACGCTCTTCCCCACTCTCAGTATGAGCGCTTATACCCTCAAGTTTGTTTGTTCCTGTCAAGCGGTTGATCTTACGAAACAAATCAGAATTAGACGAATAAAGCGATGGGCCAAAGTGTACGTCTAGAAGCAAGGAGTAAGGAAACTTTGTCGAACTCCGGAAACGCATTATAAGGAAACAAACTATTATTTTTAGCGGTCTATGAGGAATGGCGACATACTATGTGATATAAATGATTGCTCGTGTTTGTTCGTAAAGTCAATATAGTTCCTTTCCGCTCAATGAATACAGACACCCAGTGCCTGATGCAACAAGGCAGGACTACCATCCCAGCACAGGTAAGCGCCCATTCGCTGGCAAAACATGAACGCCCATGACCCATATCTACAAGGAACCACAGATTAGGTCATAGACAAGACAATAAGAAAGGATACGAACGTTATACAGGCGGTAGCTCCACTGGTCATTAATCTCGTCACGATAGAGAAAGTAGCGAAGTCCGATCCAAGAACCGAGAGAAATAAAGAAAATGCTGCAGAGAGGCCCTATGCTCCACAACATTGTGAGAGCAAAAGAAAGTAGCGGAAGGACGCAAAGCATATAAATGCGAGATCCTTCGGGTGCTACAATCGGCAGAGTTCGTCGCCCCGACTTTCGATCGCCATTGACGTCGGCGAAATCCTGCGCATGGATTGTCAATAATACGACAATCGCGCTACACAAGAACGCTTTTATGCCCCTTCTGTCAAGTGAAGACTCCCCTGCTAAATTATGAATCGAGTTAACAAGATATTTCCCCAAAGAGGGAGAATTGCCTACACAAAATCAATGAACAACCCACTCCACCTGTGACGCTAGCCGCTACATTGCATAAGGTCTTGAAAATAGGATGGTGACTGAGATGAAGATCGTCGTGGAAGATCGTAATCACAGTGGACACTGCGCTAGTTATAACGACATTTAAGCTAAAAAGGGATGAAAGGCCCAAGCAGAAAACCAGGAGTCCCCAGCGCAAGGCACGAGAATTCTCGACGCTAATGCGCCCGGACGGTAAAGGGCGCCACGGTTTATTCACACTATCTTCATCAGCAGAGTAGGACTGATTAGAGACGTTGAATTGGAAGAGATGGAACCAGAGCCAGCACACAGTGCATGCCAGGGCTATCGGGTCATGGCAAGGAGATACAACAGCTGCAAATACCATCTACCATAAAAATTCAGTGTCGTGTAGTAGCATTCATTAACGGAACGAATACCATTGGAAAAATTAGTGTTTTGAAGTCGGATGCTGTGAAAAGCCAAGCAGTCTCGCAGTGGCGCAAAGCACTGCGGAAAGCGGTCGCTGCGAAGCTAGACATGATTGTTGCAACTTCTGTTTCGCCGTCCAGCATTAAATAGTTCGAAAGAATGGCTGGATTTTTATTTTTATTTTAATCTTGTAAAAAAAATGTTCAATTCGCCATCATTACGTTCCGTATAGCGGTGGCCTCTGGGCGCGGATACCGAGGAGCGTAGCACTACCATCGCAAGCGGTATCAACCTACTGGTAGCAATGTGACCTGCAGTGACTGCACGGAGAATTTTCGGAGGGAAAAGGCTACAGGGGTTACGTGTAGACACTAGAATAATCACAGTTAGCGAGAACGATGACATATACCGCAACAGAAGTATTCATGGGAGAATTGAACCTTTACGCCAGTCAGTGTATAGCATTCTGGATTTGAACAGAGTCACCGAGGGGTTTAAGGAATCGGCGAGTATCCCTGTGGGAAGTAAAACAATCAGATTAAGTGACAGTGGGAGTGAATGTTTTAAATATCGACCTACTAGATGTTTCTCCAATCTCAAATGTCACCAACAATATCAACCGAGCATGGTGCGTGAGCTTGATTTTGTCGCCAACCTTCGCCAAAGAGGTACGCGCAGATTGCCGACGTTGAGTCCGTCATGTGACGCCCATCTATTAGAGCCGTGTACGCTAAGCGCTTGCGAGACGCATAGCAACACAACAAACGTCTGCATCTCGTGATCTGAAATCACAAGTGACACAGGGGGGCGAGATGCAGTTTGATTGACGACTAGAAAAACCAGAAGCCATGACGACGTACACAACAGAGGAGATTGCGAAGTAAGAAAAGAGAAAAACAGATCATTTCATGCTGACAAACCTCAATAGTCTAAGTAAGGCCGTCGGACCCGCAACGAAGCTCACACTGACTGTCAGCCTTCAATTTGACTCGCGGCCGGGCCCCTTCTATGGCCACTAGTCAGGTGGAAGTGTACTTTGGCCTAGATACTTGTTCATGAATTTTTTGGAGTAGCACCAATGATGAATACTTGAAAATCGTTCTTTAAGACTCGTCGATTCATAAAGAACATTGATACTTCAATAAATAACAACACAGCACCACTGGAAGTGAACCAGAACCTCCAGCACAAATACGGTCCTGAAAGTAAACGAGGGAAAAGGCCGGGCATGATAGAGGAAAAGGATTGAAGCTTTCAACCTGGAAATAAGCTACGTGTGAACGAAGAAAACACTAAAATATGGATGAGAAAAACATCTTTGGGGGCTACTTAAGTAGTCCGCATGCCCAAGCTTCCTCCCAATCAAAGGAAACAGTGAACTGGATGGAAGAATCCCCCAACTTGGTACGAACACCAACAGACACAACACAACCTTCTCCACTCTCGATGTAAGCGCTGATGTCCTTGGGTTCCCAGTAGGTCGAGCGTGGGGGATCGAACAACGTCAATAGTTCAACATCCACGTTCTCCTCGCTCAGACTCGTCTTCGCAGCAACCGTGAGCACGATTCGCGGTAGCACCAGCGAAACTGTTTGAAGGCGTTTAAACGAATCCCATGGGACGCTTGTCATCCACTCAGGCAGTGGGTATTTCCAATGTTCCAAATCGTTGAAGCAGGGATCATAGGTAGGGAGTAGATGAGTTTCTGCTCTTGAGGGAGAGAGGAAGGAGAGACGTGAAATGGAGGCGAGGAAAGCGGATCCCTCGGCAGTACTTGTGAGAGGGCGCCATCGATTGAATTCCCCTACTAATGTCAAATTGTCGGCGCGCCAAGGGAGAGGAGCACGTTCTGGGTCGTTCATATTGATGTGGGAGCTCCATGCGGACTCGAGGCAACCGTAGAGAAGCCACAAACTTTCAAAGTCTAGTGCAAGGGAGGGTGCAGAGAGCAACACTGGTGCCAGTAGGCTGAAGTCAATGTCACGCTCAGACGTGGTGGATGAGACAAAGCTGCCATACAAGGGAGCTTGTGGGGGAGGTTCGCAGATTTGTCCAAACCAAATCCTATCTATACGACCAGCGTAATCGAAACGGAGGTCATTTTCATGTAGAGCGAATGCTTGCTGCATGCGCAGAGCATGGACGAAAGCCGTAACATTGTTGTATCCCGGGAGCAATATTGTGCGCAGGAGCTCTGGAAGGACGGTGCGTCTGACGATTTTGGAGACGCGGCATAGTGAGAGGGCGGATGCATATGGATTCTTCGAAACATCCGAGTCGTCGCCAGTTTTGAAGAAAGTAGGCCTTGCAGCGTGTGTAAAGATGAGAAGGACGAGTTCCGACGAAAGATTTGCAAATGGAAATTGGGAAGTGGCTTGCATGATGGGACGGAAGGGTGTGAAGTTGTTTAGATGATGCATAAATTTTCGTAGAGACGCACCTTATATACCAACGATGATCCATATGTGGATTATGGTCTGGGATAAAAAAGGGCGTTCGCCGTTGAACGCCAAGGTCCACAGTCACAGGCTGCGGCACACATCGTCCACAGTGGAGATACCGGTGTATCTGAGGAAATGCAGTCCACGCAAATTTATGTTCCATTCGGTTGCGCGATTGCAATGTACTGTAGCTCCATAGAATCAACTTATCAGTGTCCACGAGAAGGTTGGCCTGGAGGAGCTGGCTGGTCCTTCGGTTGATACAAAGTCACTGGCCGAAATTGCTTCCGTAATCGAACCTAATGAAGCCTTCCCTTTGTACGTACTTCAACCACCAGTAGTCGAAGAAAGCGTTTCACAAGCCTGAAATACACAGACCTAAATGTTACACAGCTGTACCTCTGCGTGGCCTTGAAACCCGGTCGGAGGTGCTGTTATGATAATACTAATATTAAGTCGGCTTGGATTACTTTCGCATGTTGAAGCGATAGATATCTTCCGCACAGGAATTCGGCCAAGTTTTTCAGAAAGGTACGCTAGGCTGTGTGGCATAGCTCTTGACAAAGCTTCCATTCCGACTACTTACCTTGTTACAGCATCTTGGTCTTGAGGAAGCTACTAGCAGAATCGTAAGATATTAGCACCAGTGGCGGCATCATCTTGCCCTAAATTACTAGCATTCAAGTTAGTAACTCAGCGCTCAACGTTCAACCCGGAGTTCATGTCATATCACTTTGTCTTCGACGCACCACCAAATATCTTGAGCTTACTAGTAACCTTTAAGCGCTTACTATGGATATGGCGCCCGGTGCAGGCTGTACGCCACGCGGCAGCAAATACAGCAAGTACAGCTCTGAGCTGCAAGTACTCGACTGAGTCGACTCACTGGACTCTACTTAAGCATCCATCAGTAACCTTAGGATTTCTCCCAACTCCACAGTTGCTGCACGGCTTGATCTTTGCTCAGTTTGCTACCGTTGGACAAACTTACGACGCCAATATTTGTTATCCATCCTTCAAGATTCAAGTTGCAGATTAGACTTTCTCGATCAACATTTTCGTACGTCTTTCCTCAGGATGACCGATATGATGTCCAACCTAGTCACATCATTGATTCTTGAACACCAGTGCTGGTGTTTCTATCCCCCAGACCCACCAATCGTGTCTTATCATCAACCTTTCATGATGAGTTACCAGGATCATTGTTAGTATTCCGTCTCTTATGATCTCTTTCGCATTCTAACTTCATCAACAGTTTGTAGTGATCTTCGATCAATTGAAGGAACTTGGGAGAAGCTTTCTCAGGTTACTGTCAAGGGTGCTGAATACGACTCCCGTGAACGCCAACCCCATCCAAAATGTCTAAAGGGGACCCGGGTGGACCTCCTCGACTACATCTTTGGGTTATTAGACAAGAAAGAGAAGAACCGTATTATCTGGCTGCACGGTACAGGCTGGCGTCGGAAAGTCTGCCGTTGCGTTCACCGTGGCTGAAAAGATGAGAGGTCTGAAAATGACAAAGGAGAAAGGAGAAAAACGGCTCGGGGGAACATTCTTTTTCTCGCGCAAGCACACGAAGCGCCGCACTACTGGCTATTTCTTTGCGACGCTTGCCTACCAGCTTGCAAGCAATTTCCCCAGCATCCGGGGGGACGTGAACAAAGCTATAATCGAGAATCCCGCCCTTCTAGATCCTGACAAATCTCTTCGGGATCTGATGGAGGCATTGTTTCTCCGACCTCTCCAGAGACTCTTTCTCAGACTTCGCGGATGTCCGCCTTTGGTGTTTGTTATCGACGCCCTTGACGAATGCACACCCGAATCACTCGATGCTGAATCCCTCGATGAACCTACCTCCGAAAGCGAGCTCGCTGATCTTATCTCCATGCTTGGCGAAGCTCTTTGTGAACCTGATCTGCCCATTGTCCACATTCTGCTCACGAGTCGATCGGAAGAGCATATCCGCAGAGCTATGCAGATTGAAGAGGTGCGCCCGCTGGTGTGTGAGATACCAGTGAAGACTTCTGGGAAAGGCATTGCTGCCACCATCTCGTTGGACGGCGCAGATGTTGACAATGACATATACGTTTTCTTGCAGCACTCGTTCAGAGAGCTGGAAAGTCGCCATCCAGATTTCCCACAGCCATCGGCCGATCAACTTGCACGGCTGGCGAGTCGAGCGGGGAGACGTTTTATTGTTGCATCTACGATGATGAAGTTCATTGACGACCGAAACCATGATCCCCGTGATCGACTTCAGCTCATGCTCGAGTTAACGAGCGAAATGCTACCAGGGACGGAGGTGTACAAGCTCTACGACCGCATCCTCTCCACGTGTGCCGATCCAACGCTAGCATATCTACACTTGTCTGTTGTTGCTGCCCTCGCAGACCCACTTCCAACGTCGCAAATCTCGAAACTTCTTGGCCCCGGCCAGGGCAGGGACGTCGAGAAAGTACTGACGCAGCTACGATCTATCATAGATGTTCCCACCGACAGCAGTCTCCCCGTGAATATCTATCACTCGTCTGTTCGTGACTATGTGTCCCACCGATCAAACTGCAGCCTCCGTCAAGTACAATCCATCACATCACCGCACTCCCTACTCGCTCTTTCCTCTTTGCGCTTGATGACGCGAGAACTTCCAGATCGCACGGCCCTCCTAGATGTACTTTCAGAATTAAAGAAGCACACTCAAGCTACGCAACCCCAGGACCCCTTGAATTTGAAAAAACTCATTATCCTTCATCGTCCAGCCACCAGAGTCAATGCAAGTTCTTATAGGTCTACTATGGCTTCGTGGACATCGTGGCTCAGAGTTGCAGTTCTGGCTAGAGACTGTGGATGGGCATGCCTGGCTGCAGACTCAGGAAGGGAAAGACTGGATGCTGACCGACGGCGGGAGAGACTGGTTATCGTCTCAAGGGGGGAAGGATTGGTTGCAGAGCCCGGGCGGACTAGACTGGCTGCAGACCCCAGCCATGAAAGTCTGGGTGCGGACCGGACCCAGGGTGGGTTGAACTGGCTACAAACTCAGGCCGGGATAGACTGGCTGCAGACTCAGTACGGACGAGACTGGTTACAGACCCCAGACGTGGAAGACTGGGTGGAGACTCGAGGTGGACGACAGTGGTTGCAGACGCCGGGTGTGCGGGAGTGGCTGCTGACCAAGCGCGGGCTAATTTGGCTGATGACGCCGGGAGTGGGCGTACGAGACTGACTGGAGACCCCAGGTGGGAACGACTGGCTGGAGACTGGGCAAGATTGGCTGGAGACCTCGAACGTGCAAGATTGGCTGGAAAGACCGGTTGGGCAAAATTGGCTACAGATCACAGCTGGGCGAAACTGGCTGCAAGCCGGAGACCATAAAGACTGGTTGCAGACTGCGGGTGGGAGTTGCTGGCTGTACCCCAGGTGGGAACGACTGGATGAAAACTGCAGATGGGATAGCCTGGATGAAGACCCCGGGTGGGCGAGTCTGGATGCAGACCTCGATTGGGAAGGCCTGGCTATGCACCTCGGGCGGGAAAGAGTGGTTGCAGACCGGGTGCGGGACAGAGTGGCTGCAGACCCCGGGTGGGCGAGCCTGGATGCAGTACTCAGGTGGGGTAATCTGGTTGCACACCCTGGATGGGAAAGAATGGTTGCAGCAAAACGGGAAAGAGTGGCTGCAGATAATGGGTAGGCCGCAGTTGCGGATCATGGTTAGTCCATTGCCGCCGCAGCTGCTAGACAGGGACTTGTAGATCGTGGATGGGAAAGAGTGGCTGCAGACGCTAGGTGGGAGCGAGTGGCTGGAGGGAGGAGGCGGAAAAGAGTGGCTGCTAACTCAGGACGGGCGAGATTGGTTGCAGACTGTTGGCGGGAGAGACTGGTTGCAGACCCATGGCTGGGCGTGCCTGGATGACGTCTGTGGATGGGCGCGCCTGGCTGCAGACTCCGAGCGGACGAGATTGGCTACATACCTCATGCGGGTACGCCTGGATACGGTCCTCAAGCGGCCAAGACTGGCTACAAACCCCAGGCGTACAAGAGTGGCTGCAGACCCCGAGCGGTCGGCAGTGGTTCCAGACCTTACCCTCCTTCTCCCAACCTTCATTGCTATCCTCTGTATCAATCTCCCAGCCATCCTCACAACCACCCCTCAACAGGGAAGATCAGCTACAGAGCTCAAACGAGGGGGCCTGGCTGAAGGTTCCAGGCAGCCTACGTTGGCTGCAGAGCCTTGAAGGGAAGGAGTGGATGCAGTACCGTGGAGGGTGGGACTGGCTGCCAACCCAAAGTGGGAGAAATTGGCTACAGGACACAGGCGGTCAAGACTGGCTACAGACCTCGGGCGGGCGAGACTGGTTGCAGGCTCAGGGTGGGCAAGACTGGCTGCAGAAGTATGGTCAAGACTGGTTGCAGACACAGAGTGGCCAGGACTGGCTGCAAACACCGCATGGTCAAGCATGGCGTTTGACGACTATCTGGGTGACTGTCGAAGAATTTTCAAGCACATTAGAAACGATCAGCGAGTACATAACTGCCCCAGAACTGCTTTTGCAGCCAGCTTTTCAAGCAATCCAGCAGTTCAAGTCCCTGCCAGATTTCTTGATGTTCCCGGCATTCCTGGCGTTAAGGCACCAAGATCATTCCACGTCTGCATTACCGCAAAGTTGCCCAGAAGACATGGAACTCATCCATGCTATGAAAGCTTTTTCAACTTTTGCATGCGAAGCACGCGCACGCAGTCGATCAGCTTCCGACGCCCTCAATTATGCATGTCAAAACTGGGCTATCCATCTCTCGCGAGCTCCAAATCCGTGGGACCCGAGGCTCGCCCATCTGTTTAAGTCTTTCTGGAATCATGATCTGCTCTCCTGGCTCGAAAGGCAGTGGAGTTCGAAGGATTTGCAGTCTTGTCTTACTATTTTATCCGAAGGCCAGAAACTTGCGATGGTGGGTGTTTCCGACGTTCTCTAGACTCATAACATCAAGGACTGACCTGCGCTTATAGGAATATCTTCTCCAGGCTCCAGTGTGATTTCCTTAACGAGTCATAAGGTCACGATCTCAGGATACGACATGCCATGTTGTCTTACTACTGTACACTTATATTTCATGTTGCTTAAGTATCTACAATACCATATGAAAATCGCAATATGTATAGCACCATAGACAAAGTCATATGAGCGAAGGCAGACGTTTGACTGGTCATTGGTCACAAATCTCGCTGCGGAAGAGGAAATAACGAAGTCCGACCCCAGAACAGATACAACCATGCAATAAAGATACTGCAGGGGCCCCACTAGGCTCCGCAATGAGGCAAGTGCAAAGGATAACAGTTGAAATACATACACGAGATCCTTTGGAGCTACAATCGGCAGAGCTCGTCGTCTTGAGATGCTATCACAAAAGATTCATCATTATGAAACATTCGCGAAATCACGCGCATGAATTGTCAGGAACAATATGACATGGGGTGCATAAAGATGTTTTCATGCCCGTTCCATCAAGCGAATATTCTCCTGCTAAATATTGAGTTGATCAATGAATTGTTATCATGAGGGGCATAACTGCCTACATAGAACCAACCAAGTCCAGCAGTCATTGATTCTGCATGAATGAAAATGAGATGGTGACCGTGGAGACAAAGATCGTAGCGCATGAAGGTTCAGGGCAGAAAAAATGAGTCTCCACAGGCAGAACAAAGAAGGCAAACTTGTCTTCGACACTAATCCACCAAGAAGAGCATGCATGGTGTATTTACGACACCTTCATGAGCAAAGTAGGATTGCTTAGAGGTGACGTTGCCAATGCGAACCGTGGCGATCCGCATCAAGCCAGGGCTAGTTTACCGTGACTAGTAGTGGGTCGTGATTCGTGACGAGGAAATCAAGCGTTGCGCACTAATAGTTGGGATAGATATTACTAGTACTGAGATCCACTTGATTTGTCGATCCTGTGTAGGGATTCTGCCATTACCTCGCGTTAAGTTTGTAGAAGGCAAGCCCAGTTTGTGCGTAGCTTATGGAATTGGCGTTTCCGAGAGTCCCGAAAATGTGACATGGGCGTATGAATCAAGAGGTATCAACCTCTACGTTATGTAAAAGAATTGTTCAGCTTCAAATTCATGGACCACGACGCGTTGTGAAACCAGATAACTGACACGCGACCCACACACGACTCGGAATCCAACGTCCAATACATAGAATAATGCTACAGGTATAGTGTATAATCCACGAGTGCACAGTGAAAGCAATGCTAATGACCATGCGAATATAAAGTGTAAGTATGTATGTAATAGCACGACCCTCTCTCACGCGCTCGCAGCAATGACAGGCGGAAGCTCCATCGCCCTTCCCTGCCCTTGCGGACTCGGTTTCTTCTTGCTTCCTCCCGCCATACCCAAGGCCGCCCCACCCCCTGCTCCACCAGTCCCCCCACTCGATCCATTAGTGACAACACCACCAGGTCCAGCTTCCACCAATATCTCTTCCTTCCGCCCCAAGCCCATTGAACGCGCGCATCGGTTCCACTGGAACGGCATCCGACATACCAGGCCCTGACATCGGCCCTGGCTCTTTCGCTTTGTTCTTCTTCTTGAAAGCCCCTGCAGCAGCGCCTGTCTTGAGTACCTGACCCAAGGGTCCAAGCTTCGCCTGTGCAGGTGCGGGTGCATCGTCTGGGATCGTGATGATGCGTGCGAAATCGCCTGATGGATTTGGTACATAAGGCAATGGTAGGACACCAGGGTGAGGAAGGAAGCCAAATTGAGGGCCCGGTGGGAGATAAGGGAGACCTTGGAGGGAGCCGGGAGGTGCCAGTGCTGCAAGCCGCACTTGAAAGTAGGGATGCAATAACCCAATTTGATCGCCCACATTCTTGCTCGTGATAGGAAGTAGGGGAGGTGGTGGTGGATATGGTGGTGGTGGTTCTTTGGGTTTTGCTCTGAGGGCAGGTAAAATTAGACAACGAATCAGGAGACTGGATAGACAGGACCCACTCGATAGCAGCCCCTGCTGCTCCCCGTGATTTCCCCTTGAGTAGCTTCTTTGGGATAGTGAGGCTTGATAACCCCAATTCGGCAGCAATGCCAAGCTCCCGTAACCCAAGAAAGTCATCACCAAGTGAGTCAGAAAACCCACCCATTACAAACGCACTTTCGTCCTCTTCATCATCTTCACCAGCAAACAGCGCATCGTCGTCGAGAACTTCCACTTGCGTCTGTATATGTGGTGAGTACAGGGGATATTAGTTAGGAATAAAGGGACGATTTGACTAACAGCTTCGCGATACGCTCCAACGAGCTTTTTCTCGAGGTCAACAAGGCGCGAACCGTGCCGGACGACGTCATCCTTGATATACCGCTCAAGATCTTGAATCCTTGTGACTCCACTCTCGAAGAGTGTATGCAGGATTATTTCCTATAACACGTTACTAGTGAGTTCCAGGTCGACGACGAGAGGGAAAAGGTGAGACGTACCTCTGACGTCATGCTCTTCGCATACTTGTCGCACATAAATCGTAGCGTTCGACCGACATTAAGGAAATACTCAGACGTTACCCCTACCAACACATCCAGTGCAGCGCCTGACGTCCCTGGATATGAAGTGAATGTAAGTACGCGAGTTTTTAGCCGTCGATCAGGCCCAACAAAATAATGAGGACGAAAGGAGAATATGAAACGCACCTTGAAATCCTTCATGTTCCAACACCTTCCGATTCATCCATTTAAGACATTCGTCCGCATTCTTCTCACCAACTTCTAGTTCAACTGGTCCCTTCACCTGTCTAAGACCAGCATATCTCGCTCGCCACGGCCGCTCATCTATAATCTCGTCAACTATGCCCTCTTCCCCTATATCTGGCGGCTCATCCCCCATACCACCCTCTTCTGCGTTAAGGTTGAGCGCGGCAAACTTAGCATGCGTACGTCGGACCCGTTTGAGAGTTTTAATGTTCGTGTTCATGATACTGAGAAGGGTGTTGGGCGCAGCAGTATCTCTGTCCTTGTATTTTGCTATGGACTGAGGGCGGAGTTTCCGCCGCTTGCGGGGCCTTGCAGATTGCAGTGAGGAAGGTGTAAACTGGGATTGTGGATAGAGGGTCGATGCAGCGAAAGGCTGGGGAAGGGCTGGAAGTCCATTGGCGAGAAATGAGTCAGACTGAACAGAGGACCACCAGGTCGAGTTCGGGTCGTTTGCCGTGGGAATAGGCGCAAAGGGAGGAGGGGTTAGACGTACGCGTTTACGAGGATGATAAGATGAACCGTTTCTGCATCGAATAAGCGAAGAGGTACCGCAGTCAGTATTTGTCGATCAATGTATGAAGGATGCATTGGCAAAGGAACAAAATGGTGAGGCTCACAGCTTGCGTTTCTCCCCCGAGTCGTTATCTATCGACATTACCGCTTCGTCTGCTTCGCTGTCGTAATCATTTGTAGAAGCAGACGAGCCGTATCCATTAGGGATGCTTGATGGACCAGCTTCTGACTCAAGTGCACGGAACGAGGCCATACCATGCGGCGTACGTTCAAGCGCAGGGGAATCGGCGAAAGGGAGATCCATGCGCTGCTTTGGGGTGGTTTGCGTTATGGTCAATGATGGAGATCGTCTGTGTGTGTATGTCGTGCCATTAATCTTGGGCCGTGCCATCGCGTTAGGTCTCATTGGGACAGGAGAAGCGGAATTTGGAGGCTGGGATAGAGCAGCAGGTAAGGGTGGGTCAATTCGTTCTTTGCGGTCAGTGATGTTCTTCAGTAGTCTATCGGCTTTCTTCTTGAGGCGCATTGCGCATTGGCGGAGGGGGTGGTCCTGCGCGGCACAGTGGGCCTCACCACGCGTTTTCACGACGGTGATACATACCTCAGTCGCATTGTAGGTGAAACAGTTTGACCATATCAGATCTAGATCATCCGCAAACTCGCGCTTGGACTTGTACTGCTTTGATTTGACCTTCTTGAGCATGGATTGAAGGTCCATGGGGTTTACGATCACTGGATGGTATGAGACGGGGCATGATGAGACAAAATATGTGAACACACCATCGTAGTAGTCGGGAACATCAGATTTTGAAACTGGCTTAAGGAATGCCTCCGCGTCGTGATTATCCTGTGTATGATGTCAGCGGGGTAAGATAGCGTTGATCCGTATGCACTCACCATAGTCACTGTACGCAGATCATGAAGGAGTCCCTCAAGGGAGTCATAAAAGGGGTCGGATACCTTGGCATCGTAGCTTTGGCGCTAGAACGATTTAATGCATTATTTCTGCTTTAGGCACAGCACGGAACAATAAGACTCACGCGTGCGTCCTTAACAGCACTCAGAAGTAGCCTAAGGTCAGGCGAGGGCTTGACCTGGCTCTCGGTGAGTGTCCTGAGGAGATTCTGCACACTGTTAGTTGTATGTGTGCGGATGGCTTGACGAAGCTTACATTCATCCTCTGGTCGCGCCGGCTGGCGTTAACGGCGCAACGGACTCAGCGGGACAACTGCCTTGTTCAGTCGGAGTTTAAATATATATGGAAACCTCCGAACAAGACGATATCTGGTGGGTTTAATAGCCTGGTAGTTGGCCAACTTTTGAATCGATTGAGCGGGCCAGGCAGCAAGGTCTATATGGTATAATGTTGGTGGACTGTGGGAAGTTTTTTTGTTGCTCATGTTTGTGCTGTGAGCACAATGATCAACTTGCACTTTCTAGCGGACTCTCCAGCATATGCGATCTCCGAATCATACATGAATACTGGCTGCTGCCAGAACGGTAGAATATTAATACTAATGATCGAACTAAAAAACCAAAGAAAAAAAATGGTTGCGTTGCAGTAATTAAATACTTGCTCGCAGCAAACAATGATGATTGATGACCCCAGTCTGAAAAATAACAAAAGTTTTGATCATCATTTCAAGTGTACAAAAAGCAAGACAACCGATTGCGCATGAGTACGTATATCTGTGCTAGTGGCCTGTGGCCCATGCATCAGTAATTTTCCATCCTTCATGGTGTACAACTGCATAAGTCGCTAACCTGACGGACCGTGTCCCATACAACTCTACCTCACGATCCTCTACCTTCATAGCTATGGCGCGGATCCTTGACGTCGTTCACGTCAGGGTTCCAGGGACTTGCATCAGAGAATGGGCAACACCTCCGACGTTGAGACTGCAAATGAGCATTCCAAAAATCCTTCAGAACAACACACCATAGAAAAATAAACAGTATCCATATCCAGTAGACGTCAGGCCAGTCATCAACTCAGTGACAGCTAGGCCACTTATCCGTTGTCACCCAAGCCAATTTCACTTCCCTCGAGGCATGCTAGATGAGCAAGTGATAGTAGCTGCCTCTGCAGTATATCAAGAGAAGATACAGTTGTCCATGCGCAAAAGGGTCCGTTCTGAGATCCAGAATGGTGCTTGAGAGAGTCCTTAGAGTCGCTGCTGAACCGATTATAGCATGAGCATGCACAAGATAAATCATTGAATGCCATCCTCGATGCTTGAAGCTGTGTTAGCTCCAGGGTAAAAAATGGTTGAAGTCACCGTGATGAAACCGTCAGTGGTAGCATTTCCGGTAATTGTTACTGTGATTGTATTGATACCTGGACGCATCCTGAACACCGACCAAAAGTTCGGGGAACGTGCAAGTTGTGGATAGCCATGTGCTGGAGACGATGTTAGATATAAACTTGAGCAGTTGAACAGCTTGAGGCTGAATTGAGAGAATAATCACCTTGAGCAAATAGATGTTGTTTTGTATGAAGATGTTGTTCATCCGTGACTGTTATGATCAGCGCTTATTCAGCGGTAGCATTCAGGCCCTTCAAGTTCCTCACGTTCGCTATGTACATCTTCTGACTGCCGTTTGCACATGCTTTCATGCTCCGTGATTTTTCACTACCGCATACTTAATTGGTCTACTTGTAATTTCCAAACTATGACCTATGCGCAACACCAGTCCCAAGCCAACCCGTCCTGGAAATTCCCTCAAGACTAGGCAAGCATCTTAAATACAAGATGCACATTTGAAGCAGTAGTCATGATGAATGTGTATTATGACTAAATTTAGTTCTCGGAGCGTCGGAATGTGCCAGGCTTGATGAGAAATAGCAGCTACACGTACTACTATGAGTACTAGCTATAGTACCGAAGTTATCTCGTAATGCTGTGTCGTCCGGTTTATACCCAGCGGTTCTTCCCTAGACGCTTATCTTCATGGCGGCTCTCTTTCTCACGCCATTCCTCCTCTAGCAACATCCTTGAACTTTATCATAGCAGTCATTCTCCGCTGACGCTGATAACATCTGAATCCTTCAGCTGCTACTTTCTCTACCCTAACTTAGGACGACGACGAGTCCCCAAGTCTCTTAATTCTTGCATTGGTATAAGATGGAGGATGTGACGAGCATAGATATACAGGCTCCTAGCGCCTTCCTTGAATCGGGGACGAGAAACAACCGAGAGAAACTTCAACGATGGGCGTCTACGCATGCCGCGACTGTGCCAGAAGACATCATGGACTCGTTGTCTCGCATCTTTGGCGTCTACGTACCTGCAATTCACGGCGAGAATAAACAACGTGCCCTCGGGCGGCTCCTTCAGGAGATTGTGGCTGAGTTTGGAGACATTTCGCCCCTCGACTGGGTCGGACGATCCTCCCAGTTCAATAGTTGCCTTCCAGCCGACGTTGCGTCATATGCAGCTCCGCCACTCGCCCTGCCATCTCTATCAGAAGATGAGAATCAGGTAGCCGTCTCGTCGCTGCAAAATATTGTGGCTCCGGGTTTGGCTTTGCGACTTTATACCATGTTGGAACACCTGAGCCCTGCTCGCTTTGCACACCGCAGACTGCATCTGCCTTGCATCGTCTTTCCTGTCACGGAAGTCAGACGACAGCATGGTCTAGCCGAAGAGATTCCCCGCACGTATAAAGTCAAGGCAGACAGACTTCACGACCTGCTTATCACCAGCGAAGAGAAGCTGGTCCAGTTCTCACCGGCAAGGCCCACGCGACAGAAATTCTGCCTTGTCCGTCCGTGGGACAGTCGTCTGCTCGAGCTACCCGACTCCGCAGACGATACGGAAAGCTTGGGAGATTGGTCCGAACCTGAGTCTCCGTTATACCATTCGCATGGCGGTTATCCTGTCAAAGAGGAGCTGCCTGATTCAGAATCTCTCTCACGAGCGTTACGATTGATCGTTCGCCTTGGACAGCCGTTCAGTGCAATTTTGTTAGCACAGCAGCACGGCGGAGTATACAAGAGGATTGCATCGGATCATGATATCATTGCACAAGTCAAAGACATGGCTTCTGTCCACGCCGTGATGGACGTCAGGACCCTAGAGATATTCTAGCTCATTCTTTTGGAGTTAGGAATTTTCATTCATGCCTTGACGATATCTATGCATACGCAGACACTGTTGCTTAATTATGATTGTACTTATCTGCCGATGGTACTTATGTGTATACACGGACCGCGACCAATAAGATTCTCTGTCACCATCCTGTTCGAAAATACTTAGTTGAAATACAAAGCCATGTGGTACACTGGGCCCTGGGGTGCTCGGATTCTTCCGCAAGTTCGATTTTGCGTTATGACAGTTGAACCCCACAACGATGTCCTTGCGTTCAACTTCTTAGTCCCCCAACAATGAGGAAGCACCCTGGCCGATATATCCTGAAATTTGAGATGAATTCGCCCCGATGTTGTTCTCATCTATTTCAAGACGTTCTCCACACGGAAAAACACTTGATATCATCTTATATGCACGATTTTCACAGCACCGAGCCATGGGTTACAATCCCTTCATATTGACGTGCATGCCGCAAGAGCATCTGGAGCACATGTGGAAAAATCTCTAGAGATTAGAGGTAGAGCGGGATAGAAACGATCTAACAGGTAAGAGTAAGTCTCAGTCTCTAGAAAGAACTCATATTGACGAAGCGTGTACCTAACAGGTAAGAGTAACTACGCTAAGTCAGTTAAGTGTAACAATAACGGTAAAGGTGTAGACTCACGTCTCAGTCTCTAGAAAGAACTGAGATGCTCACAACGGTTGGGCGCTAGTATTTATACGGTAAGTGCTCTCGATTATTTTGAAGGTAAAAATTTACTTTGGACCATTTCGGTCCCGATGTCAACAGCTCCTTCTCTGTTCCTCCCGCTCCCGACATATCCCTTGTGCTCGTACCTGCTATTTGGCATCCCGAGTCTCTCCGTGCTCGGTATCTTTGGACGACATCAATACTCCCCCTCGAGCGCAAGCTAGTCCCATCAGGGTTCTGAGTCTCTGCAAGCGGGGGCGGGCCAGTGCCTTGGTGAATGCGTCGGCGATGTTGTCATCGGTGGGGCAGTATTGCAGCTTAAAGGTTCCGGCCTTCACGTGAGAACGAATGAAATGATAATGAAGGTCAATATGTTTGGTGTGTGATTGGAATTTTCCATTTGTCGCAAGTGTGATGGCAGCCTGATTGTCGCAATGAATAGGGATGGGACATTGGGTGATGCCGTAGAGTTCCTCGAGGAGTAGGCGGAGGTATAGCAGCTCTCGGACAACACTGGTGAGTGCTATATATTCTGCTTCGGCTGTGGAAAGGGCAATAATAGGCTGCTTACGCGCGCTCCAGGCTACTGCTCCCCCGTTCAAGAGTACAATGTACCCAGAAGTAGAGTGCCTGTGGGCCTACGAGGCCCAGTCTGCATTGATGTACGCCTCAAGGCCTCCCTCGCCTTCGCTCAACTTCAACTCAAGGTTCCCCATACCTTTTAGATACCGGAGGGCGTGTTTGGCAGTGTCCCAATGGGGCCTGCCCGGATTCCGCATGAACTGTGAAAGGGTTGATATGACGAACACTATATCTGGGCGCGTGCTCGTTGCAGCGTACATCAAGGAGCCAATGGCCCTCTGGTAAGGTACATCGCGCATCTCATGTATTTTGGTGTGTGTCGCTGGGGACTGCTCAATGGATAGGCCTGCTCTGGGCTCGATAGGTGTTTGGACATTCTTCGCATCGGTTAGGTGGAAACGGTCGATGAGGGTGGTGACGTAGGTGTTCTGTGATAGCGTTAAGGTGCGTCCGGCTCAATCCCTGGTTACTTTTAGTCCTAACAACCAGTTTAGCTCACCCAAATCTGTAATCTCGAAGTGTTTTTGGAGCTGGGTCTTGAAGTGTAGGATGTGCGAGATGTTGTTAGCGGTAATGGCCATGTCATCCACGGAGACCATGATGACTATGTGCTCCTTCAAGGTACGCTTGAAGTACATGGACTGATCAACCTTCGATCGTTGGAACCCCATCGCAATGAATACTCCCGCCAGCTCTCCTGCCCACTCAAAACCGGCCTGCTTCAACCCAGGTAGGCTCCTCAGTCTCAGCACTTTCTTCTCCCTCTCAGCCTTCAGATACCCCGGCGGCGGTCTCATGTAGATTTTCTCTTGAATGCTTGCATACAGGTACGCACTTTTGATGTTGACTGTTACAATAACACTTACTCCTATTTCATTTTTCTTTTCTTGTAACCATGCTGCCGACTCTAGACTCATCTAGACCCGGCTATTCTCTTATCAAGCGGGCTGTCCACATTTCTCCTCTTCTTGATTGTAACATAGATACTATCTTGCGCCGCATGGCTGTTTCACCTATCTTTGCTATCTTGATAGGTTGTACTCTTTTTCCTATCTCTGTTACCATTCTTGTCGCGGCTGCGCCACTCCCTTTTACCTATATAAACCCCATGTACCATAGCTGTATTCCTTAACTTAATCTACTGGGTTTTCCCCTTGAAACCTGATCTACTAAGGTCTCCACCCTTAGTAGCCTGATACCTGATTCTAAGACAGTCACTCACTGTCTTAGCCTGAACTCTTGATTGCGGTAGAAGTTCTAAAACCACTCACCGACTAGGCAGAAGTGCTAAAACCACTCGCCGCTGATCCTACACAGAAGCTGTGGCTCGTGTAGTGTGAACCCCTGAACCAAGACACCTTCCTTGTACTAGGAAGGCCGATGAACTGTCGATTGAGCGATCTATCTTTGATCCTCGACAGCAGAACTATCCCAGTTGTAACATCGACTTGATGTATTTCCCAGTCGCGCTGAGACACTATAGTCAGTACGGTCCGAATGGTTGTCATGTTCGCGGTGGGGGCAAACATCTCAAAGAAGTCGACGCCTTGCTGCTGTCTCTGATCATTAGCAACCAGTCGAGCTCGCAACTTGAGCTTCTTGCTGTCTGGTCCACGTTTCGTTGCGAGGACGTAGTGGCAGGGGATGATATTCGCGCCTCGAGGTGGGTCAACAACTTCCCACATACCTAGCTTTTCAAGTTGACTAATTTCGTAATCCACTGCTTCTTGCCATTCGACTGCGTCAGGTCCGTTCAGGGCTTGATGAAGGGTGGGCTTGGGTTCAGCTGCTGCTAGCACAAGGTGAATATGGTTTTCTTCGTCTAGGAGATCTAATTCTGATGCTTCCAACAGGGAATCCACTGCTATGGTCGCTGTCTCCCCCTTATGGAGGGCGGCATAGTACCCTGGTCCTGGCCTGTGCCTCGTGGGTCTTGGCTCTGGAGGGGTAATGGAGTGTTGGGGATCATCTGAGGTGGCAGGAGGAGGTGATGGGATAGACTGAACACGAGGTGCGGTATTATTATTACCGTTGTCATTGTATTTGTCGTTCCGCATGATGGCTGACTCCCCCTCATTCAGGGTATCCTCGGCAACTGGTACGTCCATAGGTGCAAAGGTGAGGTTCCTCTCCACCGAAATCCTGCGTCTTGATGGCCAGTACACTCTATAGGCCTTGCTCTCCATATCAACCCCCACAAACAGTGCTTCCTCTGCCCTTGCCTCCAGCTTCCCGGCATCCACAAGATGGACATACACCCTCACGCCAAATTCGTGGGCCTGTGTGAGGTCGGGCTTTGTCTTCCAGACGAGTTTGTATGGGGTGGTGCCAGGGATGGCTCTAGAAGGTAAGCGGTTTTTCAGCCATGTTGCGTAATTCACGGCTTCTGCCCACAGGAATTTCAGCAGATCCTTGGCGAGGAGCATTGCTCTGGCATGCTCTACCAGTGTCCAGTTGAGGTGTTCGGCCACACCATTCTGCTGTGGTGAGTCATGGACGGTCAGCTGATGCTCGATGCCTTGCTGACGCAGATGTTCATCGAACTCTGCGCTCAGGTACTCCCCACCTCTATCCGAACAGATCTTCTGCACCTTCGCTCCCGGTCCTTGCCTGCCCATCCAAGCCTCATAGGCCTTGAAAGCGGTGAGCGCCTCACTCTTCGCCTTCAGAAAGTATAACTTCGTCTGACGGCTGTAATCATTGGTGAGGCTCATATAGTACAGGCTGCCACTAATGCTTGCGGTCTGGGCTGGTCCCCACAGGTCCGTATGCACCAACTCCCCATAGGCGCTTGCACGGGATTTCGACTGATCGGGAAACAGCTGACGTGCCAATTTTGCCTTCACACAGGCCTCGCAGAATTCGGTCTTGGAGGTTGGATCAAGATTAATGCCGGTAACGAGTCCCTTGCTTACGGCGTCGGCTGCTGCTACTTGGGACACATGTCCCAGCACTCTGTGGAGCTCGTTGACGGTGAGCTTCCCTTTTGCGACATTGGCATGATGCATGGGCGCTGACTCTCCTGTTGCCACACTGTACAGACCTTCTACCTGCGGGATCTCTGCAATCACTCTCCAGTTGGGGCCATGTGACAAGACTTTACACATGCGCCTCTCGAAAAGTATGGCCATACCAGCCTTGGCAATTCAATGGGTGGATATGAGGGTAAAGGCCATTTCAGGTGCGTATAGCGCGTTCCTCAGGGTGACCTTGGTGCATTTCTCACTGAGCGGCAGCTCTAGGTGGACGTCTCCCCTTCCTGTAGTGTTCAGGGAGGAACCATCGGCCGTGCGGATCTCCTGCAGGGGGATCTGGATGAAGTTTGTGAACTTGGCCCTATCGGGGCAGAAGTGGGACGTGGCACCGGAATCAACGATAGCGCTGCGCCATTCAGCAGGCACCTTAAGGTGTTTCGCTACACTGGCGAGGTCAGTGGTGACGAACGCGTACTGATTCTCAGCCTCTGCAGCCGTATTGGCTGTCTCCTTCTGCCCCTTTTCGTCCTTCCACCTCTGCTGGTTGGGACCTTGCCCTTCCTTGCCGCCACCCTTCCTCCAGCAATCCATCTTATAATGCCCCTTCCTGTCGCAATTGAAGCACGTGACGTCCAGATTGGCTTTGGAGCTCGACGACGAAGGCTTCCTGCCTTTTCCCTTGGTCTCTTTGGCGGATAGTGCCGAGTCCTTGGACCTTTTGGAGGGGCGGCGGTCTGTGAGGAGGCGGTGCTCATATTCTTCGGTGACAATACTGATCAGTTCATAGAATGTCAGCAGGGTCTTAACGATCTTCGCTGCAGCATTGATCGATGAGAGGAGGGGGTGATACAATTTGGGAAGGGAGCCAAGTATGATGGCATGGAAGTTGGTATTGAGGATGGCTGCGTCCATGCCTGCTAGCAACTCCCGCAAACATAGGAGTTCTGCGAGATGGGCTTTGACGTCACCTGATTCTTCACACCTCATTTCCTGCAGGCATCTGCGCAGGTCAATCTGCACGAGTTCTGTTTTGCCTTTGTGGATCTGGCAGATCTCTGCCCAGACTTCGCACGCAGCCTCGAACTTTTGGACCCTCAACAGGAGGCGATCTGATATTGTGCAGAATATCTGCTGTTTTACTAGTGAGTTCTTTTGCAGATACTCATCAAATTTCTTATCCAGCTTGTCAATCTCGTTTTGGGTGGGTGTCGAACTGTCCGCCTTCAGTGGCTGGCCTGTCTTCTCGTCAAGGAGGAAGGGTATCGGCTCGACTGCATGACCGTCCGCATATCGCATCAAACCTTGAGCGCCTATCGCCGTCATTGTTCTTTCCTTGTAGGTGATCCAATTTGTGCCGTCTTCGGCTAACTTTGGGACATTGAACAGAGTTGATGTGGTACTGGGGAGCGTATTATCATTGGTCATGGCAGGGCTCATAACCTCTAGAGATTAGAGGTAGAGCGGGATAGAAACGATCTAACAGGTAAGAGTAAGTCTCAGTCTCTAGAAAGAACTCATATTGACGAAGCGTGTACCTAACAGGTAAGAGTAACTACGCTAAGTCAGTTAAGTGTAACAATAACGGTAAAGGTGTAGACTCACGTCTCAGTCTCTAGAAAGAACTGAGATGCTCACAACGGTTGGGCGCTAGTATTTATACGGTAAGTGCTCTCGATTATTTTGAAGGTAAAAATTTACTTTGGACCATTTCGGTTCCGATGTCAACAGCTCCTTCTCTGTTCCTCCCGCTCCCGACATATCCCTTGCGCTCGTACCTGCTATTTGGCATCCTGAGTCTCTCCGTGCTCGGTATCTTCGGACAATGTCAATAAAATCCTATCCTGTCTGCCCCACTTGTTCAAGTTCATATGGACCTCGCTTGGTATTAGGGACACTCAAAGTTCGGGGCGCACATTTTGCCCACACCCACCGCCCACGCCTATGACCCCTCAGCATTGCAACACCATCCCGTTTTGTACATATCCGTATTATATAATACAATGCTAACACAGCGTGAAGTCATTGAAGGCCTGTATGATAAACATATCACAGATGGCTCGTCACACATTGCATGAGCAATACCTACACTCATACCTCATACTCAGACCCTTCAGTCATGTTACTACGTAGAACCCAGGCTCCGGACATGCAAAAAGGCTGTAGAATCCATGCCAGCCAGTCACCAGCCAGTAGACATAGAATCAGTGCAGGCTATAGTGTCATTATTATGGATAACCAAGTCTCATTAGAGACCACTGGTTATCCTTCCTTGTCATGGATTGCTGATGCATGACAGATTATCCATTACCGCTCCCACAATGGATAATTTGCCAGACAGCTCAATTTGGTATGTTTCTGCTCATTCTGGCTCAATTCCTCATGTCAGGACTTCCCACAATAATACTACACCGCATTTTTGGCCACACAGCGTGGGAATTACCCCACAACACCCAAAACATCGCCCATTTTGGTATTCTCCACAATATCAATTATTCCCACATCCTTCCCACCTCACTGCAGCTTTACCACTGCACCACAATAGGTCCCCCCATATATATAAGTAGTAGTTCAGTATATATATGTATCACATAATATAATAGACCACTTTTTTGCTCATTTGTATGCCTGCTCCTCCTCCAGGGGCAATTCAACATATGGTAGGATATAAAACACTTTCGCACTTTTGCCCCTTTGGCAGGGAAGTATCCTGGAGCATTCAGAACATGTTTAGTAGTATATATGAATATATTACCATCTTTATTTGACCCCCTGAAGCGCCCTATATCAACACATACAATATATGTACAGAAAACACAAAATAGGTTCGCATTTTTGGTTTCTGGCTATATGAGCTTGCAAAAATTGTCCCCAACATCTGTTCAACAGTAGGAATAATATGTCCCTCATGATATGATTAAAATTTTAGAATGATCCATGAAAGATTGACTGCATGATAGGCAAAAGAACATATGAGTGAAAAGTGATAATTGTCATTTTTGACACAAAGTTACATTTATAGCTCATACAGGTCGAAGATTTCATGAAAATTATGTAGGAATGATAGTAAACTACCTAAGGAACCTATACTACATATTGCCCTGAGGGTAGAGAATGAGTGGAAGGGATGTAGTGTAAACATGAGTTGATCTAGGATTAAAGTCTGACTACCTCTCAACTGACCATTTTCGACAATTATCACTTTTCACTCATATGTTCTTTTGCCTATCATGCAGTCAATCTTTCATGGATCATTCTAAAATTTTAATCATATCATGAGGGACATATTATTCCTACTGTTGAACAGATGTTGGGGACAATTTTTGCAAGCTCATATAGCCAGAAACCAAAAATGCGAACCTATTTTGTGTTTTCTGTACATATATTGTATGTGTTGATATAGGGCGCTTCAGGGGGTCAAATAAAGATGGTAATATATTCATATATACTACTAAACATGTTCTGAATGCTCCAGGATACTTCCCTGCCAAAGGGGCAAAAGTGCGAAAGTGTTTTATATCCTACCATATGTTGAATTGCCCCTGGAGGAGGAGCAGGCATACAAATGAGCAAAAAAGTGGTCTATTATATTATGTGATACATATATATACTGAACTACTACTTATATATATGGGGGGACCTATTGTGGTGCAGTGGTAAAGCTGCAGTGAGGTGGGAAGGATGTGGGAATAATTGATATTGTGGAGAATACCAAAATGGGCGATGTTTTGGGTGTTGTGGGGTAATTCCCACGCTGTGTGGCCAAAAATGCGGTGTAGTATTATTGTGGGAAGTCCTGACATGAGGAATTGAGCCAGAATGAGCAGAAACATACCAAATTGAGCTGTCTGGCAAATTATCCATTGTGGGAGCGGTAATGGATAATCTGTCATGCATCAGCAATCCATGACAAGGAAGGATAACCAGTGGTCTCTAATGAGACTTGGTTATCCATAATACTGCCAGGAGCAGGTGATCAGTGCTGGCCAGTCTGTCTAGGAATTCTAGTAATAGCATTGACAAGCATATTGCAATCACTGTATGATATGCAGAACCTGTGCTGGCCAGATTGTATAGTATATTAGTACAGGATGAGCTTATTGTGTAATCTATATATCTAGTTATGACTATAGATAATGCTTGGCCTGTATGTCCTGAGGTGACATAGAAGTGTAATGGCCAGGACTTAAGGACTAGTCATATACCTAGACTACTAATATATGCTACTGCAAATAACTTAGGGTGATACGGCCAGCTTGTCTGTGGGCCATGTGGAGCAATGACGGCCAGTGTATGGTGTATAAAAAAAGTATTGGGCCTGGCCAATGTGCCTATTGCCCACATAGAGGGATGGTAGCCAGGATGTGAGAAGCTGGCCCAGCCAGCATGGTGGCTATGTGGCCTACACCCATGGCTGGCCATTTTGTGTAGAACATTATTAGCCTTGGCTGACTGGTCTATGGCCCACGTATAGAGATGGCGGCCAGGATGTTATAAATTTAAAGGTGGCATGGCCAGCATGGGTTTTACATAGGCTACAGACCAGACAGGCCATTCAGTGTACTATAGAATAGACTTACCTGGCCAGTTTTCCCATGCCACCTTTAGATTTATAACCTCCCGGCCGCCATCCCTATACGTGGGCCATAGACCAGTCGGCCAGGTCTAATAATTTTCTACACTAGATAATGTAGTCTATTCTATGGTACATTAGCCTTGGACAGCTGGTCTATGGCCCACGTAGAGGGATAGTGGCTGGGTGGTTATAAATTTAAAGGTGGCATGGCCAGCATGGGTTTTACATGGCCCACAGACAGGTCACAGATGAGAAGATTATCTGGAACTGAACTAGCCGCCAAATATTGTGATGGACAAGGAGTGATGGTACACCAGGGCACAGGCTTACTACTGCCTGTGAAAACTTCTACAGAAGCAAACCCAATCAGCAAGCATATAGTAAATTCATGACAAAGACACCTACTGTATGCAGCATGAAAAATCATACGTACGAGTTCTTGTTGATCCTTGAGTCTGATACCATCGCAAGAAGGAAGTTGGGCATAGCCTTCATCGTCCAAAATGAGTTCAGGTAATCCATGTTCCTCCTCTTCCTGTTTGTCTTGATCAGCTGTTGGGTCTATTTATTTATAGTCAATTAATGTTTATAAAATGAAGTGATAGTAACCATACAAAATTCGCCCTTCACCCACTCAGCAAAGAACTCAAACCCAGTTGAAGTCCACTCTTTGATACTGTCTGAGCTGACAGAGAAGCTTTTTTTGACATTCCTAGGCTGAGATTCATGTCTAGAGGAGTATAGTTTAGTAGTTTTGAGATATATAAATGACCTAATACTCACAAGGTGACATTCAATGTCTGATTTGCTTGTTTTTTGTGACTAACAAGCATCACAACGTGGCAACCCATAGTTCGACAGAGTTGTTCAGAAAAATCTTCAAGGACTTTCTTGAGATTATTCTTACTGATACCTGCCAGCTGATGTCAGACTTGAAACATTAACAAAAAAATTTCACCGAGCTCACATAACCTGGCTTTCTTCTGGTGCCCCCTCTGTGTTCCACTTCTCTCGTGCATAATCGACTTCTTTCTTCTGTGTCAATGACATTTGGTTGAACCATTCCATGCATGACGAGTACGAAACTTGATGAGATCCTTCACACCTTTTCTCGCCTGCTCTGCCTTGTTGAATTCATCCATTTCTTGTTTAAACAATCTCTGAGCCACGTCCCAGTCGGTCAGCATTTTCTTATAGAAAGCAGCTTCCTTTCGATGGGCACTAATCTCCCTTGCCTTTGCAGCTCCTTCCTCATCAGATTCTTCTTCGTCGATTTTTCGTCCATAGTATTTCTTGATTGCCTGCAAGTAGTGTATTAATAGACCTGTCAAATATTCTAACATCAGTAAAAATAATACCTTCTTCAAAGAACTTGGCAAAGGCACTTGTTCACCTTGTTCCTTGTGAGCTGCAACTATGGCCTTTTTAATTTTCTTGATCACACAAGACCACTCCGACTTTGAATCTTTGGCAGCCAAGAACTTGGATTTTGTTACAAGAACATCTAGACGCTTGGGCCCCTACCATTTTTCTCCTTATCCTTCTGGTATCAGCCCTCGCATCATACCCTTACCCCGACCTCACCCTTGTTATCCTTGTCATCCTCGCATTCCCTTTCAGCCCTCTACCTGTCGCTTCAGCAGAGCCAGTACATCTGGCCGGATCCTTTCGCTGACGAAGCATATCCATGCTCCGTTCCACCACCTGACTGATCCTGTGGACAGTCCCCTTTGCCCTATTCCCTTTCTCGATCTCTGACTCAGTGCGCAGTCGCACATGTCACTTATACTTAGATCCGCAGTTGCACGATCGTGCCCCTGCGCGTTTCACTTCTTGTTTTGACCTTTGACTCACTTTCTTATCAAGCATGTTCTGGTTCACCTGTGTCTTACCCCAAACGTGCCTTCCCTTTATGGTTATACCCTTTACCGCTTACTCTTCTTGGTAGTATGAGTTATCACCCACTAATACGCTTCCTGTCCTCTATATAAACTCACTACCATGTACCATATTCCTTAACTTGAATCTACTTGGTTCTTGACCTTCTACTCTCACCAGAGTGATCCTTTCTGCCTAGCCAGCAGTCTATATTCTATCTTCTTATCTGCTCCTCGCGGATAAGTCCTTAGTCTCGATCTTTACTCATCGACTTCGTCGACGAGCAAAACCCCTGTTAACTAGTTGGACTTCCGTCCTTCTAATTAACAACGATCTTACGATTAACCTTCGGGTGTCGTAAGCCTTGGCAGATACAGCTCATCGTCTAAGCACCCACTTGACGTAAGCTACCCGATTTGGACATAGGCGTCAAATCTTACTTGCCGAAGCCTCGCCAAGTAAGACCCCTAACCTTGGGCTAGCCCAAGGACGTCCTCGACTGTTGACAACACACACTCTGTTTGAGCGTCACCAACAGATACCATCCAAGTTGTAACAGATTTATAACCAACAAGGATAACTCTGAAGCTACTGGTCCAGTCTGAAGACATAGTTATATGACTGGAAGGTATTGTTTAAAGAAAGTAATGCTGTGGATTAACAGTACTAGGATGTCTGAATGGTAAGAGTGCGGCTGGCCGGTGATCTCAGTCAAAAGATTCTGATCAACAAACATGTCACATTGATCATGTGATTGCATTTAAGTCATGTGATCAATGTGACATGTTTGTTGATCAGAATCTTTTGACTGAGATCACCGGCCAGCCGTTTAAGTCAAGTGATCATGATTGACTCATGTTTCAAACTTCATGATTTGAGAGCACATCAAAATAGATTCAGTACTGTAGACATATGACAAGAGACATGTAGATATAAGACATGAAGGGCAAGGCCTACAGGGCAAGTTGGATCCAAGACAACTGAGCTGATTTACCATGTGTAAGAACTCTTGTCAAATTCTCCGGTTGACGAAACTCGAAGGACTGGGTGCAATTCTGATTTGTAAATTCAAAAAAATAAACCTTGTGATGGTTTACTGAAGTCCATGAGTCAACCCACCCACACTTGGGGCATTGAACAGGCAGGTACTGCCCCCAAGGGCGAAACACAGTATGGGTCCATGCGAACTTGGTGACGTTCAATGAGTCGGAATTCTTCACCAACAATAGAATGTCGGAGTGCCGACCCAAGTTGAGAGAGTGAGTCAGCATAAGAGGGAATGCGTGGCTGATAGAGAATCGCTCAATGATGATGCACTCAATGAATGTGAGAAGGAGATGTGTGGTGAAGCTTGGCTGGAAACGTACTGCATTGAAGGCTACAGTAGCTGAAAGTTGATGTCTAGTATAACCACATTAAGTCAGACACAAGACCAATCAAGAATAGCTTACTTGAGTACTGAGGTCTTCAAGTTTGCGAAGCTCTCGGAGTCGTTGACAATAGTGCCGCAACAGAACAGCCATAGGTATGATTCAACAGCAAGGTTGATGAGATCCTTGAAAGGACCAAGCACAATGTCCAGAAACTTTGTTTCGGACGGTCAGTACATGTGCAAAAATAAACGAACGAACTTACAGTATTGACTGGAGTAGCAATATAAATTTTCTTCTTGCCCTTGTAGCCTACAAAGGGGTTGCCGAAGGTATTGTCGGTATGGTCGGAGATCCCAAAGATAATGTGTTTCCAACCGCCAGGGAAAGCCAAGAGTTTGAGGACGAGTTTGTCAACCATAGAATGAAACTTGATGATCTTCGAATCAGAGCCAACGTCAAAGGTGACCTCACAAAAAACGATTCCGTCGTTAGGAAAGTAAGGCATGAGAAAATCGTGTGTGAGTTTGAAAGGGCCGCCTGTCATGTCATTGTCGATGAGGTTGAGATGGATGAACAGCACGGTTTCAGCCGAAACCTGTGCTTGGTGAGACAACTCGAGTGCCCCGCGGATCTGAAGGAAGGTGTTGAAAACGGGCTTCCCATCGCGGTAAAATCCCTGTAGTCGATATATGTATGATTGAATCAATACAACTAGAATAAAACAAAAACAAAGGTTAGAAACTCACGAAGTAAGGACTCTTGTGGCGGCGGCCATGATATTGCACCAGGACATGGCATGAAATGCACACAAATTTGACGCCGACTTCAGAAATAATGTCCTGGTGATGTGGTGTGATCTGCAAGCAGTGGGAGCACATAGTGCGTGGACAGGAGTCGCACATATACAAGTAGTGCTCATCCACTGATCCGTCATGACAGACGAGACAGAACTGTAGGTAGATGTAGATAGTTGCAGTTAGTTGAAATGTTAAAGAAAAAGAACTTTGATTATGCACATTGTTATGATCCATTCTCTCCTCCTCCTCGATCCTCACAGTCCCCACTTCTACCCTTGAAACGGTCGAAATGGCACCAGGTAGGTTGAGGGTGACACGAGGTGCATCACCACCAGTTGACTTCTTGCAGGTTTGTTTGGTTCAAGGGGGTATGGCATAGTCGTGGATGCTGATATGACGGCTGCTGCTGGGTAAACGCGCAAGGCAGAAACAATGGTAACAAGGTGAGAACAATGGTATAGTATTAGTATTGAGACTACAAATGGTAGACGTGCTGGACTTGCAAGTTCACAAATTTGCGACACAAATACATCCAAACAACAAACAATACCAAATAGACATGTGGTTCAAAGTTCAAAGTTCAAACGCACTGTCGACTTTGCTCTTTCCACCCATCTTTGCACTACACACCTTTTCCTTTCTCATTATTCTATGATACATGCTAATTCTATGGTACCCTTTGGGTCCTTGCAGGGCTGCAGCCTGCAAGGATCCAAAGGATCTACCATAATATCAACTTTCATGTGCATTAAAATTTTTTTCATTGTGTACTGTTTGCTGATGTTTATCTCTACAGCCACTTAGCATCTCCCACTTAATGGTAAGTCTTTCGCATAGTTCGCCACTAGCTAATTTCGCTCTTTAGTTCTAGTGTTCTCTATATAGTGCATCCTTCATTAGGTTCACTGTGTGCTGCTCAATGGTGAGTCTTTCATTGTGTTCACTACGCGCTAATTTCTCTCTTTAGTTCTAGTGTTTTCTTCTCTTTAGTTCTACTATTTTCTCTAGTGCATCCTTCACCCCATTCACTGTGCACTAATGTTTCTCTCTCTCCAGTGTCTTGTTTCGTGTCTCTCCCGCGGTTAGATTCGGTGCCAGGATTTTTTTCAAGTCCGTGTTTCTTTCTGTCCTTCACTCCGTTCACTGTGCGCTAATTTTTCTCTCTCTCCAGTATCTTGTTTCATGTCTCTCCCACAGTTAGATTCGGTGCCAGGATTTTTTCTCAAGTCTGTGTTTCTTTCTGTTCACTGCCTGCTAATCTCTCATTATCTCTAGTATCTTTTGATGTCTCTCTGGTAAGTCTTTTATTCAATTTACCACATTGATGTTATCTCCCTTTGATGTATCTTCTCTTCTTAGCGTCTCTCTTCCATGCGGTGCATACCACTTGTGAGTGGTTCCCGCTCTTGAATCTGGGGGCTTATATCTGCGGTGCATACCACTTGTGAGTGGCTCCCGCTCTTGATTATGAGGGCTTGCGTGTGGTGCATGCCATTTGTGTTCACAATGAGCGGTGATTTTTACTTATTCACACCTAAGTCACATCTGACTTAGAAATATTTCTAGTCTCAACAAGACTTTGACGCAACATATGTCAGAAGCTCAGTGCCATATTTGATGTTAGGCGACATTTTTATTATCTGTAAGTCCGCATACTACGCAAAAACATTTCTCGCTGATAAATCTTACAGGACTTTGTCGCAATATGACTTTGAAAGCTAAGTGCCCTGCTTTGATTATAACTATATCTCATTGTTCAGCAGGGTCGTAAATTTACTTTGTAGACTTTCTTTGGAGTGTACGGCTTCAGTGAGGAGGGGCCCCCTCATCGAAGTCGTGCACTTCCCTAATTTTTTCTTTATGTGGTTTGTGTTATGAAAGTCTTAGTAATTGAATGTTTATGTACTACTTTATCCTGCTATACATGTCTCCAAGAAGCTCATTTTTGCCGCTGCGAAAAGTCATGTGACCCATGGAAATATTCCTTTAAAGGAAACAAGGTATTGTCCTATGAACTGGATCTAGGCTATGATGACATCTGAGTAGTATATCAATGTCAGTATTCTGTGTTTTGAGTAGTATACTCAATATATGATAGCATCTTGTAGAGGCTAGGTGTGATAAAGCTGACAACAATGATTGTTGAGATCAAGGCTGGAAAAGATGACGGTTCAAAGCTGACAATGATAATTTGCACACTTGACTTGATCACTCAAGGATTTCTCTTGACATGGAATCTAAGTGTGAGACTATATCTGATGGTTGTTCACAATTTTGTGCAGTCATAATCAAATGGTAAAATGGTTTCATCCTTGTGCTATCATTCCCTTGATCCCATTGTAATCAACCAGGAGATGGATGTGGTGAAGGACAGGACACTCGACACGATCACTCTAGGCTTTCTCTTGACATCAGATCTTAATTTGACCATCCAGAGTGTGACTCATTTGAGTCTAAATGAAATTCGGGTCAACTCTGAGTCGGATCAAATTCATCAAACCTAATTCGGATCAAATTTTAATTTGAAATTTTTGAGCCGAGGAACCAGGTTGAACCAATTCACCATCCACTGTAGTCCAAGTTAATCATGGGCTCATTAGGGCCTGAGTCAAGAAACCTTCATGCCTTGCTGAGTTCAGAGATCAAGCAAATAATGAAGGAAGCATCTGCAGTGCCTGTCTTCAAAGGTGGTGTTCTCCAATCTCATCTACTGCAAAAGGCACAGTATGTGTACTTATCTGTCTATTATGATGGCAGTAGCAAATAGACAAAGTATGAGGATTTGGTTGCAACTGAATGCTTGTTTGTCAGCAGAGCCAGCAGGTCATGGTTGTGATCTGGTGACAGAATACGAAATATGTCATGCATCCTTGACTATTGCACATGCAATGACTAATCCTTGTAAGCCCTTGTTTGTAAAACCCTACTAAATGAAGAAGTTGACATCCATGAGATAGACTATGTCGCGTGGGATATTGATCATTACGTTGACATGGTGAAATCCTCCCATAGCCAGCCAAGTGTTACAAGAACATCTAGACGCTTGGGCCCCTACTATTTTTCTCCTAATCCTCCTCGTATCAGCCCTCGCATCCTACCCTTACCCCGACCTTACCCTTGTCATCCTTGTCATCCTCGCATTCCCTTTCGCCCTCTACCTGTCGCTTCAGCAGAGCCAGTACATCTGGCCGGACCCTTTCGCTGACGAAGCATACCCATGCTCCGTTTCACCACCTGACTGATCCTGTGGACAGTCCCCTTGCCCTTACCGTCTGGACGGTACCCTATGACACGATGCACGACGCATCCCTTTGCCCTATTTCCTTTTTCTTGATCTCTGACTCGGTGCGCAGTCGCACATGCCACCTATACTTAGATCCGCAGTTGCACGATCGTGCCCCTGTGCGTTTCACTCCTTGTTTCGACCTTTGACTCACTTTCTTATCTAGCACGTTCTACCTCGACTGAACGTGCCTTCCTGTTATAGTCATACCCTTTACTGATTGCCTCTCCCGGTAGTACGAGTTATCACCCACTAATACGTCTCCCGTCCTCTATATAAACTCGCTACCATGTACCATATTCCTTAACTTGAATCTACTTGGTTCTTGACCTCCTACTCTCACCAGAGTGATCCTTCTGCCTCGCCAGCAGTCTATATTCTATCTTCTTATCTGCTCATCGCGGATAAGCCTATAGTCTCGACCTTTACTCATCGACTTCGTCGACGAGCAAAGCCCCTGTTAACTAGTCGGACTTCTGTCCTTCTAATTAACGACGATCCTTACGACTAACCTTCGGGTGTCGTAAGCCCAGGCCGATATAGCTTATTGTCTCGCACCCGCGTGACATAAGCTACCCGATTGGGACATAGGCGTCAAATTGTACTTGCCGAAGACACGCCAAGTACGACCCCTAACCTTGGGCTAGCCCAAGGACGTCCACAGACCGTTGACGACACAAGCTCTGTTTGAGCGTCGCCAACAGATACCATCCAAGTCGTAACACCAAGTGGTGTCCCATCAACGCAGCATGAAAAACTAAGAAAATATTTTCCAACGACAGTACTAGGGAGAATTTCAGAACCAGCTAGGATTGTTGATAATCATGGCAAGATATTGGTCTGGTACCTCCCAAATATTTTATCTGGTAGCCGAGTAGTGAGCTTCTTAATTTCAAATTTTCATTGGTGATGTCTAATTAATTAAGGATTTGATGAACACCACTACCATGGATCTTCGAGGTTATCTACTGAAAACCATACCAGTTGGTAAATTAGCAACTGACAAGAAACCCTCTTGGCATTCAGAAGGCTTTTGTGTGCCAGTTGGAGGGGGACATTTGGAGGAGGACAGGTCACTGTCTCACCTTCTTATTTCATGCAAAGACACGAGGTAACTTAATATTATTTCTGGGGTTATATTGACATCAAATGACTCACATGATCGGTAATTTAGAGGCTTCAAGATTCTTTAGTAACATCTGCATCCTATTCCTCCAACTTGGTTCAACAATGGCTAAAGGTCATCTCTGGTACAGAATTGTTCTTCAATGCCATAACAGCTTTCATTGCTCCTGAACTATTTGAGGCAGGCTTAGCTGCAGCCTCAAAGGTATCGAGTGCCACTTTGCAGTCTAAAAAAACTGCACCAACATCTCAATGGCCATCTGTTTTTTCGGGATTAGAGCTTATTGTTAATTGGGTTACTTTGGGTCACCGTGATGCTGGTGGGGCCTCGTCTCATTATGACCTCCTAGCCAGTTTTGGCATTGGGCACAATGCAACATTTCGAATTGAAGATCTAGAAGCAGAACTTGATTATTTCCCTAGAACATTAGTAAGTATTTTGGGCAAGGTATGAACCTTATTATTTATTCATTGAACTATTTCTTAAATATGTGGGAAGATTTTGGAGCACTCCGTCGGTCCCTGGAAAATTGGAGAAAGATTTGTTGTTGCACATTTTATGAAGGATAAGGTTCATGATTGAGTAGGGGTATCTAAGCCAGCATTTTCAGTTCAGATGAACTTTTTACAACTATTAGGAAGTCATGATACAGATCATAGACCTAGGAAACATGTCAGGAGGGAGATATAGGGAGATCTTATGGTCAGATCCAGGCGGATCAAATTGGGATTTGGGTTTTTTTAACTCTGCTAGCGCTAGTTGACAAAGTTTTACATTCTCTGGCTGGAGTGCAAGTTATACTATCATGTCTGTGAAGAAAACATTCCATCTCAAGTCCAGGGCTTTCTCCTTCAAAGACCGAGGTCAATTATCCCATGGGAAGGACTTGGATGTTCAGTATGTGACTCACAAAAAGATTATGAAGAAAAATAGGAAATCAACATGGGTGGAATCTTGTGCCGATCCTCGATATGATACTGGGCCGTCGCCTGCCTCTAGCCCACACAAAAGAGTTAAGCACCATCATGAAGGACCAGATAGTCTTCCAGGAGATTTTGAGAGAGAGGTTTATGAAGATTTCATGTTATACACAGATACAGAAAATCCAAGATGACAAACTAAGGCAGGTTCATCTAGTCAAATAAAAAAAATCACTGTGACTGAATCTGTTTAATTCAAGACTCAGAATGACTTCATTCACGAATATCTCCTTTACCATGATTTATTCCTGGATGTTATCCTGGAGTCAGAAGATTTGGCCAACAAAGGGCTCTGCAAATGTTGTCAGAGTCAGGAAGGTTTATTCAGGTGCTTGACTTGCAGTGGTGATCATGCATGGTGCCGTGCATGTATTCTCGAAGCCCATAAATCATTACCCTTTCATAAGATGCAATAGTGGAACAGAAAATGCTTCGGTGACACATCCCTCATGCAGATGGGTTATATATGGCATATGGGTCATGGTGCTTGTCCATGTCCATCCTCTCAAGGCTCTTGGGAATGGGAGGATTTGGATGTGCATATAGACAAGCAGGGCGAAGGCACTAGATCTCATATTGCCAGTGAAACAAGTCCACCAACCACATCCTTAACCATCGTTCACTCCACTGGAGTATTTACACACAACATACTCTGGTGTCATTGCCCTGGATCTCTGCAACAATACTTGCAGTTGCTTAAAGCAGGATTATTTCCAGCCAGTATATCCCGGCCTCGAACTGCCTTCACCTTTGATGCTCTCGACAATTTTCTCATTGATGCCCTTGAATGCAAGACATCTGCATCAAGCTTCTTCTAAAAGCTTTGACGCCTAACTAATAATGCTTTCCCAGATACTGTGCCAGTAAGACATACTTATCTTATGTGGATTTTCATTGATACATCTTGTTTGATTCAGGATCGGTATTGTGAACTGATGAGGGTGTCTCGTCAATGGAGAGATTTGATGAATCGAAAATGTTTTAGATTTGGACATAGTTCATTGGTCAAGCTTGGGCCTGGTAACCTGGCTTTATTTTGTGCTGCCTGTCCACAGCCTGGAATTAAGTATCCAAGGCAAGTGATTTATCTATTTCATGGTTGGTTATTGTATTTGTCCTCGTCCTGGCTGGCACCACTCCTATGTGTGGCATATATGTTCTGGCAAGTCATGCTTTATTGGTTTGACTGGCTGGCCAGCATGACTCCTACTTGTGGCAAATTTCGTCCGACCAGTCATGCTTGATCAGACTGACTGGCTGGACAGCATGACTCCTACGTGTAGCAAATGCCATCCGGCCGGTCATGCTTGATCAGATTGACAGACTGGCCGGCTTACTCCTACACATTGCCCATCTACTATTCTCAATCAAAATCATACTGACTCCTATTTAAATAGCTGGTTGATCATGCAGAGATATGTTGTGGATGGCAATTTCACAGCTCAACATATGAATATGAGACAACCTCATCTAGATGTCTCCCTCTCTGATGGTCTAGGGTATATGGTGACAGAGGCTGGGTACCAGGCTCATTTGTGATTGGCTATGGAGAGTAAGGATGTATGTTGTTTTGGTTTTGCCACATCTGTCTTTCTGACTAGGTATATATCAAAGAGATCCTCTTGCAGTAATCACCGTGTAGTCAATGCTGCCAACACAAATAGAAGCAATCTTTGAGCAACTGGTGTAGCTGCCACTGCTTGTGCACGTCATGGATGTTTTGTTCCTCATGCAGTGGTAGACTTCCAGAAGGGTGAACGATATGTTTTGATTATGAGATTCAAGACTTTCAACAAGCTCATATGGGTCAGTAGCCACATGAATGTCGACTACTCAATATGCAATGCTATCAATCATCATTCTCATGGCATTGATACCTTGTTTATCATCTATGATGTAGGCTGTCAGTGGTGCATTTATTTTGCAGAACGTGTAGCCAACTGCCCAGGATTATCCCTACCTGAACATAGTCGAGTTTTGGCAGCTGTTGGTAAATTTCATCTCAGCGCACATAAACTTCCATGTTTTGCAAGATTTAGTCTCAATTTTCTTCAAGGGGCAGGTCAAGTAGATGGAGAAATTCTCGAAACTCTCTGGGCATCTTTTAATAAGATATCACCAACTGCTTGTTCAATGAGTCAATACCATTGGCAGGAAATTTTGGATGATCACATGCGGGACTCCAATTGGAAGAAACTAGTTGGACTTGGTAAATATTTTGTTTCTAATTACAGAAGTAATTAATCATGATAGAACAGTCAAGACTCTCTTGAAAAAGTATAAATGAGCCATCAAGGGAATTAGTGATACAAAGCCTCCTTTTGATGAGCTAACACGCTCATTGGACGATGAAAAAATTGCCATATGGGAAAATGATGAAAAGAAGGCTATGGAGGAATGAGACAAATATCTTCACATTTATCAGCTCAAGATTGATCAAGGTAATTCATCACTACTACTGTCCAGTGCAAATTATGGCTAACCGATATTTTTCATTGAAATTCTGAAGCCCCTACCATGGCTGAGATTCGACTAAGATTAACTGAAGCAGAGAATGTCGAAACAGGAAGATTAGGAACAGTATCTTGGATCATTCAAGGCATCAATCTTGAGGATGCTCAGTAAGTCATAAGTGATTCAATCATGAAAGCATGACCATATTCATTTTAGGGATGGGTTACGATCAGAGTTTCGTCGACTCCCATCTGATGCCACTGCTGCTCAGAAGGCTACCCTTGAAGAGAAACAACAGAAACTATCAGCTCATATAACTGCATTCCATGAAACTGCTGATGCTATGACAGAGGGAATAGAGCTGGAAGCAGGTACGGTGCACAAAGATGATGCTAGGTTTTGCTGGGCAGAAGATGAAGAGCATGACTGGGAGGCTCATATTGCTGACCTTGAAGATGATTCCGAATTGGTGGATGATGAAATTTCAGCAGAAGATATGGGTCTCTGGATGCCATCATCAGTGCCTCATAATCAAGTCACTTCGGCTCATTTATTAGTCCTTCAAGCAGAGGAATTGGAGCTGAGACGAGGTCAAGCCAATGATTGCCTTGAAAAAATTTGGTTGGCTCTTGGTGATAAGGCTGTCATCTACCGTCAATACTTTAGAAGCGCTGATTCTGTGTGGACTGGGACAAGATCCAAGCAAGAAGCTCAATGTTGTCGTATCAAAATCGACAAGAATGTCCGAAGTTATCAAAGGGCAAGATCAGCTATGGAGAGACTTGGCATGGATCGAGAATCTCTAGAAACTGTTTATCAAGAAATACTAGCTGAACAGCTAAGTATTGACAAGGAGGTGACAGAAGAGAATCGATTCAGTTAGGGTTCAGACAATCTTGTATGGTTTTGGAGGGTTAACAATGGAAAGCAGGATCAAACAGACACTTGGATGGATGAATGTGAGTCATAGTTTATCTCTGTACTTGAATGCAGCTAAATGAATATATTTAGTCTACAGAGTGAACTGGTTGAAGGCAAAGGCAAGATGGAACAGGTGGGAGGAGGAGTCAAGTCTGGTTCAACACGAAATGGGGTGGACAGTCAGTTGGTTCAAATACCAAGAGGAAAAATGGCAACTACGATGGCACCAAGCTACAAAACCTGGTCACCAACCATATGCCCATAAACAGGTGCTGGTGTGGAAAGCCTTCGCAGCAGAAGCTGAGGAAAAATTCAAGGACAAGCTACTAATCATGATTTGATACTTTTTTTTCCAACATAAAGCATACTAGTATTGATGCTGCCTAGTATTGATGCTGCCTAGTATAGCTTGTGTCTGCAACAGGTAGTCTTGTGTAGGCTGGAATGTGTTACTATCACCAGCTTGACTTTGTCTGGCTATCTGGACCTTGCACCATGTAGTATTTAGGCTGACCAGTACATACATAGTACCTACTTAAATTACATTACTCTTGCTAGCTGAAGTCTGTGTCATGTAGCATTGATGCTGGCCAATGTCTACTTAATCACATTGCCATGGCCAGCTGGAGTCTGTAGGAAGTAGTAATGAGGCTGGCTGGTATATACTTGAAACTGTGACTGGCTCGACTATGTGATACTCAATTTTGAGGGCTAGCTGACCTTGACTGATACATGACAGGTTAGTCACATCAGGATGCACTTATGCAAAAAAATAGACTACCTTACTTAGTGTAGAAAATTATTAGACCTGGCCAACTGGTCTCTACAAGCCAAACTGGCCATTTAGTGTACTTTGGAATAAACTACCCTGGCCTCTAGTGTGTGGTGTATAGTGTTGTCTATCATTTATAATACTTGAGCTTACAAGAAAATCATTAGGGCTGGCCAACATGCCTTTGTGTCACGTATAGGGATGGCGGCCGGGATGTTATAAATTTAAAGGTGGCATGGCCAGCATGGGTTTTACATGGCCTACAGACAAGTCTGGCCATATAATGTACCATAGAATAGACTACCATTATGTAGTGTAGAACATTATTATATGGCCAGACTTGTCTGTAGGCCATGTAAAACCCATGCTGGCCATGCCACCTTTAAATTTATAACCACCCAGCCACTATCCCTCTACGTGGGCCATAGACCAGCTGTCCAAGGCTAATGTACCATAGAATAGACTACATTATCTAGTGTAGAAAATTATTAGACCTGGCCGACTGGTCTATGGCCCACGTATAGGGATGGCGGCTGGGAGGTTATAAATCTAAAGGTGGCATGGGAAAACTGGCCAGGTAAGTCTATTCTATAGTACACTGAATGGCCTGTCTGGTCTGTAGCCTATGTAAAACCCATGCTGGCCATGCCACCTTTAAATTTATAACATCCCGGCCGCCATCTCTATACGTGGGCCATAGACCAGTCAGCCAAGGCTAATAATGTTCTACACAAAATGGCCAGCCATGGGTGTAGGCCACATAGCCACCATGCTGGCTGGGCCAGCTTCTCACATCCTGGCTACCATCCCTCTATGTGGGCAATAGGCACATTGGCCAGGCCCAATACTTTTTTTATACACCATACACTGGCCGTCATTGCTCCACATGGCCCACAGACAAGCTGGCCGTATCACCCTAAGTTATTTGCAGTAGCATATATTAGTAGTCTAGGTATATGACTAGTCCTTAAGTCCTGGCCATTACACTTCTATGTCACCTCAGGACATACAGGCCAAGCATTATCTATAGTCATAACTAGATATATAGATTACACAATAAGCTCATCCTGTACTAATATACTATACAATCTGGCCAGCACAGGTTCTGCATATCATACAGTGATTGCAATATGCTTGTCAATGTTATTACTAGAATTCCTAGACAGACTGGCCAGCACTGATTCTATGTCTACCTGGCCGGTGACTGGCTGGCATAGATTCTACAGCCTTTTTGCATGTCCGGAGCCTGGGTTCTACATAGTAACATGACTGAAACATGTGCCCCCATTGGGCCATGATAGTGAAGTATCCCATGGCGGCAAATCAAAATATCCACCAGCATTCTAATGATCTTGGGGTCGGCTTCAAATCGAGGACATTCCAGCGTTTTAGAATATGGAGAAGAGAGTCGAGACATTCCTGGAGCATGGAAGATGCCTTGAGCTCATTGGGAGCATTTATGCATCTCTGCAAGACATGCTACCACTGCGCGATCACCATTTTCAGCCACTCAACCTCGTGTGGTTTCCACTTTTCAGGTGCCTGGCAATCGTGGTCTCCATTTTCAGGTACTCTGCGATCACAAATTTCTGCCACTTTGGTAGCGTGATCCCTGTTTAGTCCATTTGGCTTCAATCGTCGCACGATGTCTTGGGTGGTGCGATCCGTCCATATTCCAGAACTTTCTTCATGTCAACTGCTGGTTACACTTGCGCCTGTAAGCGCACCTTCACAGCACAAAACTACTTCAATTACCATCAACGGTTATGCTCTCAAATGAAAAAGCGTCTTTTGTCAGCCATATCGTCTTTCAAGGAATTATTAACTGGCAGGAAGAAGCTGCACATCGAGGTTGGGCTGGTTACGGGATCACTTCATATACCATCCTCCGACCACCTGGCCTCCGGGCATGTCATTCCCTCAACATCATCACATCTTGAAGTGACAGTAGTATCTCTACCTGATCCTTCCATTGCTACTGAGGGTGTGGGTGGCCCTCCTGAAGGTGAAGGTCCTCAAAATGATGTAGAGGACATGTCCCTGGCACAGTGCCGAACGAGGCGTCAGAACCGCCAGCCTACAAGAATCACCAGGCGAGCCTGGTTGCAATTTACCTCGAGTGGTGGCTGCCCTCATGTTTTGGTCTGATGCCACACAACTCACTTTGTTTGGAAATGCCAAGTTGTGGCCTATCTACATGTACTTCGGCAATGAGTCTAAGTATCGCCATTGCAAACCATCACTCAACTTGAGCAACCATGTCGCTTACTTTGAAACGGTACACCTTCCTGCATTGTTCAATATGGTGCATACTTAAATGTCATATTATCAGCTCCACGATTCATTCAAAGCCTTTACAGATGGGAAAGGCTTGAACAGCGAGTGTGCAACACATTGCCACAGGGAGTTCTTTCATGAGCAATGGAGGATTCTGCTGGACAATGAGTTCCTTGAAGCTTACAAACACAGGCATTGTAGTGTGTTGCTGTGACAGCATCAAACACAGATTTTATCCGAGGATTTTCACTTACTCTGCAGACTATCCAGAAAAGTCCGTATACTCAATTTGTACCTTGAATAGTATTGACTCTAATTTTACTAGAGTACTCATAGCTATGGTTCGAAACTTAGGAGGGTGTCCATGTCCCCGCTGCCTTATACCAAAGAATCATATTCATAATATGGGCATGCCTCTAGATAGAAAACAATGCCAAACCATCTTTCACAGTGATGAGAGAAGGAGAATGATGGTGAATGATGCTCACTCGCTGATTTACGAGCAAAACTTCGCGGTCGGCAGTGCAGTGGTGGAACACATTTTGAAGCCACAGTCGTGGGTACCTACCTCAGTAAGACTTCCAGTTCGTTTGCCAACCATAGCTTACTATGTCTTAGAATGCATTCTCAGACCGCCTGGGGCATATGGGTTTCAGTATATTTCATGCTCTTGTGGTGGATTTGTTACATGAATTTGAGATTGGCATGTAAAAGATGTTGTTTATTCACTTGTTACGGATCATTATGGCGCAGGACCCGGGTCTTATTCATCAATTGGACCAGAGGTATGATGTATGATAACATGTTACTTGTCTGATCCAGCTGACTCCTCTGTCATCAGATACAGGCAAACTCCGATGTTTGGACCAGCCACCATTCGAAAGTTTTCAGCCAATTCTTCCGAGATGAAACATTTGGCGGCTCAAAACTTTGAAGATCTCCTCCAGGTATGATCTTGCTGCCATTCAACTTAGATAGGCTGACACAATGCACAGTGCTCCATCCCTGTCTTTGACTGCCTTCTTCCTGAGCCACATAATCAGGCTGTTCTTGAGTTGCTCTTCACCATGGCTCATTGGCATGGGCTAGCCAAGCTTTGAATGCATTCTGATTTGACGCTTGAAATTATGGACAACGTGACATCAGCACTCGGTCAACAGTTTCGTCAATTCAAGGCAACAGTTTGCAATGCTTACAGGACCCACGAACTTGGCAAGGAGGTCAGGGCTCATGCCTGACGCCATGCAAAGAAGGTGGTGAACCAGAAGGCAGGGTATAAATGTACACAATCTACTCATGTTGTAGAGCAAGCAGAGGTGGATGCCTCGGAGAATTTGAAGCGCAGCAAAGTGTTCAATATTCAAATGTACAAATTTCACACGTTGGGAGACTATGTGTCTACCATTCGTCGGTATGGCACATCTGATTTGTACAGCACTGAACCGGTCCGTCCTATATAATCTTCCGCTATGAACTGCCCTGACTTGAGTTTTCCAGGGCGAACTTGAACACTGTTCCCCAAAAGCCAGATATTGTCACACCAATCATAAATCTTTTGTTCAACAGCTGACTCGGATGGAGCACTGTCAGGCTCGCATTTGTCGAATTGGTGACACTAATTTTTGTTACGACTTGGATAGTATCTGTTGGCGACGCTCAAACAGAGCAGTGTGTCGTCAACGGTCGAGGACGTCCTTGGGCTAGCCCAAGGTTAGGGGTCGTACTTGGCGGGTCTTCGGCAAGTACAATTTGACGCCTATGTCCAAATCAGGTAGCTTATGTCACGCGGGTGCGAGACAATAAGCTATATCGGCCTAGGCTTACGACACCCGAAGGTTAATCGTAAGGATCGTCGTTAATTAGAAGGACAGAAGTCTGACTAGTTAACAGGGGCTTTGCTCGTCGACGAAGTCGATGAGTAAAGGTCGAGACTATAGGCTTATCCGCGATGAGCAGATAAGAAGATAGAATATAGACTGCTGGGGAGGCAGAAAGGGTCACTCTGATGAGAGTAGGAGGTCAAGAACCAAGTAGATTCAAGTTAAGGAATATGGTACATGGTAGCGAGTTTATATAGAGGACAGGAGACGTATTAGTGGGTGATAACTCGTACTACCGGGAGAGGCAATCAGTAAAGGGTATAACTATAACAGGAAGGCATGTTCGGTCGAGGTAGAATGTGCTAGATAAGAAAGTGAGTCAGAGATCAAAATAAGAAGTGAAACGCGCAGGGGCACGATCGTGCAGCTGCGGATCTAAGTATAAGTCGCATGTGCAACTGCGCACCGAGTCAGAGATCAAGAAAGGAAGCAGGGCAAAGGGGATGCGTCATGCATCATATCATAGGTTACCGTCCAGACGGTAAAGGCAGGGGGACTGTCCACAGGATCAGTCAGGTGGTGAAACGGAGCATGGGTATGCTTCATCAGCGAAAGGGTCCGGCCAGATGTACTGGCTTTGCTGAAGCGACAGGTAGAGGGCGAAAGGAAATGCGAGGATGACGAGGATGACAAGGGTAAGGTCGGGGTAAGGGTATGACGCGAGGGCTGATACGAGGAGTATTAGGAGAAAAATGGTAGGGGCCCAAGCGTCTAGATGTTCTTGTAACAATTTTAATCGCCCCCATGTTGAAATTCCTGAGGTAGCAAGAAGCCCTCAGGCTCATCATCATATTGGCCTGACACAGAATTATCCTATACATATAGGATCGTACTTGATCAGCCACCCAGGTGATCCAGCCATGAAAGTTGGTCATATACTGCTTTATCAAAAGCCCTCTAACACGCTCTTGCAGAACTTCCTTCCGAAACTGAAGGAACACCTCTTATGTTGAATCATTACCCCCTCAGGAGTAGGAGACAAACAGGATATCAATACAATTATTCTCAAGGATGATCGCATATATCAGCATAACATTGCTAGGTTCAACTATACAACCTACGATGTCTGAAGAGCCCAGGACGTTATCAATCCAAGGACTTCACATTGCAACATTATGGTGCTCTGCTCCGACAACGATATGGGGTGCCATGGTCACAGGTACAACTACGGTAAGGTACTTGGCGTATACCACATCAATGTCATATTCATTGGACATGGTATGGTTGACTACACTCCGATATGAATGGAGTTCCTGTGGATCCACTGGTACGAGCCCATGGATGAAGTCTCCACCTGGGCGACTTCAACCCTGGATCAAGTGAACTTCCTGCCCCTGAACCATGAGCACTCATTCGGCTTTCTTGATTCCACAGATGTCCTTCGGGGTTGTCACGTCATTCCTCGTTTTGCCAGAGGCAAGAGACATGCTGATGGATTGGGTGTGTCAGCATGTGCGGGAGACAAAGATGACTGGTGCGAATACTATGTCAATCGGTAAGTTAGTCGTAATGCAACGTGGATCAGCAATATTGATTTCGAGTTTATCATATTAGGTTCATTGACTGCGATATGCTTATGCGCTTTCACTTCAGGCTTGGCATCGGACATGTATATTCTCACTATCGCACCATGCAGGTTGAGCTTCAATGAGAAGACATTAGCTTACAGGCATCGTTTAACTGTGATGTGGAAGACCTCACAGACGACGTAGAAGTAGATGAAGATGAAGGTGACGATGAAAGTGATGATACTGATGATGGGTTAGACATTGAGCAGCCATTCAGTTCTAACAAATCATTACCAGATCAATTCAATGAGATGTATGATGGCGAAGTAGATCTAGACTACGAAAACTAGATCATACCTTAATTTTTTACTGCAAATGTAGCTCAAATATTCCGTGACCGTCAAAACCATTAAATCTATTGGGACCGCTTTCGTGGTCGACTATTCAAGCCATAACTGAGTAGTTTTCATGTAATACGTCAACTACATGGTGATGGCGCATGGATGCAGCCAAATGCGGTCAGCCACAGTCAAAGTATGTAACTGTATTCAAATGAGTATTTTTTCGTCCATTCTCAATGTCTTCATCTGCAGATATCATGGAATCTCAACCTCATGAATGCTATCTCTTCAGCAACCTTTTGCCTAGCATGATGCCTATCTCTGTGCGTTTTTTTTTGACCTTGCTATTTCAATGTCACTATCTCACTCCTCCAGGGCCTCATCAGCCTAGATGCAGGGTTCGATTTCGTCAGTTATGTTTCCATCAGCGAACAAAAAACAATGTTGTTCCCTCTATATGTAAGTTTTTTTTTCTTCTGAGAGTTGCAGGAATGTCTCACTATACACCAGTGTTTATCCACGTCCCTTGGCACCGTAGGTGGCTCATTCTTCAGGCGTCATACACTGACTGTCTCTATAGCTTAGACACCAGATCTCCTTGATTGGCTATATTGCGACACCGATCATGCACAATGGGATGGAAATAGTGCACCATTCCGTGTACAAACATGGGTCTGTGCCCATATACACCCAGGTACCGTGTTGCACTTAGACTGCGCTTGCTTTCCCACTGACCAGTCTTGTAGCATGCTGAGCCATCTGGGAAGTTGGATTTGGCTCCCCAGGCCTACATGATAACTGACCACCTTCTTTATATCAAATATGACTGGGTAAGCCCATCATACAATCTTGAAGTTATCTCACATGACAAAATCCTAGCCCACTCCGGGCATTCAAAAAACAACAGCCCTTCTTGCTGAGTATCCTCAGGGACATGGCCGTATTGACATTGTTGTCACTTTATCCCAGCTCTTTCAGCCCTTTTGAACCTCTATAGTTGCCCTGGAGTTCAACGACTACTATCACTTACTACATCTCCATGACGGTCCATTGTTTCGTGAGTCACACTCATGTCATGAATAATAACAGCCAGTCACACCTGCCGAATTCACAGTCCGTTTGGCAGACATTAAGAAGTTCGTGAGCAACTGATTAGGGATGCTACTAGTAAGTCTGTGAGCTACAGTACATACAGAGAATTAGTATATAGAACCATTAAATTAAAAAATTTTAATGCTGTGTAAAATGATGCTGAGGGCTTGGGAATGTAGTGTGTTGATGTAGGTATTGATACATACTAGCACTAGGTGGATTGTCAAGTCTGTGACTTGAATGTGGGGTTGAGCGCATGGTTGACTCGAATTTGAAGCTGCTGGCGCTGTAACTACTACTGACGGCACTCGCTCATTTGCCGCCAAGAAGTCCCACAAATCTTGGCTGACTGGCGCACTCAGGATTTTCTGCAAGATAATCTCTAATTTGTCCTGTCAGTTCCATCATTGTCCCATCTCTGGGTAGCGAAAGAGCGCCGGCAATAGTGATGAGGTCATCTCTGGATTGCAGCTGCAACGAAATGCGCTGTTAAATTTAATGTCCAACATCGGCAGCCACAGCAGGTGACACCAATCTGTGATTTTTGCTGCTGTCACGCTAAAAACATGATCTCCACCATTTCTCAACGGATTTATTTCGTTTCACTTGGAATACGCTAGTATAGTGTGTAGAGTATACTCAGTGAAGTAGCTAAGTAATGACTTTGAAATTGAGTGCTGTAGACAAAAATCACGAAATAGTGGACCGTCACGGTGTCTTAATAACCGAGGGTCTTATATAAAGTTGTGTAAATGTAATGACACCACAATTACACTTTGGATAAGACTGCTTGCCAGTCCTCGATTAACACGGTCTACGACTTTTCCTATTTCGTGGTAGATAATGTGTGAGTTCTTGGGAGGCTCGCTAAACTAATCTTTTTATTAAGATCAACCTAGCCGGAGCTTTACTTTTCTTTATTGAAACTCAAATCTCTTGTCTAGGAATAAGCTTCTAGACACGTAATTCAGTTTCTGGAATGTATTTGCCTAGGAAATCTCCTTCTAGGCTCTGGACTTGGATACTGGAACTAGTGAGACGTGGTCTCAAATATACGAAATATGACCAAGATCGCTTGGTCTATGGACACCTGACTGTGAGACAATGGTCTCAAATATACAATATATGTTCAAGATCGCTTGAACAAAGGGGACTATAACTTGACCAAGATCGCTTGGTCTATGGGAGAACTAGTGAGATGTGGTCTCAACAATATGATAGATGACTAAGATCGCTTAGTCAAAGGGCACAGAGCAATGAGACAAAGGGGTCTCAAAGACAATATATATGACCAAGAACACTTGGTCTATAGCACTAAATAAGTTTCTAAGGTAAGAAACTTATAATCTCAAGGAAATTCTTTTCCCTGCACTTGTCTCACTTCAAAGGGACTAACTTTGCAAGTGAAATATCTGATAGGCAGATTGCTACAAATGGGAGATCATATTTTTTTTGGGGGGAGAATGGGCTCTCCTTATATACATTTTGTGTGGGAAAGTAACCTAGGTTCACAAACAATAAAAAATAAGGAGGACCAATCAAAATATTGGGTCAAACCCAATAAAAGAATAAAATACAAGTGAAAGATGGAGCTATGACATCATTGTGGAGCAGAACATTCTGGAATGTGGAGTAATGACATCATAATGACATCAAGAGTGACATCATTGTGGAGCAAAAGATTCCAGAACCTTCCATGAGTGAGTCAGAGTGAGTCATTGTGGAGCAGAATATTCTAGAAGGAAATGACATCATGAATGATGTCGTTGTAGAGTAGAATAATCTAGAGCTTGATGACATAATATCTTTCAACAGAATACCTGCAGGAGTATCTGTGGAGTCTTATGACATCATAATGACATCATACCTTATGGGTACAATTTTATGAAGTGTCAGGTGAGTCAAAGCATCCTAATGAAAAAGTAAAGTAAAGAAACACTAGAGAAAAGTAGGTAGCAAAAATAAGACAGTTGGCAGGAATTGAAACACAGTCAAAAAAATAATGCAGTTGGCAGGAATTGAAACACGGTCTTTTTTGGATAGGTTTTTTATTGGCTTTGTACTTTTCTCTATGGTTTTCTCTAGCCAAAGTGAATAAGCCAAAGGCAAGGCTATACCTTAACCTTCATTTCCCTTCTCACATCAACTAGGTCTAAATGTGATTCCCATCTCACATTAGACTTTTTCCGTCAAAACGTATTCAGATCATGAAACTTGGGGAAAACTGGAAATATGGACCATGGTTTGAAACCAAGGTATGGGTTGACTAGTCTGAGGACTAAGCTAGCAGACTTTATCTTTTGAGGGTCACCTAGTATTCATGTCCATGCATGATTCCCACATCATGCAGGACAACGGAGGTGTAGTAAGTGATAGTATGAGCCGTTTGAGTCACATCCCATCATGTCGGAGCCAGAGCCTCCCGTGTTTGATGAACTACCCTTGGGTCAAACTCTGAATGTCACTGAGGTACTGGTGGATTCCGGTGTTCCTTCCGTGAACATGACTGGCTGCACGATGAATCTTGATGACGATGTCACGCAGCCTGAAGCGCAAGCAGACAGTACAGATACTCTAAGCACCATTCAAGACCAGTATCCCCAGTGGAAAGCGGTCCTCGTTCACTTGCAGCTCAAGATGAGATCTGATGTTGCCCTCGGGATACCCATTAATCCATTCTTACTCACACAAGCCAATTACTCCGAGGAAAGGAAAGAGTTTGTCAGTGAGCTCTTCCAACGGAGCCTCACTGTGGTTGGGATAGATTACGCATCTCTGGATCACGGTCAGGAGCTCATTCATATAATATTCTCTGGACATCCTGACTCTTTTTAGTTATATCATCCGATGGGCATACCCATATCATAGAAGACGCTATATTGGGGATGGTACATTTTCTTCATTGATTCCATCTACTTGTCTCACCTAGAATAGGTCGGTAAATGGTTGTCTGCGCTTCTGTCCCTCATGAAACGGGCAGCTACCATCACAATCGCAGATGGCGGACTGATGAACAATTTTACCCTTCAAAACACATGCCCCTTCGCTCTGCAGAGTGACATGTGTTCCATGTGTGTACAACTGATGAACATGTTTATGTCTCCCTACTCGACCTGTTTCCTGATTGCTGTTAGTTTTCTTCGTTAACTTTGAATGTTAATGTCTTATTTGCCACGCAGACTAATGATCTTGGGCAGTTCCTTCGCATGGGCATTGCAAAATCACTCGTTCACTATCTGGTATACCGGCCCACTAAATCAGCCAATGTGAGCAGGATTATGGCTGATATCAACCACCCTATCTTCAGGCACGCCTCACATCTACCCCCGGCGACATTAGTGTTTGTAGGGGCCTGTGTAAGTTGCTTTTATGTTATGTGCTTATTTTCTTTAAGTGTTCCATTTTGTCAGCATTACAGCACTCTCCTCTCCTATCTGATAGATACGGTCAAGACAGGGGGAGTCAGCACTAACCTATCACAATTTCCTTCTGTTAGCAAGGTATATGACAAACTTCTCAGGACAGCAATGGACCTGTTCACACAGCAAGGTGACCCAGAACTCCCGATTCTCCACATTTACCTTGCAGGGTTTTGCAACTTGAAGTGAGTTAACATGCAGTTCATTTCTGTGCTGCTGATAAACGGGAATGCAACATCCAGGAAAACTGACATCATCAAGATTGCCCGCCGTAAATAAGCCGATCTGAAGTAGAAGTCGCTTTCTATATATTGTTTACATCGGTCGGGTTTGAATGTATCTGGCGCTGTGTTGTGTTACAAATATTCTTGCGATATTTGAGGCTTAAGATGCTGTCGTGGTGAGCAAAGCACCCCAAGTTTGATTTTGGCAGCTGCGATCCACAGGTATGGTTCATGTGAATGGCCAAGTACATCTACGACCCTTTAGTAAATAACAATACTCAAGCCTACCGACCGCGGACTTGGATGATTTTCTCACAACGACTTGTGTGTTGTCCAATAAACTTCATCACCTAAATTCAAGGTGAGTAGATTCTCTTAATCACTTAGTCATATACTGTGTTTTTTTATAGACCGCTGTCATACAGCCACCGCTGCCAGAACCGCCGTCGCACAGCCACGGCCTCTATACTCGCTTGTAAGCCCTCAACGATCACATGTGAGCCTCTTCTTACCCCCCTCCTACTTCAATATGTTAAATATATGTTTGGCTTTGCTCCCTACATCTAACACTCCTTCAACAAGAAACTTGCTTGGTGAGCACACCGAGAATGCCCTGAAATCTTGGCTCCAGAAACAGGGGCGTGACATTGTCAGTGCACTCCCATGTTTTCATAATTATTTTATCATAACATAAAGTCCAGCTTCCAGAATCCCTCCTGATCACAGCATCCGTATTGTTTGGATGGGTCGACCCCCTTGATCTTATCGCCGTCCTTCATATAAGCCTCAAAATGGCCACAGTGGAGAGACAGCTCCAGCAAGAAGAGTACACTGACATCACATTCCTTGTGCAAGGAGGGTGTTGCTTGATGGAGGAGAGGAGGTATCAAGCTCAAATGGAGCTTTCGTTATTCAGTAAAGCTATTGAGAATGTGTATGAAGAGCTGAACACCCAATATCACCCATGTAAGGCATGCTCTCATGAGATGATTGTTGACACTGATTTTTCCCCTAGCTACATGGCAAAGGACAATGCTGAGAGAGAACCCTGTCGTGCATGTATGAATGCCTCTCTCAGTCCATGGTGATGACTTCTCAGTCAATTTTGTTCCCTCTCAACCATCAAAAGCTACTCGAGAGAAATGTGAGGCATGGCTTTCCATGTCATGGCAGTTTCAAGCTGGTTTCCCGCGAACTCAAGAAATTCCTCAGTTTCACCAACACATATCAAAGGTCAGTATTACTTTGCTGTGGTGGACTTGGCGTTCTTACAATGTGCAGCCCAACAATTCATTTCTTCCCTTGCCTTGCTTGATAAAACCTTGGGTTAGTAGTGTCACATATGGTGACTATATCACCGCATCTTGTGCAGTCACGAAGCCCATCCGCCTCGACAACCCCAACGGCTTCAAAACAAAGGGGGACAAACTGCTGGATGTGCTCAAGTCAGATTTTCACATTCTGCAGCTGATGAAACGACGAGCACAGTCCGAAGTAGACATGTTCTCTGAAGCCATTGCATGCACTGCTGGGATTGGGTGTACTAATGATGGTGGGTTTGCAGTATTTGCTTTTGTTATCTCACTGACGTGACTGTAGGCACATGCACATCTTCTGGAAGTGCAATGACTTATGAATCACGCCTACCTAGCAACTTTTCTGATAATCAGTCTGATGATTGGTTTGACGATTGGTTCAATGGCTCTATATCTTCCAATGCTTCCGTGCTCATGTGACACCATTGTTGTAGCTGTATCCTTCCTTGAAGGACATGCATAGCTGTTGTAATGATATTCCATATTATGCTGTTTGCACGTTTGACTTAATCTTTATTTATGTTGTGTTGTCCCTATCATTATCACTTTGGTTACCAATTTTTATCTGCTTAGTGTCCGTATTCCAGGCAGTTAAGCTAAGGTGTGTGTAGGTAGATGTTTTACACCAAACCTAACCCAAGGCGAACCGCTCAGACAAAACCTTCCAGCAAGTTCAAGTTCAGGGTATACCTCCGAGCATCTCAATTACATCCTTTATCCAGGATGCATGGTGTAGACCCTGCCATCAGCACCACCCATCAAATAAGGGCGCGGAAGACCGAACTTGGACTTTGAATGATGCCTTTCGTGGGATGTACTGGATTGGAGGTATATTCCAGGTACAAGTGTTCCTCTCATTTATTGCTGTCATAATCAATAATCAATGTACAACACCACTTGTCAGGTCTTTGGTGATACTGCACAACTCATGGGTCCTATCGTCCTTGGGTAAATAGCAACCTCTGTGTTTAGTTGTGGTAGCCTCTGACGCCTGTCCTCCCCCAGTAGCAAATCATTCTCTGCGCAGGAGTGTTCCGCTGCAATCATTGGAGGAACACCTGGCCCTAATGTCGGTTGTGGGATTGCCATGGCCTTTGGGCTCTTTGGGCTCACTGTGATGACCAGCATCTGCACCCACCAGGTTTGTAAAACTTTATAAATTACACTTGGCTCACCTAATGTTGCTAAGTTCTTTTGATATTCGATGGCAACAGGGGTCCTGGCCAGAGCCACTGCTGATAACATGTATTTACAGGCGTGGAGTGAACCTGACGGTCAAAGTGTGCGTTAAAATCAACCACGCCATGCTTGTTAATCACATTTCTATCTTTTGACTGAGGTTTGTTGTACACTGTAAAGAGTTCAATTTATTCTAACTTGGAAACTAGCCCGGGCCCTCTGCACTCACTGGTTTCTCACTAATTACCCTCATGATTCCGATTCAACAACACTGCAGTGCCGTATTCACTCAGTATCAATTAAATAGACTGATCAACGAGTCAAATTTCTGCTAGAGGTACTCAGTACGTAACCTTGGAGCTGCTAGGACACGCAATGATGCTAAAGAGTACACAGGAGCTATATGGATTGTCAAATACTTCACATATGAAGTTCCTTTCTTTCCAAGTAAGCACAATGTCAAGGAATATCAACAATGTATTCACGAAAGTTGCTTAGGAATCTTCTACCTTTGAAAAAAGGAACTGCATGGTATTCGAAGGATTCTTCATGTAACTTTGGGGAAGTAAGTCTAAATGGATATAGCATAGCAATGCCTCCTAATTCAATTCACACAACTTGGCCCTCGCAGCCTCGACGCCAGTCCTCGCTGCCACACTAGCTTTTGTCACATACACCCTGACAGCATACAACCTCAATGTTGCTGTCATAATGTTGGAAAGTCCTTATTCCAAGATGCTATTGTGGGTGCCCTGCGAAATCGTGGTGTTACCATCATTCTGGTCATGCATGCGATCCATTTCTTCTCTCAAGTAGATTACATCTATACCCTGAACAATGGCATTATCATGGAGAGTGGGACTTATGAGGATCTTGTCTCTCGCAGTGATGATTTTGCACGTTTTGACCTAGAGTTCGGTGGCCATGCCTCAGAGGGGGAAGATGAAACCCAGGAAGAGGATGTCATTCCGCAGACACGCATTACCATTGAGGATGTGAAGTTGAAGTCAAAAAGAGCCAAGAAGCAGGCTACTGGCAATGGTAAACTTGAAGGTCGCTTGATTGTCAAAGAGAAGCGGTCGACAGGCTCTGCACAGAAAGGTGTGATCAAGTTTGTCTGAGATGTTTCCCTTGATTGAAACAGTTTTGAAGTGTACTGGACCTACCTTGTTGCGGGCCGTGGTTCAATAACAGGTCCCTTACTTCTTCTTCTCATCATGCTTGCGATGCAGGGGTGCCTGATCTTGAACTCATACATGCTAGTTTGGTGGGAGACCAAGTCAGTATCTTTTTATTGACTTTTTTATTTCTCTTCTAAATCCTGGCGCAGAAAATTCAACCAACCAAACTCGTTCTATCAGACGCTGTACGGCTGCCTAGGGGCTGGTCAAGTGATCTTCACATTCTTGCTGTAAGTCAGTTCCTATCGCAGATGGTGGCATGCTCACTCAACATCACTTGCTACAGTGGTGCTAGAATGGATTTCATGTCCTATTATGTGTCTCAAAGCCTGCACCACAAGTCTGTACGCAACATCATTCATGCATCCATGTCCTTTTTCAACACTACAGTAAGTGATCGTGTATGAAAGCATCAAAATCAATACTTATTGTGTACCTATAGCTTATGGGCCGAATCCTGAGTATTTTTGGAAAAGATATTGACAGTCAGTATCTCAATGATGTACGCTATGCTATGCCTGCTGAAACCTTTCACTCAGGTATTGACAATCAACTGCCATGTGAGTCATCTATCACTGCATAGTGAAACATTGCTGATCCATCGTCAAGAATCATTGACATTGGATATGTTAGCTGCATGCTTCGTTTTATGGAAACTGACTGGAAATCCAGTTATCATTACGCTGTCCAGCGTGATGGGTTCTATCATCATCATTTCTGTCCTTGAACCGTACTTTGGTCAGTATATAGTTATCATCTACCGTCTGAATCATATGACTCATGCTTGTCTAGTTATTGCTATGTTTTTCATTGTTCTCAGTTACAGCTACTTTACTGCCTTTTATCGAGCTGGTGCTCGCCAAGTCAAACATCTGGGTTTGTTCTTGTATTTTTGATCTAGAAAGCCTCCATTGAAATTGGTCATCAGACTCAATGCTTCGCTCTCTTCTGTATGCCCACTTTTCAGAGACCTTGACAGGACTTCCCAAGCTGCTTGGTGCCACCTCATTTCAGCACCACTTCGAAACAGTCATTGATGGCATCGGGAGCAAGCAAGCTCCCACCAATTACTACGACCTTGACAGTACTATTGAGAGCGAGAGAGCGAATCTCAGCGTTGGGGAAAGATCCCTGCTCAGTCTGGCCCACGCATTGGTGAAAGACTACAGAGTCATTGTGCTTGATGAAGCCACATTAGTCATGTGCTCTTACAAGCTGGACGTGTTACTAACGAACTCAAAATTATTCCTAGATGTCTCGATTCCATGCTTCTACCTCCCGCCGTGCACAATCCTCACAATACTTTGTTATTTATCATCCTCTCCCATTGTCTCCTTGCCTATCGCCTCCTCACCTATCACCCCCTCGCCTTCCACATCTTCCCCCTCCCTCATCCTCACACTAGATCGCGCACATCGAGTTAATAAAAATTAAACTATGGACTATTAGTAGTACACACCATACATATCGAAAACTAAACACCACCTGCTGATATGTTTGTACTTGCTTGCCCCTCTGCTTCAAGTTTGGGATTCGAGAAAGACACTAAGATGAAACAGTGAGTAACACCAACACAAAACACTAAGTCACTTACAGCATTCAGCTGACCCATAGCTCTCAGGTATGTTATTGATTTTGGTATAAGTTAAAGTACGAAGGAAAGAGCTGATATTCTTAAATAGTATATATTCATTCCCTGAAACGCTTGTCTTCACGCAAGTTCCACACGGCACCTTCAGCAATGACTTGGTTTTGGCACAAGGTCTTTGACGAGGAAGTTGGCAGGGTAAAAGGTCATTTTGGACCCATTAACACGTCAGTTCCCCCAGTTTTATTTTTTCAATGATTTTTATTTGATTACTACCAGTGTGGCCCTCTCTCCACCTTGTGACTAGAGTGAGAGCTCGCGACTCGCCTACTCTGCTTGTCTGCTTGGTTTTTTCTCGTGTTCTCTCATTCTCTCGGATTTCGACTCAGTCTCTCATCCCTTATGTCTACAGTATCAGCGTTAATCATTTTGCCTCTCGACTTTAATACAATTTGGCTCGTTTGTGCACACATTCTACCAAGGAAGTCGCTTTGTTTGGTTTGATTGCCTTTCGCCGCACTCACATTCTGAGTTTTCTCCGTTTTTGAAAATTTCGGCCTTGACAAGTATTCATTTTACAATGTTCCATTTCACACTCACATTCCTGCTCACATCACACCAGCACCAGCACCTTCACATCCGGCCGTAATCGCTGCACCTCCCGCATCAGCCACAGCGGACAGTGTACCTCTTGTGTGCACACCTCAGCCACAACCACCACCAAGACCAGCACCCACCACGCCCACCCACTTCCAGCAAGCCCCAGTGCCAAGTGCACATGCCCGTTACATGCCAACAAGTGCTGATGCGACTCAGACGTGTGTGGATGATGAATGGGAGCAAGGGGAAGGATAATGGAGCAGTTGGGAAGAGGATGTGGATGAATGGACAGAAGGCAGGAAGAAAAGGGGAAGTTGGAAGCAGGAAACAGTTTGCAGGACACGGTAAGCCCACAGACACGCGCCAGCACGCACCTACCAGTGACAGCAAACCCAGCACGACTCTTTGCACATGTTCCAACCAGCAGGAAGTACCCAGTACCATGGGTGCGCCATTCACTGCACGCCACTTCACCAGCACTTATTCTTGCACACCCATCATTTGCACCACCATCGCCATCACTTGCACCTCGCATAGCTTGGACTATGCAGCCCATGCTGCCACCATCAACTGCAGCCCTCACTTCGCCATTCGCAACCGCTACAGCAACCGCGTCCATCTCAATGTGCCCCACACCATCAGCGTGTGTTTGCATGCCACCAGCAACGCCCATACCACTCACACCCCCCGTCCATCACCAGCACACGCCATCTCCGAGCATTCAACCCAACGATATGCTGGCAAGTGCCAACAATGAAGTGATGTGATCGCGTGGACTCCATGAATTGTGGGACAGCGAGAGGACTGGAGAGAAGTTGGGAGGACAAGGAGGATGGAAAGAGCAGAAGGGAGAGAGAAGGAGAAGGATTAGAGCACCTTGTGACTTGTCATCCCAGTCTGTGAGTGTATTGGTCCTCCTTTGAGCTCGAGCCATGCTGATTGAAGTTGTTGCCCACTGTTCGTAGCCTGTGAGTTGTGTTGATCCTCCTTCGAGTTCGAGCCATGCTGATTGTTGCCCACTGTTTGCACTTGGTGAGTGTAGGATCGTTTTTTCATATTTTTAGAATTGCTAGTTCAATATTTATATGTACTATTACCCGCGGGGAAACCCTGCATGGGTGCGGGTAAGGGTGCGAGCTCGTCGTACCCTAAAAAAACCCATACCCTTTATGTGGGTGTGGGTGCAGGTGAGGTTTCTGACACCCCAAGGTTTACCTAGATGGATATTAATACATACCGATAGCAGAGGTACTTTGTATCATTGCCATTGTGTTGTCCTGTGATTTGTTCTATCCTATGTGCACCACTTTGAACAATATAATCAGATTTCCTGCATTTTTTGAATTTTTGTAGACTTTGATAAATTCTCGCCCATCCGCAAAGGGACTTGGAGTATTTTAGAGTATTTTAACAATTTGAGACAATTTTTGTATATTAAAAGGCAAGTCAAAATGAGATACCCCTGTCATAGCTATACATTCTCTAGTATATTTGTTGCATACTTTCAAAATGCATATCAAGATTACATGACCCCGACACAGTCATATATTCTTTTGTATACTTGCTTGATACTTGTAAAAGGCACATCAAAATGAGATGCCCCTGTCATAGCTATACATTCTCTCATATATTTGTTGCATACTTGCAAGAGATGTATCAAGATTATATATCCTTGGCATAATCATATATTTTTTCATACACATGTTGAGCAAAGATAATAATGTATAATTCTAAAGCTAGATGTATCATAATGGGTTTCATTTGTCAGCTCTACCTGGTCATATCAATTCCAGGTTGATTTCCTGATGCAGTCAAGACTGTAAATTGATACTTGCACATGTTCTCCTCAGACTCCCTTTGATATTTGGATCGATTGCTACGCGATCAGTCCTATCCGATGTTATTCTCTGTAATACAGTAGACTGTTTTTGTGCAGCGGGTTTGGGTATTTCCTCGTTATATTTCTCTATCTTGAGAAGGATCATTGATAGAGATGTATGTAAACTCGGGGCTATTGAATATGCGTGGATCCGAAAGGCTGGAGATTATCCACAACTATAACTGAGAATTTTCCACAAGTTCACGCCCTCTTGTGAGCAACATTAATACTCGGGCTCGAAGGGCAGTAAGGAAAGACAGGCTCACTTTGCTACACGTAACAAAATCCCCTTTATGAGGGGAATTCTTACAGCAACCTACGCAGGAACACGGGTAGGTTATTACAATTTTCCCGGCTGCGCACTCAAACCCGTAATCGTTCCCGTTGTTGTAGCCTTTGAGGGGGCCGCTTGCGCAGGTGATTGCACCTGTGGATAACCGTAAGTACGCAGGCGGCTGCATGTAGGCCGCAAAAGTACCTACCATCGGCCTCGGAGCAGTCTCTACCAAGGGGTGTCACTGTATCTGAATTAGATGCGATAGCTATGCCAGCCATCGCTGCGGCAGATATGACAATAGTGGTGAGCGAAGTGAATTTCATGGTTGATAGTGTTTTCTGGGTCGCATAGGTTGGCTTTTATACGCGATCAGAGTGAGATAACAAACGCTTTCACGCGCTTTCACGCACTTGCATCGCCGGATTTTCGGGAATGAAACGGGTGCCAGCTCATGCCCTGTTGCTTCTAGTTCATTCGATTGGTGCGGACATAGGGAAGGGCTCGGTGAAATTCAATCAATAACAATGACTTGGTCACAATTTCATCGCTTGTTAAAATGCGCCTGTTCTTGTATTCTTCAGGATGCGACGCCACGGCGGGCGTACAGACTATGTGCAAAGCTATTGCTAGGTGTTTCTCAGAACTGTCGTTGCTCATCGATTATTCGAATCCAATCATCCTAATTTCTGCCGGGATTCTGTCGATCTAAGATTTCGATTTCTGTTTTTAGTCCCTCCTCCCTCAGAAACAAAAGGCAGTGAACTTTGTCTGACCTGCGTGACTTATAGATAGCTTCTTGCGGTAGGCTAAATAATCCAGATTGCCACACACCACAGCGCTAAAATAATTATCATTCAATGAGCCTATACTATCATGGTGTAGGATGATCTATGCCGCGGACTGCTACGTAGTCAATCCGGAAGATCCACTACATCTGTCACAATGGATGATTGAACGATTCAATTTCTGGAGAATAAGCCGGGTTGCTAGAAGACGACAACAGAGCTGCTCTGGCTGCAGCTGTCCTTGTTGGCATTGAGCTAGCTATATGATATCTTTGCCGTCCGCAGATAGGAGCCTTTCAAATCCATGCAAAGGTATCTCGTGGCAGGTCCCATTCTCCACCCAGAACGATCGAACATTACGACAATGAGGTTTGACATCAACTTCCCTCAATCGGTTTGGATACATTGAGTATAGATCAGGTTTACACCACGGATCTTGTAAACCTTTGGGAGACAGTATGAGTGGGTCGTACAAATCAAAGTACAAGTATATGACAGAGCGTGCTCCGAGTCGGGCAAACAACATTGCGAAGTGAATGCAACGGTACCTTTTGGACGTCGACGAGCACCGATTCACCAACTGGAACGTTCTGAGCACAGCTTGCACAAGGGCTGCGTCTCAAAGACTTCAGGATCATCTGCTGTTGCCATTCGGATATAATGATCTTTTTATCAGCGAATGATAGCAAGACCGGAAAAGGACCATCCTGCAGGGTCGTCGCTAGTGAATAGCAGTTGAAGTGGTGTTTCAATAAATACTTGCAAATCGACCCCAAGACCAATATGATCACAATACTCCTTCCAAACATTTACAGCCCGCGAGACTCGACACGGCCACGGAAGATGGAACTGCGAGATATGGCCAAGGTTCATGAGTGGCTCGCCGCGGCTGAAGCCAGACTGTAGCTTCAGCTGGTCCCTAAGCCTTGCTTCTGCGAAGGAGGATGTCACAAAAATAGCGACCGTAGCTGTGATATATGAGCAGATACTAGTTTAGAGTCAAACGATGAACGACTTACGAACCGAGCTTGGTGGATTGTAGTTCTTTCTGCGCTCATTGAGAAAATTAGCGATGTCCGCCTTAAGACCGAGCGTCTCGACGACTTACGCTCGATGTCGAGCTTTTACTTCTTCATAAGCGCTCTTGTGCCAATCGCCTACGATACCGAGGTAAGTGGAGCATGTCAAGCAAGCGGTCAATCCTGTGCATGTTGGCCAGCGAGACGAGAAGGTTTATCGAGATAAACTTGACTTTGTTGCCTACGGCCTCGAGCTGCTTGGCAACTTGAAGCGCGACAACACCACGATAACTGGCGCTGCCTAAATCCTCCTGACTCCTGCGGTATAACAAGACATCATCTCGGTCGTGGAGGTGAAGGACGGGTGGCTGGACTCGAAACCACGAGCATGGATCGAAGTGTGTATAATGGACAAGTACTGCTTTTGGAAGCATGTGGCAAGATTGAGGAAAATGAAAATTTCCCAAGTAGGGTGAATGAAGCGTGCTGTTCCAAGTCAGGCGGATGATAGAGTTGTATTCGTTACTTTGAAGAACAAGGAGTTGGTGGTTGCTTGATGATTTGGATGGTGACAAGTCAGGCAGGGCAAATGCGCCTCCTCATGCTTTATAACGTATGAGTAGATGGCTTTTATTGGGAAGATAGATAGATATTTACATCAATAGAAGTACCGCTGAGGCAGAATAAGTTGTCACTCACCGATAACTCTCTCCGCCAGGTAAAAATCCGCAAGTGTCTTTCCTCACCTTTCTAACAAGCTCTTCAACACAGGCGACTTATTTCGCCAGCTCGCCGCCTTGTTTAAAGTGAGGCTCGGAAGTTGGGAGACGTGCCCAGGTGTAGCGCTATATAATACCACTCATACTTTGAAATGTCATTTACAATGTTGAGATGAGTAAATGGATCGTCGTTTGCATTCATCTGCATCATGGTTGAGTACATTGAGTATGGCATTGTTGGTGCTTGTTTATGTGTTTACATGCGGAACTCGACCAGTTACCAGTCAAGACTGTAAATTGATACTTGCACATGTTCTCCTCAGACTCCCTTTGATATTTGGATCGATTGCTACGCGATCAGTCCTATCCGATGTTATTCTCTGCAGTACAATAGACTGTTTTTGTGCAGCGGGTTTGGGCATTTCTGTAGGAAGTACGCTCAGCGTTGGTGAACAACAACTATATTAATATGTTCAAAGTACCTGTAGGAAGTATGCTAGAGTATATTAAATGAGTACAAGAACTGTGTGCAAGAAAGACAAAAATACGTACCTCAGTGTTGGTGAACAACAACTGAGGTACACAGACAATGAGGACACAAGATACTTATGCGAATGACGATGGAGCTTGAATATGATACGAAGTAGTAGCCATGCGGTGCGAAGTAACAGCCATATGGTACGAAGTGGTGAGGTTGCACCCTCGACTCTATCACAATGTTAATCAGTCCAAAAGTAGAGAAACAATGACCAAGAACAAATGCCCTTCAACTCTCTGATCTCCAACACACCCCCTCGTTTCTCTAATCTCCAACACACCCCCTCAACCTGCCACGAGGGACAGACCCAAATGGTGAGCCACAAATGCGGGACGCGGGAGGACTTTAGTAAAAATGTTGGTGCTGTTGTGGTGGGTAGAAACCCAGATAGGTAAGAAGATGCCAGCATCAATGTGCTGTCTGATGAAGTGATAGCGCAAGTCAATGTGCTTCATTCTGGAGTGATTAGTGGCCTCTGCAGATAGTGTGATGGCACCCGTGTTGTTTGCATAGAGCTTGAGAGGAAGAGTGAAGGCGATCTTCAGGCATTCACAGAAAGATTTGATCCAGAGTCCATCCTGGATTGCCCCCGTCAATGCCATGTACTCCGATTCTATGGAAGACAATGCCTGGGTGGTCTGTTTCTTTGCTGCATGCGAGATAGGGCCACCATGATAGTACCAAACATATCCTGTAATGGAGATGCGATCCTCGGGAGACGTTGCCCAATCAGCATCGCTGAACCCATGGATGGTGCTGTCCACGTTCTTCCCTCCATAGTGGACCCGATAGGATAGTGTCCTGGAAAGATAGCGAAGGATGCGCTTTGCAGCGGCATAATAATGAAGCTCCAGGTTGGAATTATGTTGGGCAAGCTTCATGACGGCAAGGGCAATGTCAGGACGTGTGTACATTGCAAGGTAAAGCAATTCTCCGATGAGCTTACGGTACTCTGACTGAAGATTGTCGATCTGAGGATGAATGTCCGTGTCTCATCCAAAAGGGAACATGGGGTCCATTGGCAGTGATACCGGATTGCATTGACAAAGACCATGCTCTTCGAGGAGATAAATTATATAGTCTTGTTGATGCATCCACAGCTCTCGTGTAGCACGCGAGCGAACATACTGAACACCCAGGTGCTTGACAACTGGCCCTAAGTCTGCAATGCCAAAGTGTTCCGCAATGCGACCCTTAACCCAATCGAGGAACTTCCTATTGTTGCAGCCTGCGAGGCCATTGTCGACGTGCCACGCGATGATGCAGATGATGTGCACCCCCTCGCTATTGACATGATCATATACGAAGACAGCATAGTCGGCTTTGCAACGGAGGAATGCTAAATGTGTGAGAACGGCATGCAAGAGCTCATACCAATCGTATGCAGCTTGCTTTAATCCGTACAGTGAAGACAAGAGGTGGCATACAAGGTTTGCTCCGCGTTCAAAGCCAGGTGGTTGCCGCATGTACACGTCTTCGTGTAGCTTGCCCCACAGGAATGCGCATTTGGCATCAAAGCTGTCGATCTCCCAGTCATGAGCCGTTGCGTGTGCAGAAAGAAGTAGGATGGAAGATGGCCTTGCAATGGGTGCAAATGTTTTGCCGAAGTCGACACCCGGCACCTGCAAGAATCCCTGCGCCACCAGGCACACTTTGTGAATGGGCCCACCTTTCTCGTCCTCTTTAAACTCCAAAACCCATCTGCATCCTATCGCCCTACATTCCTCTGGAAGCTCCTTTAGCTCGTAAACCCCCATCTCTGACATCAAGTTAATTTCCTTGCGCATGGCATTGAGCCAGTCATCTCGATCTGAACGCTGCATAGCTTCATTGAAAGTGGAGGGTGGAATTCTCATGTTGTAGTCTGCGGTGAGTGGATTGCGTCGTGTATCACTATGAATGGAGACACAAGCAAACTCAGTGGCAATGAGATTGGCAAGCACACAGGGATAGCTGACCTTGTCCTCGTCTGGAACAATGATGTCAGTGTCTGTGTTGGCGATGACATCTTGGAGAGAGGGCTCGGAAGGGTTAGGCGCAACATTCACCCCTTCAAGGGGCACTCCCTGAACACAAGCCTGATGTAGCTCATGCTGACAAGCCAACCAGTCACGGTCAGAGGCCAGTTTCTCTTGGAAGATCTGTCCACGTGCAGTGGGCAAGTGTGCATGCTCAGAACAATGCGTGGTGGAGGGTATTGGTGCAGGGGTGCTTATGTTAAGTGAGGAGGTTGCGGGTGCAGTGGTGGGGGTCAATGTCGTGTCTTCTTCATCAGAATCATCGCTGTCTGATGGGAAAGGTCTGCCAGAGAATGTTTCATCAAAAATGACATCACGAGAGTTGAAGAAAGTCCCCGTTGCCTTATCCCTACAGCGCCAAGCATGACCACTTGGAGCATAACCCATAAAGTAAGCCTCGCGTGATTTAGGACCTAACTTTTCCTGGAGCTCACTGGGAATGTGAGCAAAGCAGCGTGCACCAAAAACACAAATGTGAGAGAGATCGGGTTTAGTGTTGTGCAGCATTTCATAGGGTGTTTTCCCGGCAGGTAGAGCACAAGATTCAGTGTGGTTGAATAAGTATGCTGCAGTCAGGGCTGCTTCTCCCCATAGGTTGCGTGGGAGGCGTGCATGGTTCAGCATGGCGTACATCCACCCTTCAATCGTACAAATGACATGTTCAGCTCTCCCATTTTGTTGATGTGAGTATGGTGCGGAGAGTTGGTGCTCGATCCCGGCTGCTTGTAGTTCATCACTGAGGAATTCCCCACCATTGTCCGAACGGAAAGTAACAATGCGCAAACCAGAGCGAGTTTCCCACCTTGCATGAATGTTCCTCCATGCATCCAAGGCTTGATCCTTGGTGGCCAGGAGCTGAAGATCCAGGATTCCAGTGTGATCGTCGAGAAAAATGATGAAGTAGCACTTATGGTGAGGAGTGACGACTGTAATGGGACCGCACACGTCTGAGTGAATCAACTCAAGAAAGCAAGAGGCAGGAGGGGGAGGGGATGTAGGATGGGGCTGACGTGGGTGTTTCCCTATAATGCATGACTCGCAGCGTGACATGGCTTCGTTAGTGTCTAAGGAGAAGCTGTGAGCAGTGTGAGCAAGGCAGCGGATGGACTCTCCTCCAGCATGACCCATATGAGCATGCCAGAGATCGTATGTCAGTGGGATATGTGCAAAGGCAGACACCTCTGATGGTTCAGTGACCAGAGGTACTGACTCTTGAGGAGGGATAAACAAGAGATCCACATAGAAAAGGTGCCCTGACATGGGCACCTGCCCCAAGCAATCCTCCTTTATATACGAGCTCGCAATGAGGAGGCTCACCCCAAAAATTGCACTCCCATCCTTTAGCTAGCATCCAGCCGACGGAGAGAAGATTCAGCATCGCCCCGGGTGCATGAAGGCAGTTTGAAAATCGCACACAATGTCAGATACCGCCAATTTTGAGCCACACAATGCAATCACCACAACCAGAAGTATGAAGTGACCCGTGGTTCGCCGTTTTGACGATAACGGGGTCCTGAGTGGAATATGTCCAAAACATGCTGCAGTTGCTGACGAGGGTGCTGGTAGTGCCAGAGTCCAGGATGGTGGACAATGCATGGGCATGAGCTGAGACATTGTCGAGGTGCTCGATGCTTGTGCATGAAAGATCACGTGTGTGTGTGGCCAGCGCTGTGGTGGCTGTAGCGACAGGTGGTGAGTCTGATAACAAGCATGGAGGGAGTATGAGAAGTCCCTGATGCAACCGCTGCAGTCTCCTTCTTCCTCTTTTGCCAAGGCGTCTGTCCTGCCATCCCCCCGCCTTCCCGGAAACAATGTTCCTTGTCGTGATCACCACATCCACACCCGGTTGTCAGGCAGAAGATGCCATTGGGATTATTCTTGTGTTTCCTCAGACCAGTGATGGAGTTGACATTGGACACAGAGGGAGTGGACGCAGAATTGGCATATTCGGATACAGGACCAGGTGTACTGGTTGGGTGAGTGTTAACCATACATGAGGCCTCTGCTGTGATCCATGCTGTGCAACTCTCAAAGGTCAGTCCATTTGTTTGGAATGAAGCAGAAATGGAAAGTCCACTGCTAAGTGTGGAACTGACGATGGTAGCGAAAAAATTGTCATGCATACATTGTTCGAGCTGCATGCAAAAGAGCTGCCAGGTAGGGGATGTGGGTAGCCCAAAAAGAAGATTAAACACGGCTTCCTCGTCAGAATAAGTAGCACCCATGCCAATGAGACGGTCACGGCAACTAATATGCTGACCGACATAGTTACTTGCATCATGTGCGTCCTTCATGCGAAGTGTCTGAATCTTCCTGCAAATGACGAACTGGGAGCTGATGTCATTACGATGGAAGTGATCTTTAAGGATTTTCCATGCTTTGTGCGCTGTGATTGACGTGTTACGGGGGATAAGAAGGTGAATACTTGGTGCAAGTTTGCAGAGGATAATGGTTTTGGCCTTGGAGTCGTTGATAAGCCAGGATCGTATAGCCGCCTTCTCATCATCAGTGGGAGTTGCTGGATTGGCCGCTACGGGCAAGACTGAAGCCGCTCCGAGAATGTCACCTGGTCCAGCGTTTTCGGTGACATGACACCAAAGATCGTCGTTCATTAAGACAAGCTGTGCCTGCATTTCACAGGAAATGTAATTGTCCGCCCCAGTTAACTCTGGTATATGGTCGTATTTTCCCATAGTTGAGACGATGCATCAGAGTGAGTTTGAGCGAACAAAGAGAAAGACTTGAGTTGCTACAACGAGAGGGAGTTCATATATTTCCGGTTTCTGTGTTGTTTAAGACACAGGGCTCATAACCTGTAGGAAGTACGCTCCATCAGGAAATTCTCACATTCCTTAATCTCCTTAATCAGCTTAACCTACTTATCTCAAAACTTGTTTGCTCTCTCTCACATTATTTACCTGGCATATTTCATATTTCTCTAGTGTGAAGCATAATAAAACATATATATCAATATACCTCAACATTTCCTTTCTGAATATATTCAAGTTGAAATGTTGGACAAGTAGATCCACCTTTCAACAAGACACTTAAGTGTATTAAGTCTGTTTAAGGACAAATAAAGTAATGTGAGAATTTCCTGATGTCAGCATTGGTGAACAACAACTATATTAATACGTTCAAAGTACCTGTAGGAAGTACGCTAGAGTATATTAAATGAGTACAAGAACTGTGTGCAAGAAAGACAAAAATACGTACCTCAGTGTTGGTGAACAACAACTGAGGTACACGGACAATGAGGACGCAAGATACTTATGTGAATGACGACGGAGCTTGAATATGATACGAAGTAGTAGCCATGCGGTGCGAAGTAACAGCCATATGGTACGAAGTGGTGAGGTTGCACCCTCGACTCTATCATAATGTTAATCAGTCCAAAAGTAGAGAAACGATGACCAAGAACAAATGCCCTTCAACTCTCCGATCTCCAACAATTTCCTCGTGATATTTCTCTATCTTGAGAAGGATCATTGATAGAGATGTATGTAAACTCGGGGCTATTGAATATGCGTGGATCCGAAAGGCTGGAGATTATCCACAACTACAACTGAGAATTTTTCACAAGTTCACGCCCTCTTGTGAGAAACATTAATACTCGGGCTCGAAGGGCAGTAAGGAAAGACAGCCTCACTTTGGTTCACACACAACAAAACCCCCTTTAGTAAAGGGATTGTGACAGCAACCTACGCAGGAACACGGGTAGGTTGCTCCAATTTTCTTATCTGGTCCGCAGTAAAACCCGTAATCGTTCCCGTTGTTGTAGCCTTTGAGGGGGCCGCTTGCGCAGTATGAAGCTGTGGATAACCGTAAGTACGCAGGCGGCTGCATGTAGGCCGCAAAAGTACCTACCATCGGCCTCGGAGCAGTCTCTACCAAGGGGTGTCACTGTATCTGAATTAGATGCGATAGCTATGCCAGCCATCGCTGCGGCAGATATGACAATAGTGGTGAGCGAAGTGAATTTCATGGTTGATAGTGTTTTCTGGGTCGCATAGGTTGGCTTTTATACGCGATCAGAGTAAGGTAACAAATGCTTTCACGCGCTTGCATCGCCGGATTTTCGGGTTTGAAACAGATGCCAGCTCATGCCCTGTTGCTTCTAGTTCATTCGTTTGGTGCGGGCATAGGGAAGGGCTCGGTGAAATTCAATCAATAACAATGACTTGGTCACAATTTCATCGCTTGTTAAAATGCGCCTGTTCTTGTATTCTTCAGGATGCGACGCCACGGCGGGCGTACAGACTATGTGCAAAGCTATTGCTAGGTGTTTCTCAGAACTGTCGTTGCTCATCGATTATTCGAATCCAATCATCCTAATTTCTGCCGGGATTCTGTCGATCTAAGATTTCGATTTCTGTTTTTGGTCCCTCCTCCCTCAGAAACAAAAGGCAGTGAACTTTGTCTGACCTGCGTGACTTATAGATAGCTTCTTGCGGTAGGCTAAATAATCCAGATTGCCACACACCAGAGCGCTAAAATAATTATGAAAATCATCATTCAATGAGCCTATACTATCATGGTGTAGGATGATCTATGCCGCGGACTGCTACGTAGTCAATCCGGAAGATCCACTACATCTGTCACAATGGATGATTGAACGATTCAATTTCTGGAGAATGAAGCCTGGTTGCTAGAAGACGACGACAAAGCTGCACTGGCTGCAGCTGTCCTTGTTGGCATTGAGCTAGCTATATGATATCTTTGCCATCCGCAGATGGGAATTTTTCGAGTCCATAGAGGGATACCTCATGATAGGTCCCATTTTCCAGCCACAACGATCGAGCGTGAATTACGACAATGGGGCTTGACGTCGACTTCCCTCGATCGGTTTGGATACATAGATTATAGCCTATATAGATCCGTCTTACGCCATGGATCTTGTAAACCTTTGGGAGACAGTATGAGTCGGTCATACAAATCAAAAGCATAAGTACATGACAGTGTGCTCGGGCAAGCAGCATTGCGAAGTAAATGCAACGGTACCTTTTGTACGTCGACGAGCACCAATTCACCAACTGGAACGTTCTGAGCACAGCTTGCACACGGGCTGCGTCTCAAAGACTTCAGGCTCATCTGTTGTTGCCATTCAGATATAATAATATTTTTATCAGCGAATCATAGCAAGACCGGAAAAGGACCATTCTGGTCGTTGCTAGTGAATAGCAGTTGAAGCGAAGTAAAAAAGGGCTTACATGAAAATGACTGCATGCCTCGAGGCAGTGTCAAGCAAGCGCTGATTGATAAGCAGAATTCTGAATTTCTCTGCAGCGTGTGCGTTGAATCTGATCATGATAGGCTGTATATGGGTCAAGCTCATATGGATCATTGTAAAAACAAAGCAGTCTCTACTGGCCAAACTTACGACTAGTATTTGGATGATCTATACTGTTGGTCTCGCGAAACCTCGCAGATGATGCTCTCGTCCAAACGCTGTGTGCGTTTCAATAAATACTTGCAAAACGACCCCAAGACCGATGTGATCACAATACTCCTTCCAAACATTTACAGCCCGCGAGACTCGAGACGGCCATGGAAGAGGGAACTGCGAGATATGGCCAAGGTTCATGAGTGTGTCTTTTCTCAAAATGTCAATATATGGCTCGCCGCGGCTGAAGCCAGACTGTAGCTTCAGCTGGTTCCTAAGCCTTGCTTCTGTAAAGGAGGATGTCACAAAAATAGCGACCGTAGCTGTGATATATGAGCAGATACTAGTTTGGAGTTAAACGATGAACAACTTACAAACCGAGCTTGGTGGATTGTAGTTCTTTCTGCGCTCGTTGGGAAAATTAGCGATGTCCGCCTAGAGACCGAGCGTTTCCCACCCGGGGCCGCAACGTTTGGGAGGCGACGACTTACGCTCGATGTCGAGCTTTTACTTCTTCATAAGCGCTCTCGGGCCAATCGCCTACGATACCGAGGTAAGTGGAGCATTGTGGGTGGCGCAGAGCGCTACAAATATAATTTGAAATATCAATTCCCAAGTCTCTGGATGGCATTATTGATGCTTGTTTATGTGTTTGGCTACGCGATGTCCTACTCCGATGAAGTATTCTCTGCAGTGCGGTAGACTGTTTTTGTGCAGCGGGTTTGGGCAATCCCTCATGATATTTCTCTATCTTGAGAAGGATCAATAGAGATGTCTGTAAACCCGGGGCTACAATATGCGTGGATCCGAAAGGCTGGACATTATCTCCAACTACAACTGAGAATTTATAGGCAAACAGTGATGGGGTGGACAGGCATGTTGAAGTTCGAAGGACGAGAGTGTAAGTCATGATAGAGAATGTATATTGACTACATGACGCTAATGCTACACAATTCTTTATGATAGTGGGTACCGATATCCAGCATCGTCAAACTCTTCTGTCGTCGACGCCTTGCGATCATGTCGCTCCAGGTAAATAAGTCATTTCTTTTTATCCCGACACGCCTGACCATGATAACCGTCACCTGTTGCCTTTCTAGTAGGTGCCACCTACATCACATCACAATGACAATGAGCACCGCGTCACGACGATAATAAGCATCCACAACACTCACCACAATCAACCGCGCCTGCTCCCTCGGCCCTGCCACCATTCTCGCCTTCCGTATTTCGAACTCAGGTTCTGTCCCATCGAGCTGGGCGTACGACGGCCGAGGGCCGTTTCGGAGCTCGTACATGGATTGCGCATGGTAGATCTGCGGATACCACGTCAGCACAATATTCTACGACAAAGAACGTGCTTACAGACCTGTTGAGTCATATATTTCAATGCTAAACTTTGACACGTAGCAACTCTTCCCCTCAGTTGGATGACACGTTTTTATTGAGAATAACACTTTCAAACCACAGGATTAAATACTACGAGGGCTGTGGACGACTCCACAGCACGAAAACAGGTTGTCCAAGCAAACGAACAAAAGCACGAGTGGCATGGTGAGTGGCGCCTGCTTCGCTTCCACACTTTATCGTCCACAGTTGCTTTTACACTAGGCGTTTACTTAAATACCTCTTTCGCGAAGATGAGAAGGTTATCGTTCACTCCTCTCATTCGCACTCCAAACTTCTAGATAGCTACAAGACTTGTATTTTCTTCTTATTGTATAGACGCAAAATGGGTCGCGCATGTTACAACCCCATGGACGCACAGCGTTTCGACCCCCTGCGACGCACTAACATGGTCAGTATTTCCTTTCGTTTCATCACCCTGCGCTTTCTTAACATTATTGTTCGCCTCTGTTCCATTCTTTAGAGACTTTTCAAAACTGGCACTTCAAATTCGGTGATGAGGCAGGGCCTTCGCGTCAGGAACCGAGCAAATGAGTGCGGGCAATGTACGGCCGGTCCACAATGCTGTAGTTAATCCTGTTGAGGGGGGACGTTCGGATCGCGAGGAGTCGTACTCGTCCCCTACGGCCACATGCGCCACTTCCCCTACACCTATCGATACATACGATCCCGTCGACATCGTCGTCACACGCACCATCATGCCACCCCAAACTCAATCCTCATCATGGTCGTCGTGTGCCATCTCGCACGCAGATGATGCTTACACGGTTGTTCTCGCGCTCACCGTCTCGCACAGGCACCTACTCTCCCTCTCCGTCATCTGCATCACCCCGATCCACCCCCCCTTCGCGCTTCACGCGCGTGGTGCTTCGAGCATTCAACTGTTTCAGCACATCCTCAACATTTGATAGCGATGAAGATGATACGGAAATGCGTAGGAGGGAGAGGCCTCTGTTGCTGGTGATTGTTAAGGAGACGAGGGAGAAGCACGAGGATGATAGGGCGTTCAAGGAGATAGTAGGGAGTGTCTTTCCTGCTGCTGGTGTGAGGGGTAGCGCTTGAGCTCGGGTTCTTGCATGGTGTGGGTTAAATCCTTGTTGAATGGTTTTTGTTGCGGCGCTGGACGCCCTATTGGGATATTCCTTATGTATAACACTAATCATTCGCATTATTTGAGGACCCTGTACATTCATTTATGCATACTCAACAGTGACGTAGTTGTAATTTATGTGGTATCTAGTGAGTGTTGCGCGATCAGGAGTGAGAGTTGAACATTCACCTGCAAATATCGATTTCCCCATCAAGTCACAAGGCAATGTAGCATGAAGTTGAATGTATCAGGATTCCGATGTTCAAACAAAAAGGTTGGCAACACGTGTAAACCCAGCCCAGTGAAAACCCGGGCTACTTTGCAGAATGACTGTACCTTCCATGTGTGAGATCGGCTGCATTCAACTTGTACACAATCTTGTTTTAAATGTCGTGCAGCAGCGGCTCGCTCTTACTCCATTGATGGGATAGCATGACATAACAGAAGTTTGCCACCGTGTCTACGATGCGCCCCATTGGGATATCTACATGCTTCTTGATCAATGATCGAAGGTGCTTGTACTATGTGGCAGTTTTGAAGGCACTTATCTGCGTTTATCGATCACATAAAAGCCCGGTAGTTGTGTCAAGCAGATGAACTGGTGCGGAGCCAAGCTGAACATTGACGACCTCTCGAATGACACCTTCTGTTTCACGCGCAATTCTGAGGAAAGAGTTGAGCATCTGAATACGTGTGTTGCGGAGAACTTACGTTGTATTGCGCCATGAAGTGTCATATGCTTCAACTAATACGAGACGAAGGCTCGAGTTCGATGACCTATGTATCGTACCTTTTGTGCGTCGAGAAGCACTTCCTCCCATAGCATCTAATCCAATTTAGCTTTGCTTCGGTTTGCGCATATGGTGCCGCTTGCAGAATCCAGGATCAAGGAAAGCTCGATGGCGACGAGCTTTGTGTTGATCACTCGACTTGTGTTATCAGAGTCAAGCACGGAAACATACCTGTGCAATAGAAATTTGAGCCTTGACAGCAAAAAGACGGGAAATGAGACAACAAAGGGACATGAAATCGACGGAAACGTATCACTGCTGGTTTCCATCCTTGAACGCTGTCCAATCTGATATCATCTTATCCTGACCTCCACTCAGGATGCGCTCGTCGCCTTAGTCCATGTGAATGGTGACATTCAAAGTTTGCGTGTCCACAGGGCTGAGCATTGGAAGGAGGCGATGGTTCGTCGATCTGAGAGCCGGTGGAGATAGGGTTGAGCACGGGTGAACCCGCGGGTCGCTGAAGCCACACCGCACCCGTACCCGCAAACACCGTACCCGCACGGTACGGGTGGACACCGACCCGCCAATTCTGCGGGTATGAACGGTGTTCGCGGTATACCGCGGTTTTTTCACAGACCCGTGAGTAAGACACTGACATAGTAGTATCACGGTAGCTTACGAAGTGCGGCATCTAAGTCTTCTTCGTTGACAGACTTTGTCGCTGTGTCAATGGCATCAACATCGATTATTGATGGTTCGGGGGATGATGGCAGTGATGGAAATGTCTTTTTCGAGAGCAAGACAGTCAGCTTCACTCTCTTCAAAGGACGGGTAAGCATATCCACACTCTGCTCAACTGCCTGGCTGACAGACCCCAGAGACGATGCTATCGAAGACGATTTTGACGAGTATGATCGGATGGAAGACTCATCAGCCTTCTTTGAGCAGCGCTCGAGAGGAAGGTGAATAGTATTCTGTGTCATCGACTATCACTTTGAATCGACACTGTTACTCGATGAACCTGCGGTCGAAGCAGGGTGACAGATCCGACTTGGGAGGTTCTTCATGAGTAATGAAATTTTGACCCTCGCATCCTCGGATAAGTTGGGGATCCACACCCGTCCAACACCGTAAACCGCGACGGGTATGCACGGTGTACGCGCGGGTCTCCATAATCCACACCGTACCCGTACCCGCCATACCCGTCAGCGATAAACCGCGGGTTTGCCCGTCCCGTACCCGTGCTCTACCCTAGGTGGAGACGAGCATGAAGATGCAGAAGTGATGAGTTTGCCTGCAAGGGGATGTCCCGACTTGCTTCCAAAAAACTGCGTCCCACTCGTATTGTAAGTGGTAGCGTGCGGCTCTTCAAGCTTCAAGCTTCGAGGCTGCGTCGCGTTTCCTTGATTAACTGAAAGAGGTCGATGCATTTTGCGTTTGAATAAGGATCAAAAGTGAGCGATATGATCAGTTGCAAGAGGGGTGGAAGAAAACGGGTTCTATTCAGTAATATGATGTAGAATCTAGTACGCCCACCATTGCAAAGACTGACTCCATACGTGTGGGGTTGAAAGCGATCAACGTCACCATAATCGGTTAGCAAGAGCGAGGTTCTAATTATAAAAATCTAGATCTTTTTCACTCCCAGTCAACTCCCAGTTATGTAATTAGCCGCTAGTATGCGCAACTTTCCTGTCCACGTCTGAGTCCAGCTGACTGTCATATTATACACAAAAACTAGTACGCCACTACCTATACTCAAGGACACCTAGCTCGAACTGTAGTCTGGATCCCCGACAACGCTTGAGGTTTCCTGGTTTCTGGTACGTTGAAATCACTATGATCATAATATGAGATTTTTCAGTCAACAATCCAAACGCGATAAATCTTTGCTCAGTTTACATCCAGAACGATCGAAGAAACGACAACTTATTTTCCTCCTGTCCCCGCTAGGACAAGCTGACCGTCGGATGGTTGACAACCGGGGTCATCGTAACCTCTGTCTGAACGCAACACTCACTGGAATTACGTGGACCAGTCACCATATGAAGCGTATTTTCTACCATTTGCATGATGTAACTTCAGGTTACTTCTCTCGCGGGGACGCCTATACTATTGATTACTGAACTAAAAAGTAAACCATATATACAGGCGCAAGTACTATGATCGTCATAGAAGTGTTCAAGCTATGTGTAGTAAGAAATTTATTGTGAGTACATAGTATATCTATTAATCCGTCTGACACGCCGGTGCTAATGAGGCCTCAAAGCTTCAGCAAGATAACGCAACAGCGGGAATGGAAAGCGTGGAAAAAACTCTGCTCCCATAAACGACTCGATTTCCTCTGGTGTACAAGAATCCGACAGCACCGAAGCAGGGAACGTGACCAGCTTCACCCATATGTTCTCAAGTCCACATTGGGCGACCGGGGCGTTGATGTGCGGAATGGCCAGCGAGAATGTTTCCAATCCTTTGAAGGGAGCACGTGCGACGTATAAAAGTAGCCTGTCGGGTGCAGAACCTCTATATTGAATTTCGCTAACACAATTGCACTGGAAGGGCAGGCATTTTTCGAAGGACGTAGCAAAGAGTAGGGTGAGGTGTTGGATGGAAGCAAGGAAAGCATGACCATGATTAGAGTCCACGAAGGGCCACCATGAATGAGTGACATAACCAGATAACGTCAAACTTCTCGTGCTCCAGGGAAGCGTGGAATTATTGTGGTCGACATCTAAGTCGACATCGGAGTTACACGCATTTTTGAGGCACTTTAAAAGTAGATCTATACTGTCGATGTTGATTGCGAGGGACGATACGCCAAGAACCACTGGAGCTAGTAGACTGATATCGAACTCCCAGTCAAGCTTAGCCATAGAAGGGGGAAAGAAGGGAACGGCTGGGTCTCGCACAGCCCCTCGAAACTCTCCGATCGACACCCTATGCACGCAAGGTGCGTAATCAAAAGCCAGATCATCTTGTTGATCGATGTATTTTTTCTGCATACGCAGAGCCTGTACGAAAGCGAGTAGGTGGCGAGCTTCCGATAATGATACAGTGTGCAGAAGTTCAGGCAGCACGGTGCGCCTGACAATTTTTGAGACCTGGCATAGTGAAAGGGCGGATGAGTATGTGTCATTTGTGTAAGGGGCATATTGAGCAAAGGTTGGTTGTGCCGCATACTCGAAGATGATGAGGGCGAGGTCAGCCGGAAGGTCGCTATATCTGAATGAAATCAAAGTAGGAGGTTCCATGACGTGCGAGTAAGAGACGAAAGTCGTTTGATTCCTTTATGTTATTCGTGAATCGTGACGTCATCCGCAGCATTCGAGTCGCATGTGCAATCCGTGAGTACTTGAATCCGGATAGCAGAGTCATCGTTCCTTTCCAATGTGCTCTGGCTTTGTGGATTCTGGAAATTGCTGGTTGTTAGGTACTGGGGACCAGCGCGCCGACTTTCACCTTGCTCCGTTGTGCGTTTTGTCTTATTTTACTGCAAACTGTTGGCATTTTCTACAGCCCTTCCAGACTTGCTGTTGCGCTTGATTCTGGCATATGGGCAATGCGACACGATTTATATAAAGAGGTTCGAGAGCGCGCATACTTTTGATTTAGTTTAATTTTGGATGATCACGAGGTTGATCAGACGTTAGCATACTTGAAGTTAAAAGCGACACTTACCTTTTCACTGGAGGAGAATGCATAGTCAACCGAAATGCCACCACGCAAACTTCCATCCGTTCAATCAGTGGAATGTGTACAGTGAAGATGATGACTGCGTTCTGGCAGTTTAATTATAGGTGAGGTTGTTAATTATAAACCGGACTCACGCACTCTGCTGATCATCTCATGATCACCGTGGTACGCCACTAATGACGCTGGCCAGTATATTAATAGCGGTTACTTAGATGCATTGTAAATAAGTACTGCGTGTCGTGCCTCCTGAATCGCGACGTCATCCGAAGCGTGGAGTCGCATGTGAAGCCGTGACCTGGATCCTAAAACTATGGGGAATCCCAAATTGCTGTAACGTGAAAATGAACACCCAGGATATGATCGAGTCGCTAGAACTTCATCTTACCTCCTTCAAACACTAACTGCGTCTTGATATCAATGCTAACAGTCTGACAGACATGGATGCGATGTGACACGCGCATGAGAGGACTTATAGGCGGATATGCCATGTCACTGATGTATTCAAGCATCGCTCGTTTCCCCTGAGAGCATTAAAAGTTAGCATCCAATTGGCAATCGAGTTAAAAATGATACTCACCTTTCAGAACCAGCTCCAAGCGGACATGCCGAACCGTTCAAACTTGAAGCTTGATAAGCCGCAGGTGTCATTCTCTACAGTTGGATGTCGTAGTATTCATGCGAACCCAGACTAAGTCGCCTCTATTTTGGCATTGCATACTTACTTCGGACGTCCAGTGTCACTCTGCCGGCGGTGGTACTGCGCGCGCCTAGATCACACCATGAATTAGCTGCCATCTGGGAGTGGTTTATAAGCATAGCCGCCCGAGGAGTCACGTTTAAACTCCGCTAGTTGAATTGATTATCTAATAATTTTACCTGAATTGATTGTGCCTTGTGTTCGAGCTTTGACTACAATTGGGGGTTGTTGGATGCTCGCCGTGGACCCTGCTCGTTGACGATCACGTTGACTCGATAAACCCAATTGCTTAATGTCCGCACTAAAAAACTCCCCCTTTGGCAAGCGACTACGCGCGACACATCAAGACAACGAAGAAGACGCCCCACGAAGAAACCGACAGCGGGTTAACCCAATTTTCTATACCGCCACAGCGTCGACAACAAAGGACCTACCACCAGAGTCGCCTGTTGCAACCCGCGACATGTACGGGGACAGATTTGTGCCTTCACGCGATGCCGGGGATATGCGAACGAGCTATCACTTGATGGATGAAAGTGGTCCTTCAACTCCTTCAAAATCTAGAATTATACCAACAGAATCAGACGCACTGAAGGGTTGGTCATTTTTAGTGGTACTTGAAATGACCAACTGACATATTCGTAGAACAAGCAAACGCAATATTTACATCCATTCTCCACACAGAAGTAACCCCCCCTTCCCCACGTCGACCCACCTCACCCCAACGACCTACGACCTCCTCAAGTGCAACAACCCTACCACCTAGTACTCCCACTCGTAAACGCATATTCCACTACACCTCACCCGCAACATCAGCAAACCCCAGCACACCTACCCGCAGACTAGACACCCCAACAGATGAAGCCTATTCCATGAGCCCCGTCCGAGCAGAATCTCGTCAACTCCTCGAGTCCCCCCGAAGACAACTCCGTAGTGTCTGTAAAACGCCCTATCGTGTTCTCGACGCACCAGACCTTGCAGATGATTTTTACCTCAATCTCGTAGACTGGAGCAATACGAATGTACTCGGCGTTGGACTAGGAAGCTGCGTATACCTATGGACAGCACATAACGCAGCAGTTTCGAAACTATGCGATCTAGCAAGTTCTAACGATACCGTCAGCTCCGTCTCATGGGTTCAAAAGGTCTGTTTATCTCTCCTTTTAATTAATCATTCTTGATTCGATGCTTTGATAGGGCACGCTGCTCGCTATCGGAACTCTCTCTGGTAGAATGCACATCTATGACGCTAATACCCTTCAACTACGACGCTCATATAACAATGCTCACTCTCAACGCATCGGTGCTCTAGCTTGGAATTCGCATATCCTTTCATCAGGATCGCGAGATCGTATGGTGCACCATCGAGACGTCCGAGAGCCCACTCACCGCCCGTTTAAGCGATGTGCAGGACACAGACAGGAGGTCTGTGGGTTGAAATGGGCGAGGGATGGCGGGCCGTTGGCAAGTGGGGGTAACGACAACAAAGTATGTATATGGGATCTACGAGGTTCGAAACGTGCTTCTGTTGCTGGAAGTTCAACGTCAGGATCAGGAAGTGTGGAAGACGCAGGAGGAAGCGGAAGCGGAGACGCACCGCTCTGGAAATTCCACGAACACACTGCAGCAGTCAAAGCACTCGCCTGGGATCCACACGTGAGTGGGGTGCTTGCGACTGGGGGAGGGACGCAGGATAAACATATCCGCTTTTGGAATACGTTTAACGGGACGATGCTCAGTGAGCTTGATACTGGGAGTCAAGTATGTATTTTCCTTCCCCCCTTCTTTCTCGTCTATTTTTATTCTGTCTGCTTTAAAAACTAAACTTTTATCAATAGGTCTGCAACCTCATCTGGTCCCTAACTTCTCACGAACTCGTCAGCACCCATGGTTTCAGCAGCACCACAGCCCAAAATCAAATTTGTATCTGGAAATACCCGACGCTGAATATGGTGGCGTCTTTGACGGGGCATACGCATCGGGTGTTGTATCTCGCTATGAGTCCTGATGGTGAGTCGGCTTTTCTTTGGTGTCATTCAGGTCCGGTCCGTGGGGATGCGATAGCCGGGTTGGGATTGATGCTTGGATGAGACGCTGATTCATGTTCTTAGGTGAGACGATCGTAACGGGTGCTGGGGATGAAACGCTTAGATTCTGGAATGCGTTTCCAAAGAAGGAGGGTGGGGAGAAGCGGGAGACGAGGTTAGATTATGGGAGGCTTATCAGATGATCTCGCTGCTCGAGGCTATTGGGAGATCCCGAAATACGCATGGCGGATTCCCAAGCTACGCATCGCATCCAGGGAATTCGGTGGACGTCGCACGATGCATTTGGCGTAGACGCTGCACAGGGCGTTAGACGTGTGAACGCTGCACTCCTGACGTCGCGCTTTCATCTATACACTATATCCGCAAGCTAACATTCATACCACATCATGGCATATGACTACACTACGCCACACCACTTTATCACTCACTCACCCAAACCAAAACACACCAAATCAACTACTCCAATAACCCAAACCAACACGTCTAATTGGCTCGTTCAGTGCATATATGCACCCAGCTGATCCAATTTGCATGCTCAGTGCACATGCCAAGCCCACAACATCACATCCATGTCGTTTGTACGTATGTTGTATGTCATTTCCGATTTCGATCCCTCGCTCGAGTCCTACTTCGTTTTTTGTCTTTTCGATCTGTGAACTCACTCTTTCGTCATGTCTCGTCTTGTAAGTCAGCATCGTCTTTGTGAATGACGCATGCTCACTCGCTTTTTCTCGCTAGCGTTCAAATCAATGCTTCTTGTAGGGTTATCTGTTTGCTTTTCTCGTGTCGTTTGTTTTAGCTATACTATGGGCATATCATCGCTTCCTCTTTTTCGCTTTGTACTTGACGATGAATGATTGAAGTAGTTTTAAACTCGTCGATGATCATCTTGTATGTGCCAAGTCGCTCAGATAACGCTTATATTATGTAAGGGACCTCGATGCTGTGTATGTGCCACCTCCAAGCCAAGCCAGACTGCGCTTGTTCTCCTTACTTATCAACCACTACCAAAGCGAGCCACCAATAAAATTTTGGACGCACGTACTCCCCAACGCAGAACTTACTAAGCCATGGCATATCAAAGTCAAGGTGTGCGTGCTTTTGCGATCTATGATTCTGAATCCAGCGTTGATCCTATGGATGCTTTCTCTTATCTTATTGTAGTATGGTGGATATGGAGGACCTGGGGGATTTAGTCGAGGTATGGCACCTGGAGGTCCTCCGCCTGGCGCTGATCCTCAGTGAGTGTCGTTCATATTCGTTATCGTCATCATCATCAGAGTAGTCTGTGTCCGCATAATCATCGATTGCAAGCGCTTCATCTCCATCCCCTTCATCATCGGTATGTCCTTGACTGACTCGGATGTGATACGCAAGGCTATGGTCATGGTTCTCTGCCGTTGATACGGACAGATCTGGCGCGATCTCTGCTGTCGAGCTCGGTGCGTCTTTTTTTTGAGTGATATGTGCGTTTGGTTAATCGTGATCTGTTCTGGATCAGAGAGAGCGTTGATCAATGGGGATTGGACTCGTGAGTTTTCACTTTCAAGTTTTTGGGGTTGGGATTAAGAGCTGATGGTGGTATAGCGTTTGATTTGGACACTGTGAAGCTCTTGATGAGCATGTTTGTGAGTTTCTTCTTCGTTACCGTGCCGTTGGGTCGATTGTTCATCGATTGCGATAGGACGTCGATCGGAACGGAACGATTGGGTTCAATGAAGTACCGGTTTCTTATCTTATCTCATCTTCATATCGATCTGAACGAGATTAGTTCTGTGGACTCTGGAAATACATCAAGGTGCGTACACGCCCCCGGCTTCGCCCACACGACTTACCAATAAAAAAAACCAATAGGACTGGCAGAACGTGTTCCGCCATTTTGACAGAGATCGCTCTGGGACCATCGACCGCAATGAACTCCGCAACGCCCTCAGTCAATTCGGGTACAACCTCAGCCCACCCCTGATTGAGCTTCTTCAAGTCAAATACGGTATGTCTTCCCTCATTCAACTGTGCGAGTGGTGCCTCTGTGGAGTTTCCATCTCACGATTCACTCCGCTAAACCTATGCTGATCCCAAGACATCAAAGCTTCCAACGTCGCTAGCGCCTATGGACCTACTCCTGGTATCACATTCGATCGCTTCGTTCGCGCTTGTGTGGTTATCAAGCAGTTGACCGGGGCGTTCCAGAACCTGGACACGGATAATGATGGATGGGTGCAAATTAGTTATGATCAATTTATGCAGACTGTCATGTCGTTGCCTTGAAGTGGTTCTTGGGATGGAATCAGGCGAGAAGGGGAATGTGTACTTTTAGTTTGTCGATAACAACAACGAAGTTATGTATGCGAGATACCCGTCTGCTTGTAGTGGGCAGTAGTCAGATGAGACGTTCAAGTCGAGATGTACCACATGTCTTATGGGAGACTATACGACGCTGTATCGAACCCCATTGCTGTAATGAATGCTCATGATTATTATTATTATTATTTTGGGTGGCAAATAAGACATGTCATGGCCCATGGGGTATCTTTCTGTGGGTTAGGAAGGCTCCTAGCTACGAACGGCAAAGGTGTCTTGTAGCCTTTGTGGCTGGCGATTTTCGATAGCGTGCGAAGTCAATGCCAACATGGACAGCTGCAGCCGCAATAGCCAGCACAGCTTTTTTACTGTCTTCTAGCAACCCTGCTTCATTCTTCAGCAATCGAATTGTCAAATCATCCATGGTGGTGGATGTAGTGGATATTCCGGATTGATCATATACTAACCCGCGGCATGGATCATCCTACATCATGATAGTACATGACAATCGCAATCGGAATTGTTTAGCCTACCGGAAGATATTATCCCTGAGTCATGCGAAACCAGGCAGTGCCCACTATTTTTTACTGTTCCGAAGGTGGGTGCGGGGGAAAAAACAGAGATCGAAATCTTGGATTGACAAAATCCCACTATGAATTGAGATGATTGAATTCGGAGAATCGATCAGCAACAAAATACTCAGCAATAGATTTGTACATAGCGTATACGCCTGCCGCGGTACCACATTCTGAAGATCCCTCAATTCACAGAGCCCTACCCTATGCCCGCACCAAGAGAATGGACTAGAAGAAAATTATGCAATAGGGCGTGAGCTGGCATTTGCTTCATACTAGAGCATCCGGAGATACAAGCGTTTGTTACCTGACACTAATCGCGTATAAAGGCCAACCTACAGACCCAGAAAACGCCATCAAAATTCGACTATGAAATTCACTTCGCTCACCACTATTTTCATATCTGCCGCAGCGATGGCTGGTGTCGCTATCGCATCTGAGGACCTGGTAACATCACCTTACAATCTACCCTGCAAAAATGCTGGTGGGCACTTTGCAGCTTGCGTGCAGACCGCGTGCTTACGGTTATCCACAGATCAAGTTGGGTGTTCAAATGGCCTCAAGGGTTATAACAACGGATACGCTTACGGTTATTACTGCGGACATCATAATAGGATTGATTCAGTCACGCCATGTTCCTGCTTCGGCTGCTGCAAGTTGACTGCTGATAGGACAAACTTCCAGTGTGGGAAAGGGTGAGTCTGCTGCCTTTCGAACCCGAGTGTTAATGTTGCTCACTTGGCATGTCGTGCGCAAGAGAGCATGAATGACTAATCAGGAAAACCCTGCAATATAAACCTACGCTTTGATCCAAGTATGTAGCTGACCTGGATTAAGTATACATTGTTTTTGATTTGTCAGCTCGTCGTCGACGACCTCTCTGAACATTATCACATTTGTGATATAATTGAGAAGTAAACCGTTCAGCTCTACGCTTGTCATCGTGTTTGACATGTCATGGCCGCAGCTTCGTCGTTTTTTGCTTTGTCATCGTCCTCGTCCTCGTCCTCGTCATCGTCCTCGTCCTCATCCTCGTCCTCGTCCTCGTCCTCGTCCTCGTCCTCGTCCTCGTCCTCGTCCTCGTCCTCGTCCTCGTCCTCGTCATCGTCCTCGTCCTCATCCTCGTCCTCGTCATCGTCCTCGTCCTCATCCTCGTCATCGTCCTCGTCCTCGTCCTCGTCATCGTCCTCGTCCTCGTCCTCGTCCTCGTCCTCGTCCTCGTCCTCGTCCTCGTCCTCGTCCTCGTCATCGTCCTCGTCCTCGTCCTCGTCCTCGTCCTCGTCCTCGTCATCGTCATCGTCATCGTCATCGTCATCGTCATCGTCATCGTCATCGTCATCGTCATCGTCATCATCCTCGTCCTCGTCATTGCTCTCGCTGGTAGTGTCGGAGCTCCCTGATATGACGGTCGTCCGTCGAGTCTACCTGCGTTTTGCCCAAGTTCTTCGATTTTTGACTCTTTTGTGTCTCTCTAGTTCGACGAGCAGTTTATGATCGATATCTGATTGGATGTTTGTTGCCCGTCACTGCTTCATGGCCCGCGTACATTCTATTCATGATGGAGCCATTGCGGCGAGTGACAACGACACGAGTCAATCCAAGCAGCGTCGCGAGATTGTGGAGGTAATGCTGGTCGCAACGATGAGGATGGTCCTTTTCCGATTTTGCCTACAGTGTGTGTAGTGCCTCCAGAGTCCAGACAGCAGACAAGGTACACTAAGCCCTCTTCTTCCCACGCCTCTTTATCTACCTCGAAGGCTAGTCCTCGCAAGGCGCGAAGCTAAGGTTGCAGGTCGTTCGAACTTCGGAAGCGCAGGGATGAGAGTGAATGGACTTGGAGACAAAATTTACGGTGCGCAAAAGATTGAAGAGACTGGCATCAAAAACATAATTTAAAACTCACGAGAGAGATCAACATGACACGCACTTTGAACTCACGAACTTTGGATGTTGGACCCTTCTGCGTCACCACCCTTTTATCTCCATATGATATCGTTAAGAAACGTAGTGGTATGGCGTCCCAGTCAATGCAGTTGTGGATCATTGTATACCGGAGAAACTTGATTACAGGTGTAGAACAACGCGATATTTCAAAACTTGCAGTATCAGTACAAACGCGTCCAGTCCAGTCAATTTACGCGTCACGTTCCTCACTGCGTGCTGTTGCCACGTAAATTAGTAATCGAAACAAGGTTTGAAGTTTCACGCCCTCTTGCCACACTCACTGCGGAAACGAGATTTTAACCCTAACGTAACCAGAGGGTGTTTAGGTGCATAACCCGACGTAGTACAAACGTAAGACCTTTTCCAGACTCAAACTCGACGTGGACGGAATTCGAGCGTCTGGGAGTTGCAATAACACGTAAACGGATGCAATCCAAACCTCAGGTTAGAAGTAATGTGGCGGTTATGGAAAGGTTCAGCCGCACACGGGTACGATCGAAGGACTAGAACGCTCCAGACTCGGCTAACGTCAGTAGCCGAGGACCCGTATGTTCAAGCATATGTTTATTTTCTTGTTATTTGTTATTCTATTTTATCACGGACTCTGTACACTACCTAGTATATAATATTGCGTGTTTGTACGAAGTCCCCAGATTCCTTTCAATCACAACTAGGCTTGTATCTGGTTAGAATTGCAAAGGAACTCTTCAGTCATTGTTGTGCCGTCATCTAAAGTTCGAAAGGACTTCTACCTGCTGTCACATATTTTTTAACCTTCAACAATCCTATCTTGACTCATTTCTAAAAAAACCCCTCGCTTCTTTTGTCACTACCGTTGACTGGTTTGGCCCACCACGTCTTCGAACTGTGACAATGAAAAAACCCACCACATCCACGATGACATATCTGCTTCACTCGCGCATGCACACTAGAGCTAGTTCGGTTTCTACCCCTGCAAGTGAAAAAAAACAGACCAGTGAGAGATGTATTTGGACAGTTAGTTGTTGACCTACTATCTAGCACCCACACCCAAGGGAAAGTGGCGGGCCTGATGGCCCTGCCAAAACCTGTTGAAGAATCCCCCCTGACCTCACTGGCGATAGGCAACTGTGTGGGTATGGGTAACCCGTACGGGTCACAGGTAGGGGTACACACCTGGGGTATGGGTGGGGGTTGCCTTTTACGGCACCCGTACCTATACCTGTACCCGCACACGGGTTAGACCATCGAAACACAATATATTGCTACCTAATCAAGATATAGTACCTATGTCAAACCAAACCAAACTTTAAAGAAGCCACAACTGTTGAAAAAATCTTTTGGTCCTGTCATCCTAAGCATACCTGTCCTAGACTGCTACCTCACATCCAGCTATGCAACCAAACATATTTACTGCAGCTGCAAAATGAGTCACAAAACTCACAGACAAGGCTAAAGCAGCACTTGAAGAGAGACTTGAAGCTTCCGGACCGTCAAAGAAGTGCATGATTGATGCAAATGGCACAAGTGCGGTCTCCAACAAGTCGAAGAAGGCAAAACAAAATCCTCCCGCAGATATATCCAAAGATAGACCGGTAGCTGAGGCCTCTCCACCTCCATCTGATGTGAGAACGGCAGCAGAGCCTCGTAAGATTCGCTGTGTCATTGTTCGCACCGAGGAAGAGGAAGAAGCATTGTATAACAATGCCATTGTCATTGATGACATGAGCGAGAAAAGTGGAGACGAGGCTGGTAGCAAGGCTTCAGGTCCAGAAAGTGCTGAGGACGAGCGAAGTATGTTCCTGCTATACAAACATAGCACCACTAATTAGCAACAGCAAGGCTCATGAAAGAATGGGTATCACCTGTTTATGCATTCTTTGACCCAACTCCCCGCATCACTGTGCAACCCGTACCCTTGCTGCAGGTGTGGGTTTTTCTCGGGGTGGGGGTGGGGGTTGACCTGCCGACACCCATGGGTTCACCCATGCAGATCCCTAACTGGCGAGTTCTCGGAGGGCTCCGGTAAACAATGATTCCCCTGCACTGAAACCCATCCACTCATATAGCGATGTGGTCCATGCGAGTAGCCCTGTTAAAGACCCTAAGGTCGAACAGGAGAGTACCTTAGCATTGAATACAGCTACAAACATTAATGTATGGGATCAAGGGGATACGGTCCTCGAAAAGATGGCTGAAAATATTACTTTCCACACTGCAAATGAAAACAGTGGGATCACTAGTGAGAGTGATGATGGTGACGACCGTCCTTGGATCACAGTGGGCCGAAAGTGCCTCTGTGGTGGTAATATTTATGAGCAGCAGGCCAAGACACCTGAAGGGCTCACCAGTGAACAGATTGAAATGGTAAATAAAGCCAATAGCAAGCTCACTGAGAAAGAACACCTCTCAATAGAGAGGCAAGAAATGAATGTCAGCAGGCGAGAGCTTTCCCACCCCATGGTGGGATCAGACCCGAGAGGTGAAGGAACCTCGAAGGGGAAGGGCGTGGATCCTGCCAATTGGGGGGCACTGACAGATGACGAGGACATAAACCTTGAAGAGCAACGGGCAGCTCTAGAATCCTACCATAAGGCTAAGGAAGTTGCTGAGAGATTGGATCACTATGCATCCTCAGAAGAAAACAAAGAGAGCTGGCTGGGAGATGGGGTTCAAAACTCCTCAATGTTGCAGGACATCTTCGAGCTAGCTGCCAGAGAGTGGCGGGCTGTGGAGGCGGCCGTTCAGAGAGCCGAAACCCGTCTCCACAAAGAATACAAAGAAAAGTCGAAAGAAGTGCTTGCGCGCCCCCAGTCGTCTACTAAGTGGACCAGGATCCAGGACCCGCCAGAGATGGTGGATGACCCTGTGAACAGACTGGTTAGTAAGGTTGTAAACCCGGAGACTAGCAAAAAAGAATGGCATCACACACCTAAGGCAATGGAACCCGTGCGTCGGGTTGCCCCAGACTCATATATTGGACGAACACTAGGGCGATTAAACAAAAATTGGGGATGGGACAGGGGTTATGACTCACCATCCAGCTCGGACACTAGCTCATCGGACTCGTCCAGTTCGTCTGAGGCGTCTAGTATGAGTGAGGACTGGGCTCCTTGAAAGGGTCGCACTAAAACCTCCAAAAAGTGTTCGAAGGGTAAACAAACCACCCTGAAACCAATAGCACCTACCACATATGATGGAGTGGTAGATTCACAGGCCTTCCATCAGTTCATAACCGAAGGAATGGCCTATGTTAAAGACGGACGGGTTAAGCCCAAAAAGAGGGTGTTCGTGTTATTACACTTCCTGAAAGGAAAGGCCCATGAGTTCTATATACAAGAGGTATCAGGAGACCCCTACCGGTGGAGACTCAAGGAGTTTTTCACCAAAATGTTCAACTACTGCTTCCCTATCAACTTTTGAATGAAGCAGCGAGAGAAGCTGAAAAGGTGCTTTTAGAATGACAAGTCAGTATGGGACTATGTGTACGAACTCAATGAATTGTGGAATATGATCGGTGATGTTGAAGATTGAGACAGGGTGTCCCAGTTATGGACAGGTCTGTTGACCGAGATTTAATGCGAACTCTGGAAGAAAGAATTGAATCCAGAAGTATCTACCTTTAAGGAGGCCCAGGTAGCAGCTGAGATCATTGAAATCACTCATTCAGTCCCTTTGGGAAGGGGAAAGCGGTCCAACCAAAAGGACAGATCAACCATAGTTGAGGTTTCTAGTGCCATGACAGTGGGGCATGCGTCCAAGGGACGGAGGGATAAATCCTTCCCTTGAAAAAGACAGGACCGCCATCCCAATCAACATGATAAGGCAAAGGAACCAAAGGGCCTGGGCGGACCAAAGAACATGGGCAGAACCCAGACAAACCATGGCATTAGTCCGGAGGAAAGGGAGCACCATAGAACTGAAGGCCGGTGTTTTATCTGTGGGGAAATTGGACATGTCTCACAATGGTGTTCAAAGAGCACGCACCTTAAACTGGACTCTCCAGGCAAACCACCAGAGATACCCAGCTTCGGGATACACATTGGTCCCAGCGACGAGGAACAAATGCATCGATTGACGGAGGTATCAGAACCGCCAGATGATCTGTTTGTAGGGTCAGTAGGGCTTTACATGGAAGATGGGCTTTTGTCATATCCCACATTCCGGACCCGGATGTATCACACACATCATTTCTGGATTTCCGGATCCAACCGACTTCTATCTATGTCCAGATCTGACCCACGTCTAACTTCCGTGCCTAATCCCTTTGTACGTTCCTATTCCAGTTAGACTATATTATTTTATGTACCTCATTTCACTTCCGCCTTTATTTTCCTCTGTTCTCATCTCTGGGTTCATTTACTATTTTCGATAGACTAGCGTTTGACTTTTCTATAACCTCCGTCCACAGCCTCGCATAGCTTCGGACTGTGCTGGCTTGTCCTCTGTTAAGTCCCCCATAGTATATAAACCCTGTAGAATCTATGTACATCTTTAGTTCGAATATTATCTTAGACTCTGCTCATTCTCCCCTCCGTTTGACTCGAGTTATTCTCTCGTTGACCTCCACTAGTCTTAGGGTCGATCCCGATAGACTTATCACCTCTGCCTCTACCTTTGGTAGTCCTCCGCTGTTTCCTTTCTAGTTCGGACATCATCTGGATTAGTCTTATCACCTGTTCCCGAATGTCCGCTGGAATTCCCACACATCGGACAATCGGAATCTGGACATTGTCCAATACTTCCGGACATCGCCCGACGCCCTTCGGACATCGTCCATTAGCCTTCGGAAGTTAGGGGCACGTACTCAGGTAAGGGGCGCAGCGCACGAGCTGAAGCCAAGCCCTTCAGATTGAACCTTTGAGCACGATCTTAACAGCTTTACAGGCCGTTAAGCGGTCCTGACAATGAGTATCTTGAGGGCTGCAATGGCTTTGACAAAAGTGCCTCCATTCCTAGTCAAAGGTCCAGAGACCCGATTGGTTGTCGAGTAGAAGACTTACTGCAAGGCATAAAATACCCAGGGGATGGGTGTAACCATTCTGAGACAACCTGGGATGACCCAGATCATTTCCATGTCTACTAGGTAGAGTTTGAATGATACTATGTAAGAGATTACCATCGCCCAAGCCCGCGGGTAGGTGCAATGACAATATCCTTGTCCAACCTGGAAAGACTTGAATATAGGGTGGACCGGGTGTACTGGATCCACCTAGGAAGGGAACAATGGACTAAGAACTCTGTAGGCCAACTGGCACAGAAAGAGCAAAGACGTACCGATAAAAGGCCTCCCATGGGATGGCCCATTGAGGAGTGCCTTGAATGGTGGCTGGAGGAGTACATGAGCCCACCCGAAGAGAGTTGGGGCCCACTGACCACTACACAATTCTCCTGCAAACAGATCAGTGATCAGGAGTATGAGGTCAGAGACCAGGCACTTGCGATTGTGGTTTGGGTGTCCTGATCAACAGTGAGGACTTGGGACTGGCATCCTATACGATGGTATCGGTGTCAATTGCGAAGGGCTTCGCTGCAGTTGCACCATGACCTGTTGGAACGAGGCGGTGGTCTGTATGATGGGCTTTCTGCCCTTTTCACCGAGCCAGCAAAGGTTTGGCCGAGTGCACATACTGAACTGGACGATGCACTTGGCATAGACAAGCAGAATGAGACCTGGGATGATCCATCAGAGATCCTGGTGTGCGGGGTACAAGTACCTCGAGACACTTACCCTGCCCTACAGTGCAATGCCTCAGTCACAAAGGACTTTCAGTGTGTGATCCCTAAGCCGGTGGTGGTGGTGGTCCACATAAACGGGCGGCCTGCCCAAGCACTGCTGGACACAGGATCACTGGCAGACTTCATATTGTTAACCACAGCTGAGCAACTCAAGTGTAAACTCACTGTATTGGCAAAACTGCTGACCATACAATTGGCAGTGCAAGGCTCGAGATCCAAGGTTAATTATGGCACAGAGGTCCGATTTCAGTACCAAGGGACCAACTATCATCGATACTTTGACGTGATCAATCTACAGAATTATGACCTGATATTGGGGACCCCATTCTTATATCAGCATAGTGTTACCATTGGACTTAATGCACCTCAGGTCACACTTGGTAGTATTGAGCCCCTCCTGCTGAAGGGTAGCGGGGTCACCACACTTGAATCCAGGGCCATGGAGGTGCTGGAGGACAAGATGGAGCAGACTAGGAGGTATTTGATCGAGTTAGCAAAACTGCTGTGTGCAAAGGCCGCGGACACTAGCTTACCTCCACTGCAGGCCATAAATCATACCATCCTGCTCATTGACGAAGGGAAGATCTATCCCTGGCGCCCATCGCACTGTCCTGAACTGATGAGACCACAATGGGCGGAAAAGTGCAGAGCTTACCTGGCCTCTGGTCGATGGGAGATGATGAGTGCCAGGAATACTGTTCCCATGCTCTTCATATGCAAACCTGGGATGGACCAGTTGCAGATGGTGATTGACCTTCATGAGTGAAATAAAAATACGCGTAAGCTGACCTCTCCTTTGCTGGACATGGATGGCATATTGTGCCGGGTGACGAAAAAGCCATATTGGTCCCTGATGGATGGGCAGGACACCTATGAACAAATCAGGGTGATCCCGGAACACGTGCCGCGCATGGTCATGACTACCCCAGATGGAAACATGGTTAGTCATGTCTTGCAGCAAGGGGATTGCAATGCTCTCGCGACTTACCAGGCAGTGATGAACTACCTCTTTGGGGAATACATTGGCATATCTATGGATGTCTACCTGGACAATATCATCATCTACTCAGACACCTTAGAAGAGCACACTGATCACGTACAAAAGATCGTGAGGATTTTGGAATGCGAGCAGCTGTTCTTAAGCAAAAAGAAGCTTAAGTTCTTGCAGCCAGAAATGAGAATATTGGGGTGCGTGGTAAATAACAGCGGAATCTGCATGGACCCTGATAAAGTCGACCATGTGCTGAAATGGAAGCCACCTACCAACAGAGACCTCTCCTGGGGCTTCATAGGCGCTGTGGGGTATCTTGCAGACAATATCCACAAGGTCAGGATCCCTCTGGGTGTCCTATCGGTGGTGTGTGGGGACACGGTGCCCTTCCACTGGGATGACACAGAGCAGCGAGCCTTCGAGGAAGTTAAACAATACGTTGAGGCGTGCTCAATGCACAGTAGGGTTCCACTTACCTATGGTCCAGGACAGGAGCAGGTCTGGATGATGACAGACGCCTGCCCAACAGGCATTGGCGGGGTCATAGCGCAGGGCAGCGAGTGGCGAAAGGCAAAGATAGCAGCCTTCTATTCTGCCAAACTCAGTGCCGCGCAGTGGAATTATCCTATCCATGAGCAGGAATTGTTAGCAGGGGTCGAGACCATGATCTGGCATAGGGATATTTTACAGGGGTGCCCTTTCAAGTGGCTGACAGACCACAAGAGCCTCATCCATATCTTGAATCAAAAGAACCTGTCTGGACGTCAGGCACACTGGATGGAAAAGATCAGGGAGTTCGACTTCACCGTGGAATATGTACCAGGGGCACATAATGTACTGCCTGACACATTGTCCTGGATGTATGATTTTGATGCACCAGGCACTATCCAGGCAGTGAGTGAATATGTGGCACATGATGATGACACACCACCCACCGACGTGTCTGACCTGATAAGCATGCCTGTCCTGGTTGGGGACGAGGCATGGGCCACCACTTCAAGGCATAGCTCTAGACTTGCGGTGCAGTGACCTGCACCAAACTGGTCCGGTGCATGACCGTGCGGTGTTAGTGAATATTTTTCGGGAATTTTGCATGGAATGAATTTTGTGTTATTTGGCTTGAAGATGACTCAGCTAGATTCTCACACATCTGAAGCTTCCATGAAAAATATTTTCCGCGTATGTTTGTTTGCGGGAACTTCCAGGAAACTTTAAATACACGTGTTACCCGGTTTTACTTTATGACATATGCTATGTCTCTAAATAACACCAAATACAAACAAGTTTCAACATATTATGTAAACCATGTTCTCTTACCACAGTCAGCTGATCTATGACAAATCATGTTCACCTACGTACAATTCACATGGGTATTATGATCTATGACAAATAATGCAGTATATCTAGATACATGAGAAAACGAAAATTGAATATACCTAGGTACGCAGGAGTAAATTAGCATAGCCACATAGATTTGTCTATATAAGGACCTCTGTTTTTGGCCTGAAATGAAATCAATCTGACTCCCAGAGTCATCCTTAATAAAATTGCAAGTGAGGTTTGTGTGTGATCAGTATCAGCAACAACCACGAAGAGTTGTTCGACATTGTCAGGTACATTGATGAGACAGTAGGAGCCATTGAGCTCACTGTGCTCAACAACCTGCAAGGCCTGGCTTATTTGTTTTGAGAAATCTCTTATTTTTCTGAGTGTTTGTGTTTGTGTGCACGTGTCTCTGTTTCTATCTCTCTATCTCTGTTTTTCTAAGATTGGGATCTATTTCTTTTATCTCTGTTTCTCTAGGATTGGGACCTATTTCTTTTAAGTTCGGGATCTATTTCTTTAGTCTGGGATCTATTTCCTTATCTCTGTTTCACTCTATCTATTTCTTTAGCTCGGGATCTGTTTCACTCTATCTGTTTCACTCTCTCTACCCATTGAAAGCTAACAGTCTGAGTGCTCATTTATTGTCGTGCCACTAACATGTTATAGATTTTAGAAAATATATTCTGAGTGTTTGTTTCTTGCTGCTGATACTAACGTACTTTTGATTGTAGCGAATACATTTGAGCCTTATCTCTGATTCTTCGTATTGTCTCTACATCCGCTAAAGGCTCAGAGTAGCTTAGTGGGGAGACTTCAGGCACCTTAACCTCACATAATTCGGACCTTATTAGATTGCCATAATGGGGTGGGTTTGGCAACCTAGTTAGCATACGATCTCTGCTATCCCACTCACTGCCAGTAACACTATGAATAAATCATTTATTCCCTAAATGCTTGCTAACATAACAGGGCTATTACCTGCTATTACCGGTGGCTGCCGAGAGCAACTATCAGCTATGTCAGCAACATGATTCCTAACACTCTCACGCCTTTCGGCAGCTCCCACAATGTGCGCTCATCGCCAATAGCGTGTGCTCACTGTCACCCATGATGAGCAAGGTAAGTCCCTCAGTTCTGGACCATTTTCCTTCAATTTTTTATTTATTTAGATACTATTTATGTTGCTCATCATGCTCCTGATGTTTCCAGAGGCCTTTTCCCTCGAGGGCACTACATTTCAATTGTAAGTGTTCTACTCAAACGTGCACATGATTATGTTGATTGTTTGTTACATAACTAAGAACTTAGCCAACATCACACGGTAAGGCCTTTGACATTGCTGTCAGTCACGTCCTCGCCCTCCTCTCCTCAAATGCAGTTAACCTTTATCATCCATCTAATTTTAGGGATCTTGCACTCACTACCTATCACCACCGATGATTCTTCCATAGGAAGAAGAAAGTCTCTCCACAACCTATTCGCAACCGCCAGTCATTCTTCCACAGGAGAGGAAGAGAATCTCTTCATGACCTATCTGCAACCACCAACCAATGATTCTTCTGCAGGAGGAAGAAAGTCTCTTCGCAACCTACCTGCAACTGCTGACAATTCTTCCACAGGAGGAAGAGAGTCTCTTCAAGACTTATCTGCAACCACTGATGAGTATTCCGCAGGAGGAAGAGAGTCTCTTCGCAACCTATCTGCAACCACCCATGATTCTTCCATAGGAGGAAGAAAGTCTCTCCACAACCTATTTGCAACCACCAGCCATTCTTCCGCAGGAGGAAGAGAGTCTTTTCGCAACCTATCTGCAACCACCGCCACCGACAATTCTTCTGCAGGAGGAAGAGAGTCTTTTTGTGACCTATTTGCATCCACTGAGGACTCTTCTGCAGAAGGGTGAGCAGGTACAGCATGGGTACAAGTATGGGCAAGGGGAGTACTATGTTTGCCAGTGGACTACCAGGGGATTCCAGTAGGGAGGTAAGCGGACGTCTCGCTGCTCATTTTAAGTTGGAGTAGCTAGTAGTACTTCAATCAATGTACTCATTTTGTCTTGAGGACAACTCGAAGCACATTTGAGTACATAGATTTAACAAACTATTATCAACAGTCAGAATTGACTGAAAAATTTAAGCAGCTGGGGCATCAGCATTGGTAGCTTGTGAGGCTTTGGGGCCTTGTTTTTTCCCCTTATCAGAGCGCGTCTTCCTAGCTTTCTTTTTACCTACAACTTCCTTGCCACCTATACCAGATATAATGTTGACAAGTGTTCCCAGTGGTGGACTTGTTATTTCAATGGTAAGTGGTGCAGATGCAGGCACCTCTGTCATGGCAGGTGGAGATGATGTGGGGTTTGCGGAGCTTGAGCCTTCTAATGGACTTTGCGGTGCGGTAGAATTGGTGCAATGCTGGAGAGCTTTCTGGTTGTTAGAATGAAATATTTCGAGTGTATGTAAACTTACGTGAATGAACATTCAATTTCTGCTGGAACCTGTCTTTGTCCCACTGCTCGAACTCAGCCTTTGACATCTTCTGGAACTTTGCAGTCCTCAATTTCCATGCACTATTAAGTACTTCAGTGTGCAAGCCAATATCTCCAGGGCTGCAAAATTCCTGCAGCGGCCAGCCCTCGCAGACTACACCATATTTTGCCATAATGTTTTCTTCGAAGTTGACATACAACATCCTAGGCACATTAACTTGCGCAGCTTCACCTAAAAGGAATTAAAAATAACACACGCTAGTATGAAGATAGACTTATGAAGTTGTTCAATGATCAATGAACTTGTTTCCGCTTTGAGAGCGATGAGGGCCTGCTTGTAGTTTTGAACAATGCCTATGTTCCAGTGAGAAAGGCCATTTTCGAGTGGACACACTCTGACACTCACCCGTCACTCCAGATAAACAATATGCCTCGAGGTGAGTGGTGATATCAGTGGGTGCCTGTTGCAGGGCAAGTTGGAAATAGTCTCCAATGCAGTCATCTGACATGTACACGTAGGGACATGAGTAATGATCAGTGTCACTACGGACACTCATCAAGAGGCTGTAGCATCCTGTTCGAGCTGATAGCACCGTGAGCTATCAGACATAGACTTTAGCATGTTGAAGGGAATGTGGTCACTGTCACTTACCTCATTAGAGATAGATTTGAGAGTGGTATGCGTGTTGTGGAATGCATTGATGGGCATGTTGTTCACACCTGTGCGTTTATTAATGTGGTACTCTTCAAGCAATTCCATTGATTCCTCGGTAATGGTTTTCTTGTTGTCCTTACTCATGGCTCTCCAGTTGGCAGAAATTTCGGCCGCTAGTTTGGTAACCTTACGAAGAGGCTCGTTGTTGGGTAGTGCTTTACAGCATGGACAGGTTAGAGGAAAAATAATATATCATCCTTACGGGACATACCTTCTTTTCACTTCAGCTCGCAGGTATGCATTCCATGGGTTACGCGCCCTCTGGTGTTTGGCCATCCGCAATGTCTGGATGATGGCCTCGTAGTAATAGTCCACTGTGTGGCAGCCAAGTGTCTCATGCATCTTGACAGCCACTTCCATCAATATGTCTTGTGCTTCAGCAAGTGCTGTCTGATAATCTGTCTTCTTCTTGAGGCGCTTCTCAGCAAGGTTTTTTTTTTCATCGGCCGATTTCTTCATGATTTTCTTTCTCTTCATTCATGAGTGCCATGGTGTACGCTGACTGACTTTGGTAATCTTAATGTAGTGTTGAGCACTATGCAGAAGCGAACGACAAGCCATGTTGAGCAGGGGATATAGAACAATACAAATGAGGGATCAGCAGTAGTAAGTATGTGAATGAAGCGAACAATAGGTGGATATTAGTACACAGCTTCGTAATCGGCGCACCCGATGTTAGAGCCGCTAATAAGCTCATATATGTAAACCGCTTCTGCTTGGGGTATGCCCCTTAGGCAGATATAGTTGACAAAATCCAACGGAGAGTACACCTCCTTGAATCCAAGTAGGATGTGAAAAATGGCGCTGCCCTTGTACCCATGAGCATCAAGGTACTTCTCTGCAGCTAGGCCAAGAAGGCCACAAGGAGGATAGTCTTCACTGTCACGAATTTTGGGGTCAGGTGGATCATACTCTTCTCCAACAATTCCAGTAAGTGATCAGACATAACAATAAATCATGCACAGCTGCTTGGGCTGGGTGGGCTGTGAGATGGGTGGCTGGTGTGCATATTCAACGTCAAGTGAAAGCATGCTCAGAGCATCGGCAGTGTCTGTGTAGCGTAAGTGTTCACCAAACAGAGAAAAAGATTAGCTGACCGGTCACACCCCATTTCTGCTTGTGTGAACCTGGCACTGAGCTCGTTGTTGTCCTTGATGAAGCATGTATATTTGACCGTGAAGGTGTCACGTGAGACGTTGCAGCATGTGGTGGCAGGAATGTTGGCAGGGCGGGTGTGGATACATTTCCTTTGGTGAGCATGAACTCAATGGCCTCGATAAATGTCTTGGTTTTCTTGAACTTCCGTATTTGCCGTCCATTCACTTGTTGAAGTGCTGCTTCCCTGTACTGCAGTCAGATGATCATTAGGATAGAGACAATAAGTAATACTCACCAGCTAAGGTATATTCCAACATTCCTACCGTACACAACAGGGTAAAATTGTTTGTTATGCGTAAATATGGCCTGAAGAGCCTCGGACTGTAAGAGAGCGTCTATCAGGCTGGTTTGTGATACTTGTTGGCCAAGTGAATTGATGAAAGACTGCAAGGTCATGACATGCTGAGCTTGCATGATTGATTCACATACAATGACCAGTGGAAATGGTGGGGCTGTATGTCCTGAAGCAATGAACGGACTTGCAATGATAGTATCAGTCTCAAATTCTTGCAAAACCAAGCAATCTACTCACTGAGCGTCCGCTATGCCAGGATCTTGGCCACCCAATACTGCGAATGCAACCATTTTTGTAGAGATTGTGAGTAGTGATGGTTAATGGCCAAGATAAGAGTCACAGTGTGCGATTAAGTACACTGTGACTCTTATCTTGGCCATTAACCATCACTACTCACAATCTCTACAAAAATGGTTGCATTCGCAGTATTGGGTGGCCAAGATCCTGGCATAGCAGGACGCTCAGTGAGTAGATTGCTTGGTTTTGCAAGAATTTGAGACTGATACTATCATTGCAAGTCCATTCATTGCTTCAGGACATCTGACTCTTATCTTGGTCATTAACCACTTCTACATTTGCTTTATGGTAGCGCACAAGGGCCAGAGTTATTTTGCAATCAAAATTGTTATAGTCAAGTGTCGAGTGTGAAAAATACATGATGTGGCTAAAGACTAATCGGACGCAATGACAACTCAGAGACATAGTCAACCAGACCACCCACAACCCCACAAGCTTCATCCCCATCCATGTCAGATTCTGCTTCGTCTGTCTCATCACCATCAAGTTTCTGCTGATCAGCCAAGACATCTGCATGTGTTAGTGAATGATTCAAAACAGATGAGTTCTTCTTCATGCCGACCGTCTTGTCTCCTGTGAAACCAGTAAAGCTAAATGTTTGAAATGCACGGGCGAGGTTGTGAGAATTGATTCGGATGTGGCGAGTGGTAAATTCCTTGACAGTGTGGTAAATTGTATTGCTCTTGGCCTTGAGGCATTGGAGAGTGACCTCAAAGTGATGATTTTCAGCAGCAATGAACGAGTGAAGGCGACGAAGCTTGATATTGCAACGATGGACCTCTTCATGAGCGCTTTTGTGTCACGAGTACCTTTAACAAACCATTATTCTTTTCTAAATCTTCCTAAGCGTCAATACACAGCGCCTAAGTCTAACCCTAACCCTACCTTGAAAACATCTACCATTCCCAAAATACCTTTAGCGCCCACGACATGTGTCTTCGATGTGACTGATGAAGAAGACAAGTTATTTGATTGTGAATAGATTAGATTAGATATGATAAGATAAGATATGGTCATGTGATGCTTCTTTAATATTCTACGATGTTCTATGGTACGATTCCCTTTCTCTTTTTATGATTGGCTAGTAGTTGTAACTCAGTTTCAATCTCCGTTTCAATAGTTGTATATAGGTAGCATGTCTTGGTCAATAGTTCTTTAGTTCAAACCTCTTGTATCTACAACTGTAGCAATCCAAGACGTACTTGCTCCTCTCTCTTTGTCCGATAACCTTAGATCGAGTCCTAGTCTCTGCCCAAGCGTTTATTCGTTATTTGGGTTGTGACATTAGGTTTGAACTATAGGAGACTCCGACTCTCGCATACCGCTTGCATCATTTCTCTCTAGGTGATTCGTTGAGCACATCGCCAACAAACCACTTAGATAGCTGTTACACATTTTCCATTGCCCGGCCTAAACAGCCGCGATCATTTTTCTGAAACCCATCCTTTTGCTCGCTTGAGCTTTTCTACGAATAGCCTTTATTAGTTAGTAGTCCTATACCAGGCCCTGCCTTACATTGCAGCCGCCAGTATACAGAGGTGTTGACAACATTAGGCGTCTCGCTACAACTTTGAGTGCTGGCCCAAGACCCTGCCTGCTCAATGTTACTATAGTTTCTTTCATACCTACATCTTTCTTCATACGCACGTAGAACCTTTCGTTAAGTCTAGTGGAACTGTCGCATCTGCGGATAGTCCTACCATCGTTACCACGAGGATTTAGATACGGGATTCTAGTGAGACTCGCACTTGTAAGCTTCGGCTGGAAGAGTGATAACTTGTCCTAGACCTGTACCCTTTCGGTGACTGAGAAGTAGCACACATGAAGCACACAGTGTTTTTCCCACTTAACAAAGCATAGCTTTACGTATCTCTTTCTAGTTAGTAATTAGGGAAGTGTCAGTCGGGTTGACTAAAGAACCCTTTGACCCTAAAGGACGAGGTTGATCCAGTTAGTACTGGGGACCCCTTTAGCTTTCCATTTATGTATCCTTTTTCCCTTTCCTCTTTCATCATCTTTCCTATCCGGAAGAGCTGTTACGACCCGCTCTTCAACAGTCATTAGTGAATCGGATTCCAGAACGCACCTGGCACTATGGCTGAAGTCGCAGAAGCTACCATGGGACCTGCTGAGAACCCCCAAGAACCACAAGAACAAGGGGAGCAGGGAACACAAGGCATAGCTATGCCGATAGAGTTCACCAACTATGTACAGAATGCCATCACTATGGCAACACACGATCTGTACATAAGGACACAAGAACTCCTTAACCATAACAACACTCTTCGAGCACAGAATGCAACTCAAGAGCTTCAACTTAGAACCCAAAACGCACAAATCGAGGAACTAAAGAAGAAGCTTGAGAGATTTGCACAAGCACCAAACACTTCGCAAGTCAAATTGTCGAAGCCCACAGAATTCACTGGAGACAAAGATTCGATCTCCGTGGAAGTCTATGCTATGCAGTTGGCATTATATATGTCACAGTGGCCGTTGATCACAGACAGGCAGAAGATTACAACTGCCCTGTCTTTCCTTAAAGGATCTGCTGCTAAATGGGTGCAGAAATATGTTATTGAGCTTGACACCAAGCCAACATCCTTTGAAGATTGGTCAAAAGAATTCAAGACCATGTGGGGACAAGACGACAGAGAAGGAAAGGCTGTCAGGGAGTTGGAAACCCTGAAGCAAGGATCTTCATCAGTGCCCGAATACGCAGCAGCTTTCAAACAGAAGGCTGCACTCACTAAATACTCCGACTACGACCTTCGCCTCAAATTCCGATCTGGTCTACAAACCCGGATCAAGGAGCAACTCGCTCATATTCCAGCGTCTGAAAAAGACACTCTCAAGAAGCTCATTGATTACTCCATACAGATTGGACGTAACTACGAGGAGCTAGATGCTGAGAAGAAGAAGGGAAATTGGTGGACCCCTAACAAGGAAGCCAAAACCTTCAATAACCCAAGGCAGGCTGGTCCTAGCAAAGACAGTGACGCTATGGATGTGGACTCTGGCAAGCAGAGGGGATCTCCCAAACCCCAAGGAAAGCCTGGCGCTTTCACCTGCTACCACTGTGGAGAACAAGGCCACATAGCAAGAAACTGTAAAGGTGCGCCAAAAGCGCAAGTCAAAGCGGCTGCAGTTGTCGAAGAAAACTCTGCGCCGAAGTGGTTCACAGATTGGATCACTTCTAACAAAGGCAAGGATTTTTAAAGGGGTTGAAGTCAAAGTCTGCAGACCTAGACCCTGAACAATCGTTTCTCTATTCTTTCTACGTTTCAAGATGTATCAGAAGTACATATTAGATCCAAATCTGAGCATTTTTATATTCCAATAACGTTGAAGGGAAAGAACCGACAAGCAGACGTAAAAGCACTTGTGGATTGCGGTGCATCGACACTATTTATCAGTGAGAAGTTTGTTGAGAAGAACAGTGTGAAATGTCGTAAATTATTAAGACCCATTTCAGTCAGGAACATTGATGGATCGCTAAATGCCGCTGGATCAATGACTCATTTTGCAGAACTAGGTCTAAAGATTGGTGATCATGAAGAAGAGAAAGCAGCCTTCATGGTTACAGACTTAGGAAAGCGATGATGTTATTATCGGCATAGATTGGCTAAGATATCATAATCCAGAGATTGACTGGAATGCAGGACGATTTGCACTTTCTCGATGCCCTGTAAAATGTGAAACAAAAAAGGAAAAAAGACAAAAAAAAGAAAGAAAAAAAAAGAACAAAAAAAGATAGATGATGTACCTGATCTGATTCCTACGGACGATGAAGACAAGGATGAAGAAGATATGTTGATGAAGAGGGCGACGGTTGAGGAAATAGAAGACGAAGAAAGTCCAGAGAGACTATGGATTCGTTATAAAGCCTCGGTTGCCACAGAGCAGAAAGTAGCAGAAGAAGCTACTAAGAAGAAGCAGTCAGTAGAAGAAATGGTACCTGACTGGCTTGATGATTACCTGGGAGTTTTCTCAGAAGAAGAGTCTAAGCGCTTCCCGGAAAGAAAGAAGTGGGATCATGTGATAGATCTTAAAGATGAGGGCAATCTTCCACCAAATGTGAAACCTTATCCTGTTGTCACCCAAAGAGATGGATACATTGAAGGAATGGTTAAAAACCGAGACTGCACTGGGACGTATTAGAGATTCACAATCTCCAGTAGCAGCACCTTTCTTCTTTGTGGCCAAAAAAGATGGCAAGTTAAGACCGGTGATGGACTATAGAAAGCTCAATGAGAAAACGGTGAAAAATGCATATCCGCTACCGAGATCTCAAGATTTAATTGATGCTTTAACCGGTGCCACGATGTACTCCAAGATGGATGTACGATGGGGGCACAACAATATTCGCATGAAAGAAGGAGATGAGTGGAAGGCGGCCTTCAAAACACCGTTTGGTCACCACGAACCGACCGTGATGTATTTTGGACTCATGAACTCGCCTGCAACCTTCCAAACTATGATGAATGAAATTCTAAGAGACCTGATAGATGGCAAAACAGTAGTCGTCTATATTGATGATATTATGGTCTTTACGAATGGAAATAGGGAGCAGCACCGAAAGGTGGTACGAGAAGTCTTAAAACGGTTAAAGGAGAATGACCTGTTCTTGAAGCCTGAGAAATGTAGCTTCGAACAGTCTAAAGTCGAGTTCCTCGGGTTAATCGTGGAAGAAGGCAATGTGTCGATGGACCCCTGTGAAAGTAGAAGGAGTATTGAAATGGCCTGTTCCCAAATGCGTAAAAGATATACAAGCATTCATGGGCTTTGCCAACTTCTATCGAAGATTCATACTTGGGTTCTCAGATATAGCCAGACCAATGAATGATCTGCTAAGAAAAGATGTCAAATGGGACTGGACGGAGAAGCAACAGAAAGCTTTTGATGAACTTAAGAAACGTTTCACAGAAGCTCCCATTCTAGTCATGCCAAATGTTGAGAAGAAAAAGAAAATAGAGACCGATGCTTCAGATTACGCAACAGGAGCGGTTCTCTCTCAACTTATGGAAGATGGATTATGGCATCCAGTAGCATATTACTCTAAGTCAATGAATGATGCGGAAAGAAATTACGACATTCATGACAAAGAGTTATTAGCGATCATTAGAGTGTTGGAAGAGTGGAGGCACTATGTGCAGGGAGCACCTCACCTGGTTGAAATATGGACAGATCATAAGAACCTTGAATATTTCATGACGAGTCAAAAGTTGACCAGAAGGCAAGCTAGATGGAGTCTTTTCCTAGCGGAGTATGAATTTACACTCCAACACAAGCCTGGCGTGGTTAATGACAAAGCAGACCGTCTTTCTTGGAGATCAGACCATAGAGGGGGGGTAGAAAATGATAACTCAGACCGCATTCTTTTAAAACCGGAATTCTTTACTGTAAAAGCTGCTAAAAAAGGTCAAGTTTTAGTGCATGGAGAAAAACATCTACTCCAAAAGATACGAAAATGCACAGAATGAGAGCCTGAAGTTGCTAAAGCACTAGAAACGCTAAAAGCGGCACCGGTTCAATTGCGTAGAGGAATTGAAGAGTGGAATGTAGAGGATGGATTGGTGTTATTCCGAGGATTAGTTTATGTTCCAAATGATAAAGAGATCCGCCGAGAGATATTGGAGTTGTTTCACAACTCTCCACCGGCTGGACATCCTGGACGAGCTAAAACCTTAGAATTGATTTCCAGAAACTATTGGTGGCCTTCAATGACCATGATTACGTAGATGGTTGCGATAGGTGCAAACAAACGAAAGTGCTTCCGAGTAGACCAACGGGGCCTTTACAGCCAAATGAAGTCCCAGAAGGACCTTGGCAGACAATCACCTGTGACCTGATAGTGGATTTGCCGAAGAGTGAAGGGTGTGATAGCATTTTTGTAGTCGTTGATCGATTTTCGAAACAAGCACACTTCATTCCCACCACCAAAGATGTAGACTCAAAGGGTATTTCCGAGCTATTCTTGAAAAACGTATGGAAACACCACGGAACACCAAAGAAAGTGATCTCAGATAGAGGAACTCAGTTCATATCAAAGTTCATGAGACAAATGTCAAAAAGATTAGGAACGAAATAGTCTGCGTCGACCTCCTATCATCCCAGAACCGATGGACAGACTGAACACGTAAACCAAGAAGTCGAACAATACTTGCGCATGTTCACGTCATGCAGATAGAATGATTGGGTATCTTGGCTGCCAATAGCAGAGTTTTCATACAACAATGCAGTCACAGTAACCGGTCACAGTCCATTTAAAGTTCTCTACGGGTATAACCCAGATTTCACGATTCATCCAAACTCTATGTCCGTAATCCCCGCCGCCGATGAGAGAATTGATCAAATGAAAGAAGCAAGAGATGATGCCGAAAATACTCTTAAGATAGTCAATGAGCGCATGAAGTGTTTCTATGATAAAGGAGTAAAAGAAGCACCTCAGTATAAAGTAGGAGACAAGGTCTGGCTTGACGCGAAAAATCTCAAACAACGTCGTCCAAATCAAAAGCTGTCAGATCGTCGTCTAGGTCCCTTCGAAATACTAGAGAAGATCGGTGAAGTGAACTACAAATTGAAATTGCCGGAAAAATATCAGATCCACCCGGTTTTCCACGTAGAATTGCTTACGACATATCACGCATCTCGATTGATTCCTCATCCTCCTCCCAACCGACCACCTCCAGAATTGATTGACAATCGGGAAGAATTTGCTGTAGAAGAAGTACTAGATAGCCGATTGTTCCGAGGAAAGCTGCAATACCTAGTAAAATGGGAAGGATATCCAAAGGAAGAGTCATCTTGGGAGCCAGAAGAGAATTTGAAGAACGCTCCAATTCCTTTAGCGGAGTTCCATAAGAAGAATCCCACGGCTGCAGCCGGAAAATACCGAAGAATCAAAGGTTCAGTGCTGTTTACAGAAGATTTCAAACGATGGAGAGAAAAGAATATCAGACCTTCATTCGTTCGTGATGACACTCACCTTAGAGAGGGGGTAATGTCACGAGTACCTTTAACAAACCATTATTCTTTCCTAAATCTTCCTAAGCGTCAATACACAGCACCTAAGTCTAACCCTAACCCTACCTTGAAAACATCTACCATTCCCAAAATACCTTTAGCGCCCATGACACGTGTCTTCGATGTGACTGATGAAGAAGACAAGTTCTTTGATTGTGAATAGATTAGATTAGATATGATAAGATAAGATATGGTCACGTGATGCTTCTTTAATATTCTACGATGTTCTATGGTACAATTCCCTTTCTCTTTTTATGATTGGCTAGTAGTTGTAACTCAGTTTCAATCTCCGTTTCAATAGTTGTATATAGGTAGCATGTCTTGGTCAATAGTTCTTTAGTTCAAACCTCTTGTATCTACAACTGTAGCAATCCAAGACGTACTTGCTCCTCTCTCTTTGTCCGATAACCTTAGATCGAGTCCTAGTCTCTGCCCAAGCGTTTATTCGTTATTTGGGTTGTGACATTTTGATGCGAAGTGACTGGCACATCAATTCACACACTTCTGGACGGGTCCATTTATTTGTTCATACATCTTGTCGGGTTTCACGGAGAAGTGTGAACTCATCAAGAAATCCATAGTGAGAGACACGCGACCAGTCAAGACTTGGAGCAGGTGGCACAAGTGCAGATGCTGCTGCGTTGTACTCCTTAACCTTGCTTTGAGTTGCCTTGCAGTGAGTTTGGAGGGCTTTAGCAATATGAGTGCGCATGCGATACCCTGCAACATGAACATCATTGTGAGATAAGAAAAACCCTGGAAAATAAAATTACCTGTCTGTGAAAGGTTTAACTTGTGCAACTCGAAGAGTCGCAGTACAACAAGACACTGCAGCTCATCTAGAGTACGGTGATACTTTCATGTTGCCATGTACCTCATGGTATCAGCATACTTGCTATCCGATGGCTCCCACCTCTGCGTAATGCCCATCTTCACCTTCATAGTAACAATCTCTTGTAGTATGCGATCCAGGCGCTCATTCACATGCCGTCACTGGGTTTCCAGCTTGCGTGTTTGGGACAGATTGTTTGCATATATGGCATCCGTTGATGTCGCAGTCGAAGTCGAGACAAATTGATAGTCAGTAGGAATGGCATCGAGGAATGATGCTGAGGCACACTGCGCTGCAGCCCTGGAAACATAGTGTTAGTTCATCAGATGGAAGCATGACCTTCACGTACCTTGCATCTCGGAGATTTTGCAACAACTCAATGTATGTCATTGCATGCACGTCCCACTCAGCTTCTTTGCCAAGGGTTTCAAGGTATACCAACTGCTGCTTCTGCCATTCCTCAATGCTCGCATCCGTGATGCCAAGGGACAATTTGGCATGCTCAAATTCAATAGTCTCGCGTTCAATGATGCCATGGGCTTGACGATAGTTGTTGTACAGCATGTTGCCGATATTCATGTACTTGTCCTCATCCCACTGTTTGAAAAACATGTCAATAAAAAAATGACAGTTATATGCACTTGCATAACAAATAACAGGGGCGAGTTGGTTAGATGAGCTGAATATTCTCTCCATTGTAGAAAAGTCCTCCAGTCCCATTCCTTGAATGATGTTTGGATGGTTTCTATCCTGGCACGTGTAGTTATGTGTGTACCCGTGGAATGCATCAATGCACAAGCGGCTGTTAGATTCATTGAACTTGGTAGCGAGGGTGGTTGACTTGACGGTGGTAGCAAGCTTGCATCCGACGTCGTATCCAATCAATAGCTGGGGGCTGAGTACTTCAAGTGCCTTATTCATGATGGAGAGCATATACTTAAACCTACATTAAAATCAGCAAAGGAAGCTTCCTGATGCAATGTGACGTACAGTTCACCACTGCGGACCATATCAACAATCCACAGGATCATACCATGACGGCATGCGCATGCAAAGATCTCTGTTTCTTCAAATATTCCCCATGTCTGTTTCTTTGCTTCATCATCAGCAGCCTTCCAATTTTCTGTGCACCGTTTTTTGAGGTTCTCACCAACTTGAAGCTGCAGGCATCTTGATGAGCCAATGCTTGGGAGGATGGTGCTTGAGAAGACGATACTTCATCAGCAAACAGATTGATGTAGTCACAGGGAGAGGAAGAAGTCTGAATCAAATGTGCGCATGTCACCAACTTTGTGTTACGACTTGGATGGTATCTGTTGGTGACGCTCAAACAGAGCGTGTGTTGTCAACGGTCGAGGACATCCTTGGGCTAGCCCAAGGTTAGGGGTCTTACTTGGCGAGGCTTCGGCAAGTAAGATTTGACGCCTATGTCCAAATCGGGTAGCTTATGTCAAGCGTGTGCGAGACGATAAGCTATATCGGCCAATGCTTATGACACCCGAAGGTTAATCGTAAGATCGTTGTTAATTAGAAGGACAGAAGTCCGACTAGTTAACAGGGGCTTTGCTCGTCGACGAAGTCGATGAGTAAAGGTCGAGACTATAGGCTTATCCGCGATGAGCAGATAAGAAGATAGAATATAGACTGCTGGCGAGGCAGAAAGGGATCACTCTGATGAGAGTAGGAGGTCAAGAACCAAGTAGATTCAAGTTAGGGAATATGGTACATGGTAGCGAGTTTATATAGAGGACAGGAGAAGTATTAGTGGGTGATAACTCGTACTACCAAGAGAAGCAATCGGTAAAGGGCATGACCATAAAAGGAAAGCACGTTCGCATTGAGACACGGGCGAGGCAGAACGTGCTGGATAAGAAAGTGAGTCAAAGGTCAAAATAAGAAGTAAAACGCGCAGGGGCACAATCGTGCAGCTGCGGAGCTATCTATAAGTTGCATGTGCGACTGTGCACTGAGTCAGAGATCAAGAAAGGGAAGAGGGCAAAGGGGATGTGTCGTGCATCATATCATAGGTTACCATCCGGACGGTAAGGGCAAGGGGACTGTCCACAGGATCAGTCAGGTGGTGGAATGGAGCATGGGTATGCTTCGTCAGCGAAAGGATCCGGCCAGATGTACTGGCTTTGCTGAAGCGACAGATAGAGAGCGAAGGGGAATGCGAGGATGACAAGGATGACCAGGGTAAGGTCGGGGTAAGGGTATGATGCAAGGGCTGATACGAGGAGGATTAGGAGAAAAATGGTAGGGGCCCAAGCATCTAGATGTTCTTGTAACACTTTGCGGCCACCAAGTGGCGCCATTCGAGATAAGGAGTTATTGCCATCAAAAACAATCATACACCGATAGAGAAGTGGTGGTTCGCCCTCAAGCTACAACAGTCTGAGGAATTAATTAGTTAGTGCTAAGACACAGTACGTACCTCGAATGAGCATGGTGGACAAACATTTAAGACATGCCAGTTGGGTGAATTGCAGCCAAGGGCTTCAGAAACTTGATGTTCAACTTGATGGAGGATGATGTTGTAGATATCAAATGCGCCTACCAGGCACGTTTGATATCTGCGGCGATAAGGCATCTGGGTGGATGAAAAAAATTGTTAACAAGCCTAGAAATATGAATGACAACAATGACGTACATTATAAAGATCGCACAGAACCTTTGTGAAGGCCTCAGCGCTAAACAACAGTTTTCGCAGGCGTATTCTTCAGTACAGTTCCAATGTGCGAAGTGAGATAGCAATGGAGGGTGACTGTGGAGTAGCTCCAATATAACCATTCAGAACAAGAGCCTCAGATGCGGTCTTGACACTGGCATTGCGCTGGATATGAGTTGTATTAGATAGTGTGTAAATGTCGATGCATTCAATGTCAAAGTCATAACTTGAAGGTGATGATGGTGGTGGTGGTGGGGGTACTGCATTGTTGGGGGGAGACTCTGAAGGGTACTTCCAAGCTAGGTAGGCCAGAGTCAAATCCTTGATGATAGGTGCCCAGTTTTCTTGGAGGCGAGTAACACGCTGGCACCATGTTCGCCCATCTTTATACACTCTCCACCTAGAAAATTGAATTATATGATAGGACTCATCACAAGGCCAGGGTACTTACTGGCTTCCAACAATATCCCAAACCACATGCATGAATGTGTCATCATCCTTCAACATCTCTGGGACAGTCTCCCATTCAAGGTCTGGGTCCATAGAAGGATCATCGACATCCATTGCAAAGGTAGGCTCTGCGTCTGAGTTTTGGAGGTTGGAGAGTAGCGTTAGAGATTTGTTGCTTAGACCTGTATCATGTTAAAATAGGTATGATAGAGAAAAACAAAGTGAGGCCACTGTACCCGATGTATTGAGTTCATATCTGTCTTGTCGATGAGAACGCTTGTTGACCAGGTCCCTCTGCTTGAGATTTCTGACACTGAGTGCACCACGCTTGCGAACATTTCCAACAACAAGGGTTACTGATCACGAGACACCTTTCTCCTTTGGCATAGTGTTTGGGGAGAGGAGGGCAAGGAGGACGTGACTGACAGCAATGTCAAAGGCCTCACCGTGTGATGTTGGCTAAGTTCTTAGTTATGTAACGAACGATCAACATAATCACATGCACGTTCGAGTAGAACACTTACAATTGAAATGTAGTGCCCTCGAGGGAAAAGACCTCTGGCAACATCAGGAGCATGATGAGCAACATAAATAGTATCTAAATAAATAAATAAAATTGAAGGAAAATGGTCCAGAACTGAGGGACTTACCTTGCTCATCATGGGTGACAGTGAGCACACGCTATTGGCGATGAGCGCACATTGTGGGAGCTGCCGAAAGGCGTGAGAGTGTTAGGAATCATGTTGCTGACATAGCTGATAGTTGCTCTCGGCAGCCACCGGTAATAGCAGGTAATAGCCCTGTTATGTTAGCAAGCATTTAGGGAATAAATGATTTATTCATAGTGTTACTGGCAGTGAGTGGGATAGCGGAGATCATATGCTAACTAGGTTGCCAAACCCACCCCATTATGGCAATCTAATAAGGTCCAAATTATGTGAGGTTGAGGTGACTTCAGGAGTTGATTATTGTCCCCTTGACCTCACACATCTGAGTAGTATACTGAGCCAGGATTGTTATTTGTCAGATAGGCTTTAGCTATTGAATAGGGGACTTGGTATTGAAATCCAAGGACGTCCGTTTCTGATTCTGTTTAATACTCATCGTGAGTTCCTTGGCAGCAGATTCAATATTAGGCTAAGAGTTCTATGGAAGCTTTTGACAAGTCTTGACCTTTGATCCTACCTGTTTGCACTGTGGGAGTGACCAATACAGCTTTGCACGACTGTTTCATAGTAAGTTTAGAATATAGCACCATTGATTGTGCCTAGTCTTAGTTCTTATTTCTGTTTAGCACCAGTTATTGTGCTTAGTCTTGATTCTTATTTTCCTGTTTCTTTGTTTCTTTTAGTCAACACCATATCGCTGGGTTGACTAGTGTTTCTAGACTAATATCGTAGAGTACCTTTGTCTGACTGTAGCTTGGACTATACTGACAGGCCACCCACAAATGACCACATTATCAGTCATTGGTATTTGTCTGAATCACTGACCGTGGAGATATTTGATTTTGTAGGTGTTCATCTATAGATCATCTATCTAAGAAGACAGCGGGTGGCTGGCGCCCAAGCCGAGCCTGGACCGGCAACACCAAAAAAGAGGGCCTCACCATCTGCTAACCAGGCTGCTGAGAAGGCCCTGGGATAGTGCAACTTGGGATGCCCTGGACCGGCCTCTGGTGACAAAGGCTGAGCACCTCCCTCTGGTATGGGCATGGCGACAACAGGTGGCACCAGCAGAGACCGGTCAACCTAAGACGAGCACTGAGTTTGCGCAGAGGGTGCGGGACCAATTTGTGTTGCATGGTCCTCACCCAAGCACAGAAAACACTGCTCCATGGATGGAGGGGAGGGAACAGAACAACCTGCAAACATCAGAGGAACAAACAGAGAGGGTCACTGACACGAACCCAGAAAGGCAGTGAATTCCCGTAACATACCCACATGAGATTGGCCTACTGGATGAAATGCGACACCAGTACAGCAAGGACACCATGTTTAAAAAGGTGTTGGAGTCTCCTAAAGATTATAGGAACTTTGAAATAAGGGACAGTCTGATCAACATCAAACTGAAAGACCGAACAGCATTGTACATACCCGACGTAAAAATTGGAGAAAGATGCCTCATAGAGGCCCTGATTGACCAAGCACACTCATTATTAGCACACCTCAGGGCAGATAACATGCTGTTGTACCTGAGGGAGCACGTCTGGTGGACGACTATGGTCCGAGACGTACAAGTGTTCTGCTGTTCCTGCCAAATGTGTCAGTGTAGTAAACCTTCTAATCAAAGGCCCTATGGAATGCTGAACTCACTTTCAGTACCCTCTCAACCATGGGAGGCAATTGGTGTTGACTTCATGGGTCCACTACCTCCATCCAAGGATCAAAACGGGGAGTACGACTCAATCACTGTGATTATTGACCTGTTAACTGCCATGGTGCACTTAGTCCTGAGCAGAACGACGTACACGGCCAAGGAAATTGCCAAACTCATGTTTGCCAAGGTCTATAAATATCACAGGATACCTAAAGCTATCATTAGCGATTGAGACATTCTATTCACCAGCAACTTTTGGACCCACCTGAACAAACTTATTGGGGTCCAGCTGAAAATGTCCAGTGCGTATCACCCACAGATGGATGGCGCCACTGAGCGGGCCAACTGAACAATAGGGCAAATGCTTAGGTCCTGCATAGGACCCAACCAGCGGGACTGGGTGTCTAGGCTACCTGCAATAGAGTTTGCTATTAATTTGGCTAAGTCCGAATCAACTGGACACCTCACCTTTCCTAGCCAACAGCCAAATGCCTAGGGCAATGGTTTGGGAGACTGCTGGACCAGGTGAGCACCCAGGAGTGTGAGCCTTCGCCCAGAAAATGAAAACTGCCATCATGGTGGCTCATGATGCAGTACTCGGGGCTCGGGTTAAGCAGACCTTTGATGCTAATAAACGTTGCTGAGCGTGCCCACTAGTAAAGGACAACTTAGTATGTGTCAACGAAAAACATCTCCTTACCCAAGGGTACGTCCAGGAAGCTGGTATCTAAATTCGTAGGACCTTATAAGATAATTGAGGACTATGGTAACAACTCCTACAAATTGGACTTACTGAGCTGTCTTTGCCAACAGGGCGTCCACCCAGTGTTCCACTCTTTGTACCTGAGGATACACATCCCCAACAGTGACCAGCTATTCCCTGGGTGAATGGAAACCCAAATTGCTGAGTTTGAGGAAGCTGAACCCGAATGGGCAATCAACAAAGTACTCAACCACTCTGGCAAACGAGCCGACTCCACATTTCAAATCTTGTGGAAGTCAGGAGACACAACTTGGCTGTCGTACAATTGGGTTGCTGGGTTGGGCGCACTGAAAGATTATTTCTTGGAGCTGGGCATCGAGGATGTCTCAGAACTAGAACAGGGGACTGGAAATCTCGCAGCTGCAGATCCCCAGGTGTCCGTGGGATGCTTGGACTTCAACAACCCCAACCATATAAACCCTGTTGTCCACCCCTCTTCTGAATCCTCCTTTTCCTTCACTTCCAATGACTCTCTGCTACTCCTCGCCTGCCAAATCACTCCATCCACCATGGCGCCCATCCTCTCTCGCATCGGAGCCCTCCATTACACCCTGCCAAATGGAATTGGCAATGGGGATTTGATGATAGTGCTGGACATGCTCCGCGCATACCTAGAGCACAATGCCCACTTGAGGTCAGGTACAGCCATGGACCGTGCATCACCTGTCGGGTATGGAGACTTCTCTTTATCATTCAACATGCTCCAAAATACCAATGGACTCACCTCACGTTTTGTGGAAGAGTCTGTTGAGGGACCCCGAATTAGTGGCCCCTCTCCCTACATCACTGACCTTGTCGGTGAAGAGACTCCACCCACACCTTCTATCTGCTCTAGCGCCTCTCAGCCCCCTCCCGATGGCGGGTGCTGGCTTAACCCCCAGCATGTCGAACTCGTGGAGGAAGCCCTCTGGCAAAATATGAAAACCTCCAAGAGACAGCAGGAGTGGTGGGAACACAGTATAGCCGAAAGACAAGCTACCAAAAGAGCTCGTCATGCAGCTAGGGGGTCACCATCCACCTTTCAGATCACGGATACTGAGGAAGGACCTAGCAGTGGTGCACATACCTCGGCGTGTCACTCTCCCACTACTCACACACCTATCACTCCAACCCAAACCCAAACAACCTGGCCACCTGGTCAGATGGAGGTAGATGAACCCAGGGACTCGGCAAAGGACAAGGATCATGGCGAAGGTGTGGGGAAGGGTAAGACCAAGAAGAAGTAAGGATGTTGACACATCCTGGAGGGGAGTATGTGGCAGTTATGGAAAGGTTCAGCCGCACATGGGTACAATCAAAGGACTAGAACACTCCAGACTCGGCTAACATCAGTAGCTAAGGACCGTATGTTCAAGCATATGTTTATTTTCTTGTTATTTGTTATTCTATTTTATCATGGACTCTGTACACTACCTAGTATATAATATCGCATGTTTGTATGAAGTCCTCAGATTTCTTTCAATCACAACTAGGCTTGTATCTGGTTAACATTGCAAAGGAACTCTTCAGTCATTGTTGTGCCGTCATCTAAAGTTCGAAAGGACTTCTACCTGCCATCACAAGTAAACACCCTAACTTGACCAAATACAGATCTGAGTTTTCACCATCATCTCCACCATGTTAATGCTCATAACTCAACGATATCCATCCTCTGAAAAGAGAATTCTTCTAAAACCCGACCTCGAAGTTTATGTGAGGTGAGCTCATTCGTTTTTTTTTCGCTAAGTCTCTCCAGCAAGAACTGACATGCAAGGTCAAAACATGGTTCAGCTGCAGCTGCCTTTGGACACTAGGAAATTTAACTTCAGCTTTGAGAGCGACGAACCTGGGTCTGTAGTAAGTCAACTAAAATTTATATATTCAACTAACATGTAGGTCTGCAGACACTTGAGGTATCCATCAGGCCTTTGCTCAAATGGCCAGCACTAGCGCCGCTACCTGCACCTGACGACAGCGAGATGGAGCCTGAGTCTGAACCCGATGTAAAGATTAAATCTCTGCTGGGCTCAGCAGAAATTGTACTACCTAGTCAACAATGTTTAGGTAGATCTTAGCACAACCTATGCTGCTATACTTGCAGAGCAAGTGCGTTCGATCCTAAAGGGATTGCTGATTGGTATTAGTAGTAAAAATGTGTCAGTAATGCAAAGAACTGAATGTCTGATGGTGCGAAACGATGTCCGAAGGTACTTATCCAATGTCCGAAGCCAAAGTGTGATGTCCGAGATTTTGGACTTTTGGATTTCACGATAATAGGTTGGAAACTTTATAACAAGTGTTGGATTGCGAGCAGTATGCGCAAGTATAACGAGTGACGGAGTATGACAGTGAATGAACGGTAATATTTCGCAATGCAACTAAGAACTACGAGAATATTCTGGGTGATCCACAGAGTCGGGAAACGGCTCCTAACTACTGGATGATGATTGCTACGGGTCACTACAGAGTATTTAAGTAAGTATGTAGAAATTTGGAATACTACATGCAAAGATAGTAGCGATATATTTTGGGTCCAATGTCCTATGTAATAAGATACGAGGTGCTGCGGACATGTAATAACGTGGTCTGAATGTCAGATAATGTGCACAGAAATAACTATGCACCTAGTGAGGCTAGTTCAGATGGACAGGACACGGGATGGACAAGTGCGCACAAAGTGCAATCAGCCAATGCAATGTCCGAAGGTCCGATGTGCTGGATCCGATCTGGAGTGGCTCAGACATGTGCGCGTATGTTTTGGATGTTCACATGAGTATGAAAAACCATGGTTCTGAGCCCAACACCGCAACAATCGCTACACCGGATGCAAATAGTGCGTGCCAGTAATTGATATGTGTCTGATGACATTTGCTTTGTCTGGTGACAAGGGCTTAAAGTATACATCTGACTAACTAATGGCAATGTAGATTAGAAGCTGTTAAAACAGTGATGACCATATAGGAAACTCACCATCAGCGCTCGTGTTGTCAAGATCCTGAGTTAAGGCTGTGAGCCCTGCGACAGTACCTCGTTCTTCATTAGTGGCCTTGAGCATGTGCATGGCTGCTTGACGAGGAAGTGAATCTTCAGGATAGCTTTGCAAACTGTACATCTAGAATAACAGATTGAATTGTAAGAATATTGATTCATTTGCGAACTCACTCACCAGTCTTCTGATCTCGCATGTCCTTTGGAATTTGCGGAAAAAGGTTGTTTTGAGGTCACCATTTGTGTGATTGTTTGTCTTGAATGATTTCAACACCTTATTGAGACGTTCAAATAAGAATGTCCAAAAGTCATGTAGGGGGCCAAAATTGTGACAACAAGCACCAATGTAGGTGGCAAAATGATGGTTAGGTTTGATGACACCAGAGCCATAAAGCTGTGTGTAATCTTATGAGCAACAGGCAGATGAATACTCAGCGACTTACATGTATCAGCTCCATGTTATACTCTCATATTAAAGTATCTGCATGATCGATATCATCATTTGATAACTTTCATCGAATCAAGATACGAAGTGCAGTAGACAGCTTGAGAAAATTAGTGGGGTCATCAGGATGAAGCAAAATTTTTGTGTCTTCTAGATTTTCAGCTTCGTCTGATTGAAGAGGAGGAGGAGGAGGAGGAGGAGGAGGAGGAGGAGGTGGTGGTGGTGGTGGAGGTCGTACACTGCCTTCAGGCAGGTCTTCGACAATCTGTGATGTAGCCTTGCATTTTTTAGATCCCTAGGAGGAACAATCAGTAAGCAAGATTACGTTCAAATACATAAGTATGTACCTTTCTGGCACTCTTTTCCTTGGCCAGCCTTTTTTTTTCCACCTGTTTGGCAAGTGCCGCTTGTAACTTGGCTTGTTTCTTTGCTTCGGCAGCAGCTAGTTTTTCTTGTGCTATCTTTGATTTGGTGGCCTCTAATGCGTCCTTGCCTTGCTTCTTGGCCTCAGCCAAAGCTTTCCTATCATCAGCCTTATGGTTTGCCTGTACATCTTTATCAGCTTCAATTCTTTTGATTAGCGCAACACGTTGTTGAAGGGTTTCATTGTTGGCATCTGAGGGAAGACATGTACTCCAGAGCTGGGGAATCTACATCCAAACCGTAAGTCTTTGTATCCATTGAAAAACGAAGTCAACTCACAACTATTGGTCTATAGATGGTAGCCAAAAGCAGCCATTGGTCTGCAGTGAGAGAACCACCAGACAGCATCCCTATGTTGGTTGGAAGCTTGCCACATGACCCAGGAACGATGAACTGTGAAAAGAAGTTGTTGTGAACGTATCAACTTAACAACCAGAGTACATCAGCAAGCATTTCATGGAACATCTGTAGCTCATGATTAGCATGTAGTATCTTGTTTTGCACCCAAATATTATAAAAATGTGTTTTGACGAGCCCTGGGTGCAAGTAAGATTAAATAACTGAACCTACAGCTCTAGCTCCAAGACATACCAAGAAAGAGGTTGTGCATAGGATCTATCATGATCTGCTTGACGAGGTCAAAATAAGGAAGTCGAGCAAGTTGTGTGTATTGTGTAGCATATTCCTTCACAAAATTCTTGCATGCAGTTGGATTATCAAGCTTTTGATAGCGGTCGCCTAGTTCACGCTGTTCTTGATGAGTCCATGGTCGAAATGCCGATACTCGAGGCATGATCAGACTAGTATACCATTAAGTCTTGGACTCACCATCCTGCTCAAATGCCTGAGGTTTAGCTTTGTGAGGGGATGTTATCCAGCAAGTCGTGCAACAACATGTATGTGAATGGGATGCAAAACCACCAATCTTGTGTGCCGCAGGCTTATCACAAATGACCGCCACCAGAATAACATGAACAATGCAACCTGAAGAGTCATATATACCACGTCAGTGCTAGCTGAATGACAAAAGATGAAATCACCTTCAGGGCAAGATTCTGTAGGAACCTTAATGCCAAACTTTCAAAGGCGTAGTAGATCAGACACAATTGGTCGAAGGTAGCACTGAATCTGATCAGGGTTCCACTCTTTCGGACCAGGAAGTATGCTTGTGCACATTAGGTTTGATGTTTGGTAGCTAGTAATGATGACTAAGTGTCATAAGTAAAGAGAGATAAAACTCACCAATATTCTGGCGGAGGTTGCATATAGAAAACGAGGTAGGGCATGATGAGTGTGATGGTGTGATATTGCTCTGGATGTATGAAAACCTAGTCATGTATCAATAGTGATTCACAGTTACGTGCCAGTGACTTACCAGTCAACACCTAGGTTGATGCCTATATGAAGTTCACCATGTGGCCCATGCTTCTCGTGCGGAAGGTTCAAAAAGAAGGGTGTCCCATTGGGGTCTTTGAGCTGGGTCCAACATACATCACCATCGAAGATGTCTATATACTCGCCTGGTGTGTGAGATTTCAAGCGCCACCTATCCAGCAGTACTTCAAGGCCTGGGATCCTTAGTAGTGACTTGATCTGTTCAGAAATGGGAAGATATGGGTACTTTACAACAGGTGTTTCTGTAGCATGCTGATTTCCCCGCTTTGTCATATCCAGAAGGAACAGATCTACTCCGCAAAGCGTACAAGTGTCATGTGATTTCGTGGAACCAGCAGGGGGGAAAACATCATGACAGGTAGGGCACACTGGAAGGACAAAAATGTTCTTATCGATGCCAAGGACACAATGGCTTGATTGCAGTGTAATGAAAGGAGTGTTGATTGCTGGAGATAGGGCCATGAGGATACATCCCAAAATAGCCAGTAAAGCATTGCACACCACTTGTGGAAGGTGAAACTGGAGGTGTAACCATGAGACCAGTGCGTATATTGTGATCAGATGAGGGGCAACATCTGTGAGGTCCCTGTCATGTGTCGAGTGGAAGCCGTCCTCTGGCATAAATGGATTGGGGTCATCCTCATCTGGATTTGTGGGTGTTATTATGAGATTGTCGTCGTCCTCATTTTGATCATCGAATGTTTCATCAATGTCGATGTCTAAATCATCAAAACCATGCTCATGACCACCCTCATTCTGGACTGCCTCGAAAGCATCTTCAATTTGCTGATTTAATGCATGCTGTTCTGGGTCAGGTGGGAGGTGATGGGTTTCATATGAAGTGAGTGGACGCGAGCCTGAACTGGTAGCTGAATTATATGCACTGAAGTGGTCAACAGCGTCAAGCAATGCTTCAGGGCTATGGAAATTTGGTCCAAGATTGGGGCAGAGTGGTTCCATGAGTCATGAGGTCCAAGTCTTCTCCAGTGAGAAAACTGTAGTCTAGCATTTCTTGTTCGACAGGGGATTCCGAAATACAATGTGGGTCCTAAAATTGAGCATCAGGAGACAACAGGGGCTGTGGCTCATGCAAAGGAACTGAATATCCACGAAGAACTGGCCCAGTATCCTGTGCAGCACTTGGCACAAACCATTCTCCAACCCGCTTGAATTGGGCCTGTGATGCAACCATTTTTTCTCACAGATCACGTTGTGCATGAGTACGCGCAGTGTGCTCTTCTATGAGGGCTCCTTTGCACCTGAAAGCCTGGCAGTGGCACCTTTTCTGTTGCATTTGTTGGGAGAAGATCTTCCTGATGAGCTGTGTTGAGGGTAAAGGTGTTTTACAGATGACTGGATGAAGGTGAAGCCTGAAGCCACAAGCACTGCAGCCTGAGCATGACGCGTCACAAATCACATGATCTTCGTGCTATAGTCATTCACATGTACATATAGAACATCTAGTATTCGGTCTTGTGATGCTTTAAGGTAGTTTCAGCTCTCTTTACATCCTTCAAATCCTTCAAACTGACTCCCATCGCGCCCACAGGCTTGATGCAGGTCTAGTTGGGTAAAATGCATGTTAGTTATAATAGAAAACGAGGCAAGCATACATTAAAGACCGGTTGCACTTTGGTAGTATCTTCAGTGTAGCGATGGTTGCTGCATTGGGCTCAAAACCACATATCTTCATACTCATGTCAACACCCGAAACATACGCGCACATGTCTGAGCCACTCCAGATCGGATCCAGCACATCGGACCTTCGGACATTGCATTGGCTGATTGCACTTTGTGCGCACTTGTCCATCCCGTGTCCTGTCCATCTGAACTAGCCTCACTAGGTGCATAGTTATTTCTGTGCACATTATCTGACATTCAGGACCACGTTATTACATGTCCGCAGCACCTCGTATCTTATTACATAGGACATTGGACCCAAAATATATCGCTACTATCTTTGCATGTAGTATTCCGAATTTCTACATACTTACTTAAATACTCTGTAGTGACCCGTAGCAATCATCATCCAGTAGTTAGGAGCCGTTTCCCGACTCTGTGGATCACCCAGAATATTCTCGTAGTTCTTAGTTGCATTGCGAAATATTACCGTTCATTCACTGTCATACTCCGTCACTCGTTATACTTGCGCATACTGCTCGCAATCCAACACTTGTTATAAAGTTTCCAACCTATTATCGTGAAATCCAAAAGTCCAAAATCTCGGACATCACACTTTGGCTTCGGACATTGGATAAGTACCTTCGGACATCGTTTCGCACCATCAGACATTCAGTTCTTTGCATTACTGACACATTTTTACTACTAATACCAATCAGCAATCCCTTTAGGATCGAACGCACTTGCTCTGCAAGTATAGCAGCATAGGTTGTGCTAAGATCTACCTAAACATTGTTGACTAGGTAGTACAATTTCTGCTGAGCCCAGCAGAGATTTACTCTTTACACCGGTTTCCTCTCACACCTGTTCACTGCCACTATGATGCTCCCATTGTCCCTCACAGCATTCCCTTGGACCACATGGCCGTCTTCTTTGACTATGTTGTCATTCGTGGCAAGCGCTACAATGCATCTTGTACCACCGGTTCAAATCACTCTTTGTTTGTGCATGTTCTCATCCCTCGGACTGGCACTGCTCCAATACATGCATATGGTGAGGTCCTAGAAATTTTTCAGTACATGCAAAACTTTTGTGGTGTTGGTAGTTTAATGTGGTTTGTCTGCATGTGGTGGTTTGTTCCTTGGACAGGAGAATGTGAAGACATTTGGAAAACCTTGTGAGTGCATTCACATACTATGAGGATGCTATTGATGATGTTTATGTAGTGCATCTGTCAATGCCCAGCTGTGGAGACTTGGAGAGTATTGCAACAATGACACTCAACTCCCACACCCCATTGACCCCGACTGGATTATCAGTCAGCTGGGAATGACAGTTGTTTCAATTGGCCGCGAGAGAATGAAAGTTTGGGCGACCACTGATCTTGCTAAGGTATGCATTTATTGTTGAACTCGTTGAACGTTGACAGGAGCAAATCTAGTGATTATTACTAGTTCTCGTCTCCAACACGTTCATTTCCTTCATTCTCATCTTCCCGGCTCTCATCTCCCCCATTTTCCTGTCTGTTGTGCTACTCCTCAAGCTCCTGCAAGTATGTATAATCTTCCTTGATCACCTCGTCTTGTTGGAGAGCAGCCCAGAATCCCTCCAACCACAGAGCTCCGTCGAGTATCTTCATTTCTGGATGTTTTTGTCTCCAGTGCTTTGCAACCATATTCTTGAATGGCAAGTTATTTTTTGCAGACGATGGTGTGTCCTCATCCATCTGGCTGGGACTTGTATCAAAGGTCTTCTTCACATAGATGTTCATCCTAGTACTCCCTTCCATGGTTTTGCGGTGCTTTGTTGGACGTGAGGTACTGGCACTGGTAGCTAGTTTGGGCTCATCAGTATCATACCCCTTCAGGTGTTGGAGGGTGAGGAATCGCAAAAATGCGACATACTGCCAGTGATTCATCTCAAGTGAGTACAATTATGTTCACATTTTTGATGATACAATACTTACATCTACAGAGTGCCATTGCAAACCCACAGCCATTTTTGCAGAATTTTCTGCTCCTGACATCATCCTCCTATTCTTTCCATCATCACTCAGGTCTCCACAGGTCAAGATATCTGATGTGTAATCAGTGTCAATCAGTGCAACTGTGCCCACATTTCCTGTCTCTTTCTCAAAGGCTATTGCAGCTTCACGACGGTTCCTAGTGGCCTATTTGACAAGGTATGTTAACTGATTATCATATGAGAAAGCACAATACTTACGGTGACACGCCGTCCCCTCTGACTCCCACTAGTCTTCTTACAGTTTGCCCTTTCAATCTTTGATGGATCAATTTGAGTCACAGCCTGTTTGTGTACATTGCGGAAGTAGTCCTTGGTGCATAGTGTAATAGTATCCTTATCAAAGTCTTCATCAGGAATGTCATTCTTTAACGCAGGATTTTTGTGGCAGATCTAAAATATATTGATGTAAGTACTACCATTAATTCTAAAGACTTGCTCTTACCTTCTCGTTGTCATATACTCAGTCTATGACTTCCTTTATGAACTTAGCATTTACTTTGTTGTCAACATGGCTGATCCAATTTGGGTACCAGGTCCTCAACACTTGGTCATCTTCCCCAACCTTGTAAGCTTCACCACTTTTTAATGGTTTCACACGTGTTAATGTGTCTGCCTGTTTGTTCCTCCCCAAGGATGACTCAATGCCACAAAGATCAGCAAACATTGGCTGTATCAAACACTTCACAACTGGTGAGTTTCTTTTACATGTGGTTGTCTCCAAACACTTACTTTTAATGCAGGGTGTTCATTTGAAACATGCTTACTGGCTGCCTTCTTTTGTGCCAGCTTCTCAGTTAGGCTCTTGAGGGCGATATCATGTTCATCAACATGCAAGGTGAGAGCTTCATGCATAGCTGTCAGCCGCTCATGAGCAACTGACATCTGTGCATTATCGAGGCAGATTCGTTGACTTGTGTTTGACAGGTGTTCATTTGACTCTGTCAATCTTGCGACTTCAGAGACGAGGCGTGCAACGGTTGCATTGAGGTTCTGAACTTGATCTTCAAGTGTATTTGGAACATGCTGGTAAGGATCCATTCACAGTGGTGCTACTTGTTGAGGCTGATGAAATGAGTAGATATGCTGGTAGCCTCCATCATGAGAACCAATATTTGGGGCCTGCAATTGTGACCGCAATGATGGCTCGCTGCCTGTGAATGGGGTGAGTGAATTATGGCCATGGTATAGTGTTTCATGCTGAGGGCCTCTCATCAGTGGTGCTGGCGTCTGTTGGCCTGATTCCTGCTGTAGCCCGCCTGAAAAAAAATTGTCTATCTGTGGCAGCATGTGGTTTCCAGGAAATAGTGGCAACGAGCGAGGTACTGGTCCCCAGTAAGCTTCTGTGATTTGCTGTTGACCACTATCCTGATCATAGACTCCAGTATTTTCACCTGGAATTGGGACAGCACAACTGGAGTGATGCTGAGTGTTATTGGTATACATCTGGCGCTAGAAGGAGGGGAAGGAGGGAAGGAAATCATTACCTAGGACGACCGTGACCTGCGACAGGGAGCACAGATCCCCAACCATAGAAAGCGCAACTGTAATCCTACTTTAATCAGACTTCTATCTGCCTGATAATCAGAAGCAAAGCAGCCATGCGTCCCCCTGATAACCAGATGCAAAGAAGTCCACAAACTTAATATTCAGACATAATTTGTATGCCAGGTTAGATGTGAGGGCGGCTATCCAATACATCAGAAAAACCCTCCTGGGGAAAAATGTTATAATTTTCACAAAAAGTTGTGATTCAGATAATTCTATCTAATTACAAGAATTAGGAATAAAATTGCTAGAAGACGATAATGTACAATTTGAATATCACAAAATATCGAGAACTACTTGAATATACAAAAAGTGTATCTATCTAAATACGAGTTCAACCAAAAAGTGTTACAATCATCCAGAACCGTATCACTTGTCCATTCTCGTGGGACGACAGCACCAAAAGTCAGTATCAGATGGACACTACGCACAATACTTGTCAATTTTTCACCACCACAGAACAATCACAAGACCTGGACTGTTGAGTCCAAAAAGTGGCGTAGACTGGAGGGTCCAAAAGGAAACACTGATACAGACCAAAACACGCTAGAAGTAGTAGAAAGGGAGGTTGGTGGGTGCAAAAAAACAAGAGAGCGATGGGCAAAGAAGATGGGTGCAGAGAAGAAGAGACGGACTTGGTAATATCTGATGAACAAGGACAACATTTGTAAACAAATAAACAAAGAGCCTCGTTGAATATTTGTGCTTATTTACTCTCACACTTGTTTATCACACAGTTCCAATTTTTTTCACTCGCATTCTTCCACCACCACCACATCATGTTTGAGTCTTGTGAGTGTGTCGATCCTCCTTCAAGCTCGAGCCATGCTGATCAAAGGTGTTGCCTACCGTTCACAGAATGTGAGTGTGTCAAACCTCGTTCGAGCTCAAGCCATGCCTAATGTGTTGCCCACCATTCGCAGGAAGTGAGTGTGTTCTACCTCGTTTGAGCTCGAGCCCATGCATTGTCCACTGTTCACAGGATGTAAGTGCCAATCCTCATTCAAACTCGAGCCATGCTGGATTCCAAGGTGTTGCCCATCATTTGCAGTGTGAGTGTGTCTGTCCTCCTTCAAGCCTGAGCCATGCTGATCAAGTTGTTGTCTGCCATCCACAGCATGTCGATCCTTCAAGGTCGAGCCATGCTGACCGAAGTTGTTGCCCACCATTCGCAGTGTCTTGGTGAGTTTATCCTTTTTCACAATTGTTTTTTTATAATTACTAACTTAATATTTATATGTTTAGTCATTCTAGTTTTTTTCTTTCTAGATCTGTATATTTGCGCTTGTTCACGCTCATCTACACATGTTCACACTTGTATGTACTTCTTCATGCTCATTCTTAAATGTCCGCACTCATTATTGCTGTAAGGGGTACAATTTTTATGGGCTCTGTTTATCCAAGCCAGGAATTCGGTATTTGTGGTCATTTGTAGCATAACAGTAGTTACTAGTGTTATGTACTTATATTTTCTGATTAAATATTAGTCCATTTTGCTTGTTACAAACACTGTCTGACGTGCGTGACACTATGCAAAATTCGAAATATACTCTCTGAGATTCTCAATATTGGAGTCTAATATCAACTAATTCATGATGATTATTCTTTAAAAATAAGGCAGTAAAAAAGTACTTCTAAACAAGATAATATTCCTAGTCGTTCTAAAGCCGATAATTTGAGATAATTATCGAGAATTATTTTAGTTTAGAGGAGATTATCATGATTTGGAGAGGGAGGGTTTTCCTGATGACTGTTACGACTTGGATGGTATCTGTTGGTGACGCTCAAACAGAGCGTGTGTTGTCAACGGTCGAGGACATCCTTGGGCTAGCCCAAGGTTAGGGGTCTTACTTGGCGAGGCTTCGGCAAGTAAGATTTGACGCCTATGTCCAAATCGGGTAGCTTATGTCAAGCGTGTGCGAGACGATAAGCTATATCGGCCAATGCTTACGACACCCGAAGGTTAATCGTAAGATCGTTGTTAATTAGAAGGACAGAAGTCCGACTAGTTAACAGGGGCTTTGCTCGTCGACGAAGTCGATGAGTAAAGATCGAGACTATAGGCTTATCCACGAGGAGCAGATAAGAAGATAGAATATAGACTGCTGGCAAGGCAGAAAGGATCACTCTGATGAGAGTAGGAGGTCAAGAACCAAGTAGATTCAAGTTAGGGAATATGGTACATGGTAGCGAGTTTATATAGAGGACAGGAGAAGTATTAGTGGGTGATAACTCGTACTACCAAGAGAAGCAATCGGTAAAGGGCATGACCATAAAAGGAAAGCACGTTCGCGTTGAGACACGGGCGAGGCAGAACGTGCTGGATAAGAAAGTGAGTCAAAGGTCAAAATAAGAAGTAAAACGCGCAGGGGCACAATTGTGCAGCTGCGGAGCTATCTATAAGTTGCATGTGCGACCGCGCACTGAGTCAGAGATCAAGAAAGGGAAGAGGGCAAAGGGGATGTGTCGTGCATCATATCATAGGTTACCATCCGGACGGTAAGGGTAAGGGGACTGTCCACAGGATCAGTCAGGTGGTGGAATGGAGCATGGGTATGCTTCGTCAGCGAAAGGATCCGGCCAGATGTACTGGCTCTGCTGAAGCGACAGATAGATAGAAAAGGGGAATGCAAGGATGACAAGGATGACCAGGGTAAGGTCGGGGTAAGGGTATGATGCAAGGGCCGATACAAGGAGGATTAGGAGAAAAATGGTAGGGGCCCAAGCGTCTAGATGTTCTTGTAACACTCGGTTTGTCTTCTTCGTTTGTCTTTCTCCAAGGTGGTGTGTGAGTTTCCTTACTCTTTTCTTCTTCGTGCTTCTTCTTCCCTTTATAGGGAGCAGGTAACGGGTCATTGGCTATGACCTCATCATTGATGATGGCAGCTCGGAGTTCCTCGAGCTTGTCGCTAGTCATCATCCTATACTGCTCTTCTTCGTGTTCTGCGAACATTCTGTCGATTTCTTCTGATATGAGGTCGGTGGGGATGAGGTTGGATTGTTCAGGAGGGGGAGTTGGAGCACTGCACTCGGCAGTACGCTTGACAACGGATGCCTGTATAGGCGGTTGGTTGTATGCGATTTCTTCTTCTATCTTGGCGACTGTGTCGCCAAAGTTTCGAGATGCTAGAAGGTTCAAGAGGGACCTCTTGGCCTTCATGACTGAGTATCTGGTAATCGGGTGAGGGGGACGGATACCAGGTGGTCCAGCTGTGAAAGCGATAGTGTCAACTGCCCGAAAGGCGTTGACAATCTCCAAGAGAACTGTGTCTTTGGTGCAGTCAATAAAGCTGTCGAGTCGAAGCGCATACTGCACGTCGAGAATAACAGCCTCCCAGAATGCCTTCTGAGAGTCCGGGGTCTGCGTGAAAGAAATGGTGGACTCGTGGATGAGTTCGACGATAGAGGCTGTGGATCCGAGGGAGAGGGAGGAGGCATTGGACGAGGTGGTAGACATGGAGATGATGGTAGCTGGTTAACAACTGAGGAGCTTTGTTGTCAGCTTGAGTCTCTTCTTATAGTCCTTGAGCATCTCCGCTGCGGACTTCAGTTCCTTCTCTGGGATCCACATTCGTTCGGAGGGTGGATAGCCAACCCAGGAGACCAGGTATTGGTGTTTCGTTCCGGTACCCCTGTGTTGGATGATCGCTTCTATTTCGTAATGTTCTTCCCCGTCGATCAGGTCCGGTGGCAGTTCAGTATAGTTTGGGCCATGCACGTCTGTTTCCTGATAGGAGGATAATTCTGATGCATGGAACGTGGGGTGAACACGCCAGGTGGCAGGGAGTTTGAGGGTGAACGTGATGGGGGATAGGACCTGTTTAACGGTAAAGGGTCCGTATTGTTTTGGTGCGAGTTTCTTTGAAGGGAAGTGGGTGATCAAATGCACAGCAGATAGCCACACCTTGTCCCCAACCTTCCAAGGTTGGTACTTTCGCCCAAATGTGTGTTCTGCCATGTGTTGCTGCGCAAGGCTGTGGCATGCAAGGGCTTCTTCACGGATCTTTGCAAGTTTCTTGACTCAATCCTCTGCTGCTGGCAGAGCTGAGTCAGGGAAGGCGTAGGGTATGCCTTTGGGTTCATAACCCATCATGAGGTAGAATGGGGATGTGTTCCGAGTGGAGTGTCGTCTGGAATTGTGGACGAATTCGGCCATGGGGAGGTGTTTGGCCCAATCATTAGGAGTTGTCCTACAATAGATCCGAAGATAAGTCTCCAGCTCCTGGTTCATTTGTTCTGTCTGCCCATCCGTCTGGGGATGATAGGCAGTGGAGAGGGCTACCTGATAGTCCAGGAGCCGTCCGAGTTCTTTTGCTAGCTTCAAGGCAAATTGTGGGCCTCGATCGGAGATGATCTTGTCGTATAGTCCGAATCGCATAAACACCTTTTTGTAAAATAATTCAGCAACGCCTTCTGCAGTGATGGTTTTCTTGCAAGGCGAGAAAATTACCCCCTTCATAAGCCCATGGTCGACCATGACCATAATGGAGTCA